TGTATACCAACAAACTCTCTGCAGCTTAAGGGGTAACCACTCCCTCTACATCTTCCTTATAGTGTGTTCTTGTGTGCGCCAGAGTAACTAACTCTTGGTTGTTACATGGGGAGTGGTTACCCCTTAGGCTGCAGAGAGTTTGTTGGTTAACAACAGGAGGACTCGCTGAGGAGTCTCCTGGATCTATTGGGGTATATATACTACTACAGGTTTGTTTGTACATGTGTACTATACAGTTGATAGAGACAGTGGCTGATGATGTCATGGGGCCTAGCCCGCATGGCCAGCTCCACTGTGTGAGCGAGTTGTGTCTAAAATAAGAAGAAAGGCTACGCGGCGCGAGAAAGAGGAGTTTGGACAAAAAGGGGAAGTGCCGCGTGGCACCATGTGTGAAGGCTAAAGCGGAGAATGAAAATAAAGGAAAGGTCCGAAAATTGTGTTATTGTGACAGTACTCTTTACTGTCTAGTTTTCTTTGTCCTATGTGCTCCTGTATCATTTAATTCATTGTAAATTGATTGAAATTGGCCAGTCATCCAATCTTGCTAATCTACATGATAAACCACTATCTGATCTAACCCTTGTAAGATGACGTATCTATGTTCTCATACTGTCTGAATGCGTTAAAATCAAAAATATCACCCAATCGCCTGACTTCACACTAGAATTTCAGAAGTGCCGACTTGGCCGCTGTCAAGTTGTTTTGCAGATGAGTGACTGACATTGATTGCGCGCCTTCGTGGCTGGTTCAGTTCATATGCTGACTTGGGATGATGACTAAGAAGGGAGTGGCATTGCCGGTCGGATGAAACCGGGAACGTAACCCTAACCCGGAGTGGTAGCATTCTTTTCTTCTGAGAAACGATTGAGAGGTCGTCGTCAGTTTATCTTGATGCTTTCCCGTCCCCTCCGCGCCTCGTCCAGACTCCTCGACCGCACCCTCACTCCACCACCACACCCTCTCCGCTGGTCCCGCCTCTACGCCTCACACCCACACCCCCCATCGAACGAGAACAACAAAAGCGACCAGGAGCAGAAGGGCAAGGCCAGGGACGATGACGCCCTGAACGACGCCGCGAACGAGAAGGAGCACAAGAGCCCAAGCCAGGACCTCCCGCGCGGTCTCGAGGGCTTCTTCCAGCGCTACCAGCGACAAGGCTGGTCTCGCCAGTCCCCCGACTCCGACCAAGACCACGACGGCTCCCAGCGCTCAAAGCACCCTCCCCCTCCAGGCCCAGGCGGGAACAACAATGGGTTCAACACAAACCAGCTCATGCTCCTCGCAAGCTCAGCAGCCATCTTCTACGCCCTCTCTTCCTCCTCCTCCCCCTCCTCCCGCGAGATCACCTGGCAAGAGTTCCGCACCGCCTTCCTCGACAAGGGTCTCGTCGATAAGCTCACCGTCGTCAACAGACAAAAGGTCCGTGTCAAGCTTCACTCTAATGCTACAGGCACCATGTATCCCACCGCACCCCAAGGTGGAGGCGAGTACCACTTCTCCATCGGTAGCGTAGAGGCCTTTGAGCGCAAGCTTGACGAGGCTCAGGCTGAACTCGGTATCCCCAGCCACGAACGTATCCCAGTAGCCTACCACGACGAAATATCCACCTTCAACACCCTCCTCAACTTTGCTCCCACCATCCTCTTCGCCGGCCTCCTCTTCTACATGTCCCGCAGAGCAGGCGGCGGCGCTAGCGGAGGCCCAGGCGGCATATTCAGCATCGGAAAAAGCAAAGCAAAGCTCTTCAACAAGGACACAGAGGTCAAGGTCAAGTTCAAGGACGTCGCTGGTATGGACGAGGCAAAGGAGGAGATTATGGAGTTTGTAAAGTTCTTGAAGGAGCCTGCAAAGTATGAGAAATTGGGTGCCAAGATCCCCCGTGGCGCCATCCTCTCAGGCCCACCGGGCACAGGCAAGACCCTCCTTGCGAAAGCGACAGCAGGCGAAGCCTCCGTCCCCTTCCTCTCCGTCTCCGGCTCTGAATTCGTCGAGATGTTCGTTGGCGTCGGCTCATCCCGCGTACGCGACCTCTTCGCCTCCGCCAAGAAGAACGCGCCGTGCATCATCTTCGTAGACGAGATCGACGCCATTGGAAAGTCGAGAGGGAAGGGTGGGAACTTTGGTGGGAATGACGAGCGCGAGTCGACGCTCAATCAGTTGCTGGTGGAGATGGATGGCTTTGGGACGCAGGAGCATGTGGTCGTGCTTGCGGGGACGAACAGACCTGACGTGCTCGATCCAGCTCTCATGCGTCCTGGGAGGTTCGACAGACATATCGCCATCGACAGACCAGACGTCTCAGGTCGCAAGGGCATCTTCCTAGTCCACCTCAAACCCCTCCGCCTCTCCTCAGAACTAGCAGACGTATCTGTCCTAGCCCAAAAGCTGGCCGTCCTTACCCCCGGTTTCTCAGGTGCCGATATCGCCAACGTGTGTAACGAGGCTGCGTTGCATGCTGCTCGGAAGAGCTCTGAGTACGTGGGCGAGATTAACTTTGAGAGCGCGATTGAGAGGGTGATTGCGGGGCTCGAGAGGAAGAGTCGGGTGTTGAGTCCGGAGGAGAAGAAGACGGTGGCGTATCATGAGGCGGGTCATGCGGTCTGTGGGTGGTTCTTGGAGCATGCGGACCCGCTGCTCAAGGTCAGCATCATTCCTAGAGGTGTAGGCGCCTTGGGTTACGCGCAGGTATGTACATTGCACGTCATGCCTTTGTGCACAATGATCTATTTTGCTAACGAGTACGATGACAGTACCTCCCGCCCGATCGCTACCTCCTCTCCACCCCTCAAATGTCAGACCGGATCTGCATGACGTTGGGCGGGAGAGTCTCGGAGGAGATTTTCTTCGGGACTGAGAACATCACGACGGGTGCGCAGGATGATTTGCAGAAGATAACGAGGATGGCGTTTGAGGCGTGTGCGAACTATGGTATGAACACGATCATTGGGCCTGTTAGCTATGGGGGACGCGAAGGCGCGAAGGAGGGCTGGACGAAGCCGTTTAGCGAGAAGACGGGGGAGATGTTGGATGCGGAAGTGCGCAAGATGATCACGTACGTATGCTTTCTCCGTCATTCCCTTGTGCTTCGTCAGGTCTGACAAAACCTTTGCGTGGACAGTAATGCTCATTTGCGCACTACGGAACTATTGACTAAACATCGGGAGGATGTAGAAAAGGTGGCGAAGCTCCTGCTCGAGAAGGAGGTGATCACGCGGTACGTACCCCCTCTCCTTCTCTGTCCTTTTTTAAATTCTAACGACCGTTGCTCATTAGCGAGGACATGATCGACCTCCTCGGCAAGCGTCCGTTTGCCAACAAAGCCGATGACATGGATAAATGGCTCGATGAGAACCGCGGCAACGAGCGCAGCGCACCTCCCCCCATGGAAGAACCCGCACCTGGCTCTGTGGACCCTGCGCCAGCTCCCATGGCCACGTCGACAAAGATAGAAGACTACAAGTGGTAGCCGGTGACCGGTGATGGTGGAAGGCCTTGCGTCGGGCTTCTGGATAGACTTGATGACCTGATTCGTCGTTGTTGGTCGTTTAGGATGGGCATGCTAGGGTGGAGACCGTGGTGGACGGTGGAGATGTTCTTTTGTATAGTATGTCTATAGCATAGCGGTCGCGTTTGGTTGACGTACTTGCTATTCCCCACGCGTGCCCATTTACGCATTCCCTTTGCTCACCACTCTAGACATTTGTCCATTCATTACTGAAATAAATGGGCCTTTAACTAATCTCAATCATTATTTTTTTTGTGCTCCCATTCTGCGTCGACATTGCAATATTGATCACTGTTACAAAAAACGACTATTCTGACATTTAATCACTTGTACATTCACCGAGTGGGTGCTGCATGGTCCCTTCTCCTCCACTTCGTGCTGCATTTTACAACGAATACCGAAACCCACTCCACCTATCCCCTTTATCCTCCCTAGCTGCTTCGACACTCGCGTATCGACCGTTCTTGAGAGCGCGGGCACTAAAGTCGGTGTGTCTGTCAGCGTCGCCGAGGAGCTCGTCTATCACTTCGTCGCGCTCTCCGTCCTCCCTTCGCTTGTTTTCTCGTCGGAGGAGGATCATGAAGGCGAGGGAGGAGACGACGCCGACACTGATGTACGCGAGGAGGACACCGTGCCCGAGTCTGTATCGCGGGGCATCGTCGGCGCGATACTGCAAACGATGTCGTGGCGAATCAAAGGTCAAAGGTAGGAAGGGAGAAGAGGTAAACGTCAACCTATGATCGTCGCATGCAAGACGTTTGGACGTACGACGTTACTAGTTGCAGCGCCGTTGAGGCTGCCTCTATACCCCCTCCGCTCAGAATGATGGAACGTTAAGAAATGAACGAGGGGGGGGACGTACACTCCTATCGTTATCCCGAGCGCGACGCTCCGCTTGTACGACCCTTCAAAGTTGCTCGATATCCACGCTCTATCTCCCGTTGTCTGTCGTATGAAAAACTCATGCGAAATCATGAAAACGGCCACTCACATAGAATTTGCTATGAGGTCGTCGGATCTATATCAGCAATGCATATCTAGCTACTTACTCGACGGAAGAGCTTACGTATTGTCGCATATATAGAACTGTAATGTCCAATTCATAAAAATCATAGACACGACGAGATAAGCAATCCGGGTGGTACTCACGACGCAGCGAGATAGACCGCAAAATATGACAAGGCCGAGTTCGTTGATGATATCAAGATGATATATGCAACAAGCCCTGGTATGAGTTTCGACGTTATCTTCCTTGCAGTCTACATAAAGCTGCTATACTCACCACTTACAAGTAAGCCCCTATCATCAACAAGTAAATCATGAGTAGGAGGTGAAGGCTAATGATTGGGAAAGAAGGAACTACGCACAGGTTGATGTAACCTCTGGATCTTATGCGATCGCCAAGAAGCCCAATAACGCAAGTGACGATACATCCCCAGACGTACACAGGAACCGATAGAAGGTTAGCAGCTGTGGCTTCAAATCCTGGAAATATAAGTTAACCTCAGTTCATATTGCAGATGAGATTGTAGCCGAGAACAATCACATACCTAGCTACAAGTAGACAATCTCCATGTGAGGAACATTCTTCCGTTTAGATAGACACGCACTTACCTGGCTGATTATTGTAGGTGTAAAAAACGAGAACGCAAATACTGGACCATCACTAGTGGATTCGAGTTGGAATAAATTTCGTGTCATGTTTCACTATCGTGCTCACATTGCCACCCAAATGCCAACTGTCATTCGTAATGAATATACAGAAGAGGTCAAAAGAAAACAATATTGCGTACTGGCAAGATAAGTCTTCCAGTCCGTTAGACTTTGCCAAATATACTTCGCTTTCAATGGCTCGCCCCCAGCACTAAACTGAAAGTCGGCTTGTAGGCGACGAATAGCAAAAACCCCTTGCGAGATGCGAGAGAAATAAGCATAGACCTAAGTTCATATATCCTGAAACGATCTAAGGCTTACTTTCTGCTTCAGTCAGAAATCGGGCGGATTCTGGAAAGTCTTCTATCATCCAAAACGATGCAATGGCCAACAAGACTGTACAAAGCCCCTCGATGATGAATATCCAAGTCCATCCTGGTTTTCCTCCAATCCCCTCCATTTTAGATATGGCTGCAGCAAGTAGCCCACCTGACAGACAATAAAGATTGCCCCGTCACTAAAAAACAACCGATGTAATACTTACTGAAGGCTCCAGCTATTGTGGCAGAAGAAAAGAAAGTGGCATTTCGGGTTCCAAGTTCTGTTCGCTTATACCAACTGAAAACTGATTACTGAAAGGAAATTATAAACGTTGGTTGTACGTACCACGAAATGTAAAATATGATTCCGGGATATAACCCAGCCTCAGCCAAACCCAGCAGCAATCGGAGAGCTATGGAAAGTTGTTCAATGTTTATTGCGGATGAATAGAGTTTACCTACTGAGAAGATCGGCATAATTACGAGCAAAACCATGGCAAGTCTTTTAGGTCAAGTAATGAATACGGAGAGCAGTATGCAGAGAGACCGGACACACCATTACTATTCCCCACGATAGCATCAAAAACGAGAGCCATCTTGAGGGACGGAACTTTCTCAGCACTACATTGCTGGCAGGCTAACGAAAATGAACAATTTGATTGGAATGTTAAGATTGAGTGTGCTCACCTCGAATAATGCGAATGGAAAAAAAAAGACTGTCAAAGCTATAAGGAATTGTTTGTCTGTAATACGCAAATCTTGCTCTAGGTTGTATAACTAGAAACGAGGTTTTGAGCTCCCATGAATAAATGATGACCCCGAGACCCTCTCACCTTGGCGTTCCCTATGTTTCCCCTATCGAGGAAACAAAACAGCTGTAGCAGGGCTAACCACGGAATAACGTGCATGTCTATCTTCCACATCAATTTCCTCTCGTTAACCCCTGAAATATCCACATCTGAGCGATAGAGCTTGTCGGAAATAGGGATATACTTAAGGATGGCATCCTCGGCCTTCATTTCAGAATTACTTGTCAGAGACATGGAGACTTCAGCAGAGGGGCAGGACCACAAGATGCGACTATCAAACAACACTCACCTGACCATTGTTTCGAGACGCCCAAGGAACCAGGTGTCATAAACATCTATTTTCGGTTGGCACGGTCAACCATTATGGCACCGTGCACCTGGAGGCCTAAAGTCTGGGTTATAGACAACTATATAGAGGACAGTTATTGGTGGGGACTGAACCTTCGAGCGAATCATACCTGGTGGATTCAGCTCCAAGATTCGAAATGAGATTGAAAGAATGCAGGAGAACATCTGAAACAGAATATAGTATGTTCACGTTATCAGTGTGAGTCCTTTTACTCATTACATAGTATTTCTCTCTTCGTCTTCTGTTGGGGTACCGTAATGGCCACACACGTGAAGGGCAAAACGTGTGTTCTCACGACAAGCTTCTCGTGCTCTAATACCCTTTTTCATGCTTCGTGACCATTTGTCAAAACTGTGTTGAAAGACCCTTGTATTCTGCTTTGGACTGGTGTATTTTTAAACTTACAGTGAATATCGAAACCCACTCCAGTTATCACCTTTGTCCTGCCTGGCTGCTTCAACAGTCTCATACCGACCGTTCTTGAGGGACTGAGCACTAAAATCAGTGTTTCTATCACCCTCCCCGAGGAGCTCGTCTATAACCTCATCGCGCTCTCCTTTATCTCTTAGCTTATTTTCTCGCTGGAGAAGAAGCATAAAAGCAAGAGACGAGACAACGCCGACGCTGATGTACGCGAGGAGAACACCGTGCCCGAGTCTGTACCAAGGAGCGTCAACGGCGCGATACTGCGAAGGATGTTATTGTGAATCAGAAATAGGACACAAGGGAAGAAGCAAAGTAAACTGTCGCGTAAAGGCAACGTACAATGTTACAAGATACTGCGCCGTTGATATTGCCTCTGTATTCCTGTTCAGGATGATGAAACCGCAAAGCCCAAAGAAAAGACATACAGCCCGATTATTATCCCGAGTGCGGCGCTCCGCTTGTACGATCCTTCGATATTGCTCGAAACCCATGCTCTACATCCCGTCCTTCAGCTTAAAATACTAATTCCAAAGCTTGAAGACTCACACAGAATTCGCTACGAGGTAGATCGAATTGTACATCAGCAAGAATAGTAGCTTGCCAGACTAAACTTGGCTTACGTATTGTTGGATATATAGAACTATAACGTTTAACCCGTGAATATAGACACGATCGATATAAAGTTAGGGTGATACGCACGAAGAGGCGAGATAGACAGCAAAATATGACAATGCTGCGTTTGTTGACGATATCAAGATGATATATGCGACAAGCCCTATGGTTCTTCAAGTTACATACTTTACAGTTGAACTCACGTTGTCATACTTACCACTCCCAAACAAGCCCCTATAACAAGCAAATCATGACGGTGAGACTGTGGACTAAGAAGAAATTACGCACAGGTTGATATAACCCCGAGATCCAATGCGATCACCTAGAAGCCCGATAGCACAGGTGACGATACACCCCCAGACATACACGGGGACAGAAAGAAGGTTGGCAGCTGTTGCTTCATATCCTGGAAATAAGTAGCATTATGATATTGCAGATAAACCGCCGATGTTGGCCAAAAACAATCCCATACCGAGCTATGGTAGGAGGGTTGTTTGTGAAGAACATTATTTCCTTTAAGTTAACCAAATTTACCTGGCTAATTATCGTAGGCGTGAACAGCGAGAAGGCAAATACTGGGCCGTCACTAGGAGATGGATTAGAAAAACTTTCACTCCATGTTCTACTATGGTGCTCACAACCCCGTCCAAATTCCGACTGTGATTCGAAGTAAATATATGGCAGAGATCGAAAAAGAGTGTTACTAATGCTCACTGGCAAGATAAGTCTTCCAATCCGTTAGACTTTGCCAAATATACTTCGCTTTCAATGGCTCGCCTCCAGCACTAAACTGAAAATCTGCCCGCAGACGGCGAATCGCGAAAACTCCTTTCAAAGTACGAGAGGAGCAGTTAGAGGAGTAAGTTCTATTTTCTGAAGCGATCGCTCACTTTCCGCTTCACTCAGAAACCGAGCAGATTCCGGGAAGTCTTCTATCATCCAAAACGACGCAATGGCCAACAAGACTGTACAAAGCCCCTCGATGATGAATATCCAAGCCCACCCTGGTTTGCCCCCAATCCCGTTCATTTTAGAGATACCTGCAGCTAGTAGCCCACCTAAAATTGTTAAATATCACCAAGCACTGCAACAATAACAAATGTAGCACATACTGAATGCCCCAGCTATCGTGGCAGAGGAAAAGAAGGCAGCATTTCGGGTCCCAAGTTCTGCTCGCTTGTACCAACTGGAGACTAGTTACTAGCAACAAGTTGTGAGCGTTGATCGCACGTACCAAGAAATATAGAATATAATTCCGGGATATAACCCAGCCTCAGCCAGACCTAATATCAATCGGAGGGCTGTGTAAGTAAAATATCAAGTCATTTTATGCCCCTTGCAGTATCAACTTGAAGAATCACCCACCCAGAAGGTCGTCGTAATTGCGCGCAAAACCGTGGCAAGTCTTTGACATCGAATATTTTTGGTACTATGAGCAGCATTTGGAGAAAGTGAGACGTACCATTACCACTCCCCAAGATAACATCAAAAATGAGAGCCACCTTGAAGGACGGAACTTTTTCAAAATTACATTGCTAGCAGGCTAAAGTAATGAATATTGATATTAGGATGGAGCAGTGAGTGTACGCACCTCAAATAACGCATATGGGAAAAAATAAACTGTCAAAGCTATGAGGAACTGTTTATCTGTAATATGCAAATCTTGCTCTAGGTTGTATAACTAGAGACGAGGTTTTGAGCTCCCATGTATAAATGATGACCCCGAGACCCTCTCACCTTGGCGTTCCCTACGTTTCCCCTGTCGAGGAAACAAAACAAATACAACAGGGCCAACCACGGGATGACGTGCATGTCTATCTTCCACAATAATTTCTTCTCGTCAACCCCTGATACATCCACATCTGAGCGATAGAGCTTGTCGGATACAGGAATGTACTCGAGGATGGCATCCTCGGCCTTCATTTCAGGACTACTTGTGAGAGACATGGTGATTTCAGCAGAGGAGCAGGACCACAAGATACGACTATCAAACAACACTCACCTGATCATTTCTTCGAGGCGCCCATGGAACCAGGTGCCATAAACATCTGTTTTTAGTTGGTGCGGTCAATCATTATAGCACCGTGTACCTGAAAACATAATATCTAGACGGCAGAAGTAGAGCTCTGGGCCATAGAGTTGTGGCGCAGATACGGCGATGAGGAAAGCCATTAGGAAGATTCAGAAACTTGAACCTTCGAGCGAAGTACATCCAGTATTAGGTTCGACCCCAAGGCTAAAAAAAAAGAGGTGGAAGGTAGAAAATTATCTGAAGTAGAATAATTTTTACGTTATCAATATGTAAGTGCCTTTACCACTGATATTGCTGTTCTGATCTTCTCTGCTGAAGATACCATAATGACTCCACACGTGAAAGGGACGATTCCTGTCGTTCTCATGGCGAAACCGATGTTTCCCCTTCTTGTACTCCATTACCTTCTTTTCATCCTTCGTGGTCATTTCGTCAAGACCATGTGTAAAGATTCTTGTATTCTGTTTTAGACTGTCGTGTAATTTTAGACTTACAATGTATATCGAAACCCGCTCCACCTATCACCTTTATCCCTCCTTGCTGCATCGACACTCTCATATCGGCCATTCTTTTGAGCTTGTGCAGAAAGGCTGTCTGTGTCTTTAGTGACCTCATCTAATAGATTGTCGATAACCTCGTCACGCTCTCCGTTTTGCCTGCGCGAGTTTTCCCGGCGAAGGAGGATCATGAAGGCAAGGGAGCAGAAGAAACCGATTGCAATATATGCTAAGACGATACCGTGCCCGAGCCTGTACCAAGGAGCATCATTGGAGCGATACTTATTGGATTATAGTTAGCAAAGCAACTGAAAAAATGTGATGCGATTTGAACGTACAACATTAGATGTTACCGCGCCATTGATATTACCTCTGGGTTATTATCAATATACCTGCCCTGAAAGGCAAATCAAGTAACGCACATGCCAATTGCTATAGCCAGTGTAACTCCTCGCTTGTAAGAACCCTCGACATTGCTAGCTACCCAAGCCCTGTAGCACCCAGGTTAGGCATTGATACTAAAAGACCACCTAGATATGTTGAATTTGACAGGTATACTCACACAGAATTTGCTGAGAGAGGAACACGGCCAGAAGTGTCAGCGTGCTATGCTTCAGTAAGGGTAACACAACTCACGAATAGTTGCATATATGGCACTAGAATAACAAGAGTTTCAGTATATTGAAGGCCTTATTTGAATAAGTACAAATCAGGGATACTCACGATGCGGCGAGATAAACGGCAAAATAAGACAATGCTGCATTCCGTGACACTATAAGGATTATATAACCAACGAGACCTATAGATGTTCATGAGTACAGTTCTATCGGCATATAGCAGTACACTTACCACTTCCAAATAGGGCCCTATGAGCCATAGTAACTAAGTTCTTCCAATGTTCTAAAATGAGTGTGAGGAGAAACGAACGTACAGGTTAATGTAACCCCTGGAACCAATACGGTCTCCAAGATAACCAGACACACATGTCATGATACATGCCCATGCATACACCGGGACAGACAAAAGATTGGCAGCAGTGGCCTTAAATCCTGATCAGCGAGTCTCGTAAGATTTGCGTTCCAAGACAGAAATTATTTGGCTCATTACCCAGCTACGACATTGCATAATAAGTGATCGTATAGGAAGGTATTCCGCTTTTTTCTGACCTTTGCAATGATTGTAGGCGTGAACAGTGAAAACGCGAACAAGGGGCCATCGCTGCATAGTTGATCAACCGTGTCCCTTACACGGAAATAGGATATGTACTTACAATCCCATATAAATCCCGACTATAAGTTCGAAAAAATGAAATAAAAAGGTTTTGGGTAACGCTCTAGTCACTCACGTGCAAGATAAGTTTTCCAATCCGTCAAACTTTGCCAAATGTACTGTGCCTTGAATTTCTCACCTCCAGCGCTGAATTGCAAGTCAGCTTGCAAACGCCGGATAACGAATACCTCTGACACTCAAAGTCAGCGAACAACCAACTAGAATATGCGTGGATGCTCACTCTCCGCCTCACTCAAGAACTTGGCTGACCCTGGAAAGTCTTCGATGATCCAAAACGATGCGATAGCCATCAGAACTGTGAAAATTCCTTCCAAAATGAATATCCATGCCCATCCCGGCTTACCACCAATCCCATTCATGTTGGCGATAGCTGCTGCAAGTAGTCCACCTAGAAGACAATGATTTTTGATCGTTGAATAGGGTTTGAGTATAGCACATACTGAAAGCCCCTGCTATAGTTGCAGAAGTGAAAAAGGCAGCAACTCTGGTACCAAGTTCCTCGCGCTTATACCAACTAGAAATGGGATCAGGCAAGGGGAAAAACAGATGTTGTAACTGCCCATACCAAGATATGTAGAAAACGATACCAGGATACAATCCAGCTTCCGCTAAACCTAACAGGAATCGAAGAGCTGTCTAGGTACGTTTAGAACTGATTATAACCTAGCATGATGGAGGGGTATTACACAAAAGGCCGCCATAATTCACGAGAACACCATGACAAGTCTGGGAATGATGATGTCTTAGCACAACAGCGCTTGTTCGCATAAGTTTGAGCACATACCATTACGATACCCCAGACTAGCATCATGAAAGAGAGCCATCGAGAAGGACGTAGCCGTCTCAAAACCACATTACTAGCAGGCTAGGGGTGAGATATGAGTGGCACATTATAGGTCATATATGATAATATGATACACACCTCGAACAGAGCATACGGGAAGAAAAAAACCGTAAGTGCTATGAGATACTGTTTATCTGATATATGCAGGTCTTGTTCCATGTTATACAACTGAAGGTAGAACAGATAAGCATGTCGATGAGGTCGGATTCAAAACGACAGGAGTCTGACCCTGGCATTTCCTATACTTCCTCTGTCCAAAAAATTTAGAAAGTACAAAAGCGCCAACCATGGAATGACATGAACATCTATTTTCCACAACAGTTTGCGCTCGTCGACCTCCGAGGTGTCGACGTCGGGACAATAAAGATTATCGGAGCCCGCGACGCCAGTGCTCCTCGAAACAGCGTCCTCAGCCTTGGAATCGACGTTTGCTTCAAGAGCCATGGAAGATCTGGCAGAAGAAAGATACCAAACAATTACAGATACTATGTTAGGCCCTTATCCGCCTGTCATAGAACATCTACTTTTGGCAATGCATTTGGGAATTTCGTCATATCGGACGGACACAGAGTCTCCGAGTCTAACGTTCGTTGAGGATGATAATCCCTGAATATTTCGAAAGAAGAAAGCAGCTTTCAATTCGTAGAGACGTGAAATGCATGAAAGCCAGTACATGTAATTCACGACAAAATGTGGTGTTTTGACGCGACCGTGTACACGTGTACTAACCGCTCGATGTTCAAGATGTGGCTATGCAGATATAGCATCAACTCGCCTGGACGCAAAGCAGCATGCATAATGAACGGCTACATATTTATGCAAAGGCCCGAGAGCATCTACAAGTACTCATAGCAAGGCTACCGTCTCATTGATCACCCCATTAGTATATACGAAGAACCCTCCCACATCAGATTAGGTACCAGTAGCACATGAACCGAAACAAGTACCACTTCAACCATTTCCAAATCAATCCATATTTTAAGCATATCGATATGGTATGCAAAGAAGCAAAAGCACAGCACGACGGTCACCCGGTGAGGCCACGGGCCAAAGAGGCAGTGATATTAAAATGAGGCTACAGCATGTTGCAATGTTGCAAGCAAAGCTACATAACTCCCAGACGTGGTCAAAATCCATCAGAGTTTGATTGAGGGTTCACTGGTTTCACCAATGGTCGTCCAAGATGTTATCCATGCGTTCACTCGATATATCTACAATGACATGCCTGCTCATCTATTGTACCTTCCTCAACAGAAGATCATCGGGAGGGAGGAGCTGAAGGAGATATTCTGGAAGGAGATAGAGTCGATCACAGATGATGAGGTCGAGGATCGCAATTGTTCGAGGAAGTCAAAAATCGACCTGATGGTTTGGGAGAAGGTGCCATATGCCATGTTCTCTCACCGCTGGCTGGACAAGGGCGAGCCAACGTTTCAGGACATGTCTGCATCCGCACAACCTGCCGAGCTTCCAGGGTACAGCAAGCTCTTCAAGTTCTGCGAAAAGGCCCAGGAGTACTGTTGCCAATTGGCATGGTCAGACACATGCTGCATCGATAAGACAAGTAGCGCTGAGCTTGAAGAAGCCATCAGATCAATGTTTCGGTGGTACCGCAATTCACGCATCTGCATTGCATATTTAGCCGAGTCTCAGACGCTAGAGGAGTTAAACAGCGAGGTTTGGTTCAGGCGAGGCTGGACCCTCCAAGAGCTTCTGGCTCCAAGGAGGATGAAGTTTTATGGGAAGGGGTGGGTCCCATTCGGCACCTTTCATAACGACAAAGAAGATAAGGAAATCCTTCACACCCTCGCAGAAGTGACCAAGATACCTCGCAAAGAATTGACATTTTTCCTCCCAGGGACCAGGGCGATCAGAGAGAAAATGTTGTGGGCGTCGACGCGGGAGACGACTAGAATCGAGGACACTGCCTATTCACTCCTGGGTATTTTTGAAATCACCATGTCAATCGCATATGGAGAGGGTGCGTGGGCCTTTCACAGATTGATGGAGACGATCATACAGAGGTGCGATGAGTGGACAATACTCGCCTGGGCAGGTCCCTCATCTTGGTACAACAAAGCTATACCCCGTTCACCGCATGGCTACCGCGCACTGGATCCAGAAGTGGAACCAATCGCAACTGCTGTGCAGCAACAGAATACTAAGATGCCTCATTTGTCATTTGAGATGACACAGCGTGGGCTCAAACTGAAAGTCCTAGTGGTTGAACTGGAGGACATACGCAGCGGGGATGACCCAAACAATATTGAAGTTGGTACAGAGAGCTTGACAGTCTTCTGAGCGCAATTATTAACAATCTGAAAGGCAGATGACGAGTACTGGTACCCTCCGCTCCGAAGTCGAGACCAGAACATAATTCTGTATAAAGTGGCTGCACACGCCAATTCCAGTATCGCCTCACCAAAACGGATCTCGTGGGCAGTGGGAGTCTTGAATTATCAGCATGTGAATAAGTCTTCCTTCTGGCGGGGTGTGGATAGAGCAGAGGGCATACTCAAGGCAAAACAAGACTTTGTGGGTTTCTTGTTGCGGAAGTCGGAGCATTCTGGGCAGTTCAAGAATTCAACCTGGGTAAAGATAGACACGGAAAGGGTCGTTATCATTCACTGCAAGAGCAGGATTCAGAAACGGCTCATAACGGTTTGGTTATAGAGAAAAGGTGTTCGACAGGGATCTGCATCAGGAGCACCATCGTCTATAGTCATGAAACAATGATGTTAGTGACCAAAAAGATTATGAGTATTTGGAGTTGACACGTACACCGCTGTAAATGTTGACTAGCAAGGTACAACCATGAAGTTCGGATGGAAGTCAGCAGCATCTCGATGATAAGCTGTTTGATCTTCCCTAGCAAAGATCCCGGAGAACAACCATCCCTTGCTCTGAACATTCGTCAGCATGCAAAGGGTTTGCAGTATCTTTTCCACTTCAACCCCCTTGTGCTTATCCCCAAAACTACATGTCCTCCATTTCTTGAATACCATTTTGGTATCATTGGATAATACGTCACAGGAACGCCTTCCTGTATACATCAACCCCAATAACATTCTCAAGTCCCCGTAAGGCATTTTTTAACCAGTTCTTCACGTCCTCCGTCTCCACCCCCGCTGTCCGCACAACGCATCCTGCACCCCCACATATGGGACTCAAAGACCATATGACAGGTTGAGGGGAGGTCATGTTGAACACTGTGATAGCTTCGTATTGGGTGGTCATTTCAGCGATGACACCTCTCGTAAGAGGCCCGTAGAGTAAAAGCATAGCATAGCACGAATATGGCGACAACCTGTCCTTTAACGAACGCCGAGGAGTATCATCAGCGGGAACCTGAGCTTGGACTTGTTCCAGTAACAACACATCCCGTGCAATAGGTTTCCCATCAACGATAACTTTATTGAGGCTGTAGTACCGCGAGAATGCCCATTCCTCCCCGAGTGACTTGCGCCCAGAGGTTACCCAATCCAAGAGCACGATGGAGGCATCACCAACGAGCCGGAAAGTCTGTATCTGGTTGTATGATGCCGATCGGAAACAAGTGACGGGGTCAGGAAGCACGAAGATGGCGCCCTGCGCCGACACAGTCACGTCCATAGATTGCGTTGTGGTCACTTGTTGCACTGAGGAAGATCCTCGTAGGACGATAGACGATCTTTCACCTTGTCGCATTTTGAAAACTTTGGTGGAGCCCTGTGTAACAAGTTTTAATATCCCTGCATTGTGACTCTATCTGAAGAACGTTTCTGCGTACCTGAGACAACAAAACGAGTTTTGTCCCTCCTCCCACATCCACAGAGAGATTGATAAAATCCCCTCCCACAAGCCCCCCTCCATAGCTCACCACGTAGACGATAGCGACGCCCTCTTCTGTTGTCCGCGGCGACAATAATTTCAGTGGATATGTGGACCATAATTCTGAGAAAATGGCCTCTGAACCATGCAGATGAGAGGCGATGCGACCGCTGCCAACTTCAATACTTTGTAGCTGATACGGTTTGGTCACAATATTCATATGGTCCAGGGTCAACAGGCATGAGATGGGGGTTTTGTCATGAATGTGTTCTGGCTGATGAGGCTCTTCAAGTTTCCAGTTGATGCATTACCAAACATTGAGCCAGGGGTGCAAAAGAAAAGGACCCGATAGTGTGCAGCGAGTGCCGAAAAACCAAAGACATTCTTCGAATTCATGGCCCCACCAGACTGTTGAACATGTATATTCCATAATGCAACTCCATACACATCAAGCAAAAAAAAAGATGAACAAAAAAAATATCGAGTAAAAGAGTGACGAGTAAGATGATAAAGCAAGGTATGCATATAAATTAACAGGCTACAAAAATGTCAGAGATGGAAGAATGAACCCAAAGGATTTTGTAGACATATGGTCCAAAATGCTAAAAGAAACGTAGTCGGAGGGGGAGGGGGGCGTCATAGGGGATCGTGGCAGAACGAGACGCATACAGTGATGATGGGAAGATTGGATGGCGATAGAGTAGGGGTTTTAATATTTCCTGGTAGCCAAGGCTCGAATCTCAAACAGACTAGACCTATCTGGCTCTGCGAATGGATCTGCTTGTGATGACATCGTCATCCGCCAACCCTTCATCTCCACACGATGCCGCTGCTCTGCGGCGCGACACTTCTCCACGAAGTCACCATCTACATCACACACGAGGGACGCTCGCGAACCGCGGTCACCACAATCGCTTCCGGATTCCGATATCGTACGTGTATGACTCCTGGCTGGGCTGGGCGCTTCCACCACGCCTGTGGACGAAGATGCACTTGTGTCCGAAACCGTACCGCTGATGGACGTGCCTCCCAGTTGCTGACTTGCACGGATTGTCCCGCCTTTGGTTTCCCAGTCCTCTTCTTCGTCGTCCGCAAGATCGGCAAAGACATCCGGTTCCTCCTGGTCGGGAGGTAGTGTCGATATCCAGCACATCCGTGCTGGATCAAATATCATGTTCCCCACCTTACGTGCACCCGCAGCAAAGGAACCGACGGGAGAGCCAATCGATGAGCCAGTAAGGTGGGTAATAAGAGCGGGCCGCGTTGATGTCCCTACTGCAGCGTCAAAGTCACGAAGCACCTGGTCATTACCTTCCCAGCGTAAAGTGATAGGATTCCATTTCATGTCCCCAACGACTGAAGCAGCTATCAGACCTCGCAAGATATTGATAAACTGTGCCAGACTAACCTTTGGGGCCATTGGCACCACCTAAATGACGAATTAACGTCGGCTTCCTCTTTGTTTGCCCGGACACGGGCGAAGAAGTATCTTTCTTCTTCTTTACATTTATTTCAGCTCCTGAAAATTTTGATGGAAACTCGATGCGCCCAGTGCGTCTTAGCATATTCGTAGTGGGTGTTAGAGCATTGGGAACATCTACGAGAAAGAAAGGAGAGTGAGTGGCATTGACAAATACTCCCTTTGTGACATGAACATACCAGATCCATTAGAGACCTCTCTTCTACCCCTTTTGCGGACAGTACCCCTCTCTTTGTCTTTATCAAATGATTTAGACGGGTTACCCGGGGCAGGTAGACGGCTCGTTGACTTTGGTTGTACCCGAAAGCGACCCTCCTTCTCCCTGTCAGTTGGCAAATCATCAATCCCATCCAACTCCGTGCCATCTCCATATGTTCGCGGCCTTTTCGGTCTGCGAAGGAGTTTTGGAGCAGACGACGAGGAAGCCACAGGGGGGGTTCGGACTGTGCGCGTACGTAACGAGGAAGTGGACGGTGGGCGTGGGGGGAGCGGTGATGTTGCACGATGTGAAGATGAAGGAACAGCCATGGACGCCACGGCGGGGGACGGTGGAGCAGCAAAAACAGCAGACAAAGCAGGACGAGATTTCATGCGCATCGAAGTAGGCATGGTCAAACGCAATGCAGCTGGGTTAGAAGACGGCGTCGAGGGCCTCGTGGGTGGCACGATGAAATCAAGGCCGTGTATGCGGCTTGTCGAATTTGTATGTGATTTGGCACGCGAGGCGGCAGTAGGGGCTTCGTAACGTGCGAGTTTAGCTGATGAGCCTGCTGTAGAACCAGCTCCTGAGCCTGATGCTCCGGAAGTACTCGTTTCCAGGAGGGAGGACAATGAGGCTTTGCGGGTAAGCTGTTTCCGCTGGGTTGAAGGGGGAGTGGGGGGTTTGAGGCCAGAGTGAGACTTCTGCCCACGAAGACTACCGGGCTTTGGCTGAAGGAAGGACATTGAAGAAGGGGGTGGCGTGTTTGAAAGAGCTTCCTTGTATGTCTGGGCACGTACGGGTAGTATAGGTTGGAGCGGGGGGGAGGGAGAAAGCTTCAGTCGTTGGAATTGGCGCACGGAGGAGGGAGGTGGGTTGATAGGAGATTTAGCACGACTGCCTTTCGCTCTTGAAGGCGGTCTTGTAGTAACGGGTGGACGAGCAGGCATACTTTTGCTACGATTGACGAGGCGTTGAGTTTGTTGTGAAGTGAGAAGCCTACTAGGGCTCAGATCCACATCGTCGTCAATAACAAGGCCCATTTCAAAGTCATCTTCGGGGTCGGGACTTGCGACCTTGATGCGTTGATCAATAATCTGTGTCTTCTTCTTCAACTCTAGGATCTTTTTGAGGTGTTTGCCACCTTGTCCTGACTCGAATAAACCGGACGGGATGACCAAGCCTTCCAGGTCACCCTCGTCCTCATCACCTTCACTTTCTTCTGTTTCGGGGAGAGATGATATGGAAGAGGCAGAGTTAGACGATGGAGATGCGTCGGCAAAACCGAGTGTAGAGTAGGCGTCTGATGACTGAGACGACGAAGTTTGATCTTTGTCGCCCCATTCTAGGGAATTCTTTGAGGACCTATGGTTAAGAGACAATGGAGCAAGAGAAAGTTGTGTGAGGTCGGTGGGAAGGAGAAAAGCGGACTCGATGTCTTCCTCGATGGGCGTGGGTAAAGGCTTGGCGAAGGTCTTGGGGAGGGCAGCGACTTTGATAGTGGACACACCTTCGTCATCCTCGTCGTCGCCCTCCTCTTCCTGGCTGGCCAATGGGGGGCGGATGATAATCATGTTGGAGGAACTTCGCCTGAATGACTCAGACCTGGCAACCATGCCAGCGACGACAGCCTTTGCCTTTGCCCCTCCCGTCTTTCCCAGATCCATCTCTGCATCCCAGTCCATATCGTCGTCGTCGTCCTCTTTGTCTGATTCTGCGGTGAGGGGGTTGAGCGGTTCGCCATCAGGGATGTCGAAGTCGGCGTCTGGCCATTCTTCGCGAGTGAGGACCAGCGTCGGCGCAGGAATAGTGTTCATGGTGGGGGGTACAATATAGAAAAGGCGAATATACTAAGCCCCACGAATGGGGGCGGAGCTGTAAGACTTGCGGTCGTGTAGGATTGAGTTATAGAGAGCGTAGGGTTGTGTGTGGGTTACTGGAGATAGCGACTATCTCGATCCACACAAATTATAGTGGCAGAGAAAAAAAAGAGAAAAAAGAGAGAAAGAGAGATATGTCGAGGAATAAAACAGAAATGAATTGAATGGCCTGTGTTATTGCCGCTTTTCAGGGAAAAAAAGACAGTCGATGCCTCGTGTTGGTATTTTGCAGGCGACGACGATGGGCGGAAGGGAGCGTATTGTGACTGTGACCGTCACACAGGTCTCGGCTTTACTCAACAATGGACAGCGCTCGGATACAATGTAAACCCATTACACCAATACTAGCTAGCATTGTCAATTTCCTTCAATGAACATTTAATAGTTACAACTAGTATGGCATCAGTCGCCTTCTCTCCCGAGCTTCTTCTTCAATTTCATCGGCATCGGCGGCGTCACTATCATCCTCCTCTCTCCCCCTACTCATCACTTCTTGGCCTTCTAAAAATTCGTCGAGGCCCACTCTCATCCTTACCCCCCTCTCTGCCATTGTATCACCAAAGCCATTAAGCTCATGAGGAGCGAACACAGAACGCAACGGTCCAAACGCAAGTAGATATAGCTCTATCATCATATGCTATTTAGCTTGTTTCAATAAATCATACTAGTCCATCACACTAACCTTTCGATAGTGGGCATTCCCCAATTGCCCTATACAGCATACTCTTCGCTCTCTGCAGTTGACCTGCTCGGATCTCCAGCTCTAAAATGATACGCCAGATGACAGGACTAGCTCTGGTCCTGAGCGAAAGTTTAGCTATGTACGCTCATTTCACCAAGGCAAGACATACCTTTCACTCTCAGCAGCAGCAGCCAATCCACTCCTAGTCCTCTCAATCTCGCCCTCCCACCGCCCCTTTTCCCACCCCGCAATCCACACCTCCGCAGCTCTCCTCGCAACACCTTTCTCACACATACCCCCATCAACTGTATTTTGCCCAAGCAGACTCCTGACTCGACCCCACACACCCTGACCTTTCTCCATTTCCAAGAACATACCCAACATGATCGTATTGTTAGGAAAGGCCTCGACCGCAATCTGGAGCCGCTCTCTTAACAAAGATGGTGGACATGGTCTCCGTAGGATTACAGTGTGGTTGTAAATCATAGTCAGTGAGGCCGTCATTAGGCTTTCACGGATCTTATCCTCCTCCCCGGCACTGCCAGACGCTCCATAAGGGTACGAATCGAATATCGCGAGTGCAGCTGCAGGCGATGATGTTAATACTTCAATCGTGGCTCTGAGTTTGACCCAAGCTTCTTGGTCTTCCCACCGGCTGAAATTTGCCTTTGCTGCGTCATCGAGGTTGCGCTTCGCCCGCAGGATTGTTACATGATTAGAGCCTTGCAGACCAATCGATCGTGAGATTATTTGCAGTGCAGCGTTCTCATCTCCGTCAACCCATTCCATCTCAGTCCAATCCCACCAAAGTTGGCCAACAAAAGCATTGGTTTGATTAAGAGGGGAGGCAGTAAGCACTGTCTGATAAACCTTTCGCGCATCATTGATACGCCCACGTAACCGTTCTAGACGTGCATGGGCGGCCCAGTGAGGGAGCGAGTCTCTGGCAGTTGATAAAAATGAGCGCGAAAGCTTCGTAGCACTAAGACAAACATCAACATAAAAGTTAACAAGTGAGCATAGTAGAAAAAATACATACTCCTTCGGGTTTAGGGCGGCCTCGAACGCCAACGCATATACATCCCAATCATAATCATCCAGTCCAGACCTCAGTTGCTTGAATATTGCGCGCACAAATTCGCAATCAACATTCTGGATATCATGTGCCATGAACATACGCCAGCGTTCCTTGCCCACCCAGTCGAGAGGTCCAAGTATGCCCAAACGCCACTCTTTGACAGGTCCAAAGGCGCTCGAGTACTCTTTCTCCCGCCCAATCAATACACCAGCATGGGAGTCGGCGATCAGCCACCCCTTCGTTTCGTTGGACGGAAATATCGACGACAGGCTATGCGGTGCCGTTAGATGCGTAAAACACCACCGGTCGTCCCACGAGCCAACGGACAATGAATCAACGAAACCAGGTATATGAAGCCCGAGGAATGAAAGCCATATGAGGCGAAATACATTCAGAGAACGTGCGAAGTTCAACGGAAGTAACAGCGGTCGAATATCGGACAGCAATACAGTGGCATACGGGTCCATTTCGCTTCTTTCGTCGGTCGATCGAGCTGGCAGCCGCATCGTTTTGTCAGAAGTCGATTCTGTTTGATACCATTCCTGGTATGGCTCGGTCATCTGAGAGTCCACTTGCATTGAAGCGCTGTGGTTGGTGGATATCTTGGTGCCTAGGGCATCCTCCGAACGGTCTACCGCCCAAGTAGCCCAACCGTTCGCATCAGGTTCGCCCGCGCGCGGTGTTTCAGATTCCCAAAATTCTTCAAGAGCATCAACTCTAGCTTGAAATGACTGCCCTAAAAGTGATTTTGGCGCCTGAAAAGTCCTGGTGGTTCGTAGTCAGTACCTGTATGACAACTTTTTTTGGAACATGTGTTACAATTCAGCTTGAGCTTGGAAAAGTGCAGTTGCACGTTCATGGAATCCTATAGGCAACGATCAATCGTTAGACATAATGTAAATATCTATTTGATTGTTCGTACCTGCTTGTTCAAAAGCCACAGCAACTCGCCATAACAACCTTAACTTTGAAATCTCATCCTCTTCGCGGTCACCAAAAGCCTTGTAAGCACGCGTTGCGTCTTCTACAACATCATCGATTCCTCCAAGTGCTTTACGAATCTTCCATCCTAGCCACTCCATCCAAACCTCTATCCCACCTATTTTCAAGGCGCTCTCCCACTCAGCCTTTAGTTTGCTTTCGTGCCACACTTCCTCACCAGCTTTTAGATACTTGAGACGCAAGACTTTGGAAGAAGCGTTGTGTGGGTGAGCAGATAAGGCGCGGGATAGGATAGAAAGTGTTATCTCAGAGCGAGCTTTGGTTGCATTTTTTGATGTCACTGGAATGGCTGATAGTGAATGCGCGAGTAAAGAGAGCCAAGTGTTCGTAAAAGATGAGTCGGAAGAAAGCTGACCCTCCAGGTCTTTCAGTCGTAGCTCATGTGAACTAAACTGAGGACCCGAATCGTCGTCTGAGCTGTCATAGGCTTCTGACTCGGAAGCAGATGACTGAGAGTCCGAGTCTCCGTCCTTCGCGGCAGCGATAGATCGGTAAGCTTGATCACTTTGTCGACCACGACCGGAGGGTAGACGCAAGAAGCCGTCAATTTCCTCGTATTTGCGAGCGTTGGCCGTAGCATATAGCCTTCGCTTTGGAGGAGCTGCCAAAAGGGCTCTGGAGCTCGAATCCGTCAGAGTAGGGAGCTATAAACCATTGTTGTGAGCTGCGAGTGAAGATTCGCGAAAAGTGTACTCACTCTTCTTCTGTTCCCAACAGTGATTTCTACACCCTTACCACTTCTATGAACCACGGTCCATGCATTATCGAGTCCGAGAATCTTTCTACCGCCTTCGACATCATTAGTTGTACGAGACAAAATGGTGATGGTAGCTCACGGTTTACCAAGTGATACTTTGGAATATCTCCTGCATGCAAGCCACCGTATTGTACGTTGAGAGCATCTCCCTTGCGATCCGAAAAGTATAGAGGAAGTGAACTTGACTGGCCTTCGTCATCTCTCTGTCTTCTGTCCTCCTCTGCTTTGTAGCGCTCGTCTTCTTGCACACGTTCGCTGGTCCAACCACTGTCTTTCTGTTTAGTACCAACCTCGACTCGGTTGTGCTTATGTTTTTCACGTTTTCGCCTTTCCCTCTCCCTCTCGCTTCTGTCCTTCTTACTTTTCTCCCTCTGCTTTGGGCCCTCCCTAGAATGTGAAGAGCTCGCACTGGGCCCAGACTCTAGATCCGGGAATGACGAGAATGCAGGTGGAAACGACGAGAATGAGGGTGCAGACATAGTAATGATCGCAGTGAAACCCGTTGGAGAAAGCTGTTCAGATGATGGTATGGTGTGAAATAGAACAGTGCCGTCGGCCACGACGACGCTCTCGCCCTGCCCAGAATAATATTCGAGTCCCTATGGACCTTTTACACTCCTTTTACGCCCGTTTGTGTCTCAGCAACGGTTGACGGCAACGGCGCTGTGAGTGTCCAGAGCTGGTCTCAGATTCGATATGAGATGGTCGCGGTAAATGCCGTTTAGAAGCCATACCCGAACATTTTAGACTCTCCAGTCTTCCTGTCCTTTCCTTAGACCTTTGTCTCCTTATCTCATCTCACACAAAAAAACACAATATGCGTCCTCTAACCGAAGAAGAAAGCAAAGCAGTCTTCACAAAACTCGCCAATTATATTGTGCGTGCTTTGGTCTTTGCTTTTCTTCACGCACTCATCCAGCGTTCTCCTGCGCGCAGGGAAAGAATTTGATTCATCTCATAGACCGCTCAGATGAACCCTATTGCTTCAGGCTACAAAAAGACAGGGTGTACTATGTCTCTGAATCGTCAATGCGCCTCAGCATATCTGTCGCTCGTCCAAATCTCGTCAGCTTGGGAACGTGTTTTGGGAAATTCAGCAAATCTGGCAAATTCAAATTGCATATAACTGCTCTCGATTACATCGCACAATATGCAAAGTACAAGGTAAGCCAGCGGTCGACTGATCTCACATACGACATATTTTTCACCCACGTTTTGCAGGTCTGGATAAAACCTAACGGTGAAATGCCTTTCCTATATGGCAACCATGTTGTGAAAGCACACCTTGGTAGAATAACGGAAGACACTCCTGAGCACCAGGGTGTCATCGTGTTCAACATGAACGATGTTCCATTGGTATGTTCACTACAAAGTTTTCGCTCGATCATGAACTGACCCGTCGGTCACGTAGGGTTTTGGCGTAACAGCGCGATCAACAGTCGACACGCGGAAACTAGATCCAACGTCCATCATAGTATTCCACCAAGCGTTCGTTCATTCTCATTTATCTGATTTTAGTATCGGCTCTCATCACAATATTTTTATACAGCGACGTCGGAGAATATCTACGAGACGAGGTAAGCCATTTATGATGTGTAGTATGAAAAACATCCACTAAGCAATTTCTAGGAAACGCTCTTCTGATTGGCGTCTCATCTCATTCCCTTCTTTTCTTTGTTTTGCTCTCGTCACTGGTCACTGGGAAGTTTACATGGACCCATTCGTAGTATATAGCTATCAACGGTTTTGAAGTGCTCGACCGTGCTGTAGATCATGTATGTGTGCAAACACGTACCTACCTCGTCTTTCATAGAGTTGCCGATAAAAGTATTGTATCACAGTACAACCAATTCAAATTTCACTCTTTTGCATTTGCATCACAAGATACGGCATGTTGCTGTTTTATTCTAAGGATTATACAGGTTCAGACCTGCGCCTTCGTATCATCATGTTTCGATGCGTAGACAAATGATTGTGCAGCATTTAAGATGATGATACAGGACAATGATTCATGATTCTCGACCGTGACCGCAGCTCGATACGTGATGATGAGCTTCAAGTTAAGGCATGGCATGAGTTGCAAACATCGCGTACACAGCAAGAACAATACAGCATCGGTAGCCAGCACCTTATAGTTTCCACGTGTACTGATGTCGGATCTATCAGCAAGCAGGACGACTCAGAAATACGGTTTTCAAGTTGTGGTTATCGAAGATTCAGCGCTGGCAGGTCCCCTATGGTGAGTTGGTAGAGGATCAATCTTGAGTAACGTCATGAGGGTCTGTGCAGATATCGACGATGCATCCGGTATGAAATCAGGGCTACAAAGCTACAAAGGCATGACTATCGATCAGGAGAGTACATATCTTAGGAGTGATCATGAAACCGGATCCAACCTCTGACTCTGAGTGGCTTTCCACCATGGAAAGCATTTTGTGATAGTCGCATTGACGAGCTTATACTTGAATGAAAAGGCACACACGAGGATCGCTGTAATGGATTAAATGTGTGAACGACACGGTGTCGGTTCAAAAGACACGCAGGCCGACGTGTGGCCGTTTTCTTCCTCCGCAATTTACACGTGGTCGATACCTTTCACGTTCCACGAATATCATGTCCTCCTCTGACGACCCATACACCCACTGGACAGCGCTCTCAGACGACGAGCTCACCGTCGACAATGTCGAGGAGATCCTCAGAGCCCTGGAGGACGACTTGTGGGTGGCAGCTGCGTGCGTGGACAGGTTGGTAGACGACGTAGCAGTGCAACGCTCCCTTCTGCAGCTTGGTGTCGAACGGACGGAGAGCGTGGTGGAAAGCGGAAATAAATCACTGACTTTCTCTAAAATCTTGGTGGAGGAAGCTTTGAATGCATCAGATGATGGGCAGGCTGATGCAGACTCTAGCGTCGACGCCGAGGTCAAGACACGCAGGGACGCTCTCGCCTCGCATTTCCGTGACGCGCCTGTCGATGCTCAGCTATGTCAGATGCGTGGCATACTACTGGATCGTCTCGACAGGCTCAATACCTTTGTCGAACTTTGCAAGGAACTTCCTGTAGCGACAAACGAAGATGAACTTGACGATGAATGGGAGGACGATCCTTGGGCAGACGGAACACCTGACACGTCTTCCACAAAGCCCCCACGAGGCTCACCCGTCGATTCGCCAGTTCCACTATCTATATTTCTTGTGGACGACTTGCTGGACATCAGTCGTATATTCGCCGCGCATGAATATTATCCCGCTCTTCATATTCTGCTATCTCGCCATACTTCATCCTTATGGGCATACCGCTTCACCATCCTTGACCGTATACCTGACCATGCACACCCGTCCGAATACAGAGATCTCCTTCCTGGCTGTGATGCCTCCACTGACATGGAAGCCCAGTTCACAGGTCAGAATTGGAGACAGGAGACTGACTGGGCCGAAAGCGTGGACGTGAAGGCAGCTCTTCTCACCTCTGATGCACTCATGGACTTGGGACTCTCTTCGTCTGACCCACAAACACACACAGAGGCTTCTTCAGAGCTATTGACAAGCACAGAAGTAATAACGTGGTATAAACAGCGCGTCGACCGTGTCATATCCTCAACAGGCATGGTCGACATCGCTCTCGCACTCATACAACATGGCGCATCACAGGGTGTACCCGACCTCGATGAACTGGGAGAAGAACTCAGTCTTTTAGCACGACTCGTATACGACGTTCCTCATTCAAGCGACGCAGCAGAAGAAGATGACTGGACACTTGCTCGCTGGCATTCTATGGATCCTGCAAGCATAGTCAAAGCTTACCTATCTCACTCAACGCCAGATACCATAGCCAAGGACATCTCTAGGCTTGTCATGCCCTATCTCTTTGTACTCGAGTCGCGTGCAGAACGAGCAGGACAGCCCGACCCTGATCTCCCCAATCGTCTTCTCTACGATTACATCCTCACCGCCCCTCTCTCCATCTCCGCAGCCATATTCGAAGCATCCAAACCCACTCTCCTACCCGCCCAACGTCTCGTCCGTGACGATGAAGTCCTCGCCAAACTCGCGCTTGCATGTTTGTATGGCAGCAACAGCAAGACCGAATGGTCAACCATGAGCCGCATATTCGAATGTTTACCCGCTTGGGATATAAATCGCGACGACGAAGACCAAGCAGACGAGGCAGATTCTACACTGGTATCCCTCGGCGCATTCGTCGTACCATCTACCGCGCGCCCACACTGCACCGCACCCGACCTACTCCTCTTCTTCAACCCTCTCCCCCTTGCTTCACTCTCCCGCGCTCTGGACATCCTCGACGTACATCTCGAATCAGGCGAGATATTTGCACGCTGGAACGTCGCCGCCCCTTTGCAGTGGTTCCTACGAAGCAGCCATGACGCCGCCGAGCAGCGTGCTTGGGCAAACAGGATGGCACGGCGGGCCGGTGGACCTGGGGAAGAATTAACGCGACGTGAAGACTGGGAATGGTTATTGGATGACATGCTCAAGCTCTGTAGCATAAGCGAGACCGGTTTGAAGAGCGCCTTTGGCCTTCTATCTAACGACGAGGTCATTCGAATATTCTTTGCAGGCCTTCTGAGCTCGGGTAGTAAGTCTCGGTTTACAATCTCATCACCCAATGCGATTTTCTCATCCATTTTTCTCGATAATCAGGATTCAATATCGCCAAAGACATGCTTCGGTCAGCGAACCAAAAGCTGTCGCTTAGCTCCGACGCGGTCGAAGATATCTGTCTAGCCGCATCGAGGGAGTTTTATGACAACGCGAGTTCTGGTAACTACAAATTTGGGGATATGAAACTAGCATATGAATGGCAAGTCCCCCTTTTCTCTCTTCCTTCTCCCGACAGACGATAATGACAGTGAGACCAGTCTGGACGTCCCCCCACCTTCGGATAAACTCTCAAGCGAGAAAGAATTCATCGAAGCCACCTCGCGTCTGTCTTCCTTCAATATCATATCCCGTCCCGGCATCCCCATCTCCCCTATCGAAATCCGCCTAACCAAAGACCGCCTCTCCCTCATCTCCCGCGTCCTCTCCAGCAACGCAGACGCCTACAAACACACCCAAGTCATCCTCGACCTCCTCTACAAGCTCGGATTCCGAAACAACGTCGCCGCCGAGGCCAAGACCCTCGCCATGCTCGCCGACACCGCTCTGCAAGCCGAGGACTTTGCGAGGGCGTACGAGGCGAGCGAGCGCATGATCCACACCGTTCTGCACCTGCGCTCCGCGGCGCCTTTGGGCGTTGAAGAACCCATGGTGCAGGAAGCGAGCAACGTGTGTTGGGTGGCGTGCTTTCAGCTGGGCCGTCAGCCTGAATTCCCGGATGTGCGGAAGAAGCTCTTGCTTCTGGGACGCGCCCTCGAACTATGTCCGGCGGATAAACTGCATGATGTGCTGAACGCTTGGCGCCGCCTCGAGAAAGAAGATCTGGAAAGGCGGCGAGAAGAACTGGCAGGTTATGCGACGAAGGCGCCTCGCAAACGGGTGTCGTCTCCTGATAAGCAGCTGTCTTCGCTGGGCATGCGTCTGCATGATTTGCATATGCCCTCATCGCCATTGGTAAACGCAGAAGACGCTGCTGCACTGGCAAGTCGGACATTCAATCGCATGGCATCAAATTTCCCATTCTCTGTTGGCGCGAGAAGTCGTTCTACGTTTTCTAGAGAAGATGAATCGGGGGGAAGGGGAGAAGGCGGTGTTGGATTCGATGGGGATGTCGTCTCGGCGCAGGCAAGCCGGGTGCTGCAGAAGGGTATCGGATGGCTACTCGGGGCAGACGACGACAGTTGACCGGACTCTTTCATGACTTTTTACGAGACACCCTTATTTGTAGTGCAGCTATATGTCTTGCAATCCTACTTTGCATCAAGTAGAATATGTGTTTGGAAAAAAGTATATATGCACAGGACAGGGAGTATAAAACTTTCAATAACAAAACGAGAGTAAACATGAACGAGAGTGTGTCACAACTGCGAAATAGACGTGCGATAGGACTAAATGGTAACAACAACGAAAAAAGGAAAAGACATTAGAAATATGGTAGTGTGGACGCGAAGGACAGGTAGTAATGCAAGAAATACATTGACAACAAAGATTATATGCAAATATAAGATGATAGGATAACGCACGCATACAAGACACTTTAAAAAAAACCAAGATATAATGAGTGGCGGGGGCGGTGACGTTTATTCTTCAATCCATCCAACCAAGGCGAAAGATCGAGAGCGTAGTTTTTTTGTTGTTGTGTTGGGATAATTTTGTGGTGTTAATACCCACTTCCAAACCGGGCTGCATCCCCAGTACGTGCTCTGGGTCGGTTAACGACCCCTCCTCCTTTCCTAGCTTCCAATTCCTTGCCAAACTCGCGAGCACCACGGTCGTCGTGGTCACCATGCATCGATCCCCTCCCACAGACCTCGCAGTAATCCCTATCTCTTCCCTCCGTCCCGCGCAGATCCTCCACTTCGGCCTTCAAATCCCGCACTTGCCCCTCAAGTTCCCAGATCTGTCGTTGCCAAGCTTTCTTCGCGGAGATGATCTGATCTTGCAAAGCTTGGATCACCACAGACTGATTTCCTGGCGCAACACTGACAGAAGGCCTTCCATCACTACGCAACGCAGAACCAGGCGTCATTGGTGACATTGCAGTACCGAGAGAACTGGGGGATTCAGACTCCATATCTGTAGGAGACTCGGACTCTGCTTGTGGGCCGACGACGATATCAGTAAAGTGTGCACTGAAGGTTGTAGAAACGGGGCGGAGTTTTAGAGCTTGGAAATCGGTAGTGCCAGGCGGTGCACTTTGCGGGGATTGAGGTGCAGGGGTGAAAATCGCACTTGCGATGGGCGTTATGCGTGACTGAGGAGGCGGCTGAGCAGATGAAAGGGAGCGTGCACCCGTACCTCCTGTAACGATGGACAGTGGAGGAGGGGTGTGTTTCCGCTGCGGGCTCGTGTTTTGCTTGACAATCGGTTGACTGACCTCGAGCACATCCTGAGAAGCGAGTACATCTTGCAGTGACTTCCCACCGTTAGAATCCTGCAAAAGAGAGGGTGACAACGAAGGCACTGGTACGCGAGACGGCGGCAGTTTTGGCGTTGTCGGTACGTGCTGGTACGACACGTTGGTTTCCGAGTAGACATCCGAAAGAGCAGGTACGGGTGGAGGCGTCGTCTTGTCCTTTTCGCGCTCCCGTCCGTTGAATATTCTCATAAACCCACTTTTCTTATGTTTCAACGCACGTGGTCCCCCCTGGCCAGAGGTAGCTTCTACCTGGGGAGCCCCCACCATAGAGTGCAATGCATTCCTAGCGCGCGCTCCTGCGCTAATAGATCGACCTCTCACCCTGCCCCCCGGTGGACTTTGACTTGCTCCGCTGCTATTCGATTCATGAGAAATCGAGTTCTCTTGAGATTCGGGGAAACCAAGGCGGGTCAACGTCGTGTTTGAAGAGGCGGCATCATTGGCCGTAGCGCTTCGAGAGCGTTCTCTGGCCAACGCCTGAGCTTCTTGCAGGGAAATAAGGGTGACTGTAGGGGATGTAGGATGGTCAATCCACCTCTGGAAGCCATTAGGGCCCCCAGGAGCCAATAGTTTTGTTTCGCGATCCTGGTTGATACGCAGCGAATTCAAATCGTGCGTGCGAAGTGTATGATTGTTCACCGAAACGGGAGCAGATATCTCTTTCCCCTGTATTCGGTTGCTGCTAGGTAGAGCTGGCTCGCGAGCCTTTGACGCTAGGGATGCGGCAGATGTGTCCGGAGTGATGGTTGATACCGCTCCAGACCGAGAGCTCATCGTGTCCGTTACTGTCACGTTTGATTCGCTACGGGGCATATGGCTAAATACGGACCGACTCGGGGAACAGGGAAAGCGCTCTGGGACGTATGACACCACCAAGTCTGGATTAGCGTAGGGATGAACAAAGTCGTCGTTGGATGGTCTTTTGTGGGAGGAGTGTGGGGACGAGGGGGTCCTAGTGCGGGCGTAGGGTCTAGGTATGTCGGAAGACGGAGAGGAATTGATAGGCTGAGAGGACGGAGAAGATTGTGTGTAGTTTGTAAAAGAATGAGGGGCGGCTAAAAAATGATGTGAATCAGCCTGAGCTCTAAGGAAAGGATTGTGTGATAGTTGGAATTGACCTGTACGAGGTAAGGAGAAATTCTGACGAGCGATAGAAGGACCGATGGAGGACGAGGGGGAGGGAGTGAGGGATGAGGTAGAGAGGGACTCGTGCGCAAGGGTACTAAAAATAAGAGAAAATAGAGTTTGTTAGAGAAAAAGAAAGAAAGCAAGTATCGGCCAATGGGTTTGACTGAGAAGAAATAAAGACTGACTATAAGGCGCCCCTTGAGCTAGAGTAGTTACCCGCGGATATTTCGAAGGAGTTCTTCTGCTTTGGGTGTGAACGAGCGGACTCGCCGCTGGGTCTGGCGGTAGAAGTAGCGCGGCCAAAGGCCCTGATGATGACCTCGCCCCTTGAGCTTTTTGTCCTATTTTTCCTAGCAAATAAGGCAGACTTGCTGCTACGGTCAGATTCGTTCCCTTCTTCACGAGTGTCCTCGCCAGTCTCCCAAGGAGCGCGGGAATGGAATCTCATCTTTGGGCCGAGCAAGCTCATTCTGTGCTCCGAGTCTGGATCGCTGTCGTTTGGGCTGTGGGTGTCGCCCTGACCGCAGGTATTGGAAGAGGCAGCGGGGTACGGATCGTCGTCGAGGTCCAAGGTGCTAGCGGTGGGGTCATTGAGACGATCACGATGCGAGTAGGGGGAGTGAGGCTCTGAGATGGAGGGAGGGGGTGGGTCGAGAGGAAAGGAGGGAGACGCGTCGCCGTCGCCGTCGTCGTCGTCGTCTGGTCTGTGGTGGGGGCGGGGGGTGAAGTAGGGGTGACTGTAGACAGAGGGGGAGTCTGGGAACTGTGAGAGGGAGGGGAAGCGCGGGTGGTGTTGGAGAGGTGGGTTGCGGTGATGGAGGAGGGAGTTGTCGTCATTAGCGTCCATGGGAGAAGGGAAGGACGAGGTCATGAGGGAGGGGAAGGGGAATGGCTGGATTGGCTGAGCGAGACAGAGCAAGCCAGTCTTCGAGGCACAAATAACCCATAACTAAATAATTTATATTTTAATTTAATATATCCCATCACTTCCTTATTCGGGACAGATCAGATCTCCCATGATCAGGGTCTCTCCCTGTCCCATGCAACTGACACCACTGCACTCCATCTTTACACCCCCCATCTATGGGTAAAAATCAGTGGCTGGTTCTCCAACTGCACAGCTCTTTTCTCACACAACCCATCACTCCTCGTCCTCAATGCAAGGCTAAACCATGACTCCCTGTGAGAAATCATCAACCAGCCTTGATGAGTATCGCTCATGCTGTACGTACTTTCTTTTCTCGGTACATTTCACAAAACATGCAAAATCGTATGTCATTTGCGCTTCTTCTGTCTTCGATCGAACCCAACTCGCTACCGACTCCGGCACTCTGTCGGCCGCGGCCTGTCAATTTACTTCCTCTCCGGCCCTTCCCGGCCCTTTCCCCTCCCCATTCGGAACCGCTCTCCCATTCCAGTCACTGCGTCCGTACAGCGTCCTTCTTTTCGAACAATGTCTGCAGCACCACAGCAGATAAGCACAGATACGGAGGCACCCATCCCCATCACCGCTTCCTCCAATGGCAAACTATCAGGAAAACCTTGGAAGGCACTAAAAACAGCAACCGTGTACGCACCTCGTCCTTCCTTGTTTTCTTCTTCTTTTTTCAAACAAGCTCACCGCCATGCAGTCGCTCCCAATGCTCCATCGGTCACAAGGCAAAGAGCTGGCAGGACAGAATGGAGAAGACAAAGAAAGAACACGCTATCAAGAAGCTCGAGACAGAGCTGAAAGACGAGAAAAAAGCCGACATTAAACGGTGCGTCTCCTTCATCCTCACCCATCCCACCTTTCCCAGCAGCTCCTCTTCCCTTTTCACAGGAGACGAGACATCACCCTCGCACGAAGGAACGCCGCAGAGGAGCGTCTTAGACTCGAAGAAGAAAAGGCAAAGGTTAGGGGTCATTCTCCACCTTCGATCTTATCCTGATGTCCTTTTTTCAGATGGGTGCAAGAAAAGCCGCCAGGCTGAGACGGAGAGCCGGAAGGACAAAGAAGATAAACGGTTGATACACTCCCTCTCTCGCATCACCGCCGACCATGCCTCTTTCCCATAACGCGTATCTTATTGTCAAACTCATGTAAAACACAAATCATATAAAAAAGGGTATTACCAAATATCTTTATTAAAGTGCCCACGTCGTATCCTCCTCCCCAACCTTGATAAACGGCTTGTCCAACCCAGCCACAACACTCTCACAAAGCGGACACTTGCTCGCAAGCACGTCGTCAAGCTCTCCTCTCAGCTTCTCCATCTTCTTCTCCACATCCTTATCCATCTGACTCCCCTTGCCTCCAAGTCCCATAGATGGTATCCACCCGGGCGCCGTAACCACGGAAGCTAATGCGTCCGGCACGATCATATCTCTCAATCGGTCTCCCGCAGATAACAAGTTTCGTCCAAAAGAGCCGGCCGCCTTCGTACCATTCTGTAGTGGGCTCGTCAGATTCGTAAAGTTCGAAGAGAGCAGCGTTCGCTGTTGCGCAGTCTGCCGTGCGTGTCCGTTGGCACCAGCGAGCGAAGGGTTTGATATGCTCGATCGGTCAACAGGCCCCTGCGTCCCCTTCACCAACTCCGTTTGCAACGTGAGAATCCGTCTTAGAGCATGCGCCGGTAGATAATCCTTAGCCTAAAAAAGTGAACCATCAATATATGCGCCACTAGGCCTCTGATCAATGTGAAAAAAAAAAAAAAAAAAAAAAAAAAAAGTCGCACCAAGCTAATGAGACAATCGGCGTGGAAGGTGTGTTGACAAGGAAACACGTAAAACTGTCTCGTAAGTAGAAGTTGCGAGCAGACAGAGCATCGTTCGCCAGCGTCGATGGTCACGAAACGGTTCTTCAGCGCAGCTATATCTTGCTTGATCGACTCCGCCGTGCGTGTAGCTTCATCCATCTCGCTCTTCAATCCATCGATATGCGCCGAGTACCCTTCCAGAGCATGAGCAATCTCCTCCTTGAAATCATCAATAACGACGAAATCTGGGAAAAACGGTAGGATGTCTTCGATTTTCAGAATATCAGTGTCCTCCAAAAACTGCATAGCACTATATATGCACACGTGAATCAGCAACGATGACTCAAGCGTGACAGCCAGACCACTTACGACTTGATGTCCTTCTTGTCTTGCACGACATATCGTGCGATCTTCAACCAAAGTTTTTTCTTCAACGGCGCATCATCCTCCGGCATATCTGCATTGATCTTCGCAAGTTCGAGATCGCCCTTTTCCAACGCTAAATCCACGCTGTTCTCCCAAAGGCCCATCTTCGAATAGATATGCACACATGGCTGCGTCCGCCCCGTCTGCTTGCAAAGCCGCAGCGCGTAGTCAAGGTCGTAATACGGTTTTTGAGTCAGCGGATCCGCAGGAGCGGTGGAGAGGAAGCGCAAGAGGGGACCGTCGTCTCCCGGCGCACGCGAGTGCAAGGTATGGAAGGTGACGAGAAGGTTGTGGACGACGTGCGAGGTGTTGAGCTGTTCGAAGACCACGTGGTTGAGGTATCGCACGGCGTGGTTGGGCGTAAGAGGATCCCGGTGGAGATGTTGGAGCTGCAACAAGGATGGCACGAGGCGCAGGGGATCTAGAAGTGGTTGGCGAAGCCATGAATCCACCGTTTCCTTGGGCGCTTGATGTATGAGTACGGGACCGAAGCGATAGTACAGTTCGAGGTCAGACTGTCACACGAGTTATAGACGCAGTTGAAGCAAAGTGAAATTAAAGAGACACTTACCTGACGGTTAATCGCATCAATAGCTTTCATCCACTCTTCCTCCAGAATCCAATGTTCGATTACACGTCCATAATCACCCACTACACCAGCATAGAAGAGGTACATATCGGTTCGACCATGCCCCTGAATCAACTCATAGACAGTATTTGGCTCTAGATTGCCCTTTAAACCAAAGTTAAGCTGATTTCAGGCCCAGACACAATTCGATACACACCTTGTAAGTCTCGAAGAAATGGCGTAAATCCTCTTCCAGGACCATCCGCTCAGCCCGCAGATTTTCGACATCGTCTGAAGCTGATTCAGATGCTATGATATCGTCGAGCTCATTGCATTTGCTCAAGTAGAACTCGACCAGCCAGGTAGCCAGCATCATGCGTTGCGTGAGGTCCTGCAAATCATGTCAGCTTGTATGGACTTCAAATCTTTGTTAGCCACATACATTCTTACGCGTCCTCTCCAGTCTCGAGATCAGGTATGACCGCAATGCATCCCGCTCACCCACGTCCAAAAACTTGAGAGCAACTTCCTCAAACGATACCGAACACTGAGCGAAACACTGTGCAGCTTGGAAATAGCGTTTTTCATCGAAGAAGGATTGAGCTTGTGCAGAGAGGACATGATTTCGTTGACCGGCTGTCTAATCAGACGGAAACACATTAGTCTAGCGAGAAGGATAAGGCGAGATCAAATCACCTTGGCATACTTCAAGGCAGCATCGAATTTGCCCTGAGCAAGGTAATTTTTCCAGACGTCGCGACTCTCATTATCGACCACCAATTCGAAAATTGACTGGTCGGTATACACCCAATACGTTTTCCTCACAGGGTCAGCAGTTAGCCCCCGTACAACCTCGTTCGGTTTCTTGGAGTAGTCATTAATAAGCACGTAAGACAAGAGAACATCTACTTATGTAATTAACTCACCAGAGGCAATACATCCTCGTAGGATTGTTTTTCGTCAAGGTTGCAAATGCCTATTATTTTATTCTTGTATAAGAGAATGAAATGGAATTCTGTCAGTGCCATCGAGAGAGGAGCATCAGCACCAAATACGGCTCCGCTTGGTGATATGGATGGAGAAGATAATGAGGGATAAGGAAGTAATTGGGCAGAGTCAATATGGTCATCAGCGTTTGGATCAAAGTTAAGCTTTCCATGGTAGATACCAGGTCCTAGACACACGCAACTCAGTGATGTGATTTAGGGTACAATAAACTATCCTACCTGTCATCCACGCCAAACATTTTGGTAGTGAGAGAGCCTGGTCAGAATTCTGTGTATAGAAGTGAAGCTCCGAGTGTTGCAAATTTCCAGGAAGTTCAGAGATCTCTTTGGAATATTAAAACATGGCAAGAATCAATGTGGGAATACTAACTAGGAGCCATATCACGATATTGTGCAAACAAAGCCGAGAACACGCGTCCACCTTCGTCAGACCGTCGATCGGGAGTACCCACGAACTGATATATTCGAGAAGGTGTGGTCACGATGATAAGTGCATTCGAGGCGTCAGAAGGAGGGAAGAAGTCGAACTTGATACCTGTGATTGGGTGCTTCTCGGGAAGAGTAAAGACCATTTGAAGATAACGCTCTTGGGACTTGAAGAAATCCTCTTCAGCATCAAGTACAGCTTCAAATATGACACCTCCTCGTGTGCCAATCAGAATTTCGCGAGTAGACGTCGAATGAGATGAAGACAGCAGAGCAGTCTTATTCCACGCGACACTCTCTATGACCATCTTGAATGATTTGAGTACTCTTGGCTTTTTCCAGCCACGATATAGATACCAATTCTCCCCAGATATAGATGTCACGATTAAATGTCGACCAGATGGATCCAAGAACATCTTATGGATGGTCATCTCCGTAGGCTTCCGAGGAATTGGTATCTTGACAACTTGCTCGGCATGTGAGAGCTCGATAAGAACGATCGTATTAGAGGATAAGGTCATTGCGAGTATATCTGAAGAGACGGCGAGTGATACCAATGGTGCTGGTAAGGTGTACTGGACTCGACCAAGGTCAAATATAGGCGTGTTAACTGCAGCAGCGACAGGAAATTGACTGCCTCCCTGCAAGACTATCAATTTCTAAAGAGTTCTAAAAACGAGCAAAGCTTACTGCACTGGTTATTCCTTCGAGCTCGGCACGAACTTCGTCACGGTCATGATATGCTGAAGCCTCGAAACCCTCGAATTGTAACTGAGGATGCGGGGCTGACCCATGAAATCCTCCAGCCGGTACCGTAGTATGTTCAACGACTGAAAATTAGAACGTTAGAAATGTCAGAAACATAAACTTTGTTAGCTTGAAGACCAACATTCATCGAACATTGCGTTTGTCGAAAGTCAAGGTCAGGGTACGGCGCCGGATACTGTACGTTCGGTGCTACGCCGTATAATAGGCCGCCCGCTACCGGCAAATGCCGGCCTCTAAATTATACTCGGGATGCTCCCGTCGACTCGGAAGAGCCGAAGTTATCACTCAAGGTCTGCGTCTGATTAACATCTCCTCAATTTTACATTCCTGGTAAATAGACAGTCAACATGTCACGTCCTATGCCCCGTCTATTCTTGATACGCCATGGTGAGCAACAGTCTTGATATGACATATAACACTCGTGTATCACACGGTCCCTTATCATACCCGTTCTGCGTTAGGGGAAACCGAGTGGTCTCTCAACGGGTAAGTTATGTTCTCAGTGACTCTATAACCTCTCGATCTGAACCCGCGGTGATAGTCGCCATGTAGGTGTATTTCCCCCTAAGAAAGCTGATTTCGTACAGAAATATTGCTTGACCGAAATAGACCGGTCGCACCGATATTCCCTTGACACAGCGAGGTGAAGGTCAGATCAAGTCCAAAGCTGAGATCCTAGTTGGCGATGGAAGTAAGTCTCATCGATCATCACCATGACCCAATTCGCTAACTCTATGTTCCAGAAATTATCGACCCAAAGAACCTTAGTATAGCATTCATTTCGCCTCGTCAACGTTCCCACAAGACCTTCCATCTTTTGTTTGAGCATTTGCCTCAAGTTCCGGATCACATACTCTCAGAGGAAGTTCGCGAGTGGGATTATGGCGATTACGAGGGACTCTTGACGCATGAGATCAGGGCTAAGAACCCGGGTTGGGATATCTGGAGGGATGGGTAGGTGACGCTTGGCTTGAGCTAAGGGCATTAGATTAAACCTAATCGACCAAGCTGCCCTGGGGGTGAAAGTGTTGAGGAGATGTGCAATCGGATAGACAACGTGATCCTTAAGGTTTGTTCTGCGAAAGGGCAGAAAGTTTGACCATTGATGTATTCGCATTTCAGGTTCGCGAATACCATAGGCAGTACGTGGAAGAAGGAAAGAACACACGAGACGTTCTTATCATCGCGCATGGACATTTCAACCGTGTCTTTATATCTCGATGGGTTCGGTTTGGGCTCGCGTTAGGTACGATGTCTATAAGACCTGGTAGTATCTGTATTAATGCCTGGTTATGAAGGTACTCACTTTAACGTTGAACCCGGAGGTGTCAGTGCTTTTTGCCGACTTCGTCGTTTGATTTACTCACAATCATGTTAGGTCTCCGTACTCAGTTATAATCACAACTCGCTGGATGAGCCAGCGCTGAACGCACTGAACTTATATGCTGATTTGAAGTAGAGGATTGTTATGACAACCCCTAAACTATCTTTGTCCGTAGCTATGACACGACTTGTGTATTTTGCAAATACTAACAGATGTTTTCGGTATCGATGGCAAGATATGCATGACCTAAAAGAGCGTGGTTCGTGAGATACGTGGATACATAGATAAGATGCTATGTGAACTCGCACCTTTCGAAACTGCCAAAACAGCTTGCACGCGTACGCACGTCAAGAACACAAGTGTACAAGATAAAAACATATACAGATACGGACGCCACGGAGTAACCCGGCCGGCCTCGGGCGGCGCACGACCTATTCAAGTTGGTTTTTTTTTGCTGATTGGCGACCCTTTAGTAGTATTGTCCTTTGCCTCTAATTATTTTCCTTACTCTCGTTTATTGTTCTGTTCAAAAGTCTTGATATTCCGCCATCATCTTTGGTGATAATGGCCGAGATTGAGGCTCATAGCCCTGTTCCTTTACCAGACGACCAAATGACCGTAGAATCCGTTGACACGTCTGCCCAACCCGACGTGCATGCCGAACACGAGGTTTCTGACGTGGTAGAGCCTGAAGCGATCGCACAGGAAGGACCATCCGAGGGCAACGTGCCAGCCGATAATACAGTCCATGATGACGATGCAAAAGACCCAAAGCCTGCAGGAGAACCAAAGATTATCTCACCAAAGCCAGGCGTGACGAGGAAGGTGGCCACGACGAAACCCGCTGCTGGATCTGGCAAGGACAAACCTGCCGTGTCCCTCAAGGCCGCACCTGCTAAATCAAATGGACCGCCCACGCCAACAGTGAAGAAGGTGTGTTGTGTCTTACCGAGTATCTGTTATTAATGGCCTAATCCCATGTGTCCTTAGATTATTAACTCTGGAACGTTTGGGGCTGGTGCTGTGAAGCATACTGCGCCTGGGAGCAAGACTCCTACAACAACTGCCTCCTCTGCTCTTTCAAAGTCAACTTCAACTGCCCTTTCAAAATCTACCTCTACTGCCCCATCAGCTCTCAAGAAATCCGTTAGTTCTTCGTCTGCCAACCCCCCAGTGAAAGCACCTGCTATGTCGAGTTCAAGATCATCAGGTGCTGGCGCACCTCCTTCGCGAAGGTCGTCTGTAATCCCTCCTAGGTCCACCACTGCCCCCGCTCCCAGGTCTAGGGGCTCCCTATTATCTGCCATCACTTCAAGGTCCTCCCAGGCCACCCCACCTGTTGACGCTAAGGAAGGTTCGACGCGCCCTTCTGTCGTCTCTCCTGCCGGCTCTGTCGCGTCTCTCAAATCAAGTGCAGCCCCGCCTTCCAGACCCCGTGCGTCCATCTCGGATGCAGTGAAGAGGATTCCTTCCAGGACAAGTCTGATGGGAAATACCCCTGCTAGCCCAGCACCTGCTAGAACCATCCGTCCCGTCGGTTCCATCTCCTCCATAAGGGAAGTCCGTGAGGATGGAAAGAACCTAGAGGAGCTGCAGAAGAGGGTAAATTATTCACTCTTTTCTAGCACTTACTGTTGATCTGACATTCTCACAGCTGAAAGAGGCTGTGGACGATCTTTCAGCGAAATCCGAGGCAGCTGCAGCTCTCGAGGAACAAGTCGCAGAATTGAAAGCATCCCTCGATACAGCTTTGGCGGATACTGATGCTAAAGGCGCGACAATCAGCGAGTTGGAAGCAGCCAGAGATGCTTCTGTTTCTGAGATAGAGCAACTAAGAGAGTCGCATGTGAAACTGCAAGAAGACCGCGAAAAAGACCTTTTGGTCCTGGAAACGGTTCAAAATGAGGTACATGGAAAGCTACATAGTCGAAGTTATACATTGACTAACAACAGTGACCTTTCAGCTCGAAAATGCTAAAGCCGCATCTTTCGACCAAACCGAGCTTATCGAGACCCTCCAAGACCAGATTGCTGCTCTGGAGACTCAAGTTTCTGCAGCCAAAGATGATCTCGATGTTCTTCGAGCAGCGCATGACAACAACTCGTCGGATGCAGCTGCAGCTGCCCAGATTGAGCGTGAAGCTTTACTCAAAGCCAAAGCCGACCTCGAAGCTATCGGTGCTGAAACAGAAGCATTGAGAGCATCTCACTCTGCCGTGTTGGAAGATTTAGCAGAGAAACTGCGGGATGCCGAAGACAGAGCATCTGGTGCAGAGGCTTTGGAGAGAGAAGTCGCGGGGTTGAAGGCTGAGAAAGATGAGAATGCCAGCAAACTGTCGGAATTGGAGATCGAAATACTAGAGTTGAGGGAGAGTCAAGATCAGGCTGAGGACGAACATTCTGAAACTATTTCGCGCCTTCAGAAGCTGGAGGAAGAATTGGCACAGGCAGCAGCAGCTACACAGCAGGCTCTTGACGACGCTCAAGCGAAGGAGGAGGAACACGCTCTGCAGACTCAAAATCTCCAAAGACTTCACGATGAACAGCTGCAGGCCGCCAAGGATGATCTTGCAGCCATGGCCACCAGTCTGCAAGCGCTGGAGTCACAGTTGACGGAAGCATATGGTGCTCATGAACAAACGAGATGTGATGCCGAAGCTGCTGCAGATGAGCACACTCGCGAAATTGAGGAGGCAGAACAAGCCCAACTTTCCCTACAAATTGAACTCTCTGAAGAAATCAAGAGGATCACTGCCGAGCTTGAGGTATGTACTTATAAGAGATCGACCATTGGCCATATATTCATATCGCGTACAGGGCCAAGAAGCACAATATAATGCTAAAGTTGACGCCGTCAAGGCCGAGCACGATATCCTTCTTCAAGAAGCTTTCGAGCGTGCCAAGGTATGTTATAAATCGAAAACGTGCCGACGTCAGCTAATTTGCCTTGCTCCGCTAGAATGAAGCTGGATCTGCTCACGGTGAAGACCTACAAGGTCTACGCGCTGAATCGCAAGCCACTATCGAACAACTTCGCTCAGCGCATCAGTCCACCATCGAAGGCCTTAAAGCTGAACACGAAGAAGTCATCCAATCAACAGTTGGTGATTTGGATAAACGTCTGAACAGTCAAGCGCTAGACCTCAGAGCCACTCAAGATGATCTGGCGAAGGCGAAGGCGGCATTGGATGCGTCACGTGCGGAAAGTGAAAGTTTGAAGGCCAAGCTTGAGGACGCACGGGCTGCCTTCATATCTGCGTCTGCATCCCCCGACCAGGCTGCTGAAATCGAGCGTTTGAGCCAAGAAATCGCTAATATTCGTGACGAGAATGTTATGCTCAGCGACGTTCTCGCTGTCACGAAAGTGTCTCTCACTGAAATGTCTACGAATCACACGAGAGAGCTGGAGGAGGCAGCAAAGAGTCGCGTGGAGGAGGTTACCAAGTTGCGTGCAGCTCATGAAAGCGAAATCACCGATCTCGCAACGCAGAAATCGGAGATTGCTTTGAAGCTATCCGATCTTGATGGAGAGTTGGCAACACTCAAGGCCTCATTAGCCGCGGAACCTTCAAACCAGAAGAGCAACGGCACGATGCACACGGCATCGCCCCAGTTGACTGTACCGAAAGAGGACCTTCAACGTGCACACGAAGCACATAACATGAAATTGCATGACATGCGGGCTGAATTTGACCGGCTTGCGAAGGCGTTGAGGGAGGAGAATGAGATGAGCCAAGCGACAATCGAAGAGCTAAGGCAAGAAGTCGGTCGTAAGAATATGGAGATTCAATATCTTGAGCAAGAGCAAGAAGAGAGTCAAGACCACATAACCCGGTATGTCAAGGTTTTTGGACTTCAAAGTTTATTTGGTGGAATTATCGCGCTGGGCGTGATTTATGGAGTAATTTAGACATCTTCACGTTCTTTAACACATCATAATTTATTGCCGCATTTTCTTCACTTTTCATAATCTTTCAACGGTTTTGCTAAAAATGATTTATTGACTTATGACGTTGTTCATTTCGGCGTGTCGTGATTCTAGATTAAAGGAGGATATGGAAACACTCGCGGAGCAGCACAAGCCAATGGAGGCAGTATCAACTGCCTAGTCGATTAGCACAACATTTGGACAACCCACCCATGGCGATTTTTGGTGGCCTCGTGTTTTCCGTGCGGATTCCATCCCTCATCGTCGTGTCGACCGATCACTTCTCTTCATATCCGCCTCGGCGCAGCAAACGTTCTACATTATGCCTATTTTTTCTCGTCTCGAACCCTTCAACGTTTGGAGCTATGGCCCAGTGCACGGTGTGGTTCAACCATGATATCCAGGTATTCCAGATTCTCTCTATATTGTTGACATACCCCAGTTCAAGTATCTTGTACATAACCATTTGGAGGTCCTTTTGATTTGTGTGTGGATAGTGGATGGACCTCTGATATAATAAATTCGGTCAATCCGAGGCAGTGTCTTGTATGTTTTGGTGTGCCATCTGAGCTTTTTCACCAGGGATTTGAATTGTAGTCACTCGGTATTGCCAACGCGGATTAAACACATGATTGGGGTGTCAAGCCTGCTAATGCCAGCTGCAGTTACCGCAGCTCATGTGATATATTGTTCTCATCAGCTGCCGTTGTGCATTTGGTGTGTTGGCGGTGTATATTTTAGATATCATCCGTCCCTGGGCGCGTATTTACACAGAAAAATGGCACGAGCGGAACAGCGTCGACAGCTCTTGCGGCCGCGTCCATGTCCGACAGGACCCCGAGTGCAGCATATCGTAAACCGGGTGCTGTAGTTCTATAAAAGGAACCGCATACCGGTGCTGAGCACACAGAGACGTCCGGACGGTGCCTTGGTAATGGGGATAGCGGAGGGGATTTTCGGGGTCTCTGTGTTAGATCGAAGTAATCCCCAAAACTGAATTTTTGGTCGGGACTATTTTACTCGCGTCGTTTCACTCTTTCTCTTTCACCTCTCTTGTTCTCTTTCCCTTCCCTTCCCTTTTACCCCCATACCATTCACGACCACCGTACGATGGCCATCCAAAAAGAACCAGGTCAGAAAGGTATCAACTGGTCCAACATTGCTGTTGGTGAGCCCGTCTACTATGGCGTCTACGTGAATCGTTTTGACCAATGTGCTGGCAGGTGCCATCATGAATATGGTTTGTTGTGGCTCTTTTCAACAATGTCTCGTGCTAATGAGTAGAAAAATATGGTTTTTGATCTGCCATATTATGTGTACAGTTTGTAAGTTCATTTTTCAAATCTCTAACTTTGATATCCTTACTTACTCTTAACTCCGCATGGTAGGAGGCAAGCTTAATGAAGTTACCCCACAAGATGTCCTTCTTTTAACATATTTTCATCAACTAGGTTACCACACTCGGTCAGCCATTAGAAGTCTTGAAGACACAAATGGCAGCCAACCGGTCACAGACAATGCTCCAAGCTACCAAGTCGGTCTGGGCTCGGGGTGGCGTTTCGGGTTTCTACCAAGGTCTTATTCCATGGGCAAGTATACAAAACTGCACAATTTAGCGTGACGTTCGTTTTTCTCATAGGTCTAACAGGCATGGATCGAGGCTTCGACAAAGGGAGGTGTACTGCTATTCACTGCTTCGGAAATCGAAACGGCTGGTGAAAGAGTCGGTATCAGTCCCGCTGTGGCTGGTCTCTTGGGTGGTATGGGTGGCGGTGTTGCACAGGCTTATGCTACTATGGGTGAGTACTATTTCTAGCATGTAATGAATTCATTACTTCAAGCGGAGGGATGATGCATACGATTACCATCGAGTGACGGCTAGCTATAATGCAATGTTGCCTCAATCAACCATCTTTCGGGACTGACCTCTGCTGTTTTTCGAGATATTAAGTATTGTGCCCTTACTAATCTATTCCTCAGGTTTCACTACGTGTATGAAAACGGCCGAAATTACTCGTCATAAACAGGCTGCTACTGGTGCAAAGCCCCTTTCTACATGGGCTGTGTTCATGGACATCTACCGTCGGGAAGGTATTCGAGGGATTAACAAGGGTGTTAACGCTGTCGCTGTGCGTCAGTGCACAAACTGGGGTTCACGGTAAGCGACTCTCAAATAGGTCAATCGCGGTTTCAATTGATATACCTATGGCTAGTATGGGCTTTGCTCGTCTTGCCGAAACGACTATTCGGAATATCCGGGGCAAGGGAGAAAATGATAAGCTTGGTGCTATGGACAAGATTATTGCATCTTCGATTGGTGGTGCTCTTGCGACATGGAATCAGCCTATCGAAGTCATTCGAGTTGAGGTAGCTGTTTTGCCGACCTATCAACAAAGTTTATCTCTGATTTCTGCTCATAAACAGATGCAATCTATGGCTAAAACTACTGCAAATGCCAACCGACCAGCCAAAATGACTATAATGAACACTTTATCTTTCATCTACAAGGAGAACGGTCTCAAAGGTTTGTATCGTGGTGTTACTCCTCGGATAGGTCTTGGCATATGGCAAACTATTTGTATGGTGTCGTTCGCTGACTACGTCAAGATATGGTATGTGGAACTAGAAGATTCTGTTAGACGTTGATACTGACGCTCAAGCACAGGGTGAAAGGCAAGTAAACGAGGGACATGGCGCTTAATACATTGATAGACTGCATAATATTTTATTGCTTTGGGCATACTTATGGTTTGATAGATAACTTAAATATACCGCCTTTTACACCTTCTATTCCTGAGGTAGATCAATCCGAGAATATTGATACACGACTGTAGAAGCTGAGAAGAACACGTGTATTGGAGAATCTGTCAAGATCTCAGCTGTATCGTCGTTTATGGGGAAGACTAACATTTTTACCCAGTACTTTTTGCCCCTGCGAAGCGTGTTTAGCTTGTAATTCGAAGCATTTGCGAAGTTGAATTTTGAGCGTGACGTTTGAGATCATTGAAAAATGACGTGATGTTATGTGACGTCCGATCCAAATATTATGTAAATGTACGTGAGATGGTAGCTTCGATACCGGTTATAGATTTGTTATAATCAACCGGTCAGTTCAGTTTGCAGGGCACGCATCCTTACACGACACCATGAGCTCTGCAGTAGGCAAACCAGTCGTACACCCCTTGCTCGCTCAATATCTCGTCCAGCTCGCTACAAACCCGCTGCGTACGAAAGCACTTACTTCTGGTAAAGCATTAAGCCGTAGCATCACATATCATCACTTTTGGCGCTGACAGTTGTTTGTTTGACAGCGACATTTTCCTTCCTTCAGGAAGTCATTGGGTCAAATGTCGCTGGTGTCCCCATCAGGCGTCCTTCGAAAGACGCCTCGGCTTTGTCGAATGTGCTAGCACAAGCTCATATTAACTCAAAAGCCATCAAGATGGCCATGTATGGCTTCTTCGTGTCTGCCCCACTAGGCCATATCCTCGTTGGCCTCTTGCAGAGGGCATTTGCAGGAAAGACAGGCACAAAGTACAGAATTGCACAAATATTGGCTAGCAATCTGTTGGTTGCACCAATTCAGACTTCGGCATTCTTGTCCTCGATGGCAGTCATCAACGGTGCCAAGTCGCTGCAAGAGGTCATTCGCACTGTGAAGGGAGGCTTCTTTTCAGTTATCCGTGTAAGCAGAGTTTGTGCTGACGTTAAGTACGGCTAGCTGAAATGGTTTTTATAGATTACGTGGCTCATATCACCGATCTCGATGACCATAGCTCAACGATTCGTGCCTGTTGAGGTAATATACACGCTTATGAGTCGAGGCCTTGTGTTGACACCATTTCTCTGACAGCTTTGGGTACCCTTCTTCAACTTGATTCAGTTTACCCTCGGTGTAAGTGCAAAAAATCAACGCGTCCAATCATTAGATTTCAACCTTTTCTCTAGACCTATTTCAATATCAGAGTCAAGAAGATCCGCCTTGCAGCTGCAAAGAAGGAGCAAGAAGAGAAAGAACGAGGCAACCAAGGGTCCAAATCTCTTCAGTGATCTTTTGGCCCCTGCTTTCCTCGATTTCTTGAAATACCATATATCATATGCTATGTTCATATTAAATATCCCGTTGCATATATATATATATATTATAGCTATGGCTCAGAAACATCAGAAACAGTGATCGAAGACTCGTCGCCTGGACGTGGGTGCTGCATGTAGCGATGTCTCGTCTTCCATTCAGAATCTTCCTGAGAACATGCTTCGCCGACCTCGGTTTCCAAGGACCAGCCTACAAGGGCATATATTCCTGGACACGTGGTATATAGCTTCGCACGCGCAGTGGTGGACGTCGATGGTTTGAGGGTGCCACGAAACGTAAGTCTACCAGTGTAGCAAGGGGGGAGAAAAGTTCTACAGCGAACAGTAAATATTGACCATAAACGACATGCATGTGTCTGAAACAACTCACGACGACAGTAAAGGCTCGTCTGTTCGGGGTTGTAACCTCAGTAGAAAACGCGAGGAATGCGTCAAGGAACAGTTTCGGATAGTGAATCCTACTTGTGCCTGACAAGGTCTTAAAACAATATGGATAATTAATTAATGCCTATTCAACTGCAGATACAACTCACCCTTTTGCAAAATCATGCTCCACTGTGCGTCCACTCTCGACAGCAATCACAGTGGGGTTCGTCTCTACATTCCATTCGCTGTCCCGAATGGCTTCCAGAATTTCATGTTTTTCTCTTTGCGTTTCTGCATACATGCTGCGTTTCGCCTTGGTGCTCTCCGCTTCCTGAATAATATCTCGTAATGCCGCGTGGCCAGCTCCAAGTGTGATATCGGATAGGAATAAGTGTCCTGACCGCCGTTGAGATGGAATTTCCCAATAGAATATCACGTCAACAGAAAGTGGGCTATATAGTGGAAAAATATGGGGATGAGAAGGAGCTGGTATGTGGGGAAACGATCTCTTCAAAGATCGAGATATGATATTTCCTCGCCCACTGCGAATGAAACGACAGGTCGAAGGTCCGTTCACAGAACGGATGTCGCCCTATGGTGTAAAGTTAGCCTCTATCAGAAAAAAAATATTTCAAGCTATAGTTCACCTTTGAAATATGACTACATATAAGGTCTATAGGAGGCGGATCCGTAGGCTCAATGCTATGACCTTGGAGGACATCGCTCAGCTTCTGTGAGGCATAGTTGACGATGGCTGTAATGCCTTCCGCGTTGTGCGGCTTTTTACTTGATGTACTAGCACCGAGGAATAGATGTGCCGTTTGATGCGAAGACAGCGGTTCTCTGATGAAATGCGAAGTCAAAAAGGACTCGTTTTGACAGATCTCAATAGCACTTACGACCATAATTCTGATATAGGCGTGCACGTCCAAGCTGGGCTAATGGTCGTGACCTGAGTTACAAGCACTGGATTTGAATTAGAAACGTTTTCCAGCTCAAGATTCAGTGAAAATGAATGGTCCGAGCGGCTAGGTTGCGAGGTTGCGGAGGCTTTAAGTAAAGGCGTAATTTCGACGTTGCGCATAGCCCTGGTGCAATGGAACGTCTCGCCTCCTTGCTATAAGCCCATACATTTGATCAGCTGATGAGCCATAGAGGACTCATCCATCAACACTTACCTCCCGATAGACGAAGAGTACAGAAAGACTCCCATGTGAATTAGGCCCTGCGTGAAGAACGATGTTCAACTCTGCACATGCTCCCGGATCTAGAGAAGAGCTGTCTTCGGTGTTCTCCAGCTGTTCGACATGAATTGGTGTCCAGGAAGGGAGCTTATTATCAGAGTGGAATATCTCCGTCGATATATCATCTGTCGGGGAAGCTGAGTTCATGTTAGCTAGTTCTAGAATGTCTACCAAGCGAAGAGCTTACTGGAGGATGCAGTTTCGGCTGTGCCTAACCAAACCTCATCATCAGCACCTGTTATCATCCATATATCTCCCAAGTTCCGTTTGCCCGCATTGTACATTTGGATCGTTATTGGCTTACGCTCGCCTTCCAGAAGTTCTAAAGGGGTACTGTCCGCGAAAACAACATTAAGTTTCTGGCTAGCTTCTTCCACTTCAACTTTCACGTGAATATCTGGCGCATACATGACAGTTTGTCTCTGCTGAGGGGTATCTTGTAATCTGCGTCCTCGTCGAGCTAAACTTTCAGTCGAGGGAAGTAACGATAGAAAATCATAAGTGACATGGGAGACAATGAGGGATGTTGCTCTGCAGGACTTGATAGAAATAGGAACCTGAAGTGAGGCGATAAGCATTAATAAATATTTGTAAAGCACTAAAGCCACGTACCGTGCGAGACTCCCTAGCACCAAGGGTGATTTCCTCAATGTTTTCTACTTCGACGAATGTGCTGGCGGACTGCGGGTCATGTGATAGCGATTCCTTTACGATTAGAGTGACATTTGAGATATTGATCTCGGCGTCAAGAGGATTACGCAGGACAATATCCACCCAAAATGTTTCTATTCCTTGATGATTAGTCATGGCTCTCGAATTCGGGTATAGAACGTACCTTCAACGGCACCTTTCCCACTCTTCTCCAATTTCTCCTTACCACGAGATTTCCAAAATTCGACCCACGTCTCCTCACGTTTGTCCCACTCGGCTTGTTCTCCACCCACTGAATCTCTGGGAAATCGAATTCTAGTTTGATTTAAGACAGCGAGGGTGAAAGGTAGTTTCAATTCGGGAAGTGTAACATCCTCGCCTGATGTAGATTTAAAATGCTATTAAGGAAAATGAATTAAACACAAGATAAATCGGCCAAGAGTAAACGGCGCACTGCGAAAGCCACACGGAAATCTTCCAAAAAGACTTTGTCAGTACTTGGAATTGCCTTGTTCTCCTCGTTTTCATATCGGCTTGTCCCAGGACCCAATGATGACTGTGGCTTTAGCAATCCCAAGAAAAAGCGCACAGCGCTTGAAAGATCACCCGTGGTGTATAGTAGTCTACCTTGACATTACAAATTGAGCGGTCTGCGTGTAACGGTAAAGAGAACTATACCTAGCGGATGCTCGATGCCTGACATCACCGCATCGAAACCATGATAGTCTGTGGAATCTTTCCCCTCAGATTCCCAAAAAGACGGAGAAAGAGCTTTATCCGGCCTCATCTTGAAAAGTTCGTGCGCTTTTCGCAGAAAATACATAGTAAGCGGTTTCTAAGATTGGAATGAGGAATGAACTAATACTATACTTAACCTTAAACATAACTCACTATGCCACATTTCTCCAGTCTATTGGCAGCAGAGAGGTACCACAGAGCGGCCCTCCGGCTGGCAGGTTTTCGCGCACTCAACATCGCCGCCTGTGCTAGTAGAAGTGCAGATGGCGGTTCTTCTGCCTTGATTGGTCCTTAACACAATCAGTGTCAAGTGGAGCTTGAATGGAGAAACATGAACGCACGGTACCAGCCGCCCAAACAAGCCAACGTTCACCCTCTAGTATTTTACCAGAAAATTCAGTATGTGAGATGCCAATCTCCCAACGCACGGCATAAGTAAGAGCACGGAGCTGAGAGAGTGAAGGAAGTTCCACACTTGACGCAAAGAGTGACGACAGAGCATTCGAGACATGCAAAGGAACGGTGGGGGAAGGTGCGGACAACAAAGGCAGGATATCCTGAGGGAAATACAATTTACGCATTTCAATGTAAGTTGCCGTATCCTTGCGAAATCAATACTTACTGAACCGCCTTTTCCTTCTTTCCTCAAAGATTCCCATACATTCGCGGCGAGTTTGATATCACCTAATACAGTAGCAAATTCAGCTAATCGCCGCTGCTGAGATGGAGGGGTCTTCATGATGGTTGAGCCTGTCATAGATGCCTGTGAGGCGCTATATGTGTGTGAGCGGCTAGGTAAAGACGAAACAGAAGGTGATGATGAGTGAGCTGATGCTGCATTGGAAGATGTCGTTGAACCGAAAAGGCGGCGAGTAGAGGAGAAAAGACGCGATGGGAGACGTCGGCTTGACGAGTACTATGTTATGAAGTCAGTTGCCGTCATAAATGATAAGTAATAGTAATCAACGATACATTTTCATTCCATTCAACTACACATCTTTCCATCCATGGGACAAGACTCATGATAACAAATTCGCGAGTGAACTTTGCAGTTTGTTGGATATCCTGCTCTGCCATTTTAAGAGTATTAAGTGCTACACGAGTTTCTCCGCGTGAATTATCGGGTGCGCCATTTGATTTTTCCGTAGAATAAGGGGGCGGAAGACGAGGCATCAATGCAGGTACTGGCACTGGTGGCGGCGGAGGTGATGGTAATGAAAGAGGGAGAAGATAACTCTGAAGACCGTATTGTTTCTTGACAGCATTAAACAAAGCTCCTGCTCTATACGCGTAGATAAACTCAGCAAGTACTCGAGGTCATCAGTTGCACGCAGACAAATACGTACTCTTCGTCAGACAGCGCAGAATTATGGGGGTGTATGATGAGAGTGTATATGAAATGAGTAGTATCTACCCATGAAGGAAAATCCAGCATTCTCGAGTGAAGGGCTGTGATGGCTTGGAGTGGATTGGGTGCTGTAGTAGACACAGCTAATATGACTGCAAGAAACAAATCAATAGCTCGAGGTGGTCTCTAGACACATCAAGTAATGGTCACACACTTGAAACAGGGTGATTCCAACCTTCTGTCCTTGAAGGAACAAGCTCTCCTTCTGTACATCGCCGTAGCTCATCCCACCAGGGAGTCCGTATAGCATCCTTATCGGGTGTTTTTTCGATATCCTCTACCCATTTTGCACAAGACTTGTTGATACGCTCGCCAATCCAGTCTAGTGTGCGTTCTGCACGTTGCTCCTCGTCCTCACGACATGCCGCTTCGATGTCCGATAAGTCAGAAAATCGAAGTGCGAAAGACGTATGTGGGATGGATGTCAGGGACGTAGTCCGTGTGGTGACTAGACAAGGAGAACTTTAGCTGATGTCGTGTCAGAAGAATCCCAGAGCGTCACACCTTGTGGTAATGGAGAAAAGGACTGGAGTATTTGAGGCAAGGGGGGTAAAGACGAGGACTCTAATAGCTCCTCTAGGTCCGGAGACGGCAAAATGCAGATATGAGGGCTGAGAGATGACGGTAAAGCGGGAGCCATTTGTTTGAATTTCAGTCTATGTTCTATACGCAGCTCCTATGCAGACTCTGAATTTCTGGGTGGAAGGTAGGGAGAATAACTATTCAGTATGCAACACGTTCCAGCTAAACTGTAACCCGAATCCTGGAATAGGCTGATGGGCAAATTCGCACGCTCGAATGCCTACTCATTTCTCCGTAACTCTCAACCAGCAAACAACTCTTTGCCTGGTATTCCACTGCAAAAAACTTGATAACAGGGTAACACATACAACAAACAGAGGCACAAATGTTCGCGATACCATACGTCTCAACCCTCAAATACAAAATAATTATGAAAGAAATAAAGTCCTTGTTACACTGGAGCTATAGCGATAATAACGCATCGTATGTCGAGAGCAAGCCGTTAGCCTCGAAAAAAATGGAAGAAGAGGTGTAGAAAGAATGAAACGTTTTAGAAAAACCCGCCACCTCCCATTCCCCCGTCGAATCCACCGCCACCAAAGCCACCTCCGCCAAACCCTCCATCTAACAAGTCTCCCAGGAGTAATCCTCCTGCCAAACCACCCAGCAAAGGCATAGCCATGCCACCTCCCATTCCACCTCTCATTCCCATCCCACTTCCTCCCATCCCCATCCCACGTCCACCAAATGCACTTCGTGAATAGCCATCATAGCCGTATGGACTGCCCATCGGTGGACCATATCCTCCCATTCGGCCTGGATAACCGTAACCATCGTACTGCCCATAATTGGCTCGCGAGGTCTGACGTGCTTGTAGATTCTGGATCCTAGCTTGACGATACTGCTCCTCAAGTTGAGCCCTTTCTTCTGCTTTGCGTTTCCTCTCTGCCTCCCTCTCTTCCTTCGTGCCAATGGCCTTGTCTTTCAGTCGTCCAAACACACCCCGTTTGTGTTCATTATTAACGTTTTCTACTGATGGTATCTCAGGAGAAACGCTATCTCGACGTTTAGGTACCGATGAACTGACATCTCCACTGTATGAATGACGTCTAACCTGCTCATACGGGGGTGGTTCATCCGTGTCAGTGTCAACGGTGCGTTTAAATCGGCCAGTAACTTTTTTCTTTATCTCTGGGTTTTCTGACAAAAACTGCTCATCCTCGTAAGGATGTACCCAGATTGCTCGAGGGGGATCAGTCGTCGTATCAACCTGAAACAGCAAACATAGAGATATTAGAAGAAACCAGAAATATGGCAAGAACAAGTTCAACGAACCCAAAATGGATGGTTGTGGGTGCTATCGTACTCCTGGATCCAACCGTTAGGCAAAGGTAAGTTCGACATCGTGGTGGTAGTGAACAAGAACTGTGACCATAGCGATTCCAGCTGTGGATACCTGATCTCGTCACGTGTAACTCCATGTTAGGGGCGCTGCGATTTACTTCATTCAGACATTATCAAATAACAATTCTGTGAATATTATCCTCCAGCGTTTGACGTCTGGCCTTCAGCTGTTGAAATCAGTCAGTTGGCTGCGATGTATATGTTTTACTGCAAGGCAAAAGCCAGGTACCCCGGTCCAGGTGTAGTGGGATGCATTTGACTAGGGGCTATGATACACAAAGCTATCCAGGCATATATGGCGTATTCCAGTCGCTAATAACAACAGATAGAGATAAGAAAATGTCCTCATACGATATGCACTACAGATGGATATCCACGACTCAAACTGGTAGCTACATAGGATTTGCACGGAGGAAATATATCATTTCTTGAATCTTTTGCACTTTCTGGTGGGTAGGCATCTGGAAACTGTCAAATCAAGGGAACTAGGAAGGCCATAGGATGAGATAGGCGTACCTTGTAAAACACATGCATCCTTTGTTTTCGTTCCTCATTCGCAGCTTCTTGCCTGGCAATGGCTTCAACAAATCCGTAGGTATCATCCTTCCTTGGCGAGTCGACTGCTTTCTTCCGTCCTAGCCCTTGACCTACAACTCTCTCCCCAATCCCTGATCTGGGATGACATTCTTGTCTGGGTAGATGGTCTGGCTTATCGCCCCAAAAGGAGTTAGTTCTTGCCGGTCGTTTAACCGAATCATCGTCTCTAGCTGCCCAAGGTTCCACCTTGCCCCAGTGTTTATCTCCACCATCATCGTCCCAAGCAGACCACGCATCTTTACCCGTCCCAGGCTGAGCGCCCCAGATATCATCGAAAGTACCCCACGGACCCCTCGCCTCCAACCGATCGAGGAACTCCTCCAACTTTAGCACCTCCCCCCTCTCAGCAGCCTCCACCGCCTTCCTCCAAAACGGGACCATCTCGTGGACATGGTCAACATGCGTTTGTCGTTCCTGTGCACGCAGTCCTTCGCTCGTCAATGGCGGAACGTCGACTTCCCAACCGCTCTCATCCCGATCCCACCAGTCAAATTCTGAGACATAGCGGGCATGATCGGGGGAAGAGCGCTCGTGTTGCACTGCTGTACGAAGGCTGGAGAACTCGAGCTGTCCCATGTGCCCTGATACGCAGACATCGCATGCCCACCCGTCATTCTCAGCGAGATGGGTAAAGTCTGCAACGATAGTCATAGTAAGATGCGCACTCCCAGCCCAGTGATGGTCGAGGAAACATACATTGCGGTCGAGCAAACCAGATATTTGAACTTGAAGACCTGCTCGTTAGATTTGCTGAAGAACAAGATGAAGATGACATTTAAGGTCAAGATGCCCAAGCGAGATAGCCCAAGAGGCCATTTATGTGCTCCCGCATTTACTGTGGACGTTCTCCTTGAACGTGCCACATGTCCGAATATGGAGGTGACCCTAATTGAAATACGAATTCGAAAAGTGCAACTTGTGGCCGCCCGTGCTTTCAAGTTATAATAGTAACCAACAGCAACATTGCAGTACAGAGGGCCGCGTGCCATCAAAATAAAGAGATAAATAAAGGACGTGGGTACAAAACACAAAATGAAACGAAAAGTCCTCCAACACTACTAGTACTCCAAGAGTTCGTGCAACTACAATATAGCAGACTCTTCTACAAAGTCTATACAATGTGCTAAAACAGAATAAATTATGAAGGTCCTGGGAGCGGATCAACCCATGTCCCGTTCGGCCACAATGTGGCGGCCATAGTGAAGTCACCGACTGTGGTCCCACTCGTAAGCTGCAGGGTCCGCAGTCAGTAACCCGGTGCTATAAAAAGATATAGGGACTCACTGCAAGTCGGAAGAAATGCGGAAGGCCTGCTTGTAAAGAGGCCAACGAGTAGTTCAATGCGGTGCCTGCATACCGTTCTACATCATCCACGAGCAAAGCAAATCCATTCCACCCTTGGTTGATCAGGTCATTTGAGAGAGGTGGCCATGATATTGTTTGATTTGTGAGGGGAATAGAAGCGTCGTACGTCGTAGAATTTGTCAAGAAATCGGGAAGTGCAGACCCTGTAGGGCCATCTCTAACAAGCTGAATGTGTGACCGTTAGCTCAAAAGGCAGTACCAGTATGTTTATATAGAAACAAGCGTACATCAGCAGCAGTTTGAAGGATGGAATCGAAACCAAAAGCAGCAACGCCATTGAGGAACATGCCTAGCAAGAATCCTTGATAGATTGCTGAGAGTCTGGTTGGAAACCCGCACCCAGGAATGAGCGCCATAGATATAACATAATGGTGCAACCGAAACTGTAATCCCGGTAGCTGTGATAGAACCAGCGTGACCAGGCCGCCCATAACATACCAGCCAAGGTAGTGAGGTAACCATCCCGTCTTCCGAATGACACGAACTTGGTTAACCACGAGAACAAGCAAGATCAAAACAATAATGATCAGTGCAGTGATTCCTCCCGGCTGTTGTTTGATGTCAGCAGGCGTCAGGCGATCGATTGGAATTTTGTCCATTGTGATGTTCGTAAGTACACCCGTCCAATAGGGTGCCAAGTACCATACAGCTGCTTCGATAGGTGCGGCGGTAAAATTCGGGAGTGTGAAACGAAAGGCAAGACGCCAAAAAGCGTAACATACAAAAAGGGTGGGTAGGAAAGCACCAAAGGCGACGTCGAGTGGCGGCGGAGTAGCCTGCGGCTGTGAAAAGAGTGCAATGTGCCAGAAACCGATGGAAACTAGACACCAATAAAGTACTATCGGTTTGGGACGGAGAACAAAGAAGAGGAGGCACGTGATTAGTATGTTGAAAGCAAGTGCACCGTTTCGTATGTCAGTGCAATGAGTGAGTACGTTTGATGGAGAGAACTGGAAAGACATCGGGAACACAGAGGGGAATCCGACAGAGGTCAGACCGAAAGCGGAGGTAGCCAGATAGTTCGTAAAGTTACCGACAAGCTGGACCGAAGCACACCCACCAGTAGAGTCGCTTATCATTCCGCTGATATCATAAAACTATTGAGTTAATTTGTGATATTAGGCCAAAGTAGTAGTACTAACGCTTGTACCGCGGCGGCACAGATAAAGCTGTCTCCTCTATATGTCTGGTTGGCGTCCCCTCCGCCGACGAGTAATGGCACAAAGTCAACTTCCAGATTTCCAACAGCTCGGGGATTCTGCAGCACTACAGAGCTGCACTGAGCGGGACATCGAAAATCAAAGGAGGTGTTTGTGAAAGGTGCGCAGGACTGTCCATCGAGGCCACATCCAGCGTTTTCAACCCAGTACACTGACGTGCAACCAACGAAGGATGACGCAGGTGTGAGGAACCACTGTGCCCTCGTAAGGAAAGCAAAGCCGATAATATAAGCGACGACAAGAACTACAAATAACCAAGGAGAAGTGAGGGGCCGAGTCATGCGAATGAGTGCAGGTTCGAGGCTGATGCGGATTCTTCTTCCTCTGAATACGTAATCTCGACCAAGAATTGGTGTGGGGTCTGTTGAAAGCATCTGCATCTCAGCTGCTATGGGTGGATAAGTAGTAGACGTACCTGGCATATCTAGTTTCGGTCTGGGACCCCTGATATAACGCAGGATGCGAGACGTCTTAGCGTACATTGATGGGTGTTTGACAGCGATAGAGGACTTGTACCGTCCCAAGAGGGATTTCCGGGGCGATTCATAAGGATCAGCGGCCTCGAGCTCAAAACTGTGGTCTGCGGAGAGTTTTGGGCGATCTTGGTCGGACATATTCGAGGCGATATGGGTTTCCCGGGAACTTGTGGACAAACTACCGCTCAGTTCCATGTCAGTAAGATATATCAGACGAGGGGGTGGTCTGGCTTGTTGTTGCCAAAGGGACCCATTGCGAACATGACCATGGCGAGAAAACGTTCAATGATAGGGTACCTAATTTAGATCGAGGTTACGTAAGCTTAGGGCTTGCGTGCCTCATCAGGGGAGTTCGAACCCGAATTTGAACTTTCTTTGAACCTCTGTCACTGGCAGCGACCCGATACACAGACTGTCGTTGGGATGAATGTTGACTGATCTCTTATGTTTATATCATGCTATATCGACCTCACAAGAACGGAGGATTCTAGGACTGATTCCGCTTGTGGAGACTCGATAGGTCGAGGCAGTCCTAAACCTCGGACATAATAATATGCGAGGCTCCACACGGACCCTGCTACGAGTCATTTATTCCCTCAATATTATCAGGATATCATACATGTAGCACGAGAAATTTGGTATTACATCCTTTTTGATCTTTGCTAGTATCGTAGCCGTCAGTTACCAACTTCATGAAGCAATATCAGTTCACGTATTCAGGCTGAGACCAAGGTTGCTACTCACGATAGTCGTAGTACAAATGAGCCAAGATCGGTCCTTCTTTCCTGTCCGAGCTGGTGAACTTGACATGTCTGGCATATCTTCTAACGCCATCTTTATCCTCGAAACCCCAGATCTATAATATACTGACAGTCAGCCATACGGTTGAATGCTTGCATAGTAACCAAATCCACCTGTTCTGCGGTCCATGTCTTTCCGCTCTTGGAGGTATCGCTCTCCACATAGGACTGAATACCACCGTGCTCTGCGGTATCAGCAGTCCAGCCATTCTTCAAGAACTCATCGTCAACGTCCTCGAGTTGAACTCTCCTCGACTTTCCAAACACAGCGCCAAATACATCGTCGTAGTTGGGATGCGACTCCCAGTTGAGAGTGCGTTCCTCTCTCGTTCCCGGAATACCTCCGGAAAGTGTCTGATCAATGTCGATGTGCTCAACGCCGTCATCGTCCTTGTAGTGGCTAACGGTGAGTGTCAGGCTGAACGTGGCGATTGCCCTTCGCTTGAACCAAGACACGCCCTGCAGTCTAAGGATCTCATCTGTACTGTCACTTAAAGACTTGTTCTGTAGTAAAGATTGTCAGACCAGCCTGAAGTTCACATGCGTATTTCGAGTGCCTGTGTACTAACCATGAGATACCTTCCACTAAGGTCGGTCGTGGTGACATTGGGTGGGGCAGCCATGTTGATGATGAAGGTTCTGTTTAAGTCTCGGTCCAATGTCGATCCAGAATGGTGCGATGCGCGGTGACTTAAAGCGTGTCTGAGATTCACATGTACGGTGTGGAGAACGGATGCTGTTTACAGTACAACACAACGTGATCCACGGGCAGAAGAATACCACGGGTGTAAATATAAGTTTCTATGTGGAGCGCAGCAACCCATCAGTTGTATCTAATTTATCGATATATCAGCTTACATACAGCCATTACATGTAAAGCCTTTGCTATACAACGAGCCATGGAACGCATGAAACGTACATACAATCGACATTAACACGCCGAGACACTGCTGTTCAGCATGTACAGGCACTCTATGGGTCCGAGACCGTAATTAGTCGTCAGGTAAACATCAGGCAGACACAAGCTTCACCTTAAGCTTAAGCTTGTATGAATCTATGTCGCCTTGGGTGGAAAGATAGTGATGATCTTCCAGACAGCATCTTTCCCCCTCTCCCATGCTTGAGGTCCTTTAGCTTCGTCTCCACCAAACTCAACCATGATACCATCCTTGGGCCATTCGCACCATATGCCGATTGACCCCGATGATGGGCCTGCACCGCCGCCCTTTCGCTCAGGCTCTCCCAGACACGCAACAAAGTTTTGCCCTGTCGTATCAGGCATGATTTCTATCGTCAGGGGTCTAGAAGTGCCGTCTGAGATCGACAGGGGTAGAATGATGGGAGACACGGGATGTGTGGAGAAAGCAAGTTCAGCAGATCGACTGGATTTCCCCGAGTTGGCTGCTAAAGGTTTAAGCTTGGGGATATTGTAGACATCTATGCTGTCGAGGACCAGACTATCATCTTTTATCTGGTCCCTTCTGAGATTCATGGCTGGTTTGTAACCATTTTGAGGAGAAAAGAGGAAGCTAAGACCGATAGCGAAATAATTGAAGTAGACAGCATCTGGATATGATTTGACTTCTGGTACAGCGGCATCAGAACCATCAACGAGCGAAGAAAGACTCTTTAGATAAATAGAAACCTCATCTGATGATGGGCTGTTACCCAGCAGGCTTTGAACATTGGTGCTCATCGTCGCAGACAGCGATGACGGGGTGGCCAGCGGAAACGCGACTCGGATGTGCCGCACGTGGCTTGAACGTTAACTTGAACAGTGACCTGAGGAGGAGCGTGTTTCATTTCATGAAAGCCAGCATTCGACATGGCGTCTTCACCAGGCCTAGGACTGAAACTCGAATCAGAAACTAAAGCGCTTTTGCAAGAGTCAGAATCAAACGATGGCTCGACAACATCCAATGTATTATCTTTCATTCTATGGCCTTTCCGCATCCTCTTCAGCATGCTTAGTATCTTTCGCCCTTTCGCCCCTCAAATAATTCCATTGGTCGTTTGTCTCGTCCTCATTCCAGTCATCTTAATTTTCTCGTTGTATTCTGGCTACTATGTGTGGAAAAATGTTGCTGTTGGATGGGAATCTCCCATTCATCTACAATATGGGTACGTTTCCTCCTGTAACCGTTCAAGCCTCACCACACTGAACATCTTGCGTCCTAGTGATGGTGTGCCTCCTTACGCAGAAATATTGCTACCTTATCTGTCAGCTCAGCAGCCTTACGATATTTCACTACATCTTGAGGTCCCTGCCACCGAGTCCAACTTTGCCCTTGGTAATTTCATGACAACGTTGACACTTTCAACGCCTACGAACAGGACCTTGACTTCTATACGACGACCTGTAAGCCAAATCCTGTTCCTTTGCATTCGTTTACTCATCAGATGCTGGGAAAGTATATCGCGCTGCCGCCTTCCAGTGGTTACATTCCCTTTTTCTCTTCCCCCGCCCGCCTCGTTGATATGGATATTCCTCTTTTGCTCTCATATGTTACGGGTGTTTCCCGCGTTATAGCGAAAATCGAGCTTGGACGCCGGGACGGTTGGAAGAGTATCGGTACTGGGGAGGGTCGCGAGCTCAGTGTCGTTTCCGCTTCTTTAAGAGGCATTGTCCGGCGCCATGGCATTCGGTGAGTTACCCTTTTCCTTGGTTTATATCATATGCTTGACGCATATCTCCCTCTCAGAGGCCTTGTGACGCGCTTTCCGCTCATATCAGCTTTCGTATCTTTCCTTACATTCCTTGCGATATCTCTTTTGGTCCTCGTAGCTTGCCTTCTACCCGCTATACAGTGGCGTTTCGAAGGCGACTCTAACGTTACTGAGCCCGGCAAGATTTACCCAGGTGAAATGGCACGGAAGAAAGTCGGACGCAGCGATTCCAGCGAAAGCAAACCCTTCCGCAGTCGAAGGAGGTCCAGAGGAAACGTTTCGGGTAGCCGAAGCCCTACACGCAAATTGGTCAGTGAACTGGCCCGAACTCTTAGGTTGTAATTCTGACCACCATCCATTACGTAGGAACCGAAGACTGAAGACGTCCCTGCTGAATTCCCCCTTGCTGCTTCTGCCTCCGACCCAATAATCAGACGTCGGCGCTCACGAACGTCAGAAGAATTCTTTGACTCTGAAACATGAAGTCCATTGAAAAGAAGTGTATGCTAGGCTTACTGGACCATGTTTCGTTCTTGAACTTTGCCCTGAAGATTATGATTGTGAACCCCCACATGTATTATTGATAAACCATTCATCCGTAATGTACACGCATAATGAAACATTTGAAAGCTCGTTATAGCTACATTTCTCAGCAGGGTTTCTCGTGTGGAGTATATTTTGTCTTGTTCGCCATAGCGATTATTCCATCCACCAATTAGGGATCAACGGATTGGATGAAGTGCAAGTCCGCGATCCATTAGCAACGTTCCATCAATATTACCGGCATCGGAAAGAGTGCACTTGGCCGGTGTAGGACAGCTTTGGGCGCCTTTCTCCCATTATTATGACAGTAGCCGACCAGCCAGGGATGCAATTGTCTCAACTGACCCTACTGTAACTCAATATTTTAGTTCATTTGAGCATTCAGCGCATATACGCTTTCAAAGGTCCACAATGAGCTCCCTTCAGGTCGAAAACCTCTTTGGCGTCGCAGGCAAAGTCGTCCTAGTCACTGGTGGAACCCGGGGCATTGGAAAAATGGTCTGTATCAGATAGTGTACAAGCACAGGCTCATCATGGCGTTGGAAAATGCTGATTTCGTAAAATTTTCAGATTGCCTCAGGATACGTCAGAAACGGAGCCAAGGTAGGTCTCTAGCAGTACAGTTGAACCGGGACCTTATCATCAGACTACATACTCGGTTATCTGATTATTGCTTTGGCAGGTCTACATCACTTCCCGTTCTGCAAAAGACTGTGACGCGACTGCCAAGGAATTCAATGCCCTCGTACCTGGCTCGTGTGTTGCACTTGCCGCAGACCTGCAAAAGCTCGAGGAAGTCCAGCGTCTTGCAGGCGAGCTCTCTTCCAGAGAAAAAGCGTTGCATGTGCTCGTGAACAATGCCGGTGCAACGTGGGCAGCGCCTGTCGATGACCATCCTGTGCGTGCTCGGTTTCTATGCTATGTCAATTCATTCCGATCTGACCATCGAGGCAGGACGATGGTTTCACAAAAGTTGTGACCTTGAATTTACAGCGAGTATTCACCTTGACGCAGAAGCTCCTTCCCCTGCTACGGGCTGCTGCATCTGGGGTAGAAAATAATGTGTATTATGATCCGGCGCGGATTATCAATGTAAGTTCCTATTTATTACTTTTTGCTGTAGTCAAACTGGCTGCAATGTTGGTTCATAGATTGGTTCCGTCGAGGGAATAGGCGTGCCGGATCACGACACCTATGCTTATGCTGCTGCAAAAGCTGGTTTGCACCACCTCAGCAGGCACCTTGGTGGTCGATTGGGTCCGGAAGGTATCGTGAGCAACACGATCGCTTGCGGTGAGTCTCATGCTTACAGACTCGTGGAAAATAAACTCATGTTTCGCTATAGGTCCATTTCAGAGCAAAGTACGTTTAACTATATTTTAATTTTGTCATCAACCACACTTATCTGCGCCCAGTGACTGCTCAATTCCTACAAGCAGCAGGCGATGTCGTTGTCTCCAAAGTTCCGTTGAATCGATTTGGCACTCCAGAAGACGTGGCAGGAACTTGTCTATTTCTATCTAGTAGGGCAGGTGCATACGTGAATGGTGCCACGATTGCTTTGGATGGTGGATTCCTCGTCAGCATGCCCTTGAGTAAACTTTGAATTATCTATCACGTCAGCCGCATCGACATATCTCCTTCAAGCTATCAGTGCTATTGTTCGCCTTCCTTTGTCTATCTATCTTATTCCTCTCCTAGTAGTGATTGATATAATTGACTGTGAATTGCATTGCTATACGAATTTATTATTACATATACTTACAGGAGATATACATTGTGTCCCATGTGCCAAAGACTAATGTTACTCGCTATCTTGCTTGACGGTGGCAACCTCCTCTGGCTTTGCATCTTTATTGCCTGTCTTATCGTCCTCGGCAACGCCTCCGCCCAGACTCCTGACCAACTCCCCAGCTTCGTCTCCACCAAGTCCTAACTCTTCCACAAGATCTCTCAGATCGTCATCCGTCACTCTAACTCCTTGCAGCCCAAAACCCGATAATTCCGTACTGACGTCGTATTCGCCTGCTCTCTTGTTCACAGGCACGGGTGTCCCCTTCAGAGGTGAATCTGACGATGCAAAGATCTTGGGTCTATGGTGCTCTGGGGTCATCTGCGAGATAGAAACTGCGCCGGGAACACCGACAGGTTTCACAGTTGGTGCAGGACGGTCCTCGTCGGTAGCTACATTCCAGCTTTCCTTCAGACGTAGGAAGGTGTCGAGTTCGTCGTATTCTACAGCTTCTTCACTGTGGAGATGTAAAGATGTGTATCAGCTATTGCAATGAGTGAATCCGACTCACAATTCATCAAAGGTCTAATCGTTGCGTTTGCGTTTAAGTTAGAGTGGAACAAGTAACGTGAGCAATGCAACGACGTACTCCTGGGTACTTCCCCCCGATAAGTATACCTGGTAGCTGTTGTTTGTCTGAACAGGACAATGGCCGAAGAACGTCAGCGTGTTTCGCATTTCCAGGGTTGCAACTGCGGCTCACCTAATGGTGCTTTTCTCCTCCAAAGTCTCTTCGCTTCCTCGTCAGATGCCAGATCATACGAGGTAAAGGAAATCTTTTTGGTCTGAAGAATACGTAGGATGTACTCTAGAATCTCCAGCGCTTTCCTTGAGTTTCGATAACAAAATAGGAAGGATGAGACAATAACCTTGACGTTGACGCAGGACAGGCTGCGAGGCTATCGTTGTCAAAAACACTTGTATCGGAGGTGATGGCATTGTTCAAAGCTGTGAAACAGGTAAATCCGAAATCTGTTTACACACTTCCAGCCAACGGAATATGCCAGTGCCTTTTTCAATCCAGGCTCTGAGCGATACCAAGCTCAGCTTTATCGATACGGTTCAGTTGCAAAGGATCTGAGCGCTTCTAACAGGAAGACTTGTATCTATACCCAAGTAAACTGCTGAAAGCTGTAGATCTATTCTTCTATCATTGATCGCTATGGTTGTCTCTGTCCTTATCGTCTGCCTAGGCAACATTTGCCGTTCACCCATGGGCGAGGCTGTTCTCAAGGAGGTTGCATCAAAGAGAGGATTGGATATCACTGTGGACAGCGCTGGTACCGCTGGATATCATGTTGGCGAAGACCCAGACGAGAGGTGATTTTTGGTTATTGCTCGTCACTCCATCCCCCGCCTGATTGCTTACTCGGGTATGTATCAGAACAATCGCAACCTGTAGAAAGGTGCGTAAGAGCTTGAATTCGCCTGTAGTTTCCATGTATTGACGGCGATCGTCTTACTCCCTAATCTCAAGTTCAAAGTTCCCATTAATCATTCTTCCCGTCAAGTCAACAAAGCGGATTTCACTCGTTTTTCGTACATTCTTGCTGCTGACGAGTCAAACCTCCGCAACCTGGATAGCATAAAGCCCCGTGATGCAACAGCCGATGTAAAGCTGTGGGGATCATACCTTGACAATAAACCTATAGCAGATCCTTACTATGATAGTATCGTGAGCAGTCCTCACCTTATTTACCTCTTAGCATATGCTGACATTGGTTTGACCTGATGCTGTGTTCAGGGTGGATTCGAAGCGTGTTATCATCAATGCGTAAACCTTTCCAACGCATTCCTGGATAAGATTGCCGCTAAAGAATGATCAAGCACACTATCGTTCAAGGAGCCTTAGAGCATAAATGATAGTTTTTGTATCGAAGTTGACCAGTCACCTCGTTTCAGCGATTTATAGCATTTTTGAACGATGCAATCTGTCTACTATCGTGAGTTTCGAGTAAATGCACTGCTTCAGTTCCACGAGATAGTATTGTTCTCCTCGAAGCGATTGACAAGCTTAGTAGTACAATCATCATAGAGTCGATTCCTGACACGGTGAATAAATGGGTATGCTGATAATGCTCTTATCAGCTCAATGATGCGTGGGCATATCCACGGAGGCACGGTTCCCAGTTGCATCCTCTGCCCGCCATAAGCTCGTGATGGTCTGAAGATATGTTCAAAATATAAGTTACATCAAGCATATTGATACTTCAAGGGAATTACAAACCTTGTTTTGTGTGTAGAAGTTGATACCACTATACAGAATGTCAAGTAATTAGCTACCTTCAACACCAAAAAGAAAGAAGGGTATCTTCACCTTTTGCCATAGAACCCTAGGTCTCCCAGAACGCTGGCCTTGTTTCCACTCCACGAGAACATAGGCAAAGGTACAGGAATAGGTACGTTGATACCGATTTGTCCCACATTCACCTCGTGCTCGAATTTACGTGCTGTAGCTCCAGATTGCGTGAAAATAGCAGTGCCGTTTCCATACTTGTTGGCATTGATGATATCTAGAGCGTCGTCCAAGGTGTCGGCAGTCAATACTACGAGAACGGGGCCGAATATCTCTTCCCTGGAAACACGAGTGGATAAGATCAGCAAATTACTTATATTGAAGCACGAGGTAGACATACTTGTAGCATTTCATTGTGGTGACAGCCTCAACAATTGTAGGTCCAATGAAATTACCATTTGGATAACCTGGAACGACGACATTCCTCCCATCTAGGAGAATCTTACCGCCCTCTTCCTCTACGGAGCTGATTAGACCAGTGACACGTTGTTTCGCAGCAGGCGAAATAAGAGGTCCCCTATGATGATACCAGTTATAATATACATATACATCCACATACATGCCATGAACTTACAAATCAGCGCCCTTTTCGAAACCACCGTTGACTTTGAGCGCCTTGGCCCGCTCAGCAAGCTCTGGGAGCCAAGATTGCGCAGTTCCGACAAGCACGGCTGTATCGCTATCAGTGAGATGACGGATGATAAACAAAATGGTACGAACCGACAGAGATAGCCATGCAACGTTGACCAGCGGCTAGGTAGCAGTGAGCAGAGCGTTAATAACCCAATTGAGAGTGAATCCTTACCACCAAAAGCGGCACCCAATATTGAATTCAGGGCAAGATTCTTATTTGCTGATATCGGTGTGATCAGTAAGAACGAATTATTACATTGCGATTAATACTAACCATCTGGCATTATAACGGCATGATTCTTCGCTCCAAGGTTTGCCTAGATAGAGGTCATCGTAAGAAGATGCAAAAGAAATAGAATGAAGGTAATGACCTGTACGCGCTTTCCATTCTGGGTACCTCTATAGCGATGTTAGTCACAATTGTTACTCGGACACAATATCATGCACTGAGCACTGACCTTTCATAAATGTACTTCCCTGCTCGGTCTCCACCGACAAAACTGATGGCTTTGATCGAAGGATTATCACATATGGCATTAACAGTAGGCACAGTGCCATGAACTATGTTGACGACACCAGGTGGAAGGCCTAATACAAAAACTGATGAGAACTAATCAGGTTATTGTGACGATATAGGAGCTACCTGCGCGTTCGCACAATTCGGCAATAATCATAGCTGCACCAGGATCGCGTTCGGAAGGTTTCAGAATGAGCGTATTACCGGTGACGGTCGCCATAGGTATTGACCACAGTGGAATCATCCTAGGGGTAGATGAATATCAAGCGTCACAACTGACAATTAAAGAGACCAACGCAGGGAAGTTGAAAGGAGATATGCTATTTTGTTAACAAAACAACCTATAAGCACATAAGGTTTACAGATAGCGATGCTCGTCCACCTTGCACAAACGCCTAAAGGCAGTCTCCGGACCTCAGTGTCCATGTCTTTGCTAACTGAGTAGCTTTTAGCTAAGTATGTTCGTGTGTCAAAAGATTATAGATACCTTCGATTTTGTCGCCCAACAAATTCGATGTAATGCCAATAGCACTTTCGACTACTTGTTGCCCGCGAAGAACGTCTCCATGGGCATCTACATATTAGTACACTGTGGTGAGTACATTGCAAAATATGCAACACACGTATTAGGGCTTGCCTGCAAACGTTTTACCCTGTTCCAAGACGATGCTACTGGCCAAGGAATCTGCGTGTTTACGAATCTGATGTTGAAGCCTTGTGTGGGAAATGTTAATTATCCCTCGATTCAATAGTCCTATTCTATCACCTACGCACTCTATCGCAAATCTTTGACGAGTTAGCACGCTGGTTCTGCTCCAAGTCTTGTAAGCCTGTGACGCAGCACCCACGGCTTGGTCGAATTCGGCGGATGTTGTTTCTGGTACTCGTGAGAGCAAGGTTTGTGTCGACTACAATCAGTCAGAATAAAGGATAGTATGGAATACATATATGGATCAAACGCACTGGATCGAGAACGTCGTGCCATTCTGTAGCTTGACTTTCGACAAAATCGCCGGCAATGAAGTTCTTGGTTTTACCACCGGTCGCACTTGTTCCTTTCCAATCTGACGATAGCTGTTCAGCCTTGGAACGGGCTGTTGTGCTCAAACCAGCTGCTGTTGCATAAGAACGGATGCACAAAGACTTCAGAGGAGAAACGCGGGTGAGAGACATGGTGGTGTGATGCAAAGGGGGTCCATGGATGTGCTGGTGGTAGTTTATGTACCCCAAGGTCCGAATAGCCGACGCGCCGGAACTGAACCCATCCCGCATAACGATCATGCCAGTGATTCCACTACTAATGCGATGAATATCAATTCTTTACCAGACCTTTTTGCAGCTATGGCTGCCAGTGGCCAAGAATCATCAGCACAATCACAATCACAGAATCTAGCTGCGTTTCTCAATCCAAGTATGTGGTCTAAGATGACATCTCAAAACCCTGCGGCCTCGCAACCTCAGGTCCAAAACGGCACTGGTCTGCCTCAGCAGTTGCAGCAGTTTCAGATCTTTCAAGACTGGCTCACGATGAACACGCCTGTCGGTTCTGCCCCAAACGACGACGTCGTAATCGCCCGGGCCCTCTTCGACAGTAAAGATAAGGGACAAACTTATAAACAAGCATTAGATGCGTTGCATGGTGTCAGTTGTATTCTCTCTCGCACTTGATAATGTCTGATGTTTATCTTGAATACAAAAGGTTAATAGTCATGCTTCAAATTTGTGGAAGGACTATTATCTGGATCATCACGAACGGCTTGACCTCCTTGTGTCGCGTCTTTCCGATCAGCCTATAAGTGCTAAGAAGCCATTTGCACCATCATTGTTAGCATCGCAAATACCACACAAACGCGTTCCACCTCCACCAAGAATCCCTATTACTTCATCTAAAAGTCGTTTGCAACCCACGAGTCGTGCCCACGGAGGATCATCAAAGACTCCAGAACCTACTGGACGAAAGACATTTAATAGCATTACTGCCCCGTCACAAACACAAGATGTACCCAACCTCCTCCCCCCACATGCCTCCATCATTGTTCCTGATGTTCCCTCGCGTTCTCCTACGCCACCAACCCTAATCATAGCAGGAAACAGAGGGAACAAGTATACTGAGGAAGACCGGTCATTTTTCTTGAAGTTCATCAGTTGGGAGCTTAAGAATGATCCTTCGCTGTCCAAGAAAGAATTATGTGAGAAACTGGCTGAAAAGGTAAGCGTTCTCCACTCCTGATCTGCGTTAAGACACTTAGTCCAAAGCACACCAGGCACCTCACCACTCTGCTACTTCTTGGGCAGGGCATTGGCATAGCCGCCATGACATTGCTGACAAGATACTAGCTGCGGCCGAAGCACGCCTCGAATCAGACGGCTCAGACTCTGATGCTGATGCTGACGGAGAGCATGAATATTCAGCTGAGGAGATTATCGATAGCGATGAGGAAGATGCTGCTTCTGCGAACTTGATAGGATCCGAATATGGGGACTTGGACGATGATACTGAAGAAGACGTCAAAGAGATGGCTTTACCTGGAGCGGCTCCCAGACCTGCAGATTTTCGTGTCCTCGCAAGGTATATAGCGTCCATCTCTGACTGGGATGCTCTTACGGCCGTTGCAAATTTAAGGCAGTTTAGTGACAAAGTAAGTGTTTCATCGCAACATCGACAACCATACTTAGATACGCGCAGCATCCTCAAAAGTCCGCTAGGGCATGGGCAGAATTGTACAGCGACAATGATGAAGGTTGGTGCTCATGCCCCATATTTCACTTTTCATGATACTCATTTCGACATCACTGAAGACCTCGAGAAGCTTGTCCGGCATTACAAAAAGCAGCGAGTACGGCAACCTGCCCACACACAACACGGTACACCATCCTGGGCAAAGTTACGCGTGCCTCCTCTTAAAAGGAAGCCTACTGAAGATGATGATGACGACGACGATGTCCAAATTGTTTCAAGTCAATCAAAGCGTCGGAAAGCTGGTTACACTGGCTTCTGATAAGTACAGGCCATGTTGCAGACCTTATACTGTACAGTGCGCGCTGTTGATTAATCATCGTCGTATATTCCTTCGCAGTGTTATCACAGTTTTATTTATACGCACTTTCCTTCATTCGTGTTATATAGCTGGCAATACTAACGCTGCGCTTACTGGCACCGAACCTCGCTTGTCTGACAGCCACCCGCTCACGTGCTAGGGTAATGGTGCTATACTTAACGGACTGTGGATTGATTGCAACTGGCAACGCGTTAACGTCTACTTGTTCTTCACTTCACAACAGTACACTTTAACCCTTCTCAACCTTCATAGATATCTAGTGACTCGACATGGATGAAGAATATGATGTACTCCGTTCTCCATAGCATGCCTTTATGCAAACACTGACAATCGTGTCAGGTTATAGTCTTGGGCACTGGTTTGACCGAGTGTATCCTGTCAGGCTTATTATCCGTGGAGGGCAAGAAGGTCCTTCACATGGACAGGAATGATTACTATGGCGGCGACAGTGCCAGTCTAAACTTGACCCAAGTAAGCTCATAGGTATCACAATATCCATGATTTCTGATCGATATCGTGCAGTTGTATCGCAAGTTCAGACCAGATCAAGCACCTCCTGCAGAACTTGGCCGTGACCGCGATTATGCAGTTGATCTGATCCCCAAGTTCATCATTGCCTCTGGTGAGCTCACGAAGATCCTGGTTCACACCGACGTCACGCGGTACCTGGATTTCAAGCAGATCGCGGGCAGCTTCGTGTACCGCGATGGCAGAATATCCAAGGTTCCAAGTACCGAAATGGAAGCTGTTAAAAGTCCATTGATGGGTTTGTTTGAGAAACGTAGAGCGAAGAAATTCTTCGAATTTCTACAGGGATGGAGGGACGAAGACCCAGCTACCCACCAAGGTTCGTCATCTAGATCAGTGGTGTTGACATCGTAAACTAACGCCCGGTCTATACAGGCATCAACCTTGACAAAGATAGTATGAAGACCGTGTACGAGAAGTTTGGTTTGGAACCCGGTACCCAGGACTTCATTGGACACGCTATGGCCCTTTATCTCGATGACGAGTAAGTGAACAACTAATCTCAGTGACTCTAGTTCTAACATGTCTCAAGTTATATCACAAAACCTGCTCGCGAAACCTACTCTCGTGTTGTGCTGTACACTTCTTCCATGGCACGCTATGGTAAATCGCCTTACATCTACCCACTCTATGGTCTCGGTGAACTGCCTCAGTCTTTCGCTCGACTCTCTGCGATATACGGCGGGACATATATGCTGGACAAGGCTATCGATGAAATCATCACCGACTCCGATGGTAACTTCGTTGGAGTAAGGAGTGGCAGTGAGACCGTCAAGGCTAAGCAAGTCATCGGTGACCCAAGCTATTTCGGTGCTGGCAAAGAATCTGAAGGAGGGAAGATCAGAGTAGTAGAGGATGGGAAAGTAGTCAGGGCGATCTGTATCCTGAAACACCCGATCCCGGGCACAGATGACAGCGACAGTGTTCAGATCATCATACCTCAAAACCAAGTTAATCGTCGTAATGGTATGTTATTATCTATGCGAATTTCCCTTGGATTTGACGGCTTAACACAACGACAGATATTTACATCGCAATGGTGTCCTCGACGCATAATGTCTGCGCGAAGGACGTATATGTTGCTATCGTCAGTACCATCGTAGAAACGGATAAACCTGAACTTGAAATCGCCCCTGGTCTTCAATTGCTGGGACCTATATATGACAAGTGGGTGTAATACTCGCTACTCAAGTAAATTTCTCTGAACAACTTGTTTTCAGATTTGTGTCAGTAAGCCCTCTCTACACCCCTGTCTCTTCGGGAGAGAGGGACAACATCTTCATCACTCGTTCTTACGATGCTACCTCGCACTTCGAGACTGTGGTTGAGGAGGTACAGGACGTGTGGCAGCGTGTTACAGGCGAAGAGCTGAAATTGAAGAAGCGAGAAGAGGCCAGCGCTGATAAATAGGTTAGATGCATAAACTCATTTCTTCAGGTTCAGTATGTGTACGTTTCTTAAGACGAGTATCAACAAATTCTGTACATCTATTCTAGTCCTTTGTTCGGTCAAAAAGATAACAGTGGTTTAATCAGAAAAATGCATCCATGTTAAATTCTGGCACCTGAACATCGTGCTTAGCCGACTTCATCAACTTCCCCAAGCCAGCCTTTCTCTCGAAGGAACCCACATCTTCCTTCTTCGTAGGCTCTTGTGGCGACCCACTGCGGACACCAGGAGACGGGGATGCCTTGCGCGTTGAAGGGAGGGACGATACGTCCATATCAATCATTATGGATGACTGTCTGCGGAACGCCGGCTCAAGTGCGAATGCAGAATGGCGTGATGTTGATGAACTTGAAGGTACTGCAGAATGATCTGGCTTCTGCTCTGGAGCTTCATGCAAGTACGTCGATGGCCGCTCAAATGACCAAGACTGGACAAGATCGAGGGCCAGTGAATGGCAACCTGTCAAAAGTGTGAACATCCGCCCCTATGATAAATGATAACCAAGATCACTGACCCATCCTGCAAAACACTCGTGCCATTTGTAGGACGAAATTGAATTCGGATTGTCCCGATATTTCACTCGTTCCTTTGGCGGCCTGCAAGGTTTTCGACTTAAGTTGTGAAAACAGTAATGCAAGGCTTGGGTCGTCGTAATGAGGTTCACCGATCTCTTGGACGCGGATGTCCAAGGAGTCTGCGATATCAGTTAGGGGAGTCTGTTGAACGTAGTCAGTTTCAACGTTTGTACTTCAGGAGAAATGTGTGCTTACCAGTAAAATCCTGACGGCAAGATCTCGACGGTGGAGCAGCCAAAATGCCCAGCTACCTAGCCACCGATTTCCCTTTCCAAAAGCCGTAGGTATGACTGTATTTCTGAGAATGTCACATAACACTGGTTTCTCTTGATCCTGTTCAACAGCACGAGCGAGTGCAATAGCGAGCTGGAAATCCGATAGCTGCTTGATGCAAACATTGACCGCGTCTTTCAAACTATTACCTAGCAAGAAAAAGGCAGCAGCATACTCTACAGGCGGACGGCGCTCAGAAGCTCAAAGTAAAAGCTGTACAAAAGAGACCCACCAAACCTTTGCTTGCCTAGCAGAGCATATGCATTCTTCAAAGCTGCCGTTCGCCATCGCGGTTGAGTGAAATCATTGTTCAGAAATTTTAACATCATTGCCTGCTCCTTGTGCCAAGCGGCTTGTCTCCATAAACCCTGCACTAACTTAACCTTACCTAACGCAAAGTAAAATAATGAACAAGTAGTAGGATCACGTTTTCCGTCCGCCATATATTCATTTCTTGCAATGACTTCAATCTGAGATTTCTGCAAGTTCATTAGTCCTTAAGCCTGGCCCGAAAAACTCATTAGCAGAACTCACGATTGTTTCTGTTGAGTTCAGCCAAAGAAAGACTCCCAAAGCTCTTGCATCAGACCAGCGCATTTTCCCTTTGCATGCAGTAGTCGATATATCGAGTAGAATCTCCTGGCTTTCGCTATGAAAAGCCCATATCATATCCCGATATCGTAGCCGCTCTCTCCACCCTACGTGCCTAGGTATCGATCCTTTAGACTGGGGGCTATTGGGATCCGAAGAGGCGCGATGGTTGAGAATGTAGAAAGATCGCATCGACATTACATAGCGCAAGCCATTAGCATCCAAAGCGCGATGCTGTTCATCGACCTTTATGAAGAAGTTTAGTTTAGTGTCTCTCAGCAAAAATACAGTCAGTTTACCTCTAAAGTTGTCTGGATGAGAACCAGTAAATGGGCGTGCTCATTTGGAGTCAGATGAGGTAGTGGTTGCGCCTCCAAGTTCTCTATGAGAGACATGACTAATGGACGAGAAAATTCACCGTCTTGAGGACTATAAGAGGTGAGATTAATCAACGCTGTGTGAGAAACTAACATACGGTTGTTCTCTTATGTTATCAAATAGAGAATTGTATAGTTTTGCTGATCTTTTGCCCTGACGTAGCTCGTTCAGATGTCAACAGACGTTTCAGGACAAAAGATACGTACCGAATTTCGCGCGGGGTTTGGACGTAAATATTGTTCAGTAGGAATAGATTGCCACTGAGCAGCTTGCAGTCCACTCTCCCGAGCGACTTGAAGGCTACGAGCTAAATTGACAATGACTTCTTTAACGAGTTCTACCTTACCTAGAGTATCGAAATATGTTAGAAATGACTAATTGGATGGACTAGGAGGCGCATGCGAACCCCAAAGTAGACACTGAAGTAACATTTGAGGGTGGTAATCATCCAAAGGTCCATTATGCCGTGCGACGTGCTCGAAGAGGCCCTCCGTGGCTTCCCTTCCATCTGAGGATTTGGGCTGCCCAAAAAGAAATAGCTGATGTCCAGCCCCCACCAGGAAAGACCCATTGGCAAGCCATATCGAGTCACTGATGGGGTACGGAACAAATCTTGATTAACCACATAAGTTAGCTTACTTACAATTCATATTGGGGGATGATAAACGTACTGCTCAATTGAAATTTTCCAACAAACTACCCAACCAGGTTCATCGTCAAAGTAAGTCATTCGTTGCTGGCAAAGAAACTCGACATAAGTAGTGAATCCAACTGCCAGGATAGATTGTTTATCTGGTGTCGATGTCCAATCTAGATCATTGATGCGCTCAGACAAACTGCCCAGTAAGGATAAATTTAGTCTTGTTTTTGTCGGCTGTGAGGGTTAGAAATACCTAAGCATTCGACGATACTCCAGCCCAGAAGCAAATTCAGACTCCTTTGAATCCCATATCGTGAGTTCTTCACCATCTGGTTGTCGTACCACTACCACATGAGGTGTCAATAGTTACACATCGGGGGCAGGCAAGGGCAAATATATTTACCCAAGGCTGTTTTTTTGGCTGAGCTACACCTAGCCATCCTAACTTTTCTCCTCCCTGTTTTGACACTCCCCGAGCTTCTCCATCCCAGAGATGTTCCTTCCTCAGGTACCCAAAACTCTAGCCTTCCTTCATCGGATACACTGAGCAGAACATCATGCTCCTCCCGCAATTGATCACCGCTCCACGCCATGGGATCTACTGGAAGCAGGAGTAGCGGAAGTTGTGGTAGGGGTAACGAATTTCGAGACTGTAGCATGAGTGAAAAGTGTGGTATGAGTGTTACGCGTATTCGAATGATGTCGAAATCTGTCGTGATGGCGATGATATACTCCTGACTATGATCATATGGGAGAGAAAAGAGAAAGTTTACTGGTGGAATGGAAAGAGTCACGATGGGGTGCGAGTGAAGGGTTAAGGTAGTGTCCTGTGAAGAATAAGTGGCATATAGATTTCCTACAAAGAACTTTAGTTGTACGCCTTCTATGAAAAGAGGATTTGCTACCCCCTCCCAGTATTACTACATGATCAGCTGCAGACCATTGGCCACTTCGAACCATGTTGGAGCCATTCTCAGAAATTCTCCATACTGACCCACCTTCAGACCTGACAACCCCCACACCATTTCCAGACGGCGTTCTGACTAGTCGCACAATCTTGGCTTCGTCTTGTGAAATTTTTTCTATGCCACGAGCACGGGAGCGTAATGCGTCAGATTTCCCGTCGATAAAAGGTGCAACTGATAAGTCATGAGTCGATAAAGGAGGCGAAGTGACTAGCGTCAGGCAAGTGGAATCTGGATTAGGCAAAAAGTAAAAATGCAAAGGAAGAAGTGAGAGAACTCGAGGCTCTGAATGTATCAGGGTATATTGCTGCAGAAGTGTAGGGGGCCTGCGATCGATATTCTGAATAATGTGAATAACCGTCAAATGCCATAGTAGTCCTGAAAACTTACAGCAACCACAGTGGTGATATATGAGCCATCTCCGAGTATTCTAACGAATAGATCCCATCCCTCGTTGCTGATTTCTTGCATCTTCTTAAGCTGAGGGTCGTCATTTTGCGATCTGAGTTGTAGATTGGCGTTCAACACGTTACTAAGTACAGCTCTGTCGAGCCATATTATCTTAGATTCCGCTCCCTTCAAGCTCTGAGTATATGCAACCGAGAGTGGTAGGGATAAGAACAGATCCAAAGAGGCATGGAGCTGAAGGCGCTGAGGGGAATCTATGACAGGAAGAAAAATGCGAAGAACGGAATCTGATGTGATGGTGTATAATGCTACATCATCACTACATCAAGTTAACCAAAGTTAACATACATAAATGACCATGGATACTGACCGACTTGATGCTTGAGGGTATCGCCACTTCATATTGATGACGGGTCGTGCATGAGGAATGCTTTGGGTCTGTCGACCAGAAGTTGTCGAATACAATCTTACTAATCTCTCGCTCTGTGTGTGGATGTTACGCTATGACATAGTGACTTTCGAAAAAGCGTACTTGTGCTGTTGTTGCAATATTGGTGAGTGACGGAGCAAAAGCAGCGATGTATGGTGTAACCGCACTACGACCTTTGAATATAAGGACTAAGGCAATATCAAAATCGTCCAACGTACGAAGATGACCACTTTTTTGACCATGTTGGAAGACCGTCATCTAAAATGAGAGTGAAGACGGACAGACCACTCTGGCTTCCAACGGCCAAAAGCCCTACACATTCAGGGGGTTCAAGGGCAATCACCAAATTAACGAAAAGAGCATTTACCGGACCTCGATTCTAACGTTGTCACATTATCATCCTCCGGAAATATAAGCGAAGAATGGATTCGCCAAGTTTTGTTATCAACTTCGGATAATGACCACACTGCTATACGTGTACCCATGGACGCTACTATCTACTTCGTGGAAAACATGAGGTCACCTATGAGATTAGAGTAAACGCGAATATATAACGTACAAGCTTCATTCCAGGATCAACAGCAAGGTAAGACACGCTTTGTCTGGAATGGATGGCGGGAAATACTTCTTCGAAAGCCAGGACGCGGACCAGGGTAAGAGTACTAGCGTGCAGCAATACGACCGATTCAGCAGAAGGATAAACCTGAGAAATATGTTTCAGATGCGCTACAGATAGACAGGTTTGCTATGCGAAAACACGCACTATGAGCGTTGCATGAGGAAGAATGAGGTGTTGCAGAGGACCAGCGGGACAGCCGGTGAATGTTCTGACGAGATCCAGCATGATGTTTGCCCTGCAATGTTTATGAGCTAATATCGGATGCAACCACGGCTCATCCCCGCCTGTTTCGCAGATATAATGTGGTGGGCAAGAGTAGTCCTGTTAACGTCGTTCGGTCCAACGAACGCCGGCTCTTTGCCCATACATGATACTTTCGGACTTTCCCGACATTCCTACTAACGTTTCTGTATTCAACGCCATGGTCGGAAAACAAAACGCGCCCGCCACTCGTTCCTCGACGCGAACCAAACCCACAAATCCTCCCCCCAGCCCTACAGGACCAAGAGTAACGCGAGCAAAAGCTGCTACTGGCACGAAAGCAACAGGTACCACAACCCAGCCTTCAAAGACAGTCCGCAAGCCCCTGGTAATAAATCGCGCAAACTCTCCCGATGCGAAACCCAAGAAAGCTGCAGCATCAGTGCCCAAGGCTGGCAAAGGAAAATCTGCCATTGATGCAGATCGAGAACCTATAATGGTACTGTGTTCTGCCATATCGTACCTCTCACCGTCTGATCGATGTCCGTCAGGCCTTTCTTCGAATTCGCCCGCAACTTGGTGAAGAGGCGACTTCAACGCCTTATCTTGAACCTCTGTCAGATACTTCCGTTCGCATGACAGAGCCAAATGCAGACGCCCAATACAACCAGTCGCGACCCCGCTTTCCTTTCTCGACCGTCGTTCCTTCCTCCATCTATAAATTTTCCCATGTTTTCCCTCCAGCTACCCACCAGTCTGAGTTTTTCGAAAAGACAACATTACCATTAGTCCGTGACCTACTTGACGGCCAAAATGGGCTTCTATTTACGTACGGAGTGACGAACTCTGGTAAAACATACACCGTTCAAGGAGGAAATGAACCAGGATCAGCAGGAATTTTACCACGAGCTTTAGATGCCATATTCAATAGCATCGAAGGATTGCACAACGACGGTCGTGTTTGTAATTTTCATATAATCCTGGTGTTATATGTTAACATACCCTGTGCAGTATCGCCCCGTGCGCCTGCATGGCGTCGAATTAGCGAACTCATCTGAGTCTTCGCTTCCCCTCGACATTAACATATCGTCCGAAGAACCTATGCTAGCCGAAGTCCTCGCTGAACATCTCCAGAATGCTGTGTCTGACGATGATGTCGATCCTACAACCATCAAGTTGGATCGTAACTATGAATACTCGATCTGGTTATCCTATGCAGAAGTATACAATGAAAAGGTGTATGATCTTCTGGCTTCTGTAAACGATGGAGTACATGGAAACGCAGCCAGTCATTTCCCCAAGGCTGCAAACTTGACCACTCATTCTCCTGCCCATCCACTACTTTTGACTCGTAAAGCCCTTACAGTAAAGCCATCTCCACCCACCGACTCTTTGGACGATGCAACTTGGGGAAGCTCAGGGAAATATATCGCTGGCCTTCGACAATTCCGTACCACCAGTGCCTCGCAAGCAAAATCTTTGGTCAAACTTGGTCAACTCCACAGGCGCGTCTTCGGCACTCTTGCTAATAGCCAAAGTAGTAGAAGTCATGGGCTGGTCACACTCAGGGTCGTGAGGGGACATAGAGGAGAAAGGGATGTAAGTGAATATCTTCCCATCAAGATGTACCGACTTGGATTTAAAATACATGAGGACCTAGGATCCTACTTCTCTTCAAATATCTCGTCTGACTCTAGTGGATCTTGCCGGTTCCGAGCGCACAAAACACACTCAGACTACAGGTGACAGACTGAAGGAGGCGGGTAATATCAACAAATCTCTCATGGTTCTTGGGCAATGTATGGAGGTGCTTAGTTCTGCGATTTATTTGATGTCCAGAGGTTAAGCCATGTCATGCAGGTCATGAAAGCCAATCAGAAACGTGTAGCTCAAAGTCTGACCAACGCCGGTCGCACTGACACAAGAGACGTTAAGAAGGGCCTAGCCGTTGTTCCTTTTAGACATAGCAAGCTCACAGAAGTCTTAATGGACTACTTTACGGGAGATGGGAAAGTGGTAAGTAGCGCTTCAAACACTTGACAGAGTCGACTTTCACTGGGTGTACTTCATCACCGCAGGTCATGATCGTAAACGTAAATCCTTATGATACCGGCTTTGATGAAAACTCGCATGTTATGAAGTTTTCGGCGCTTACACGAGAAGTCTATACCACTATGAACAATGCCCCAATCCCTCGTATACCAGCTAGTCCTACTAAGCGATCTGCTGCGGTACCAGGTAATTCTGATAGATCCTGGGCTTCTGGTTTACCGAAAGCAACGACACGAAAAGTAACGATATCGAGCATTGGACCGGGTAGGAAGATAAGCGAAGCCCAACTAGAGGTGCTTGAAGGTACGCGGAGTGCACGAAGGCTATGAGCTTGCTTGCTAATATCTACTATCAGAGGACGAAGAGGCTGGTGAAGCGGATTATGACCCTAATGATGATGACGAGCCCATCAACCCATTGGTAGATGCCCTTTTCGACGAAGTCGAAGAACTACGCCTACGGGTATGTTGTATTATCATTCACTTTTCCGATTTCTCATGATTAATTACTCCCGCGGATAACTAAGTTATATGAGGCTGAGATGCGCTGCGCAATTATCGAAGCAGATACACGTGAAGAGGTCATGAAGGAAATGGACGAAAGGATGCGCGCAATGGAAAACATGTATACGAGACGGTTGATGACTGAGGTGATTCTTTTCACGAGTCTGGCTTCGATCTTCTCAGCTAAACTAGCGATTCATAGGTCGAGCAAAACGAAATGAAGATGGACGCAAAAATTGATATGTTGCAACGGTCTGGTCTACTGACAGGGGCGAGACCCTTTACTATGTCTAATAGTAGACTGTCGGATCCTGATGAGAGTGAGGTAGGAATATTCGAATTCAGTAAAGATTTCCTTGTTGAAAATCAAACTATACTTTCAGGAAGATGAAGGTGGAGAATTAATTGATATTGATATCAGTGACGATGAACGTGCTGATGCTGATGATCCACCGTCACCTCTGGAAGGAAAAAAGTCCTCGAAGCACTAATACTGCTTCGTACAGGTCTGGGGGCGTCCCTTGCGCCATCCTACTTTTTTTCCGGGGTTCGACATGCAATGTTGCTTTGAGAGAGAAATTTGAGGGTGGATAGAATCCGAGGAGCCAAAAGCCCATATCATAATCAATGATGCGAGTCATTGCTGGCTTGCGAGAAAATAGTGAATTAAGGAAATGTATACATGTAACATGTATTAGTAGTCTGTAACTCCACTTTAGTCTTGACAAGTGCTGTTCTTTCAGAATCTTCATGAGCTTCACGACACGTAGCTTTCACCGCGATGGCATGTGAAACACTATATAACGTGAAGACAAACTGATTTACTGATCTGATTTGATTCCCGTGCCCAGTTATTATTACCCACATGATCGCCAAGTTAAGATAGGATAGACTCTGCTCCTTTGGTGCTGCACGCAACACAACGAGAATGGTCTATTGATGAGTCACAACATCGCCGTCTGACGTTGGAGAAGACGGCCTAGCATTTTGTTGGTGTCAGATATTGATCCAATCCCACCTGCACGTGTATAGGAGTCAAGCGACCATATACTTCATGGTAGAAACGAGGTCGGCGGAATAAACTAAATGATCACCAGCCTAGGGTAAGACACGTCGCATTGCTTCGATACCGGACCTTGGGCGACGATATATCCCTCAATAGAATGGAAAATGCGCTTGTATGGAATAAGACCAGACTCGTCTAAAACGAACACAATACGTTAACATTTACGAAGGAAATGATCCAACCTAGTAGTGCACCAGTACGATAGTGCCTCGACGATATTGAACATGATGGTGTCCTGCGTGTTTTAAAAGGTGGAGCCAATGGAATCATGCAGCAATTGCGCATATTTGACTGGGCAGATATGAGACATGTAACCGTCAAACCGCCAAAGTGCACGTTGCTCTGTGGTATGGTGCCGCAAGCCTAGCGTTTAGCGTTCCGTGTATGTTTGTGGCTGTTGGTACTACGGGAATACTCCAGAGCCTTACCCCGTCATAGTCCAACGCCATTTGAAAGCACAACAATCCTTTACTGCGGCTGTCTGGTCTTTCCGCTGCGACCATCACCGTCAGCGATTCTGCGGCCTCACTCTTATACCACAATATGCATCTTCTGGGCTGCATCCCTCTTTCCGTCCTCTCCCTGGTCTCGTTGGTGGCTTCCTCCCAGGTGCAATGGGCTCGACCACCAACAGTTCAGTCCTCGACTTTGGTCGACATCCTCAACGCAGACGAAGACTATACTTTACTCCTTTCTTTACTGCAACGCACAAGACTCATCCCGACCTTAAACAAACTGAATGGCAGCACTTTCTTTGCACCAACTAATGATGCTGTCGAACATCACTCCCTCACTAACGGCCTTTGGCGTGATGCTCTCACGGAGAACGGCTTCTCTTTATTTGCCGACAATGTGCAGGAGAGGCTACGGCAGCAGCTTTTCTATCACCTACTCAATTACACTCTGCCGACTTTGCCTACCGACTCAACCCCACATGTTCTCGAAACACTTCATTTTCCTAAACCTTACGTCGAGCCTCCAACGAATGAACCCCCACCATCTCCACCATGGATGCCATTACCTCAAAGCACCCTAGGTAACAAACCACAGCGTCTCAGAATTACTTCAAGGGATGAAGAATCTTGGGTTGGCGTTAATGCATTTGGGGAGGGAGGCGTGAAGATAGTAAAGGAGAAGGCGGCAGCTGACAATGGAGTTGTGTACGGTGTTTCTGAGGTACTCGAGTTACCCCTTGACCTAGGTCTGTGACCTTTTCGCCACTTTATTGCGCAGAATGCGGTGCTCATATGACATCAGAACAAGTTGTTTTGCAGCAGCCATCGCTGTCTTACTTCCGCAAGGTCGTCACTCCAAGCATTCAAAAGCTACTCAACACGACTCCTGAGTTAACTTTGTTCATGCCTGTCGACTCCGCATGGCAGATGCTTGACCCTCTAGAGCGCCTTTATCTCGAAAGCGAATTTGCCACGGATGACCTGAACAGGATTGTCAATATGCACGCTGTGGTGGAGCGGCGTGTCAAGTGGTCTGATTCGTTTAAACCCGCTGTTAACTGTACGTATCTTCACGTTTGGATGTTCCATACACCGCCGACTAACGCCGTTCAGTTACCTCTGTGGAGGGAACGAAGCTAGAAATAATAGTATCGGATGATAAGATAAAGGTCTCCGATGCCGAACTTGTAGAACCTGACATCTACGCCAGCAATGGCGTCTTGCATTTGGTATCCTCGCTGCTTATCCCCCCAGGCGCTTTGCAATTAACACCTGAGAAGTATCTTCTTGCTTTGAATTGCACCTCCTTCATTTCTCTTATACACTCGGTTAACCTCACCCACCTGATCAATGACACTGAAACTGAATATACGATTTTGGCACCGAAAGATGATGTCTTATCGTTGTTTGAGGACGATGGCTTACCGAAAAAGGGTACCGAAGAGCTGAAGAAGTTATTACAATACCATTTCATCCCGGGGAAATGGCTTCCGAAGAAGCTGAAGAATGGCATGCTACTTGAAACCGTTCTTCAAGACGTCGGACTGGATGGCGGAAGACAGGTGCTGGACGTCGAGGTGGACGATGACGGAAAACAGGCCTCTGTCCAGAGAAACGTCAGATTTGGTGGAGCTGGCAGTATCGGTGATCATCGTATGTATCCCACGTTTTACGTTTCATTTTGCCTTAGCCTGAGTACGTTTATGCACATAACTTCTAGTTGAAATCAACAACACAGTAATTTATTTCGTGTCGCGCCCCCTCGAAGCGCCATCTGACCCGCTGGCTATGGCTTTACCTTCCCTGGAGCTTTCTTCATTCCTTGCTGCTATATTTTCCACTTCTCTTGCAGAGATGCTAAAGACAACTCCTCGGACTACTGTCCTCCTTCCTCCTAATTCTGCTTTCAAACGGCTGGGTTCACTCGTTAGTGATCACTTACTGGCGGCATCTTCCAAGTCTGATCTAGAGCACGTGATCATGCACCATATTATTGATGGTGTCGAGTACTCCCAAAATTTGGTGGAAGGTTCGCAACGTACTTTTGCCACCCTCGAAGGTTCCGATCTACAACTTGAACGGCCTGGAAATGGAACAGTTATTCTCAGCGCCAGTGGAGGTTGGCCCAGCATGAAGAGTGAACTATTCCCAAAGAACATGCTAACGAACACAGGCGTCATCCACCAAGTCTCTGACCTCATGATACCTCGATCGGTGGAGTTGAACGTAGGGAAGTTGATGAAGGCGGCTAAGGCGACGACGATGGTCAGTATGGTGGTGAAAGCTGGGTTCGATTGGATCTTGAATGGTACTGCCCCTCCGGAAGGATCGCAGTGGGAGCAGGAAGGCCTCAGTGGCGTGAGCTGGACATTACTATGCCCCACTGATGACGCTTTCAAGCAGTACAACTTGACAAGCCTATTCGAAAACGTTGACCACCTTCGAGAAATAGTAAGCCAGCACCTTGTGCCCACCCCCCCGTCATCCTCTGGCGGCTCAGAGCCATTTGACATGTACAACGTCATCAACAACAACCGACCATTACCATTTGATGAACTAGGTACATATACGACGCTATTATCACCGTCGTCGATCTACGGAGATATCGTCTTCAAAGAATTGGAGGATAAGACGGCGACAGGTTACATGGTAGGCATCAAGGGTGCACGAGGTACTAATGGAAAGGCAGATTGGGCGCGCGTTCTTTCATGGGGCCGAGCTACCACAGGAGGAGGAACTGGAGGCGTAATTCAAATCGATCGTCTGCTGGATCCTTACCATCCTTTATGGTGGATTGCTTATGGGGGACCGACTGTCGTGGGTGTGATGGGTATCGGTCTGATTTGCTTGTTTTTCTATGTGGTTCGCATAGTGTGGAACAGAGACACCACGGAAGCGACATATGAACCGGTCGGTGGGTTCGGACGAGATGATGATTCATGAAGGATGTATAGACTGTACACATTTTATGTTTGTAGGTTACTTGATAGACTATGTTCTTTACACGTATTTAATAATCTGATAAGATTACTGTGAATATTTATTCGAGGAGTTTGATCGGATAGACCGGCTGGTGGGTTGCATTTATCATGCGCAAGTCCGCACCTCCGCACCCGCACCAGCAGCCAATGCCGTGATCGCGACAACATAGGCGGAACACCGCACTACACGTCCCAGTCTTCATCTGCTACCAAATCCTCTTTATTCAAGGCCACCATGGCACGTATTTCTACATCCATGCATAATCTTAAACTGATGTATTGGTTCAGAGCAGTGAAGCACCGGCAGTGGAGGAAGCGAAGAATTCTGCACTTGAAAATGCAAAGTCTTTTATCGCCGGTGGTTTTGGTGGAGCCTCTGCTGTGCTCGTTGGTGAGTTTCCAATCACTATAGCCTCGAGATAGAAACAGAAACAGAGTCTGACGGCGCTACCAGGTCATCCGTTTGATCTCACCAAAACACGCCTACAAACCGCCGCGCCTGGTGCCTACACTGGTGCTCTCGATGTAGTGCGGAAAACATTGGCTAGAGATGGTGTCACTGGGTAAGCATCACTGTACGATCGATCTTGGCATCGTATCTTCACGGATTCCTGCAGCCTTTATCGCGGTATGGTCCCCCCACTCCTCGGTGTAACACCGATTTTCGCGGTATCCTTCTGGGTAAGGCATAATGCGTATACGGATTTCACTGATCTGCTATACTCATAAACCCGTTTTTCAGGCTTACGATGCATCAAAACGACTTATATTCTCATTCACACCCAATCGTACTAGCGAGAGCTTATCCACCGCAGAGCTCGCGACTGCTGGTTTCCTATCGGCTATTCCGGCGACCTTGGTGACTGCCCCTGTGGAACGTGCAAAAGTATTGCTACAGGTATGATGGTCCAAAAAAAAAAAAGCTACGAGTCTCATTTGCAGTAGGTGCAAGGCCAAGGGGGCTCAGAGCAGAAATATAAGGGCGTTTTCGATGTCATGAAGCATTTATACAGAGAAGGTGGTATTCGTAGTATTTTCAGAGGGACTGGAGCGACATTGGCCAGAGATGGCCCAGGGAGTGCTGCGTACGTCTTCGAAGTTCTTCTATGAGGATTGACGATAGACTAATGGTTGTCCGACATAAGTTACTTTGCTACATATGAAGTGACCAAGAATATGCTGACGACGAAAGGGTCATCTGAGCTGAACTTGGGTGCAGTTATTATGGCAGGTGGTACCGCTGGTGTTGCAATGTGGGCAATCGCTATACCCCCAGACGTAAGACTTCTCTCATACAGTGAGACATCAAAAATGTTAACTTTTACTCTATAAAGGTATTGAAATCAAGACTGCAGTCTGCGCCTACTGGCACGTATTCTGGTTTCTTGGACTGTGCAAGAAAGACCATTGCTCAGGATGGCGTGGCTGCACTTTGGAAAGGTTTTGGGCCAGCAATGACACGGGTGATCATCTATCTTCTATGGCAATGGCCTTGTGGCAAATGCTCATGTGGGACACTTAACAGGCTTTCCCCGCAAATGCTGCTACATTCGTGAGTCCATACGTTTCATTTGGTCGATCATCTTTCTCTGATATTGCTACCCGTAGCTTGGGGTGGAGGCGTCTCGGAAATTCATGGATTCAATGTTCTAATGCGTGGATTATTAGTAGAGATAGACTACATGCATATCCGGTTCTAGACATTAGGAATTTCGGGCAATTCAAGCATTTCTATAAAGTTAGTGCAAGTGATTCGGATGCAGTTCAACTTCGAATGGTATATGGTGGGTCTTTTATCATTGTCAGGCTGGGTAACCTTCAGTCGACTCTTACTCTCGTGTGGACTCGAGGGTAGTATCCGTAGAATTTTGGTTCCGCGGCACTGGCTGTGCTATGTGTTCAAAGGCTGTGTTGTTACGGCAGGATGTTCGAATTCATTTAGCAAATCTGGGAGGGAACTTGAAAAGGTCAGGAAGCCCCCTTTGTCCCATTCAGTCTTACGACCACTCACGTTCTCTTTGCCTTTCTTACGACCCTTCAAAACCAAAACCATTCTCTTGTATCTGGTGAGCGTGTAAATGATTGTTGCTTGGCTCACTTCTCTAATATCTAGCTTCAGCATGTCATCTAAACCAAAAGCTAGCAAACCCAGGGCCGTCCCGGTTTACACCCGCTCTGTCTCAGCATCTGAGTGAGTTTCCTCAGGTTTCCCTCGTCGTTCGCGTCATGTCAAAGTACATTTAATGTAGAATTTCTCGAAACCTGGGTCATTTTGAGACTTGGTCCACATATCAAGGCTGTGAACAAGTTTCTTCCACTGATATACCAGAAGAATTCTCAGAAGAATTGAACTGCATCTTTGATGTGGCACCCAGATTACCTTTAAGCTGGTTAAAAGAGGTAAGACTCTCAAATGAAAAGTTGACTTTCTCACTTTTATCTCCTAGTCATTCAAATGTACACCCGATTTCTCTGCCTTTATACGTTCAGCCTCCAAAGAATGCCCTACCATGTTCTCTGATAACATTGAGACCTGTGAAAGTGCCGAGCTTTTTGAAGACGTCACTATGGTCTTCTCCGTCTGGAAACGTCTTTGCAGGATGCTGCGTTCAGAAGAAAGATGGTCTGAAGCAGACTTTGAAGCGAATGTGTCAGTCTGCGTGGCCGACATAACCATATTTTTCTGATTCCACATTCCTACAGCTACAATACACTCCGCAGTCCCGCGGTGAGAGATAGTACATATCGGTCAGTAGAGCCGAGCCTCTGATGTTCTCATGCTGACTCATGCTTAGCGTTCAATGTACACTCTCTTTACCACAACCAATCATCCCCCTCCAAGCTGACACAGACGTGTCTGTGCCTCGAATTTTAAATACGAAGACCGCAGTACCAGACTGTGCCATCTTCGTTCCCGTCTCCACCACCCGCTCACTCTCGCATTCAGCCAAGTCGCCTTACAAGGTCCTGAAGAGCCATCCGCTCGTAGCCAAGGCAGGAGGTGCCACAAAAGGCTCGTCGTTCAGCTATCAGAGTACGCCGTGTGCTCAGCTTCCTGATTTTCCTCGCTTCGAGTTCATCAGCAGCGTATGGGAAGATAAGAAGCCCATACACACGCTCCTAGATGATGCATACAGACAGAATAGGATGGCAACTGCGAGTGTCGTCCGTCACCTTCATTCATTAAATATACAAGCACCAATTATAGGACTTGTCTGGGCCAATGGGACGGTGAGAGCGCACGTTGATTGGTGTAAGGAGGAAACCGAGGGGCGCCCTGTGAGTTTACAGTTGTCACGCGACACTGTTTGCTAATTCTAGCGTGAGGTCATCTATTCTGCACCATACTCAGGGGCAAAGAATACCAATCGGAATGAAACATTCCATGAGTGGGTACTAAACAGGCCTAGTGACATCCTGCGGGTGTACATCATGATCCGTAACATTGACATGTGGACGGTTGGACGTTTCCATGAGCGTATTGTCAAAGGCTGTCACCAGCTGGTAAAAGACGTAACAGTCAATGGGCAGAAGTACAGTCCCTGGAAACGAGTCGGAAGCTTAGTGCCGGCTTTAACAATAAAAGTAGCGAAAGAAAACATATCTACGACAACGACGACCACGCTCTCGTCAAGCCCTCCCCGCAAAGTGAAATCAAAGCGCAGAAAGCGACGATCAAGTCATTAAAGTCTTTGGAGTGAGTTACTTACTGAATTTCCACGACGATAGATCGTGGTGATAAAAGACTTGCAGTTCACATATTATATGATTCCTCTGCAGTCCGTTCCGTTTAGTATCATAAGCTGTAGGCTACAGTATTGTTTTACATTTTGTTGCACATATATTTTATCTACCTCCAAGCTGATGGGATTTTGGGGATCACGTTGGCCCACGATGACAGCCTGCCCATCTCCCAGTCCTCTATATATGAAAGCCCCGCATTGGCACGTCGCCCTTCTTCCGTGTTTAGACGTTTCTCTGCGTCACACCAAAAGAGTACCCAAGATCCTGATCGCATGTGACCAGTGCTTCGTTCAAAGTACCACTTGTTCACAGGGTTGTCAGCCCTGCTTCGCCACACAAGATCCCGGCCTTCTCCTTTGCCCTGCTTGCCCCCGTTAGGATTGAGAGATGCAGGGTCACCAAGGCCATAAGATTCGTCGTGTAAAGCCACCCAGAGGAAGTCTACTGTGCCGTCACCCTGATGACTTGGCAAGACAGCAAATTTGTCCAGGTATGAGATAGGGGGAGTAGACGAGTTGGGACAAGATTCATTGGTGACAATGGCTGCTCCAACGTAATCGCCAGCGATAACGACAAAGTCTAGCGTTTTTTCCAAGCGCTTGTAAAAAGAATCTTTGTCCAACTTTCGGTTGAAAGACTGTTCTAGAAGGTAGTTCATCTTGCCTTGGTCTATGTCGGCGACATTTTGAACGACAGAGATGGGTAAACCTCGCCTCAGCAACGTGGGTGTATGTTGTGAAAGTTTCCGATTGCCTTGCAACAGGGCATGAGGCAGACTGGAACTGACAGCTGGCTTATTGGTGATCAAGTTGGCGATAAGAGAACTAGGAGATCTGTGTGATACCATCACAGCAGAAGAAGTAGGTGGCATGTAAGCTAGACACGTGCGTGCCAAAGAGAGATTCGAAAGGGCGGTGGGATTGCTGTCTTGCCATGATGGATGGAAGGTATGGTGGATATGGTCAAATTCAGAATCAAGGTTGATAAGGAGATGGGGATAGCCAGAACGAGCGTAGGATGGCACACCGCCTTCACGATTTATTATTAGGAGGCGCAGAGGGGTGAGATCGACGTCGTCCGAATAATCGGGATGTGGCTCTGTCCGACGTCCATCAAGGGATGCAGCTTCGACCATGCCACGAGCTAGCGCTCCGACAATATCGTTTGCGTCAACGCGAACGGACCGGCAACCTGAATCCAAAGCAAACGGAGGCAGTACGGGTATTTCCCCTGCACGAAGAGCAGACCTAATAGGAACCAAGTCAAGAGGAAGCACGTGAGCTTCGGGAGGAGTGAAGTCAAGATTGCCCTGTGTCTCATCCTCTCCAGGTTTGGGTCCCAGACGGACCATGCTACCAAGCACGGGACGAGCCTTGACATTTTGCTTTTCCAGGGCGGTAACCACACGCATTGTCTCTTCAATCATCTCGGACCGTTCGCCTTCTTCACCTCTCGGTAGTTTATCGTTTTCGACCACGATGACGCTGACCAGTCCGAGCTTTTCGAGATATGCCATGCCACGTGCGATGCTATCAAGCTGTGTATCCGTAAAAGGTCCCTGTATCTTGACAAGGGCTGTGCGACGGTAGACGGGATTGAGGATGGAACTTATGATGGGTATGGATTTGGACTGTTCGATGTATTTTTCTGGAACGGCGGCTACAGCTGGCGCCTGCTGTGGGAGCGGCGGTGTCGGAAGGTGAATAAACTCTGGAGGGATTATAGGTGTGCGCTCGATGGCCTGCGGCCAGACGCCGAAGGATGCAAGATATGATTTTGTGTCACGGAGGGAGGGGTTGGCTCGAAGGATGGAGAGGATAAAGTCCTGAAGAGAAACGAGGTCAGACAAAGAAGCTGTATACGTTAGCGAAGTCCTTACATTGCCTGATGGCTCCAGCTCATCTGACTCGACGACGACGGGGGCACGATTTCGCAGGCTTCGGATTGTCTGTATAGAAGTTCAGTCAGGTGTACAGGGTGGAAAGGGGATATTGTGCACGAACGGCATAGAAAGCTTTAAAGGTATGTGACCGCTGGGTCCTTACGGCTGCAGCAACGATTCTGTGTGGACCTGGTAGAGAGGAGGGATATATCATGGCGGTGGGATGTGGGGCTGGTCTGAAATTTTTGAAGATGGCGTTTTGAAGGTTATTATATATGAGTCATGAGTGGTCAGTTCCTAGTAGGACATAGCATTTACTGCGAATGTCCTGTATGCAGAAAAATGAATCAGATACGAACTTTGCCAGGTTTTTTTACCATATGGGTGAAGAAATAGCTGTCTTAGCCGCAGTGCGGCCAATCTGCCAGTTGCTGTAGAGCGGCTACGGCCAGTGCGTACTGACAAAGATCGCAGTGGCACTACAAGCGAAACAGCAAACTTAGACAGACAAGCTAACAAACAAAAAGGAAACGCAGAAAACGCGCAAAACAATTCTGGAAACGTTCCAGCCTATTGGGACCCTCACGTTTGCAGCATCATCCAGTAGAGAAATCCCCGCATGTAAGCACGGCCTTTCATTCCATCGGCCAATCACTTTATCCCCTCATCATCGTGCCCGATCCAGCACTCCCCTTTCTCCTCATTTCCTTACAGCTACCTACCTGAGTGCACTGGCGTGGACACACTAGTCATACTGTACCAGCCCACAACACAAGTGTGTGTACTTATACACTAAGCTAATACTCCAAGCAGTGTTGAAACCGAGGAGAGGAACTGCGTCTATATTGCTACAAGATACGATACGTGCATCACATCAAACCATGAACAGGCCCAGGTTCTTACCTACTCGCGTTCTTCTCGGCGCTACTCCCATACAATAACGTCCGTGAATAGCCTTTTCCAACCAGAACGTAACAACGATATACCTAGACTTTGTGGCGTCAGAGAGCGCCTTCCGATGAGGTGTAGCTGTGGTAGTTATCTGCATCGCATCGCCAAATCCAGAGAACGCCATCGTAGATAAGTCTGGCACGGACATAACACGGTGAAACCTTGCAAAGCATCCGGACATAGGCAGCCGTGGTAGATGAAATGAAAGCCAACCAACCTGCTCCATCCCTCGTGCGCCCGTCCTCAAAATGAAAGAACATGAAATTTGCGGTCGTCAGGATCGTCCTAGACGAGACAGATTTAAATTGTAAATCAAATAGCAATTATAGCGCAATAGAACTTGATCAACGCACGGCCACCAAAATCAAACCATCTTCACTACACATGACCGCGTTTGTCCTCCTTCCTGGGATTACATCTTCAGGTAGAGAGCGTTTGATAATTCGGTATGGCAGTGATGTGCGGACCTCTCTGGTAGCGAAGAGTCCGCCGCTAACAATACTGGGAGCGGTGATCCACTCCTCGTCCTCACCCGGTGTTCCGCCGGTCGACTCTGCCCTGCTTAAAACCAAGTGGTTGAAGTCATACAAATCGACGATGTATTCCTTATCTGGTCCGGTCATCGTGGATATACCGCGGGCGCGGAGTGAAACGAATTTCATGCCAAAAACGTAACACACCCAGACGTTAGACGTTCGGGGAGAGGTCATCAAACGTGTTCCCTCGGGCCCCCACTCTTCCCATTCGAACTGGCGTAGATCTTCTCCATCATCCAATGTACGCAAACAAGATAACAACGTGTCTGTAGGAACGAACGAGTCAAACGAGGATATATTGCCCTCGTCATCTGACAGGACCAAACTGATCACGTAGAGCCTGTGTTGTCTAGCTGTCCAAAAGGGTAGTTGACAGCCAGGTGGTGAGGTCCAATCAGGAGAAGGATCGGATCGAATTGAAAATACGAGAGGAACAAGGGAAGGGCTGAGTCGGGGATACTGGAATGAGCACACAAAGTTTATGTCGTGGAAATTTGCACGTGCTTCAGTTCCATCTTCAATATCCAGCACGATTAAAGTTGGCTGCGCGATAGTGGTGATTGGATCACAGTTCATACCCACCAGTAGATATCGACTGCTAAGAAAAGCAAAGCTAGCCATATCATCGTCGCAGTGAATATTCTGTGAGAAAAGATGAATTAGTCCTAAGATAATTAGTGCTGAGACCTATCATTACCATGACTTTACAACCAGTTTTCCAGTTCCAGAGTACCAATTCAGTCGAACCACTATTGATGAATAGCTCATTGCTGGTGAACATGACCGCAACAATATCGGCACATATTTGTATAATGAATGTCAGTCTATTGTTTACGAGGCTTGTGTTGTGTACAAGGACGGGTGGATTAGATGCGAGAGGATGGCGGCCACCGGTTGTCATTGACCGAAGTTGGACCGCAATGTGCAAGAAAGAGTCACCGGGAGATGGCCTAAAAGAGGTTAGTGAAAATCAACTAAACTGGTGACACTGGACTCACACAACCACAGGATTTACAACGGCTACCAAAAGATCTTGCGCCGGGTCAATGGTAAAATCGCGTATTTGGAACTCGACGATGCTGATTTCCCACTCCTTTTCTTCGATACCGCGAAGCGCAGAAGGAAGCTGCCTGAAGAAGATAGTATTATGGGTGTCCTTGGCCTGAGCGAATACACCGCCGTACAACTCCCAGACATGACCACCTAAAATTTGAAGAGACTTGTGACTAGTCCACTCCAGTTTGTTCCAAGCTGCTTGATGCCTCTTCAAAAGATCGAGTCGTACGGCTGTACTTAATCCGCTCTGAGAGCCTTCTTCCATGTTAGCGGCTGCTAGCTCTATTTTGTGCTGCAAATTGACATCTTCATCTATGATTTTACGGAAGAGACGAGAGAGCTGAATAGATCAGATGAGAGGATGAACACTAAAGACTCCCGCTGGAAACGCACCGTTCTGCATGGAACCAAGGCACGAAAATCGAGGTGATCCAGTGTCTTAAGGATTAGCTCTGACGGTAAGGAAAGCAAAGGGAAAGAGGTGTCTTGGGATGAATGCATTGTGGGGGCAAGGTTGAGAGAGATAAGGCCGTCGAACACAAAAGGGGAGTCGGGTGGTTGTCCGAGATCCGCTTTGCCCCAATGTTGACGTAATATATTTACTACAAGTTCAGTCTACGAATAACTTGCACTTTTATTGTTGGGATGTTGAGGGAAATTGCTGCCAGGGGGATGCTCTGGCCATACGCTAGCAATGATTCAAGTGATGCTATGCTCAAACTCTTATTATGTTTGCATATCATAGCTTTTATCCTGACTTGTTTAGAAAAATACGGTACAGATTACAAAAACCTAGAATATGGGAATCCCCCTACCATCTTCAAGCTATCTAGATGCGCGAGATAGACCTAACACCTCCTCTTTTGCTGCCTTGTTTGTGATGTTTGAACCTCTGAGTTTGACCTTTTGCGTGGAAGAAATCTATGTAAAGGGCAAAGGATAACATTGCTCGCGTCTCCGTGTACATATTGCTTGTGTACATTTATCAGATTCTTCGCAGTCTCCCTATGAATGCCTTCCAGGATACCTTCAAGTTTGATGATCGGATATGATTCCTCTGCGCTCCGATAGGCGTTTCGCAGGTGACCCGCAAATTCACCAAGAAATTTACTAACGGGCTCACATGTCTTCGTGATCGCCTTGCAACGACTCAATTTGAAATAGGTGAAGAAATGTTGACGCGAAGTTCGGCCAAGAACACCGGGGAAGATTGCTTGAAGTGTGTTCCACTGGTTAACCAAATCAACAGTGGGATGGTTCTGGTCAGTATAATAAAAGAGGACCCATGTCGAGGTCCACCACACAGATTCAATATCATGCAACCCATTCATCCGAAAAGGAGGGCATTCACCCTCACCCTCGTCATTGTCTGGTTCAAACAGGTATATCTTAGAATCTACTTCCACCGCCATGAAATGGGGAGTGCCCTGCCAATGGGCCATCAGTGGGTGATATCAATATTATCGCCGGATCAATCTCACCGTTTGCACCTCATGGAACTTATTAGAACGAATACATCTTGCATATTCAAAATCGGCGAGTTTGCCAGTGCCCTGGTTGCCATCGGTGACCCATAATATATTACCGACGCTGACATCACGATGTACCCAGCCAACTTTATGCATGTAATATAGGGCTGATTCTGGCGTGAGCGAGTGAATGCAAGAGAGAACAGAGGAGTAGCCTACCCTTAAGCGTGTCTTTTAAACAACAGATGATATTTGCTAGACTGGTCATATCCTTAAGGGCAACACCCACATCCTCAAAGACGGTGCGAGAGTGAATTCTGCGCGGGATGGGACTATCATCATTTAGCGCAGGGACACATAATACGCGCCAGACCCAATCTGGTACATGTCCTTCACTGGGTAAATCCCACTGTGAGCCGAGGGCCATACTGCTATCAACGGTCAACCACTCAAAAGTGCAGCTGGCCCCACCCTCCGTGGGGTCGAAGGTTGAATCGCAGATATCACCAATTAAAACATCTTCGTAGGCTAGAACTTTCAAGAAGTGTTTCTCCGCTTCTGCTGCTTCATGTCCAAACTGTTCCCGAATAGCCAGCAGAATCTGCTCTAATATGGCGCCCTCTGCGTCACGGTTGAAATCTCTCCACGAGTCTTTTAAAGCAACCTTCTTTCCAGTAATGTCATCGCGTGCCTCATATACGCGAGTTCCACGGCCAACCATATAGTCAGCGCTATAAGTCGTTATTGGCCGCGTCGTGGTAAACTTCATAAGCTGATCCTTGTGATGAAGAGAGAACGTGTAATAAATTTTATCCCGGATCGAAATGCGCTCAATAGTGGGATCCCATCCGAGACCCACGTCGGTGACGGATCCAAATGAGTAAAAGAGGGAGATGACGTCGTCGAAGTCCTAAGAATTAACCACAGTGAGTGCCGAGACATACACTATAATACATCGACATACACTGAGGAAGTCGATAGGCTCAGTTACCGCGAGAAAAGCACGATTGCTCAACCACAGTCTCAGGTTCGTGTTCTCAATCGTGATGCCATATGCAAAACGACGACACGGGTCCTCTCGCATTATGTTATGGAGGCTCCAGATTATCTTCTGTTCGTTCTAAGAAAAATGTTGGCAAATTGGTGTGGAAAGGATTACTTCTGACTTACATCCCTGATGTCCCCTGGATCTAATGTCTTCTTGAACTCGGCGGGTACAGCAATGTCAAACCAGTGGACCTTGTCCTCCACGAGCAGCTTGGCGGTTTTTGTTTTGATGGACTTAAGGTACCCATCGGGACGGGAGGTATTTTCTCGATCTGAGATTGACGTGATATATGCATTGTTGTGGTAGTGTACTAGATGATTCGACGTGTCCCTCAAGATCCCATTGATGATATCACCCAGGGGTCGAAATACCACTTCTTCGAGCTCTTCAGACTTGGCGGGTTCGATGTCAAAGCCCTTCCATTGTTGAGCTGCTACTCCATCAATAACAGCTCCATTTCGAGTGATAATTCCATCTTCCTCCAATTTTGCACGTACTCGAGCGACTTCTTCTTGAGAAACACTTGTTTTGAGACGATTGAATGGAAGCTTGAGGACCTTTTTCAAGTTACGGAGAACAGCGGTGCGGGACAGGTTAAGGTCTCCCGTACAGTGATCGCTCTGCGTAGTACGGCGGGCGACAATGGAATTTGTGGGGATGTCTTGGGATCAACTGTCGTGGCGGACGTTGGACTCGTCCTTCCAGCAATGCGCAAGTCAGCTTTACGCTTACCTTGCCGCCAGCACTATAATTTAGGTTACTTCAGCGTCATGCCATTGCCTCGGCGTGACCAGTTGTGACCGGCACCTGACTGCAAGTCTTTCTCGGAATCCCGAGTGTTTCGTATTCCCTTCAGCTTTCTCATTTGCTTATATCCATCCAGCACCTTTTCTTGTTGGCCATGTCGTCCATGACAGTCAATATCCGCAAAAGAGCAACCACAAAGGCGAGCATATCCATTCAGTACAGATATCCCTTTCGCCATTCCTCATATTGACACCGAATTACCGCTATTTCACGCAGTTCTACCAGGAGGACATCGTGCAAAGGACAGGATCTCCAAATTCCTACGGAATTGTTCTAGTGAGCTGCTAGAGCGTTACTCTGACTTTGTCTGGCACTGACCTTCACACCTCGCAGAGATGCTGGCACGATGCGGAAGAACTCCCACCTCCGCATTCTTTCATGGACCCACTCATGCGCCCGCTGGAACCAGGCGAAGTCGGTGTATCGTTCTTTCCAAACGGCGTCCGCGAGATCCTCCCAGAGTCTGAATTCGTCCTGGTCGATCGCACATTCCAGGCAGGAGATTATTGCAAACGCAGTGTCGATGATGTCCGCTCGGGTGTCGTTACTGCTATTGAAGTAATGGCACGCCTCGTTCACGCTGTCAGTGGGGCGTCTGTCGAAGGCTGGAAGAGTACGTGTGATCTTGAACATTCTATGGACGTCGACATTGGTGATTATGTCGTCTATAACGATTGGGTTGGTCAGGTGTGTAGCCCCACAGCTCTCCATCAATCACATATTCATGTTTGAGTAGGTCATCGAAGTACTTTCTATATTATAACTTTATCGGGCATACCACTGATCCACTATTAGCTATTTGATGAAAATATAGTAGAAATGTCTGGCGGTCAGCTGGTTCGACTTCCTGAACTTAGTTCTCGATTAACTGTGGGCGACAAGGGCAGTGTAAGTTCGCACTACCACCACAAATCATGTTCAGTTCTCATTTCGTTTCACAGGATATTCTGCCACCTCCAACAGCGAGCTTACAAAGCATATTCAGTTTTGCTATGGGTACAAATCGGCCCAGTAATCTCGATACAGTCGTGCAAGTGAAACATACAGTACTTGCGGTCTGCTGGCTGGCGGTTAACCAGAGTGTACGTATCCAGCCGATCTTTTACGTGCACAACTCACCGCCAGAATCTCGCTAGCTCGACCCTGAAGTAGCAGAAGCCCAAAGTCGACCTGATCGTTTTTGGCACGGAGAGAGTCTTTCGAAGCTTATGATCATCCGGACGAGAACCGATGACATACGTGTGGGTGACAAAGTCTTTCTGAAGAACGATGAAGGGGTTTCTGTTACTACACATGGTCAGAGTTCAGATCCAGCTGGTATCGTGACTGTTCGGACGCTTGCCGTAAAAGAAACTAGGACGAGGGTCACAGTTCTTTGGCAGGATGGGACGGCGGAAACTATTCAATCGACAGCGCTCATTCCATACATGAACCCCGATGAATACGACTGCTGGTAAGGTTCTGTCCCCTCTTCTCTGCTGTGCACTAACGCTCTGGCGTTCATTAAAGGCCTGGTGACCACGTGTTGTGGAGAAACGAAGATCAGAAACGAACAGCTGTTGTTCAGTCGGTGAATGCTGCGGACAGAATTGCCACAATACGCTTTACGGATACCGGTACTACTGAACTAGCGTCTGTCCTTGAACTTGACCCTAATGGGATGAGTGACCTATCGCTGGTTACCGCCCACCCTCATATTCATGGTCTCGGCGTTCGGCGAGGGGATTCAGTGTTCATACATAAAGAGGGATCCACTAATAGTGTCGAAAGTCCGAGGGTACCGAGGATAGGAGAAATTGAACACTGGGTTCGCGAACTTCCAGTATCATCCGACGGACAACTGGGCGGCTGGAGGCGCGAGATGTCTGATATTGGCGCCCGCATAGCAACTGATCGTATGTCGGGTGATCCTCCCGAAAGCCGTGTCCAGCAGCCTCCGATGGACGACACTCTGTCGTGGTTTGGAGAGGTGACGGGGGTAAGCAGTTCCATAGATCCGTGATATTTTCTACTCAATCTCTCCCTTTGCTTTCAGCTCAGGTTGGATGGGTCTGTGGAAGTCACACATCCCAATATGAAGATGTCCGTGTATCCTCTCGAGCGCTTGACAAAATTGTATGATAGCCTGGAACAATTCGAAGATGATGCCTGGGATGATGAGATGTCGGAGGATCAAGAGTCCGTCGAAGAAGGAGGCGGTGTCTGGTTCAAGGAAGAAGATGGCGTCTGGAAAATCGCCGATCAGGGAGGTGATGGAGATGAGTGGGTGGAAACTGATGATGAAGATAGCTCTATGGATGTTGACCCTCCATCATGGCATGAACCTATCGCTACCGCACAGCCCGTCAATGGTATCAACGGCCACCCTCCACCACAAATCACCACGATCTCAGTCGACTCATCTAACTCGGCTGACTCCACAACAGCCTCTCCTGCGTCGTCTTCAGCTACAAGGATTCTATCCCCGGATGTAGTTCCAAAAAATATAGTGGCGGACGAAAACGGCGAAGAGAATGAAGAGATGTCTGATGGTCAGACCCCTTGGAAACAGTTTGAGATGTTATCATCTGCGCCTCCCGATCATGCCTTCTACGGCAGCGTCCCTGCTCAACCATCCAAGGCTTTCCTTGGACGGCTCCAGAAGGAATATCGTGCTTTATCAAGCAGCTTACCAGGTCTGTTCTATACAATTGATGAGGCTAATTCAAGGTCTGAATACTCGGGGCAGATTCAATCATTGTCCGTGCATACGAGGACCGTACAGACCTTTTGCGGTGTCTGATTATTGGACCCGAGAATACTCCTTACGAGGATGCACCTTTCGTCATCGATTGGATGCTTGATGCGGGTTTCCCACATAGTCCACCTATAGCACATTTCTGGAGCTGGACAAATGGGAATGGACGCGGTAAGTGTGGCTTTTGAATCAATTATCTTAGCTATCAATCACTAAAACAATACGTTCTTATAGTCAATCCGTAAGCTCGTATATCCTCTTCGTTGTGGCTACTAAGATTATTGATCTCTATTGTATCAGAAATCTATACGAAGAAGGCAAAGTCTGCTTATCCATCCTGGGCACTTGGGCTGGCGATAGGAACGAGACATGGAGTGCGGCGCGCTCGTCCTTGCTTCAAGCATTTGTGTCCATTCAAGGACTAGTCCTTGTAAAAGAGCCGTAAGTTTAGACATCATCTATTAACCGATGCAGCTCATTCGCCTCGGTCAGATGGTTTTGCGAGCCTGCCTACGAGAAGCTGAGAGGTACTGAAGAAGGGCATGTGAATAGGTAAATCTCATTTTCCTCCTTGCGCCTATTATCCCTGACATGATGGCAGTCGTTTATATAACGAGAAAGCGTATGTGCTTTCTCGTGGCTTTGTCAGACGGGCCCTGGAGATTCCTCTGGGTGGTTTGGAATCTGAGGTGAACTGGATGTACTATACGAACGGGAAACTGGCGAAGGTTTTGTCCCACTCCCATGCACTGATCGAGAAGAGCAAAGCAAACCCGGAAAGTCTTGATCTAGACCTGGATCTTGCTGTTCCAAGGCTAACAGCAGGAGGTATATTAACGTTGGAGCGAACACTAGCGAAACTACAAGCTCTTTCTCAAGGACGGACTTTGAAATAGGAGCGTACACATGGATTACATTTCTTTCTACATCTCGTCTTGTCTGTTATATTTTCTCAAAAATTGGAATTATTGGAATTGTATCATTGTAGATTTTCTTTGCGGTAAACAATTATTATAACTTCAAAATAAAACGTAAATAGATATCATGTTTGCCTCAGCATGTCAAGCCTACTATCCTACGTGAGCATATATTGAAATCAAAGTAGTCCCATGAAATCCATGAACAGAGCAAGATCCCAGCAACGTCTAAAGATTAGATCAATCAACTCTACAAGCGCTTTAAATGCTCTAGGGAACACCTGTATGGCAGTGAAAATGGGCTAGCCAGGTATAAGTAATCTTTCCACGAAAAGCCAGTGAAGAAAATTCTTAATCGTTCCGAAATGGCAGAATGTAGTAAAAACGTATGGAATGGGTAATGGCAAAATACCAAGCGATAAAAGAACGAACAAAGACGCCTCAACAAACAACAGACAACATGGGTAGAGGAGTAGAACACACTATCATTTGATTGCTAGATGTGCAGACGACGGAAGTCAACAATTAGAGGTGGGGCCACTCAAGGTCCTTAGCACTGCCCCAAGAAACTATTTTTTGGGAAAGTCTGTTTATAATCTGTTGTCCACGTTGTGAGGTTCGGATTCGTGTAAGCTTCCGTATATCTAGGCAAGTAATGAGATGACCAGGCTAGATGATAAGGGTAGAGAAGGCGCACTCGTTGATATAAGCAGCTGTAGGGAAGTCTGCCGGATCACAACCGACGTTGATAGAGTCCTTAGGTTGATACACACGAATCCAGTCCACGCTCATGACAGTAGGGAATGGTAAATTATCAGTGTCGATGTAAGCAAAGCTTGGCGAGAGTCCCAAATTGAAGATGATATACTGGTCATCAGACCAACAGTCAGCCCAATTTTTATATTATACAGACCATGTCACACACCATGGGCTCTTGTGTAATGGGCCTAGCTGAAATCTCCACACGAGAATCAGCAGCCATTGCACTGGCTTCCAATGTCCATGCAACTTCGTCGTTAGCAATCCAGCTGATATACTGCGAATGATGTTAACATAGCAATTGAAGTTTTGAGAATTTGACCAACCGCATCGTCCTGTGTATAACCTTACCGAAGAAGAGTCAATCAATGATCATTGCCACGCAATTTAGTGAATACCTGGTTTGAATTCAATACCCAAAGTCTGGTAACACCCCGTTTCGTTAGTGTAGCACTGTTGCTCTATACAAAAAGTATGAGCATAAACCATAAAATAGTAGGGAAAATAGACCTACCAGTGAGATTCGTTAAAGCTGACGTAGCTTGTTGATAAGCACCACCGGAGTAAGTATTCTGTGAAGTGATAGCAGGGTTGGGGATCACGTAGTTTCCAGTAGTATTGAACCAATCGTATTCCGCATTCATGGGCTATCAACGACTGTATCAGCAAATGTTAAGCACGACCAATCTTCAAACGGCGTACCGCCCACTGTCCAGATTGAGAAACAGCACCCTGGCCATCTAAAAGCTAATGCAATGTAAGTGGAAAACACGAGTCTTTGACATATTACTCACAAGAGCCTCGAAAATATCGATCTCAGGAGCTGCACGTCCGACATATGTTCCATCGGAATGCATAGGTCCCGGATGCGATTCACCTGGGCAAGTACATCTTGACAGGCGCTGACCTGGGAGGTAGGATAGAACATTCCCATTATATGGGTCGCCATTCTCAAGTGCAGCCAGTGGCTTCCCATCGTGCGTTTGGTTAGGTGCCGTTCCGACATCGCATGCGTCATAATTGTAAGGCCACTGTTGTATATCCATTCAATTATGAGAGTTGATTGCATCACAGATTACTCACTGTCCCATCGGTTGAAGCGCCATATCCCACACGACCTGTAGCAACATTGAGCAAGGATATCCTAGAAGAGCGTTGAGTATTAATTACCAAGATTTCCCATCGTCCAAACTGAACGAAAAAGATTGAGGCATTAAGCTGTAGATGAAGTACACGAGAATCAAAAACACTTACTAGCGGGCCATAATCCTAGAGTACAAGAAAGTGAGGCCGGAGAGCGATAGTCAATAGGATAGGTTACCTACCAGATACATTATTATAGCCGGGTAAGCTGACTGATACTAAAACCATGCCACCTGTGAAACAAAATTTGTTCCACGAAGTCATCATGCCACCCTGGTAATCAAGGTTGTTTATTTGTTTTTCTGATAGCTGGACTTGCAATGCGCCGCCGCTAGTGGTGATAGCTTCGGGATAGTACCACTCTAGATCTCCAGTCTATGATACCCAAACCAAATGAGTCGACATGGCAAGAATCACTTGCCAGACTCACCTGCCAGTAATGGAGATCTACCGCCTCCCAATAGGGGTCGTCTCCAGGCCAAAATGTTCGCCCGTCCTGGTTAAACTCATCACTAAAAACTAACTGCCATTCAGATCCATCCGCAAAAGATTTGATGGTATGTGCGTCTGACGGAGTATCGTTATCGATTAACCCGAAATTGTTAGGTATAGCTGGGACCTGTAAGGTATTAAAAAACATGGTTAACAGTCTATGGCATGCTGCGACTAACCTGCCCACTAGCGTTGATGCCACCAATATTAAATCCACCACCGTACGAAATACGGTTTGCGGTGAAATGCGATATTAATGGGTATCCTCCACTGATTAAATGCGTCAGAATATACCAGCAAACAATAGACAGACACGGACAAAAGAGTGAGCAGACCGAGGGAGAGGACTATCAAACAGCCCAAATTGGCAAAACCTCTGTAAGTGAGAATACTACCTCCTCGGTCTTTCCTATGATCCCTACGAGGGTCGGGGTTGTGGAGAAAGTCATCGGGTTCCGGATGATTGGGAGAGATATCGGCCCCCCATGAAGACGGATCAGGCGAGAGCGAAAACTATAAATTTTGAAAGTTGAGAGGGAAAGCGCAGAGGAAAAGCCGCGAGTTGGGTGGAGTGTTTCAGCGTTGTTAGGTAAAGAACACGAGGTAGGGAAATAGATAGCGCACTGACCTTGTCGGAAATAGACTGTCCTCCTGGAAGCGATGCTATCCGGCCTGCGGCTGCGCTATTATAAGGTGACTCGTTCTAACAGATTGTATGATCGTAATAGGATGTTGAGAGGTATACGGAACAAAGGCAAAAGTGAACATACCAAAGAGTTCACGCTCGCCATACTACGTAGCGAAGGAGGACCTCTGGCGAATGTGGCCTGTACGCCAGCCGGACTTCCTCTAGCAGATGGGGGCAGCAGGCTTGTCGTTGACGGGGCACCTGAAGCCAGTTGACCGTAAAAACGTTTTTGAGGATCAGGACCAGGAGAGGCCATTGTAGAGACTGTCTTGTGGATAAAAGAACGGGTTTACTGGGACGAATGATGTGAGTATTTACTATACAGGCTTACTGCTAACGCTGGTGAAGAAAGAGACACAGTGAGCAACTTACAACCGTCGTGATGAGACCTCGTGGGAAGAAAAGAGAACCATACGTTTCTGTTTGCGGCATTCTTTGCCCGGCGCCAATTCTTATTATAGTGGTCCTCAACGTTCAACCCTCGGCTAATGGGTTGGAAGGCTTTGCAGGGATAGGATCGTTCTTGTGCCGCCGTCAGTGGCCTATCATGATACTGAGATATTACAAGGTAAATTATACCATCTACAACCTTTATGTCCTTATGCTCTCGCAAACTAATAGGTTAGGCGGATTTCTCCTAATGGGCCTCTTCCCTCCTTGGCGTCATCGCGCTCCTGATGACGCCAGTCTCATTCGTGTTGACCCAACATGGTCCAACGTTGGGGGTTAAATTGAGGTATGCACCATCGGGGAAGCCGGTGGTTAAGGAGGGGTCTTCTGCTGTATGAGTGGGTTGGGTGATGTGATGTAAGTGTGGTGATAATGGAATGAGGAGGGAATGAGAGACGCATAGGATGTGAGGTGGTTTTACGCAGGAAAATACTCGAACTACCAAGGATCTAGACATTGCGTCCGTCTCCACTGACCACGACCACTTCTCTCAATGTTATTACATCCTCACCCCCTCACCCAAACGCTATTAACGACTGTGAACAGCAATATCAATGACAGTTTACAATTACAATCGTGATGGAATGGATGGAGTTCGGGACTCTCAAAAAGGTCCCAATCTCTGAACTCGTTACGTATACGTTTCGGACTCGGAAAGGCATTCATTCTGAGGTATGTCTCTTTGTAATTCTCTCTCTCTTGTAATAATCATGTGATCGCCTTTCCCTCCAAGTTGAATTTGTCGGTGTGCCTTGCAATATAATCGCAACAAGTCGTATAACGATAGTATTTCTAGACTCAATCATCCTTGCCACGCACCATCGCAAAGCTTTATCGGGGACGTCTATTTACCTTTTTTCTTCGCTGCTGCTGGCTTCTTGTTTTGTCGATTAGTAGCGCTGTGCTCGGCGATTCGAACAAGGGGAGGAATTATATGTGCAGATTAGGAAGGTATCCTGCTTCGTATGCTTGGAAAGTAGACGGTGTTCCCATTTTTTGATTGCTGTGAGGCTACGATGCATACGTTGTTTGCACGTCGAGTGGTGCAAGATGGAAGCAGGAGGATTCGCATATAACCACCCGTACCAAACCCGCACACTACCCCCCACCTTGTGTCTTGTCACCACCGTACAAAGCCAATCGAAAGATAATGGAGAACTTGTCACTTATTATTTTTGGTTTAGCCAGCTCCGCATTTATTGCTATCGCTGTGTCCAAGTATGTCAACAGACCAAATGTATGTTTTTCTTTCGCTTTCCACACAAAGTTGACTAATTGGCCCAAGCTTGACGCTATTCCAACAATCGGGCCTTCTGGTACCTTCTCCTCTTATTTGGGAGTTTGGAGATATATGTTCCATGCCTCTGACATGGTGCAAGAAGGGTATATCAAAGTCAGTCTTAACCGACCCCCCCTGTTTCTATCCTCAATATCTCTTCCCACCTAGTACAAAGGCAAGGCATTCAAGATTCCTAACGTGTATAAATGGCGTGTTATTGTGAGCGGCCCTGAGCTTATCGAAGAACTTCATAAAGCACCGGACAATGAGCTCTCGTTCCTCGAGGCTGCCAACGATGTACTAACTTCATTTGTATCTCCGTTACTAAAGGCTAACAACGAATTGATGTGGCTGTCGTATTATATTTTGAAGAGCCTAAAAGTCGAATTTACGCTAGGCCCAGAAATACATCACAATCCCTATCACATCCCAATTATTCGGTCACAACTCACCCGCAACCTTGGTGATATCTTTTCGGATATTCACGATGAAATGGTTACATCATTTGATGATATCATCCAGGTGAAGGACGATGGTGCGTTTGTACGTCTTCATGTTAACAAGTCATTACTTATTATAAACGTCCATCCTCAGAATGGGTAAGTGTTCCTGTATCAGATTCCATCATGCAAGTTGTATGTCGATCAAGTAATCGTCTGTTTGTCGGACTTCCCCTGTGTGAGTGCATGTGTATTGCCTATCTTGTTATGTCTCCGGATCCTTATCTGTTCTAGGTCGTGATCCTGACTGGATAGCCCTGAACATTCAATTCGCTATGGATGTTTTCAAAGGGGCCATCACAATCGACATGTTCCCTCAATTCATGGCGTCGTACGTGCCCTGAGTCTCTTATCGAGGGGAAAATTATCACTAGACGTACGTTTAGGGTAGTAGCTCAGTTCTTGACCAATTTGCCGAGAAGTATCAGGCGCGGAATCAGGCACCTGCAGCCTGTAATAGAGGAGCGTAAGACGTACCTGAAGGAATATGGCGATCATTGGGCCGAAAAACCGGTGCATTTTCACCTTTACGAAACTGTATGAAGCTAAAAAATGATAAATTCCAGAATGACATGCTAGCTTGGCTTATGGATGAAGCTGAGGCAGAAGAGAGTACAATACGAAATCTCACTATGCGCATCTTAGCAGTTAATTCTGCTGCAATTCACGTACGTCTTTTGTACTTATTCGTTGTCCATACTGATGATTCGTCAAACATGCCAGACCTCTTCAAAGGTACGTGTAATTATTCTCATGCCCACACTCATACCAGTCTTGTGGTGCTAATAGCTATGTATTACAGGCCTTCACGCATGCATTACTTTACTTGGCGGCAAGCCCTCAATTTGTTCAGCCGTTGCGCGAAGAAGTGGAAGCTGTCCTAAACAAGGATGGCTGGTCCAAATCTGCTTTGACGAAGATGCACAAGGTAGATAGCTTCTTGAAAGAAATCCAGAGGCTTGAAGGCTTTTCTTACAGTATGTCATACTTTGTCGATTAAATATTCTCATTAATTGGTTTATGATTCTTCGAATTACAGTGGTTATGGGGCGCAAGGCTTTGAGAGATTACACATTCTCCGATGGAACTTTCATACCAGCTGGAACAAGTTTATGTTCCCTCCTTTCCCATACACCACGATGGTGACATCTACGAGCATCCCAATGTCTTCAACCCTTTCCGGTTCGCTGATATATGTCAAGAAGGGGGTGAAGAGCTTCGGCATCGAATGGTCTCTACCAATCTGGGATACCTCCCTTTCGGACATGGTAGACATGCGTGGTCGGTTTTCCCTGTTGTCTAAAAATCTAACGGAACAAATCACTGATACCTTGAGCATCCCTCTAGCCCGGGACGTTTCTTTGCTGAAAATGAATTGAAAACAATGTTGGCTCATATTGTGGTGACATATGACGTCAAGCTGGAGAAAGAAGGTGTAAGGCCTGCCAACTCAACATTTTTTGGAACCAATATGCCGAACCCTAAGGCACAGGTTATGTTCAGGACGGGCTCTGTGAAAAGTTATTGACTGGTATAAATGATGCTTGCAGTGTACAATGTATCCTGGTGTATTTTTCATGTATGTATTTTTCCTACGTATCTCCAGTTTAGCGTTCCGGTATAGTCTGTGCAGTGTTTCATAAGGCTCTATTGTAAGATCAGCAAAGAAAATAATATTTAGATGGATATTTCGACGGACCTGTGGAGAGTTCGTAGTGCTGTAGGTCCAAACCTATTCAACAATCCGCCACGGAGGTTTCCGAGGATTTATTCTCTCCGCCAGTGCAAGTCCCGGTTGCGACATCGCCCAAACTCATCTGAGCACTGCTCGTTACCACCATATCATGCCTCCCATGGCTCTTACTGGAGTAGTATCGAAGGTTGGATTTATGAATAAGACGGCTACTGTCACCGTCTCGCGGCACATCATCCACAATATCACAGGGAAGGTGAGGTGAACCAGCTCTTTTGCTTTGGACGATGAAATCCAACTTCCTCACTTTAGCGTATAGAACGTAGTAAGAAGATACTGACACACGACGAAAAAAACAGTACGCGTTGCTATTTATCTTTCTGATCAGCGTCTGACTGATTGTCTTCTACTTTCTATAGTACTTCGACTGGACGACTCAGTATTAATTCGTAATTGTCCTCCTATATCCGCCAGAAAACGATTCAAGTTAGAAAAGATTTTGAAGAGTCCTGAGACTAAACGGGAGCTTGCGCATAAGGCAGCTGAGCTTCAGCCTTGATCTTGGACTACCTGTATGTGTGTTTTAGCTTTTTTCTGCTTCATAATATCTTACGAGACTAATGGCATATAGCAAACTGTTTACTGGCATACCTTAATAGCACACTCATGCGTATTAATCAACAGCTTCTCCCTTCCAGTCATTTTCAAGGCAGTCACTTTATCAGATTCGCTGTACTCGCGGTCCCGTACGAGGGTGCTTCGTGTTCATTACCCAAAATGCAATAAAGATCGTGAATACTCTTTTCTATCTGGCAATTCGCCGTGTGATATACGTGTTGCGTCCGCCTTCGTGAGTTCTCTTCTGCCGTAGCTCTCTTCGTTTGTCCCGTTCCCCATATGATGCAGAATTTCACACCCGCGGAGAGGCGCCCAATAAGGTGGTCTCGCTGACGCGAAGTTCAGGCAGCTCATTCCGGTACACTTCTGTTTGTAAGAAGGAACCGTTTGGGCGCTGGACAAGAACGGAAAGCTGATGGGCTTATACTGATTATTGTATTGCTTTAACAGGACTAGGATGTACATGGAGGATCAGGGATGTGCATGATACTATTTCAGCCAGTTCGATCATGCCATGTAAGGCTTTCGAGTCAGTACATCTTATTTCTGTCCTTAGAGGGAGAACGTTCTGCTTCTAAAGCAGTTGATACTCGTAATCTATATCTGCCGTCCACGAGTTGATGATATGTGAAGTTCTGTTAGAGCCGTTGACAAGGACGTGGGGACATGCCAACTTGTTGAATTAATTAATGTGTTGCGGTTATGATGGGAAGTTATAGTGTACACAAATAGTTCCGTGTGGGTGCCAACTTCTAAGCACCGAGAAATTGACGTTTTCAGGAGCACTGCCATGAGCGCGGACTACTGTCGTTAACCGTCAGCTCGGATGGGGGGGAGCTATTCGGACGTCACAGAGGTCACACAAGCCGAGTTAGAGCTCCGCTCGGCACTATCAGTGTTTGAACATGATTTTGAGTGTGGCGCACCTGAACTTTTTGAAACTGAGATTGCAGTACTTTAGTAGAGCGTTACTTTCTCGAAAGTCACGCACATGGAAGGAACTCGCTCAATAATTCAGGATTTTGTGCTAGGAAAGTTGGAGTAAGTAGTAAGAATATATAGAACTGCTATGGGTTGAGTTGTTGAGGAAAAATGACAGTGGAACATATGTTTTCAGAAATGTCCGAATAGCCCCCCCCCATCCGAACTGATGGTTAACGACAGTAGTTGCATGATTTGACTGTTTTTTCTGTGGGTGCGATGATCTCGTCTCTAGTAATTCTGAGTCTTGGATGAGCCCACGTGGTAAGATTCGCGGACATGGCACATCACAGAATTCTATCTGCAAGATACGCATAATTAGGTCTCCATCGATGCCATAACACTTCCTCAACCTCTTAAGCCTAACACAATATGTTCATTTCTTCATTGCTATCTATCTGATCTCTGCTTTGCATTACTCATCCAAATACTGCTCTGCATGTCTGGGGCTGCCAGTGCACTAGACCCCGTAGCCTTGGCTCGAGGAGCCTCCACCGAGTCTTTAGTGTCTACTGTAACTTGTTCACTGCAATTCGTGATCAACCCATCTAACCCAAATTCACTGCATCCAGCAGTCATCACATTACTCAGGCCTCGATGATATATCAGATCTGATGTGTCAAGTTCCAGAAGAGGGTACATTGTCGTTCTACGAGCGCGGTAGTCCACGCGTTTCTGATTCATATTTTAGCCTACTATTATTCCACAAACGACAGTAAAACGTCAAATGGCGATAGTGATCTGGTCTTCACCTCATCTCCTCAGAGTAACCCGCCTAGCATACTGGGAAAACGCAGAGCTGAAGATCCTCGTGACTCAGACTGGTCTCTGCCGTCCTCTTCTAGCAGGAGTAGAAGGACCGACGAATCTTTTGAATCCTCGGCTGAGTCTGCCGCCAACCCAAATGTACCTTTTATAATTGTAAGTTTATTTTCCATCCTCCTTCTTGTCAGCCCTAGCTCTAAGGTCAAGTATTTCTAGGCCCACTCTCCTCAGTTGCAAAAGTGCTTTGATGCACGTCAAATCAGCTATGGAGTACAATGGTTAATTGCCCGTTCAATTACTATGGGAGCCTTAACCTACGATAACATCAACGTCCCCGATCTCGATAAACTCAAAGGGAGTAACGAACAGGCCTGCCCTATGACACAGCAAATAATCCGCCAGACTATGCATAAATTAATGAATACAGATATGAAAGGGTATTTTGTCCGAGAAACAGCAGCGAAGGTCTGTATGAAGGCTTTCTTCGTTCACTGTCTCAACATCTCTGTAGTCTCCGTGGAAAGAACTCGATCGAGAACAAAGTTACTACGAGTGTCAGAAGCGTCATGAAGGGTGGTACCCGGGAAAAGTCCAATTTACCGCCAAGTTGAAGGCAGTCAACGACAAAAAGGCCAATGCAGAATACCGTATTGTATTAAACTGGCCCGAACTTGGTCCATCCTCGCGTTTCACGAGACAGTTCGCCTCTAAGAATTTTATAAGAGTTCGAATTGACAAGTCGATCATCAACACGAAGGACAATCGCCTCCTTGAGTTCTTTTCTAAACGCTTTGTCCTATCCGGTCTTGTCTTTCGAGCATTCTTCGCTAAAGACATGAATGTTTTCCTCGTGGCAACTGACGAAACAGCTCCTGGCCTTGTCACGTCGCTGCCGAAGCATGCTATTCCGTATCCAGTGTCGTTTTCGGAGTTCTTAGACTGGCATAATCCCATTATGCTTAACGCCAAACAGGTGATTACGGCCACTCGCATTTGTCGTCCTGTTTTAACGTCTGCCTTACACCTACGCATAAGTCAATGGCAAAGTGGGCCTCTAGGTTTGCTCTTGGGCTATCTAACTCAGTACCCGGAATTCTTCTGGAGGAATCCAAAATCAACAAAATAGAAGACGAAGGTATGTGTTATGACATCAAAAACATCGTATATATGCGTATACTAAAGGTTAAACAATCAGTTTCTGAGCGTCCAGAGGCATCTGATTTGACCGATGGTTGTGGGTTCATAAACAGAATCGCGCTGAAAACACTGAGGAGGCAATTTCTGTGGGACTCTTTTCCTACAGCAATACAATGCAGGATAGCAGGTGCTAAGGTACATTGTTATTATGCTCGGGAGCCATTTCTGATGTATACTCTTATCAGGGACTGCTTCTTTTACATCCAGGTGACTTGGAAAATGACTCGGATGATCCAGCTGTCTGGCTTCGTCCATCGCAAATTAAAATCAAATACTCTCCGGATGCACCAGCCCCTGCAGGCCGCCTCACCATTGACGTGCTGCGTTCGTCCCACATGAGCTCCCCATCCCGTTTAGCTGCAGAGACCATTATTAACCTTGCCGAGAACGGCGTTCCCCATGAAGTTTTCGTGAATTTGATGAAGTCTGGTGTGGATAGTATCGTTGATGGACTGATGGATTGGGATGGGCCAGACGCCATGTTCAGACTTTGGTTCAGTGTCGCCCGTTCAGGTGGTGTAGTGTCGGCCCGAATGGCACGAGAAGTTGGCGGTGAAGCTCGCGCAAGGGGATATGGTGTAAAGGACGTTGAAGATACGGATGACGACGACTCGGATGAAGCCCCCGTTTCGGCTGCATGGTGGGGAGATGAAGTAAGCGGGTGTCCGTCTAGTCTAGAAGAAACTGTGATGGTCCTTCTTGATGCGGGCTTTACGCCTGGTGACTGCCCCATCCTCGCTGACAAGCTCAAACATATAATCGACACAAGTGTGGACAATTACGTTCAGCGATACAGGGTCGATGTTCCCATGTCGTGCATCGCATTCATGGTTCCTGGTCAGTTTTTTCAAGCAAACAGCTTATCGATGGCTTACAACAAATTCAAGATCCCACCGGAACTCTGGGTCCGGGAGAAATTCATATCAAATCTTCGCATCCTAAATTTCTTTGTGAAGACGGTACGGAGACCGATATCGTCCTGGGGGATGTCTTGGTGCGAAATCATCCCCTCGTCTTACATTCCCTCTCATATTGTCACAATAGCTTACCCGACATCCATGCAAACTGCCCACAGACGTGCAAAAGGTACGTTGGGTCCTCCTATGTGACTTAATGTTTACATATGTCGCTCAGGTTAGAGCTGTTGAGAAGGCTGAACTGAGACACTTTAAGGATGTCATCGTCTGCCCAGTGAAGGGTACCAACCGCAGATTTGCTGACTTACTGGCAGGCGGTTTGTGACTAACTATCATCCTTCTTCACTCTTTTTCAAGCCATACATTTCACAGGGGATTACGATGGCGACAAAGCAATCGCCATATGGCAGAAAGAGATCGTTTCGCCCTTTAAAAATGCCGACCTTAAATACTCCCACCCACCCGCCGATCTTCCAGCACAATTCTCCAAGAATAATGTCATCGTTTCTGATTTCCTTCGTTGCTATCCTTCATCATCATCTTCATATTTCCCGGAACTGCAAAAGTTTCTCTTAGGGGCTATTCGTGACACTTCGTCCGTTGGGAAGTATTCAAATTTCCACGATAACGCGATATATACTAAGGGCTATGATCACCCCGAGACAATTCGTCTCGCGTACATGTAAGCCTTCCCTTTACTTTTATTCTTTTTTTGTTTAGCTCCCTGATACCTCATCGCTTCAATAGGTTCTGCAGCATCTTGGATGGATCAAAGACTGGTCTGACTGTCTTACCTCATGTTGTGCAACGTGATACTACAAATCATCAAAAAAGATCACCGGCATGGAAGGAGACTTCAGCTGATCGGACACACTGGGAATCAGGGATGTCCAATGAGCTAAACTTACCTCGACCCAGGGTCATGCCTCCTTTCATAATGGACGTTGTCTTCTCGCAATCTAAGCAGTACTGTGCACAAAAGCGATCTGTCATCGAGAGGATGTTCAAAGACCGCTCGAACAGTGTCATTGATCACGCTTTGGTGAAGCCCTGGAAGGAAGCTCTGGACAGAGCAAAACGATTTCAGCTGAAAAACGACGTTATGGGTTCTTGTATAGATGAAGAGCTAGATGCTATTATTCATCACGTTGAGGAAATGCATCGCATTCACAAGGACAAAATTGGCGCGGGTCCAGGATTTACGGACAAGCGTATCGAACACCGTCAGGATATTCTGCGGTCGATCGCGCAAGACTTTGCAGCGAAACCGGATGTTTCGAAGATGTGTTTTTTCTCCGAAGATGAGGTTGCTCGTTTGAAGGCCTCGTATGCCTATCTGTACGATCACAAACAGTCCTCGAGAGGGTGGGGACAATTTCCGTGGGATGTTGCAATGAGAGAGCTGGGGGCTATCAAAGCGAAGTTTCTCGGACCATCGAAGACGGTTCAATCAAGTTTTTATGATCGATTTGTGCTGAAACAATCCCATCTCAAGCGATCTTGATTTCAAGTGATTTTTTTTCTTTTGCATTCTACACATCATACAATACCAGTAGATTTACACTGAATATGGTCTTAGTCTATGAAGCATTCCCAGTAGTACACGAGGGAGTTGTATACATGTACAATAGGAATTGTACGATATTGAGGTTCTCAACACCGACATTTGCAGGACCCTTATTTAATCTGAATCAAAAGAGTCGAATGTAATGTGTAAACTGATAGCATCGATTAAAGTCGCGTTTATGGTTTTGTGTCAGCTTATTTTATAGCGTTACAGGAAGCGTTGAGATAAATACTTCAAATAGCTTCATAAAGTGAATCAACTGCCTATCCACATTGCAGAAACATAGAAAGAGCCATGCAGTAATCCCTATGATATGCCGGTCAGCGCTCTCAAAAAATGCAAAATTAAGACAGTGGAGAGCCAAGGTAACATACGCGGCAGGCTAATCGTGCGAACACGATTCGATTATGGTTCTCTCCGTGCAAACGATGGAAGGGAATATATGTTCTATGATGAAGCGGGCTGAGCTTGTTGCTGCAGAGCTGCTTGTATCTCTACGAGCTTCATGGTACCAAAATGGTCAAATCGATAGACTAATGCAGTGTGTGATATGCATACCTCATTCTTTTTCTTCTCTGATTTTTCCTCGATTTCTTTTAGCTGGGTTTCGACCCGTTTTCTGATAAATTGGACATGAGCGCGAGCTCAATCGGGATCTTCATGAAATAACCAACATTTCTCCCCGTATGAATTCGAGTCGCGTTTCTACATTTCCTTTTGCTTCATTCTGTTCCTGAGCAACAAGAACTGGGCCGACTAGCTTGTACACTGTGTTATCTGGTGTCAATCGGGAAAATTCCTAGTTTATATCCCGTGTTTGAGCTCGCTTTTAGGACAAAACTAACCAGACATCGTCTACGCACCTTTTTCACTGCCTCGTTCTCAGACAGCTGTGCGTCAAGACGTGTCTTTGCATCGACGATATTTGCCAGATCAGACTGTAATTTCTGGTATTCCGTGGATGCTGTCTGCAATCGCTCTTGTAGAGACATATCAGCACAAGCCGGATGCACAACTGGAAGCGAGGTATCGGCAATTACAGCAATCTTGCAGCTGACCAAGCTACTGAATTGGATCTCATTCTTGTCTTGCACGCATGTGAACATCGGAATGACAGGGCGGGAATCCGTCAACATTCAGCCTGAGTATAATGCACATAAGTACTACAAAGGATGTAGTGATATCAAATCTCACACATTAGTGCCTCTCCCTTATCTACTACGAGGAATGTCGCCCATCACCATTGACTGGAGCAAAGTCGACCAGCCTGAACTTGTCCTGCAGCGTTTCCCAAGCCGACGCTCTCAAGTATATGGTACCAAAGGAATAGTATCTTCCTCTCAGCCATTGGCTACAGAAGCGGGTTTAGAGATATTAAGAAAAGGCGGGAATGCTGGTACGTCCCAACTTTGTGCATCTTTATCGGGTTCTCATACACCTTGATTTGCAGCTGATGCAGCAGTTGCAACATCCGCTGCTTTGAACGTCACAGAACCAAGCTGTTGCGGTATTGGCGGGTATGTTATCATTTATTTTCAGAAGGACTGTGACCTATATGCTGCACAGTGACGCATTTTGTCTCTTCTACGATGCCAAATCAAAGGAAGTGAAGGGTCTCAATGGATCAGGACACTCCCCTCAAAAGCTCACTTTAGAGTACGTGCGGCGACATGGATTGAAGGGGCGCCAAATTCCTCTTACTGATCTAAATTCTGTCACTGTTCCTGGTACCTTCTTCTGTACATTTATAGAACGATTAAAATCTGACTGCATGTCTTAGGTGCTGCTGCAGCTTGGATCGACACTGTAGAGAAGTTTGGAAGCGGAAAGCTTACCATAGGAGAGGTCCTTGAGCCTGCTATAAGGCTAGCAGAAGAAGGGTAATACATGATACTCGCTGGTGAACCATTATACCATCTCATAACCATCTAGTGTTCCAGTGTCAGAGATCCACAGCGCCTCGGTCAGTTCAAGCGAGAAACTTTCCCAGATATGATATTCACGCCTTTTTTGTTGCACGAATAGTGGCAACGATCGGAGAAGCTGATTCGAAATGCGTCTCCGAACGGTGATGAAATGCTGCTGAACGGAAAGGCTCCACTCCCCGGACAAATCATGACGTTCCCTAACCTAGCCAAGACCTTCCGTACTGTTGCTGAGCAAGGAAAAGATGGGTTTTATAAAGGGCGCATTGCACAGGAAATCGTAAATGTCATAAAGAGTAAAGGAGGTGTGATGGAACTCGCAGATCTCGCTCAACATGAGACGACGTTTGTGACTCCGATCAAGTACACGTACGCTGGAGAAGTGACAGTTTACGAGGTAGGCGACTATGAATTCAATTGCTTCCATAAATCCTGAATGTATCGTCAGTGTCCTCCTAATGGTCAAGGTATCACTGCTCTTCTGGCCCTTGGAATACTAGAGCACATTCAAGAACAAGGCGGGTCCAAGCCTTTATTGGAAATGGAACACAACTCTCCAGAATACCTACACACACTCATTGAGGCCTTGCGGTGTGTGGATGATTTTCGACCTTCCATTGTCTCTAAATATTGATCGTGTGCATATAGATTTGCCTTTGCCGGTAAATTTATTTTGTGGTTCATCTTCTCGTGATTCATATATCGTGTATTTAAAGATACTCAACATTACGTTACTGACCCGGACTTCAGCTACACTCCCGTAGAGGAAATGTTGAGCAAGGTAAGTGCAGAGCAGTATCGTCATCGCCAGCCAAGGGCTAAAGAGTCTTACAGGAATACCTAGCCAGTCGTGCCAAGTTATTTGATTCAGCCAAGACGAATAAAGTTATCCATGTAATTTCATAATTCCTCGTTCAACTTGATCTTTGTTTACGACGTCATATTTTCCAGGGAAACCCAGTAAATTCTTCAGACACGGTATATTTCACAGGTACGGTACCATTGTCTGACTTATATATTTTCATTTTCTTAGTTGAACATCTTTCTACAAGTGACCGACCAGTGGGGTAATGCTTGCAGCTACATTCAAAGTAACTACGCTGGTGTGTATACCGATTTACTAAAAGCTCCGAATTTTGATTCCTGATAATCTTGCTATAGGTTTTGGAACAGGAGGTAGGGCATGTCTTGGGTTCAACTCCAGGCATGACAGATAATAAGTATCTCCCTTATAGCTATCCCAAAGGGTTGTGGGTTCACTCTACAAAACAGAGGCTCAGGCTTTATCCTGCAAGAAGGACATCCTAATGTTTTGCAGGTTTGTGCGACCGGATCTACTAGCTTTGAAGTCTGACAAAATGGCAAATAGGGTGGAAAGCGACCTTATCATACTATCATACCAGCAATGGCACTCCGAGGGGACGACCTATTTCTCTCATATGGTGTCATGGGAGGCTTTATGCAGGTGAGTCGATGGTACACATGATGTAATATTAGGATATGTTGGAACATGTACATCAAAGCCCCAAGGCCACGTTCAAGTGCTTCTCAACATGCTCCGCGGCTTTACAGCTCAAGCAGCACTTGACGCCCCCCGTTTCTGTATATCATCAGGCACTCCTGACCCTGATGATGAAGACGAAGACTCTGCAGGAGATATCAATAGCGAAGTGTTCTTCGAAGATGACATTCCGTTTGAGACCATTATGAAACTGAGAGGCTAGTACCGACTTGGAATTTCTTATGTGATGCTAATCTGAACTTCTGTATCGTAGAAATGGGTCATAAAGCCCGTGTCATCAGTGGGTTTGGCAGAAGTATGGTAGGCAGGGGTCAGATCATCCAAAAAATCGTCGATGTATCTGGGAGGACTGTATGGGCAGCTGGGTCTGACCCACGGGCGGATGGTCATGCTGGAGCGCAGATCTAGCACTTGTTAGGTTTATATAAATTCGTGGCATAAAGTGCCTGAAAGTTGTTGAAACAATAAAAGATTTCTTTACATATTTTTCAAACGTTCGTCATCAACGTTGCAAGCGCATGCATTGTGCTCATTGCCAATGGCGTGATCCCTGGAAAAAGTCCATTGCCTGCATGAGGTCAAGCTAGATTATATATGTTAATCAATAAATAAGGAATATATATCTTCCAATAATACGATAGTATTGTAAGTGAGACAAAGTCCAATAATGTCAACCCAACTACATCCTTCTTTGCCGTTCGCTGCCAACTGGAACAACGATATAGTTAGGTTAGGCGATAGCGAACACGAGAAGAACAAACCTGCTTGTCTCCTTCTGTAGTCTCTCAGAGCACGGGTTTTGTCGGGGCCCTCAATTTTCCCCCAACCCGCAAGGGGCACGACAACGACAGTGGCGTTATCCTCACTGCCCATGTCTTCTGCAAATGAGAGAATGCGCTGAGCAGCTACTTTCGGATTAGGTGCGTCTCTTGCAAGATCGACCACCTCGTCGTCGGACACGACAGATGATATGCCATCGGAGACCAGTACGATGTAGGCCCAGTCTTGGCCTGCTTACATATGAAAAATCATGTGTACATGACACGCGTCGCACACATACCTCGCAAAAGTTTACTTCTGACCTCTGGCTCTGGTGTCACTCCGAAGCGCTTGTACTGGAGATCTCCTATTCTGTGAACAAGACTCAGTTTTTGGGAGCAGCGTGGAAAATGATGCAATCAAACTAACGCTCTTGTATTTGCTAAAGCGCCCATCCATCTGGCATTGCGTAACGGTATTAGCCCTGAGACAAACGGCATGGAGTCAATAGTCTCACCGTGACTCCCCAAAAGAATCTGTGATCAATGCAGATCCCATCATTCTTCTTAATCTGATAGACTCGATACGAGTATCTGCTCGATGATTTTCGGTCATTGGGAACACGGCTCCTCCAGTTGTTGAGCATAGTAAAACTCGAGTATCGCTGTTGCAGCATAAGAACCATCTCTGATAGATTGATAGTACAAAGACCCACCCGCAATGCGCCACAGTCAAAGCTAGCTTATCGGATGAGAAGAAGGGAGTTGCTGGATGATCCAAGGAATGTAGGAGAACGATGGAAGCCGTCGCACCGCAGCTCCTGGCTTCTGTCTCGATTGAGAGATGTCTGTCTGAGCAAGATCTATTAGTGATGAACAAAAGATGGGTACGTGGAGCATCGCGTACCGACTTCAAAGAAAGCTTGTGTGATGCGAGCTTCGAGATCTAGTTCAGGTGTATCTTCTGATTTGTGTATCCAAGGTGCAAGTACACCGCCTTTGAAACGTTTGAAGTAGCCACCTATATCTTTTATCCATAAATAAAGCTCTGGTATGTCGGATTTGTGCACTGATTCAAGAAGTCCGTGGAGTTCTTGTCTGAGATATTGAGATACCGTGGAACCACCGTGTCTGATGTACTTGTCTGGATGAAAAGGGATGGAAAGGGAGAGTAAAAGACTGACCCATCATATATGCCCATGAATACTACCTGACGAGCGAGTAGGTCACATGCGTCACGGGGATTCCAATCTACGCCCATTGTTTTCTTCACTGATTGACTGAGCTCTCCTGGGTCGAGAGAGAGAGAAGCAAAGGCATAGTAGTCCTCTTGATGGCTGAAGATGAAACGGATGAGAACACGGCCTTGATGAATGATGCTAAGAATTACCCCCTGGATCCTCTTGAGTTTGCTATGCCGACTATTTTCGGCGAGTTCAATGCGACACGAGCGATGCCACCTGGGAAATGTGAGTTTCCAATTGCTTGTTCGCATCAGTTTCAGGCAGACCTGGGGTTGCAAAGCGAATATAGTCATGATATTGACGACTTTGCAAGGACAAGGTTGATAAATTTCTGAGAAAAGGATTCGGGCATCTCAAGAGTGAGCAAGCCATTCGCAGCGACTGCAATAGCCAGCATTGCCTCGACTGGAGGGAATAAAAACTGAACCACGGTCGATGTGCGTCACCAAGGATGTGAAGGTAGTTCCGAGCGATGTATGGCCTGTGGTCGATGTCTGTTTAAGTTTCTGTGCTGAGCGCTGAGACAAAACGAAATAACGATGTGGCTCTGTTCTTTGTGGCAGGCCGTGTGTCAAGAATATTAATAGCCAAGCGTCTTTTCTTGACCTTGCACTCGCGATGATCCACTGGCCGTCACACGACTTGCTCTCTCTCTAGATTTCCTTTGCCCAAACGGCATTCAACGAATTAATATTGCCAATAAAACTCACCTTTTCTCCCCATTCGCAACACGCTTTATATATTTTTCATGCTTCGTTTCATATGTCCATGTGCTGTGCTGCTATAATTGACTACAGTCTGCCATTATAGCTCAGCGAACGTGTGTGCATGTCCTCGAACATTGAGCTCGTACCGCCGCTCAAGCGCTATATTTGACCTCGTCCATGCATTTGTTGTTTATAATATCAGTCTTCCATCGGTTATTAAATGTTCCTGGACCGTGGCACCACGTCTCGAAATTCTTTAATACCCCCAGAAGTAAAAAAACCACTCGTTGAAGGCATTTTAACATGCTGGCCCACCTTTTCCTCGCTGTGGCTTGCCCACTTGCATCATATGCAGCCATACCTAGCTTTCCACCAGGTCCCGCTTCCTCTTATGCAGGTGCCACTTCAACAGCAGTTTGGCCTCCTCCAGGTGCAACGAACACTGCAATCGACACCTATTTCCCAGATGCTTCCCAAGTAGGCTACCCCGGTCCCACTCCAAGTATACTTGATAATTTCCTTCACGTCTTAATACCCCCTCTAATTTTCGTTTGTAGCTGGAGATGAGGCCGAGGCTATCGCCACTGCCCCCAGTTTCACAAAAATAAAAAGTGCTTTCCCTCTCGTAAAGTCTAACACCGCAGACAACAAAGGAGAAGAGTTCAATATGTTCGATTATTGGGGGAATTTATCTCCTCTCTATTCGGTCAAGTCTTTTGGCTTGCCTGACGCGTCACCTTTGATTCCTGAGGGTTGTGGCCTCAATCAAGCTCACATCATCATCCGTCATGGTGCTCGTTATCCCACCACCGGATCAGGACCATCCCAATTCGCAGCTACGCTTCACTCTGTTGCCACTGGCAGTGGTTTCAATGCAACGGGCAGTCTTGAATTCTTGAACACTTGGACGTACAAGCTTGGCGCAGAGATTCTGACACCTTTCGGCCGCGAAGGACTGTAAGCTTAACCAGTCTTGAGCGTTCTGGACAGAATAAAATTGAGTACTATCATAATTTAGCTTTAACAATGGTGTCGGTTTCAGGGTTAGATATGGTGAACTGCTCAAACGTTTCAACGACCTTCCTGTTTTCCGCACTACTTCAGAAGGTGGGCAATCCACAAAATCTTTCGTGATTAAACTAATGAATCTTTCTGTGTAGATCGAATGGTTGATAGCGCGTAAGCTGCTTTTATGGTCAACTGTGGATTGCTTTACAACATCTTTCCTTTTCCTCAGACTAAACTTTGCTGCTGGTTTCTTCGATGTCCGGACGTACCTAGAAGATTACCACCAAGTGATCATCATTGAGGCAGATGGATTCAATAATACTCTTGCGCCCTATGACACCTGCAACAATTCTAACAGTGACGCTATTGGATATTACGGTTCTACTCAATCAGATAAATGGGCGAATATATATCTCCAATCTGCGCTGACGCGATTGCAACCCATGATTCAGGGAGTGAATTTGACAATATCGGATTTGGGTAGCATGCAGGAAATGTGTGCATACGAGGTCAGGTCATTCAATTTATTACGCTCCTCTTCATGCTAATATATTACTAGACTGTTGCACTTGGCTACTCAATGTTCTGTAATCTGTTTACTGAAGAGGAATGGAAAGGTTTTGAGTATGCGAATGGTAAGACATCCTTCCTCGAGCTTGCGTGTAAATTCTCATGCTATTATAGATCTTGGTAATAAACGTTCAAAGGCTTTTGGAAGCTTACATTGCTGAATAACCGTACTACTAGATTTCTGGTACAGTGAAGGACCAGGGCAACCTACAGCTGCTGCGAGCGGACTGGGATATGTGCAGGAGCTCGTGTCTCGCTTGACCCAGACTCCTATCACCGAATGGAACAGTACCACAAACAGTACTTTGGACAGTAACAACATCACTTTCCCTCTGTATCAGCCCATCTTCGTCGATGCTACGCACGATGTGGTCATTGCCAACAGTAAGTACACCATTCGGCGAACTGAATCTGGGCTGAACTTCTGGTAGTTATCACTGCTCTTAACTTCACCGTCCTGGCTGGGAATGGTCCTTTGCCAACTGACCATATCCCCGAGAACCAGGTGAGTTTGTCTCCGTATGATATGTGTTTTCAAGAGGAGTTGACGGGATCACGTTAGACATATATCACCAGTCAAATTGCTCCTTTCGCTAGCAACGTCGTAGCGCAAGTCCTGTCGTGTCCCGCTGCTGAAGAGCCTACACATATTCGCTTCATCCTTAACGATGGTGTCCTCCCCATGACCGGTATCGGAGGCTGTCCTGAGGATAAGGATGGGCTGTGTCCTCTGCCGACCTTCATAAGCGCGATGCACGAACGAATTGGGCAGATCGACTTCAACTATGATTGTTTCGCCAATTACACGATGCCCGACCCTGACGATATCATCGACGGTCGGTACCCCGCGTGGCTCAGGAACTCCACCGCCTGAATGCTGTCCGGCGATGGTGTTTTAAATTGAAAAAATATCTCAATGTTCATATAGAGAATGAAAATCAGTGTCTTGGAATTTTGCGTGGTTTGACCTCAGGTTTGATGGTGATTTTTCGCAATCTAAATTTGTGTTTTTGGGACCTTGAAAGAGAACAAGAGGGGTTTCCCACCTAACAGAGACAGACTCTGGCTCTAAACGCCGACATTTTCCCACCCTCAGCTGGACATGACAGACACAGGATTTCATCGAAATTTCGCCTTATCCTTGAAGCATTAATCCAGCGGTCTGCGATATCGACGGTCTGCGATTCTACTTCTTTCAGTCCTAAGATTAATATTTCAAGCTCGCGAGCAAAACTGTCGTATAAAACCTTAAAAAATAATAATGCAAAAACATTTCTTGCTATCTCAGAATCAGGAGAAGGAATTCGACGTTCCGCGACCGCATCATGCTGATTTAAAGAGATATGATTGGGCGATTATCGTATTTGAGCAAGGTGAATATTTTTATCTTGTCCTCGTGCGACATAAGTGAATCCTCCTTATCTTTAGACTAATCTCGAATATACATTCCCGGAATGGATAGTTTGCAAAGCTCCGATCTATATCCAACTGATCTAGTGTCTATCACAAAGTATTAACTCGCATGTGTGTGTGGACCTTAGCCGAACGGGTTGCTGTTCGCGACGTACACTACGTTATACAGTGATATCTTAGCAAAATGATTTGACAGAGGTCAAGCTTGCATGTGAGTGCCTGTTCAATCCTGTCAATGTTACCTGTTTCGACGCATTGATACCCTAATCACGGGACAAGCATACTCCTCGACTCCCGGAATGATCGACGGACGGTATATATGGCGTATGTTACCTCTCGCCCCTTCGGGAACCTGCTGGCGCCTTTCCAGAAAACTTGCAGGCCACACGACATGTCCTTGGAATCACCACAGCTCTTTGGCTTTGGTACGCGACTCGGGCTCGTTTTCATCGTAGAACTGGCCAGTCTGTCCGCAATAGCTGTCACAAGTTTGCTATCGTATGTCGCGGTAAGTTTCTTGAACCAGGATTTACTTCTCGCACCACGATACTCACTAGAATATTGTTTGTTATACAGTATAGTGCCATCACAATAAACCGCAATGCATCGCGTAGATGGTCTACTGAAACACACATTCACTACTATTTTTTGAATTTGATGGTATTCGATCTAATACAAGCAATCGGTAAGTTCCTACCAGAGTTCCTGTGTGCAAATACTCAGTTTAGCTCTGCCAGGAGGCATCATGGACATTAGATGGATTGTGGAAGCAGTGAGTCTGGCAGACTGCGATCTGCTGAAGTGCAAGGCGGTTTAACTTAATTCGCCTACTCACCTTCTTAGCAAGTGACAGCCGGCTCGTTTTGCACAACGCAAGGTGCAGTGCCTTGGTCCACATAGTCCGGTGGGGGTTAACCCACACATTCAATATCTAGGGCTATTCAAACAGATGGGCGATGTAGGAGTTGCTATGAGGTATGTCTAACGCCTACTGTGTTTGGGAATATGAACGCTGCATCTAAATACCTGTTACAGTACAATAGTAAGTTCTCGCATTCGAAAATCACATTGACGGTAACGATGTTGATTTTATTTGGAGGCAATAGCATTGCACACACTTCAGGTGCTGGTTTTCCGATGGACATCAGCACCAAGGACGGCGCTAGTGGTATTACTCGTGATCTGGATTGTAGTTGCGCTGATGGTCGGGGTACCAAATGCAGTGCAAGACCAATATTATGGTCCTACTGGATATTGTGAGCGTGTTTATCTCTCTCTAAGTGTTTCATATCGTTTGAATGGTATACTCTATTGGTAGGGTGTTGGATCAAACGTGACAATTTCGAGAGGATAGGTCTCGAATATCTATGGCTCTGGATTGCTGCGTTCATAAACATAGTTGTCTATGTTTTCCTCGCACTCGTCGTTAGGGGCATTATCGTTATTGATGGATTAACAATCCGGTGGCCAAGGAATCGACCACGCCGGCGTCAGAATCGAGATTCTACTGATAGCCAGCACCCGTTAGGGAAAGATGAAAGCGCGATTGCAGTGCAAATGCTCTTGTCAGTAACAGTATTGTCCCTTACCTTCACAACATTTTATTGACGCAGGGCATTTCAGTTACCCAGCTGTTTATATCATCACAGTATGTTTTGTTCCGGTCGCTTCATCTGACTGTAGGTCCTAACTTTTGTGCAAGGTTCTACCGATAGCAGCAGCACGCTTCTCGGAATTTCACAGCAACAATGTGCCATTCGGAGTGACTGCTTTCGCAGATTCCTTGTTCGCATCTTCAGGCCTTTTCAACACCATTCTTTATGCACTCACTAGACCAAAATTGTTACCTCGGAGATCGCGTCCTGTGTCGAGCTTTATGCTCGCGTCTGGGACTTCGGTTAGATTTCGACATTCGCGAAGCCAAGGGCATATGTCCAAAGATTATGAAACTGGTACACTCACTGATTTGGATGTATCTGAATCTTCTCAGGATCCTTCAGGTTCAGTCCGATTATCTAGATAGTTTCTTGTACTGTTTGATTTCGTTGTGCAGCGATTAAATTTGCTTTGATCCGTAAGTACAACTTAACTACACTTACGCTTGTAGAGTATTCAATTATCTGTACTACACTATATAATAGGATTTGTTGACCTGGTCTAGACATGACAATTTTACTACTATCTAGTACTTTCGACGCCAAGCTACTACTGCAGTCATTCGGGTCCAGTTGGAAGGATTTCGGCATTGCCCTTAACTACTACGGACCGCCCACTGGCACTTGAACCTGAACTTATCATTATTACCTTTTACGACTTCACCGGCTTCACATTCGACGGACGTGTCGTTCCCAACGTTAGATATGGGAGCAATTCAGTCAACGCCTAAAGTTACCGCACAGGATCGTGCCATCCTGGAGTTCGTCTTCTCTTTCAACGTCTCTTACATATGATGACACCAAACAGATACGCCACTCCTTTCACAGTCTCAAATTGCAAAGGGATAAGCTGAAGCAATACCAGAAGAAGGTGCGTGTGTGTATGTGTGCTTCTGCTCTATCTTCTCTGATGTTGGCGGCAGATACAAGTCATCTTGGACCGTGAACATGAAATTGCCAAATCTCATCTAGCGTCAGGTCAAAAGGACCGGGCTGTCATAGCATTACGGAGAAGGAAATATCAGCAAGGACTGCTCGGGAAGACAGATGCACAGTTAGAGAATCTGGAACAGCTGGTTCGTCGAGTTACATCCCTAGATCGGACTCAGTTGGTAATCAGCGTATCCCTTGAAACAAGGTGTCAACCATAGAGTTTTCGCTGGTAGAAGTATCAGTGCTACATGGCCTAAAGCAAGGTAACGAAGTGCTTAAAGAAATACATCGGGAAATGAATGTCGAGAGTGTGGAGAAGCTCTTGGAAGAAACACAAGAAGCGAGGGAATATCAAAGGGTACGAGCATGCTGTCCTCTCTTGGTGTTTCCTTGGATTCGTTTTGGGTGCTGACGTTCATTCAAAGGAAATCGGGGAACTTCTGTCAAATCAACTATCGCTGGACGAAGAAGATGCTGTCCAAGCCGAATTGAAGGAACTACAGAGTCAAGCTGTCTGTTCATTCCGTTTCACTAAAGAGTGTATTACTAAATTCATCCCGCGTTTGCTTAGGTCCCGAGCGAAGGGCCCGAAGAGCGGGTCAACCTGCCTTCAGTACCAGTCACACAGCCGGTTCCTTCATTGCCGCAAGGTACGAAAATATGTTCTGTCAAAATGTGCTGTTTTGCTGACTTGCTCAGGCGAAGAGCGACACCGGGAGCAGGGGCGTGTTGCTATTCCCGCATAAATGCCCTTATCATTCATATGTATCTATAGAGCTAGAACGGTTGATTGTAATACCATATGGACATGTCGCGCTCAACGTGTGCACCTCAGTTCTCTTCCTCAAGTAGCTGTAGCTGATGCCGGTGAAGAACTTGTGACGAAAATATTACCTAGGCCTCCTACGCACATTATGTGTATTATTAGTCCTGATGGGCTCAGTGGAAAAGAATATGTTGCAGCGAATGCGTTCTAACGAGAAAACGGTGCACTCTTGTGTGACAAGTATTGAGAACAATATGATACACGATAAATAACTACAGATCACCAAGCTTCGAAGTTCCCGAAGCCGACTTTTCGTTTCTTCTTCCCTTCCTCTGCATAGCTCTGACCAACAACAGGTTCATTCAGGGGACGCTTAACACTCTTGGCACTCAAGTACTTTCCGACACCAATGCCAGATGTACCATTCCCAATTGCCGAATCGGTGGTGCCGACCTTTAATCCAAACCAGTTGATATCATCGCCAGCTTTTTTCTCAGTTTCAGTTTGAGCTTTTGCATTATCCTGAACTTCAGCACGCCTGGACAGTTTCTTCGCAAGACGCGTTTTATACGCCTCAAATGGGTCTTGGTAGCTAGAAAATGAATCCCAATTCAATGTCAATAACTTTGAGGGTATTTGTGTCACGTACATTACAATTTCCGTTATACGGACTGATTTAGCAGGCCGCTCTGTCCCACTTTTGCGAGGCAAATTTTCAAGCAAATCGAGTACATCCTCTCCTCCTACCAGTTTGCCGAAGACTGTATGCTTATTATCGAGATGCGGGGTAGCTTTGAATGTGAAGTAAAACTGCGACCTAAAAAAAGAGTTCAGAAAGCGTTACAAGCCAAAGATGAATATACAAACCCATTCGTTCCAGCGCCTTTGTTGGCCATGGCAATAACACCGCGACTATCGTGTTTTGCAGCGCCCTTCATATCATGCTCGTCTCGAAAGGGTGTACCCCAATGTGACTCCCCTCCTGCACCTGTACCAGTAGGGTCGCCCGTTTGTATCTGATAGAAGAAATGGTCAGTAATGATCGAAATACATATGAGAATGGAAAATTACCATGAATCCGGGAATCAGCCTATGAAAAAGGCAGTTATCATATTTCCCAGCTCTTGCTAACATCAGAAAATTGTAACAGGTTTTGGGAGCCTATGAAAATATACATATAAGTATTTGTGTAAGCCCCTATCAAAATCTACACTCACTTTTTCGCAGAAAAGCTCTAAATTCAGCGAACCACCGAGGCTCGTGACAACACGGACATAGGCACGACGTTTCCCGACATCCTTCTCCTTGCCTTTGCCCTTTGGAACATTTGACATATCCTCGAACATTAACTCCTCCTAATTATACAACAGTCAGAAAATCAAGAAAACTACATAAAACATGCATACTTCATCCCACACTAGCTTTGAGCTAGAAGTTTGAGGATCCACAGAGGTAGATGTTAAGGAAGCTCCAGGCAGACCACTAGAATACGGTGATACGTTCCCTACAATTGCGTAGACATGAGCCTCCTCTTGTTGTGAAAAAAACTAAGAGGTATCCTCACAGGGGACGGCGGCCTTAGTCTTGATATCTACGGTTGTTTTGGACACGACCGTCTTGGGCTTCTCAACCTCCTTTTTAACGGGAGCAGAACCAGGTGTAGGGACCGAACTTGATGGCATACCGTGAGGGTTTTGAAGTGTGATTACATCTTCTCTGTATCCCGGTTCGTATCAGCTTAAGCAGAATACCCTTTATTCGAAGAAAAACCGCACCTTTTGAATTTCACATCGTCAAGAAGGTCCTTGCCACCTTTAATACTGTCAGCGAGATAAACATTGCCAGTAGTGGCGATAGCGACAATGTTGGAATGCTCGCTGAAAGGCTTGAAAGATATGGGATCGTGTATTTCTCCAGAGGACTTGCGAGAATAGTTCAATGTGATTAGGTCGGAAGGAGATAGCGGTTCTTGAGTGATAGGGTTGGTGTTGTCATGTTGCCTTTAAGTGTTCGTCAAGCTGAGAAGTAAACTTGCAGAAAAGAACAGGACTTGCTTTAGCCAGGGTATGATGTTTACGAGGTCAAAGACATGGCCTGTACCGTCAGCGTTGCGGGCACAGACAGGATGGTCGAATGGCTGGAAGGAAAGAGCGCAGCAATCAAACGGAGTCAAGGCTCCTGGATGTGGTGCTTGTTGCTTTCTACATTGATTACAAGTACTCTGAGCAATGTTCGAACTGAAGCAGGAAACTACTTACGTCTTGAAGCCTGAGGAAGACGAGTGCTGTCCAAAGACACCTGCGTGCTCTGCGTGCGTGATGTACAATTTATCAGAGTTTCCATGTCCCATTGTGAACTTTTGGTTGCAGACTTGTCAGAAGTGTTCAAAGTAATGGAACTTTTCTGCGGTAATGCAGCACAACCGTGACCGAGACTCGGAGATGACACATGTTGGATAACAAATGCAAACACCATTTGGTGGCTTTACTCCCTCAGAGGTCGCATTCTTCAAGCTACAGACATAAACCAGTCATTGGTACTTATGCTTCGCCATGTCGGCTGCAGGCCTAAATCCCTTCTTTTATTCGACTTTCTTGCGCCAAATGTCTGTGGTTATAGGCTAGCAAGCTCAGGTGCGCCCCGGTCGTCACCCAAGAAGTCTTTCCAGGCTCGAAGGCCGGACCCGGAAAAGCTGGCTGCTTTTCCTCTCCAAGGCAAAGACCCCCCTGCTCTTTGCCAGAACATCAAGCAAAGAATTAGCTTTTTGAGTAACCCCGACACACCCATACCCGCAGATCCCGACATCACACTCTTTAACGAGACTGTAGTGGAACTTCGTCAAGCCTTGAAGGCTCGTGATATTCATGGCGCATGGACGCATTGGACTCGGCTGGAGGAGAAGAAACTCCTACAGTTTCTCGGGCCCCAGCTTCAAGGCTACTCAAAACTAGTCGCCGACCTGTGTGCAGATCCCACAGCGGAGGCACGGGATGATCGCGAACGCAAATTTATCGAGGAGATAGCCCTCGCAGCTGCCGCTGGAGGTGCTGCTGAGGCATTGAAGGCATGCATGATGTTTCACCTAAGGCGGGGCGATCCTAACGCCGTGCTGGAGCTCCATGGGAAATATTTGCTGTCGTTAGGGACTAAGGAAGTGTGGGAGGAGCCTCTTGCGGTGGAAAACAAGACGGGAAAGGATAACGGGTTAGCTTTGGGTCTGCATACAGAAAAGATCCCATATAATCCTGCAAAGGTTTCGATACTTCTTGCTGTCATCACCGCCCATGCAATGTCCGATTCGTTCGAAGGCGCGTTACGGGCTTTCATGCAATCCACCGTCCGAATCAATCAGGTTACTGTGAAGGATTTCTTGCTGAACATTCCTGATGCGGCGCTTCGACGCAAGGTGGAAGCTTACATACGACGGCTTGACACCGCAAGACTCGTATCACAACCGTCCTTCTTATCGAAACAGATTTCGCTATTGGCCCAAAATCAGAACGTAGCCCGTCTCGAGAAGCTGTACTCGACCGTAATCGACGGACTATCCGGTTCCCTACCGTACCTAACCCTGAGAACCGATCAGGCCACTTCCCATACCCTCATCATTCTCGAAGTTAGTTGGGCGGCATTCCTGACTGCATTTATGCAGTGTAGGCGCAGAGACCTTGCAGAGAAGTTGTGGGATGATGTGATCAGACATGGGGCACAGCCTGGCGTCATTATGTGGACTGCTCTACTTGATGGGTACGACAGCATGGGAGAAGCTGATGACGCGTTAAAGGCATGGCAAACGATGATAAGCCAAGGGGTGAAACCAGACGCCTTGACATATCGTGCTTTAATCTCGACTCTCTACAATGCAAGAAGGTCAGACGAGGCCATCAAATATTTTGAATCGTACGAGAACGAATCATCGAAAGGATTGGTTGGTTCATCATCTGACAGTTTGTCCGTGTACAACACCGTGCTCCACGGTCTCCTTACGAACGGACAGGACGAAAAGGCTGTGATACTACTGCAGAAGATGCAAGACAAAAGTCCCAAACCTGACATAGTGTCGTACAACACGCTCTTGCGATATTACGGGAGGAGGGCAGACTTCAAAGGCGTGTCGTCCATCCTAAAACAGCTTACAGAGAATGGACTGGGTGGAGACGTGTTCACATACTCGACTATCCTTTCCGCACTCCTCAAAGCTGGACGCACGGACGCTACGGACATTGTACTGAATATCATGAAACGGCAGAATGTGGAGCCCAATGCTGCCGTGTATAGTGCAATAATTGACTACCAAGTTCGGGAACAGACTGAACAGGGCTTGAAGGGAGCGATAGAGCTTCTCCAAAAGATGGAGGAGAATCCAGAGGCGCAGCCCAACGAAGTCACTTATACGAGCATCTTGGCAGGTGTTCACCGTGGCGTTTGGTCGAATGAGAAACTGGCAGCGGAATGCAGACAATATATCCTAGGCAGAATGAAGGCAAGAAGCATCCAACCCAATAGGGTGACATATCACATCCTACTGCAAGCGTGCTTTGATAACCCAGAATCACATGGTCTACAGAGTGCGTTGGGCTACTACAGAGAGATGGTGAAGCGAAAGATCCAGATGACACATGACACCTGGTATATCATCCTGTATGGACTGGTGGTAAGGGAAGAGTGGGCGGTTGCTGATGAGATAGTGGATGATTTCAACAAGAGTGGCCTTAAATCTATTGGACGACTGGCAGATTTAGTGACGAGGGTTAGACGGCGGACTGTAAAGAAGATGAGATTAGGACCCAAGGCGTACATTTAGTGCTAGATATTATAATCAAATATATCATTTGACTGGCTCATCGAGAAGCTAACGAGGATAGCAGCTTTTCACCTAGAAAGAAAGACTTTCCAAGGCCAAGTCGGAGGTAGCGGTCATATGCTATCATGATGTTAGTGGAAAGTAAAAACGATACTAAATTTGCATGCTTACCCCAGTAGCTGGAGCGCCTGCCCATCCATTTGCCGACCCATGGCAGGAGCAACACCAGAACAAGCTGCTGGAGCTCCTCCAAGCTTTCGTTCCACTCCTTCTGCGCCAAACGATACTCCTCATCTGAGTCATAAGAGAAATCGGAGGACGCGGAGGACAGGTCCAGTGATGAAGCATCTGAATGAGGCATGGTGAGAGGAAGTGCTCGACACGAACAACGAAGAAAGTGGTGTATGTTCCCTGTCGTATAACGTCACAGTAAGCGAATAGAGGACACTGGGGGATGATGGTTGCCTGTATCTGGAATGGTTTTGATGATTCAAACGCCCGTATGACCACGGCTTGTTGGCGGTGGCACACGGGAGATGGCGGTACTCTCGGCACACCTTTTTGGATCACTACCCCACTTTCCCTAACATTTCCGTTGTCTTTCATTTTGCTGCCCCAACCTTGTTTTCTCCCTCAACCATCCTCAATCTCGCCCATGCATCATGGTCGAAGTAGCTCTTCCTACGTCGCGACACAGGCTCGTGGGCCAACCCCTGCTATATGCCATTTCTGTGTTCGCTAGTTTGGGTGTATTCCTCGTACGTCGACGACACATGTACACCGTGAATCTCCAGTTCACTGATGGTTCCCGATAATCCTTCTAGTTTGGTTACGACCAAGGGTATTTCCATCACATACGCCCATCTCTTAATTTTCTAACTCGTTTCTAGCGTCATGTCTGGTATTATCACAGGACCTTATTTCAAGCAATATTTCAATTCACCAGGTCCGCTTCAACTTGGCACAATGGTGGCAGTGTTGGAACTCGGAGCTTTAGGTACGCCCACACCGCCCAAATGTGCATACAGTTGGCTAACTCTCCTGCAAAGCAACATCCCTCGCGGCCGGTCGCGTGGGCGATATCATAGGACGTAAAGGCACTCTTTTTGTAGGCGCTTTGGTGTTCACCCTTGGAGGTGCCATTCAAACGCTTACCACCGGATTTGGTGTCATGGTTGTCGGACGAATAGTTAGTGGGTTTGGTGTTGGCTTATTATCGTAAGTGGACGCGCGAACCGAGGGGCATTCAGAACTATAATTTTGCTGTAGCACGATCGTTCCTATATACCAGAGTGAGGTTTCCCCACCAAATCATGTAAGTCGACTGTTTCTTCTGTCGAGCCTACCACTGATGTTTACAGAGAGGTGCACTGGCTTGCATGGAGTTCACTGGAAACATCGTCGGTTATGCTACCTCTGTGGTAAGTTACGTACTTTCTCAGCTTGGCGGATGCTCAAAGATTCTCAGTGGACCGACTATTTCTGTTCTTTCATCGAATCTGACTACGCTTGGCGCATACCACTTTTCTTGCAATGTGTGATTGGAGCTATTCTTGCCGCAGGTTCCTTAGTCATGCCAGAAAGCCCGCGGTAACTTGCTAACTCCATTAGCGCTCGTCGTGAATACTAACTTTTGTGTTAGATGGTTGATTGACACAGACAAAGATGCTGCCGGCATGCAAGTCATCGTTGACCTGCATGGTGGTGATCCAACTGATGTAGTTGCCCAAGCTGAGTACCAAGAGATTAAAGACAAAGTTATGTCAGAAGTGAGCATCCATTTGAGTGCTTCTACATTGTAATGCTGACAATCGAACGTTCTCAGCGCGAATCGGGTGAACCGCGTACATATGCGGTTATGTGGAAAAAGTACAAGCGCCGTGTATTACTCGCCATGTCTTCGCAGGCTTTCGCTCAGCTTGTACGTAACATATATCTATCGATTTCTGACTGATTCACATTCTTCATTCATTGCATCCATAGAATGGTATCAATGGTAAGCATTAGCTACATTACTTCTTCATGTTCAATTGATTAATATCGTTTTAAGTGATCTCATACTACGCTCGTAAGCATTAGACTGAGATTACTTTTACACTACTCATTGACATTTGCATTTATTTTTCACTTACAGCTTCTGTGTTTGAAGGTATGGATTTTGGTGCTTTCTTTTACAATGTAAATGCTGAACATGTTTCTCATGTAGAGGCTGGATGGCTTGGACGTGATGCTCTTCTCATGACTGGAATCAACTCCATCATATATGTTTTGAGCACTTTACCTCCGTTAGTATTCTCTCCACTTACACACCCAGATACCCATCTTAACTTGTACACTCTTCAGATGGTATTTAGTGGACCGATGGGGTCGTCGCTTCATCCTTCTCACTGGTGCCGTAATTGTTCGTTGTTCCTAACACCTCATATTTTGTTCTATTTGACTTATCTTTACGCAGATGGGTGTTGCTCTTGGAGCTACTGGGTGGTGGATGTACATAGATGTACCGATGACACCGAAAGCTGTTGTCATATGCGTCATCATCTTCAATGCCGCGTTTGGCTACAGGTATGTACCAATACCACGACCAAGTTACCCTGGCTGATGAATGTTCTAGTTGGGGACCCCTCCCGTGGTTGTATCCTCCCGAGGTGTGTTACTGTCTATAGCATTAATTAATAACCAAGCTCAACCCAAGCTAGATTATGCCCCTTACTTTCCGAGCTAAAGGTGTATCGCTTTCCACTGCTACCAACTGGTAATCGTTGCCACTCCTTGATGCATTTATGGGTGTTCCTGAATATGTATTAGGGCATTCAACTTCATTGTCGGGGAGACAACTCCTTACTTGCAAGAGGTGATTACTTGGCGCTTGTATCCCATGCATGGGTTCTACTGTGCTTGCAGTTTTGTCTTGGGTAAGCATGCTTGTCTTCATTTATACAAATGACTCATTAAAACGATTTCCAGTATATTTCCGTAAGTACGCAATAAGTGTTACCGTGGGTAAGATTGTTGAAGGGCCCTCTTATCAGTATATCCTGAAACCAAGGGCGTACCATTAGAAGAAATGGACGCTGTGTTCGGTGAAGGTAACATTAAACGAAATTAACACCATCGAAAGACACTAATTCCGCGGTTTTAGAGGAGCGCTTGGACTATGAGTCCGAGAGAGCATCCCTTATGTCTAACACGTTCCCCACTGACCATCATTCTATAAACTCTGTACGGAGGCCGAAGCCCAACAATCCTGCCGAACGGGGTTGGGTCAGCCGTCTACTTTACAGGAACGATAGGAGCACTTATGAGCCTATCGCCGACGCCGAGGAATAGGAACTCGCGAGGATGGATGGCGAACATACCGAAGAAACCGAGGAGGATCAGCAGCGGTCGTCGTCGTCTTCGCCAGTCATTATTGACGCTGCTGCTGCCATCGGAAGTGAATCTTGATTGCGAAGTATTTATGCTGCTACGCTTTGGTAGCGCCACTGAGATGTTCTGGTGACGTCGACCTTCCTCTGGTTCAAGTATGCTTTCTGCATTCTTTGGCATGGCTTTCCATCCTCACACTTGACATGACCCGCCACGTACTCTCTTTTAATTACGATCACCACCACTTCTCCTGGCAGTTTCCTTTGTATCTTAACATCTGCGACTATTGTAGATCACTATCCAACGTCTCGTTCGCTCTCCAATATTTGTCTAACCCCACCGATATGTTTTTCTCCTCGTAATATAGTCGCTTTTCAAGTAACGATACCCAATATTTGAACCTTGAATTTGAGCCAGATATGTGTAAGATGTTATTGCCGGTTTGTGTACATAAGGCAGGCCTCAACTTGACAAATTTCGAAGCTGTGGCGAGTTTTGGCTGCCTATGAAATTTCCTCGTCCTACGTCCATAACAGCCGCTGCGATTCATGGTTGGGTTCGGCGACCAACATGCAAGAATACCGTCTTCGTTCGGTGTATGAGCCGTGCTTCAGAGGCACACGCCCTTTCTCTAACGCCAAAGAGTGCAGCCTACAACACGTTCAAGGATGATGTATTACAGGAGGCGCACCCTACCTTTGAGGCAGTAGGGATCAAACCGTCTATCGCTTCTATCCTACGGGCAGCGTTTCCCAATGTCGACCATCCAACCACTATGCAGAAAAAGATAATTCCGGCGGTGCTAGGTCAGAAGGACATTTTGATTCAGGATTACACTGGTACTGGGAAGTATGTTAGCCCGTACTCAAGTCTAGTCTTCTTCTGATTTTGCATCTTCAGGTCCTTCGCGTTGCTATTGGCACTTCTCAGCAAGCAACGCGTAAAAGTAAACGCGAAAAGCAATGACGCTACTCCTAAAAAATCGATAACAACGCTATTGATCGTGCCTCACCGTGACCTTGCGTACCAGTTCTTACACTGGGCCCACCAGTTGGCCACGCCGACTGACGACGGCTCTGCGCCCTTCTCATTGTCGTCCACTTTGAAAATACTCGTGCGAGGCAGCTCTCCTGAAAACTTGCCTTCTGCTGTGCGGCAGTCTATCGTCGGTCCGACAGAAGATGGGGTGTCTGCGCTTCGTGATGATCCGCCTCATATTCTCATAGGTACACCTCAAGCCATCCAGGACATGCTGGCAGTAAACCCCCATGTATTACAGCTGTCATCGTTATCTACCGTCGTCGTGGATGAAGTTGACTCGCAGCTGGAATGGGCGTCAAGTCACGCAAGCAAGGCTAACAAGGAAAAAGTCAAGAAGAAGGGAGACAAACATCCCAAAGCTCTGAAACAATTGCTGGATATGCTGTATCCCCCGCACAGCAGGGACACGAATCCGCTCGAATCTGCTCGAACGCCGGCTTTTCGACCCCAACTTATTGTGCTTAGTGCGACGCTGAGGAATCGACTGCGGACTGCATTTTTTGGAGAATTTGGCTGGTTTAGAAGGGGGAATGTGTTGAAATTGGTCAAGTCTGGGTCCAAGTCGCGTGCCTCACATGGGGCTAATCGGTCTACGACTCATCACGTCCTTGTTGTGTCGGACGATGATGGCATCCGAAATATCCGTGGTGCCCGAACTGTAAAAACGGCAAATAGCACAGTTCCTATCGCGTCAGAAGCTCTTAATGACATGGAGGAGGGAGATGAAGATGATGCCTATTTTCTCTTGGACGATGATGATATGCTGGAAAGTGACGGAGACGAAAGTGAGTCCGATCATGTTATTATAACCGGGAATCTCCACGTATAATGACATTATGTAGAAGCCTTGGGAGCTGTATCTGTTATAAACCCCGCTGTGCTTGATGCTGTAGCAGCAACGTTCGCTCTAGACGTTCCCAGCATTGCTCTCCTTGTTTTACCTCCAACAGCCTCTGTCCGTCGCACTGTCTTCGACTTGCGAGCTCTTGGTGTAAATGCCCACGGAATGGATCTCACTGCAGACGAGGCCGGTCGCTTTCATCTGCTGTCCAAAGATGGTGCATCTGTCGAAGAAAGCCCCACCCTGCTTGTGTCGACACTTTCGACAACGCGAGGGATAGATTTACCTGCATTGACTCACGTCTTCTTGGTTGGAATTCCTGACGGACGGATGGCGGACTCGTATCTCCATGTTGCGGGACGCGTTAGCCGCTTTGGCCGCAATGGGAAGGTTATCACTGTCCTAGAGGATCGGCAAGAGGTGAAGGAGAAGAAAAAGGTCCGAATCCGAGATGAGCCAAAGAAAATGGCCTTGATATTGAGGCAGCTTGGCATCATTCCAGCCAAACTTGAACATTTTGATTAATGGATATGGAGATGCAAGGAGATCAATTCGTCACGGAGCATTATAATATCCATCGACAGCGTGGTCGATGTTTACAGTCGAGTAGTTGTTTTGGAGATGAACCGCGCGGGTATGGGCTGTCGAGCGGCGGCTTGGATTCCTCGTGCGTATGACTCTCTATCAGCGATACTAATAATACGACGTATGATAGAACCACTTTAATTGTGAAATGGTATCCCAAGTTTATAACATCCTTTCTATGAGTGCGCGCAGGTGCTAGGCTATTCGTTACCACAAGTTTACAATGAAAGCAAATGGAATACAGCTAAAACGCATGGCCACTATCTGATGCAATCGGTCAGTGCCCTCCGTCTTGGCTGGGCCTCGGTGAAACGCTTGACAGGTTGGAATTCGTCGAGACGCGCGATGGCACCACATGCGCGTTTACAGCTCGAGGCCAAGGACGGCCGCGTTTCGTGATGAGGTCCGCAATGGTCGGTGCTCAGCAGCGCTGGTGCTAACTAGAAGAAGCAACTCTTATAGGAGACGTAAGTGGACACTAAGGATAGTTTTTTTTTCTGACCGACGTTCCTTTGAGCTAGTGACTGCTGTTCGGTTTGGGTAGATTCTTAGGGTGGTGCTATTGAGATTGCCTGGTTACATGGGTAAAGACGTCCACCTTCAGGTCGGAAGTATATAGCCGTGTTCTAAAAGTATCAGCAAAAGTGCACGAAATGTGGCAAAGTGGTCCTGATTGGGATAAGTTGGTACGAAATTAGCAAAAGATTCCCGCGCGTGTTGAGAGACGGATCGAAGCCAATAGGGCGTGGCGGCTGACCACAGAACTGGCCATGAATCTCTGCCAGCAACCGTGACCTTTCTTCCCTGGCCCTCCCTTTTCTCTTTCGCAGCCAGGGCTATCCCAAGTCCTTTGCTAGGTTGGCTTTCTCTTTCTCTCCTTCACCAGTACCCATGTTTCCACACGTCTCATTCCAGGCATGCTTCATGCTACTATGCCTCTTATTTCTTTCCTCCTCCCTCCTTGTACAAGTCTCAGCTCAGAGCTCTAGTGCAACCACAACCACCGCTGTTTCATCTACACTATCTGCAAATGTCACCGTCGTGCCAACCACTAGCTCATACACCACCACCATCGTCAGTCGTTCCGGAAATCAGAACATTCCTCTCACGACAGTTGTTCCCACCGCATTCAATGCTACGAAAACAATATCTGCAGCAGCATCTGCTACATCCTCTGCCAGTCCCACCCCGACTCCTATCGTGCTCGATACAAAACTTAACCCTGCCTTTGGTGTCCTCGGAGCAATTCTTATCCTCACAGGCCTTCCCAGTGCATTCTGGGGCCACAAGAACAGATGGCAAGTTCATCTAGACACTCTGATTCACAGATTGGATTCTCATTTCGCACACAGGACATCTTTTTTCCTGATTGGGTTTTATACACTCTCACTAGTCTGTTTTGTCCTCATTCTGAAATTTGGTGTCTTATCAGCCATAAATCCTCCCAATAATACCTTGCAAGGCATGTTCGTCCTTGCCTCTGTAGTTGCAGGTATCATGGGAGGAGGTATCACCATCTTCTTCTGGAAAGCTTCCAAATACTTTATAGGTGCATGGGGCGGTTTTGCCTTTGGCCTCTGGATCCAATGCTTTAAGGACGGAGGAGTAATCGCTTCCATCGGCTTGCGGTGGATCCTGTATATCGGTCAGTAATTCGTTGCCATCCACTAATGCCGTCACTGACACCTCTAAACAGCGTGTGGTGTCGTTGGCTTTGTTCTTTGCACCATTCCAAAATTACACTGGCACGTTCTCCTCGTTGCGACGGCGGTGGTCGGATCTTCGGCCTTCATTCTTGGAATCGACTGCTACACTTCCGCGGGTTTGAAAGAGGTAATATATCATATCAATACGTACACGTGTACTCACTAATTGTTGCAATTTAGTTCTACATCTGGAATTTGGGCTTCACCGACTTATTCCCAAAGTATACAAGTAACGGCATTGCCTTTCCTGTGACGCAGACGATGGAGATCGAACTCGGACTTATGGCCGCAATCGCACTGATGGGAGGAGCTGTTCAGCTTCGGATTTTACGAATCCTTCAGCACAAACTCAAGGAAATATCGATGGAGCAAAAGAAGCGAGATGAAGAAGCTGAGCTTGAAGCTTCGAGCAGATTCGCCGATTTGTCCAAAGAGCAAGACGAATGGGAGAGGGAGCATCCATCACTTGGAAGACATGGGCGATACGGAAGCGGATATTCTGGTATCCCACTGATGAAGGAATTCCCATCTATGAATGACTCTAATGAGGGGCGCTCATCTACGTTGACTCTGACGGGTGACCGCCGCGCTCGTCATCAGTCGGGCATATCCGAGTTCATGGCCGCTCCTATTCCGGACGAGGAAGCTCGGCATGCAGCTAGGCACTCCCAGAATCCTGGTGCTCTACCAACGTTGGACCTTGGTCTTGGAATTGAGGAAGACGTTCCCTCAAGTTTTATAACTGAAGGTTTCAATAATGTCAAGAAGACGGGAACGGCTTCAGATCCTGAACTCCAGCGTAAAGAAGAGCTCCTAGCAGAAATTCAGACCATCAGACGTTCGATTGATTTACTCCGCTCTGAGACGCCCGGTAACTCTTCTGATGATTCTCGGTCGCGGCACGTCTCTTTGACTTCGCGGCGGACGCTCAGTTATGATCTTGACAATGCGATTATGCCTCGCATACCTCATTCTCGTCCTCCCAGGCAGCCGGACCCTCGAAACAGAGCTCAATCCATGGAGCTGGACACGATGATTAACTCGCCTCCTCTCGGTGCTTCGATCGGTCGACCCACCAGCGCCCCGCTCCGGGATGAAGATTGGGATTCTTATGTTCGTGACCGCAAACTTCTTCAGCCTCCATCAGGCATCTCAGCGCCCATCCCAACCACTGCCATCAAGCCAAGTCTTTCAGCTGGCACCTCGGCCGCGAGGCTCCCTGTCCCTCAAGCTGTGACTGAAGCTCTGGTGCAACGGAAGAGAAGAGAGAGTTTATTGGACCCCGATGTTACAGGGAATGATGCGGCTGTTAAAGATGTATCTTCAGACGATATTCCGATTGCTGCGTTGTCTCCCCCTCCCAGGGCATACACCAGGAGGCCCAAGCAGCCTCGGCCTACCAGCGTGTCTCCTGTAGCGGCTGCGCCGGTGAATAACGTTCCCATCATTCTTCCTCGCAAGAACATTGTCTCTCCTACTCCTCAAAGGCCAGAGGTTCAGCGTGTTGCCACTTATGAGGAACTGGAAGAGAGACATCGTGAGAAGATGAAAACCTTGCAGTCACCGCTTACCCAGGCTGCCAAAGAGCAAGCAAAAATTGACGCAGCGAAGCAGAGATGGGAACGTTCCAAGGCTGTCGAGAAGGAACTGGTGACGAAGCGGCACGCGGAGAAATCGGCGCAGATTGCTAGGGATGAAAGGACCAAGCGCAAGTCTGAAGATGAACTTGGAAAGAGGGGTTCTACCGTCCTCGAGCCTAACAAGAGCGGCGACCGCCAATCACGCAATTTGACCCCGGACAAGTTGGCTCAAATTGGTGGATCTTCATCGAAGCGCCAGTCAGTGATGAGGGTGGAAGATTGGCAGCGAAACCAGCAGGATGCAGAGCTTGGAGTGAAACCTGAGCGCGCGGGAGGCACGACTTCAAAGCGTGATTCCCGTGTGGTGAAGGGCGATGCTGCTCCTGCTGTACCGTTCCCGGGCCAGAACAGATCTCGCGATGCTGCTCCAGATAGGCGTCGATCTTCTGGCTTCCCACGAGATCCACCAAGTTAGAGGCAGTCATGAGTGGTGATTTCATTTGTGGGTTTTGGACCCGTGGTAGGCGCTATTGTTATGAACTTGGTGTTAACAGGTCACTCGTTTCACTTTAATATGTATTTCTGGACTTTTGTGGACTATACGATTTTCGAACCCGCAACCGCACTGTCATCATCTCCATCTCGTTTTTCTCCGTTCGCTTCACCGTCTATCTTCAGTATTTGAGATAGACTATGCCCATCACTTTTAGTGATTCATTTTTAGCATTTTCTGATTCGGTTTTGCACGCTGTCTATACTCTGCACGTATTAAGTATCTGTCGATACGTATACTTGATTAGGAACATTGTAATGCATGCTGCACGACTCCCAAGACGGGTTGCAGCAGTTTTGTATCTAGGTGCAACGAGTCTGGTCTTCTTTCCGTGTCTCGTTTTTATTTTTGCGAGACCTGCGGTTTGATATGAGCTGTGGCTGGAATTGGTCATGGGAGTCCGACTGAATCTAGACTAGGATGTCTTGGACAGTCGCTGACTTTGAAATCACCATTTCTTGGGGTATCGACGTTATCTCATATATAATTTCAAGTCTATTGGTTTTGCTCTTATGAACAAGGCAGACAGAGACCGGTGCTGCCCTTACCATGGCTGTTCCCCGCTCCAAGACAGCTCCCCACTCTCTGGACAAGGCGCTATACACACAACGGCCAGGAATAACAAGGGCCAAGTCAACCCTAGATGATCTGCCACAGTTGCGGTTGAAAGGTCTTGTGAGGTTGGGTTATGGGTCGAATGTACCAGGGACGGCCGTGTCGCCGCTGAGTACGCCACGAGACAGGGAGGATCCGTTCAATCTTGCAGGGTTCTTTCCGGCGTCGTACAGTGCGTCTCCTACGACCGAGAAAGAGCGGTGGGAATGGTTACGGCAGGAGGAGGACGAATATGGTGCGAAGCGGGACGCGGTGAGCTCCGTGTACTCGTTTTCGGAGGAAGGTGATGGGTCGCTGCCTACGACTCCGGGGCCCGCTGGGTTCGCACGGATGGAAGAAGACAAGGCTGAGGAGGCCATCAAGGGAGAGGACAAAATGGGCATCTTGTCACTTGGTATGGGGGCCGGAAAGCATATCAGAAAGATGTGAACTGACGTTCCTGACGGTGCAGATACATATTTTGCGACAAAAGAGAAGAACGGGGTGTATAGAGAGGATAGGCTGTATTCTCCGTACTCGGACGAGGAAGCGGTCGACCACGAGTCACTCTACCTCGCCCTGAGTGCGCGGCGTCAGACGGAGAACGAGAAGTCTGATACGATGCTGGCGACGAGTGCGGTTGGAGAGCTGTTCTTGTCGACGAGCGGGGAGGAAGAGGACAGGGAGGGGAGCACGAGCTGGACGAGGGCAGTGCGGCGGAGTGTGCAGGTGTTGACGAGAGGCATCTTGTAGGACTACGAACTGAAGTAAAATGTACTGCACGACACGAATAGACTCGGACCCCGGGGATGTGTGCGCGGGGTCTCTGGTGGGGACACAAATACACAAAAGATCTCACGGGGTGCAGCGTGGGAAAAGAGAGGGATGATTTTTTCTCGTCGCTCTCGCTGAAACTCTCACAGACGTCTGTTTTTTCCCACCTTGGTTCCCACAGCTTGCAGTAATCTGTCCCTCAGTCCGGGAATTAGTATGAGGACATTCCATCCTTTCTCTTCCCCACACCTCCAAATGGCCTCGGCTCAGCAAACGGACCCAGCTCTCCTCCACTCCCCGTCCATCCCGTCCCAGCAACCCTCCCGCTCAACGTCGCCCTCGCACCAAAACCTCAATCTCGTCCTCAATCCGTCCCCTCCAGACCTTTCACCCCACACTCATGACCACAATCAGCATCAGCATCCCCAGAACCATCTCCATCTTTCAAATGGCGTTCCCCATCCTTCCTCCCCGCTGACCTCAGCCTCTCCCGCTGTTCTTTCACATCCAGATCCAACCGCCTCTCTACAATCAATACTCGCTGCATCTCGGAAAGATCCCAATGTCAACAATGGTCAGCAGCTTACTTGGAGCATCACAACCCCCCCTGTGCCCCCCTTGCCCGCTCAGCATACAACGCCCCATCACCCCGCTTCATTATCACAGGTACGTTGACATTTCCGTCACTTACAGACGCGTTCTTTCCTCAATGTCCGCGTTTAAGCCTTCAAATTCAACCGGAAAACGCAAGTTGGACGACACAGACTCCGAGGACCCTCATCACAAGATTCGCCGCATCGTCCGTGACCATGTATCCCAGGATCCTTCACGCGTCGTACCTATGACTACCGTGATATGTCTCCATGCTGCTGTTGCCCAGAAATCCTATGGCAGCGAAAAGCGTTTTCTTTGCCCCCCACCCGTCGTGCATATCGAGGGTCCTGTTTGGCACATGCGCTCACAGCAGCTCGCAATGTCTGTCGTGTCTGAAAACGGTGAACGCTCTTTTGAGCAAAAGGCTCCTCTTGATAATACAATGACAGCAAGCTTCAAATTTTTACATGTGACTGGTACCGCCAAGGCAAAGAGTTTTCAGCTGTCTCTCGACATAGTAGAACCTCCCCCTGCACACCCCACCGCAGAGGGTGGCGATCCCCCCGGTGGTCGTGTATGGGCAGCTTTTGATTCAGCTCCAGTAACCATAATCTCTAAGCCTTCAAAGAAGACCGCCAAGACGCGTAACATCTCTTCTTGCATCCTGGCTGGGGGCCCAGTGTCTCTTTTCAACCGCATCAATTCCCAAACTGTGCGCACAAAATACATGACCATTGATCACGCGCAATTGTGTGCCAGTAATGTAGCCTGGTCAGCTTTCAATGTAAATGTCGTACAACGTCCAAACGACGCGCCTCCTATGGGTACGTGACCACGTGACTGGAAAATATTACCACTCAGTACTCACGTTCACGATATCTCAGGTGGTCCACAGCCTGTGACTTACGGCTGTGAAATTATATTGTCAGACGTGCAATCCGGCATCTCCACATCTCCCCTAGTCATACGTAAAGTTGACAAGGGTCGCGTTTCTGCTGAAGATGGCGGTCCAGTTAGCCAAATGCAGAAGATTGCCTTGCAAAGGGTCAATCCAGATGGCTCACGGCATTACTTGTCCGCTGCAGGGCCCATTCCTGGTACACCTGGTGTTGTCGCTCCTCCAGCGCCCGGAATGTCATCACAAGCCGGCACGCACCCCTTGATCTTTCAATCACCTCGTGTACGGGATGAAACGAAAGACGGCGTGCGTACCATAACGGATGAAGTAGATGACTATTTGTGCTGGACAATCGTTGGTATCTGTACGTGATACAATTTACTGTCTGAGCTATCACCGACATTTCGCGTTTGTTTTTTCTAGCCAAATTTCAGTACACGTTTTTTGACGCCTTTGGTCAAAATAATTCCATACCTGAAGTACCGATTACCCCATTCCCAACTCTTTTCACATCGCCGGTCTATCGTCCAGCGAACAATACTGTGGAGATGACGGTGTCAAACTTCTTCTACGATGATCCCAAATCGGGGACACAAACGCCGCTTGCCGTATATCTTGGCAACATCGGACCCCTTCGCCAACGTGTCTATCAAGCTACACCCCCAGGTCCACTGACGAGCATATCGCCTTTCATACCAAACCCGACGCCAATAGACACAGGATCACATGAGAATGCGTCTATAGGAGCTACCTCAGTTTCTTCAGTACTTGCTTCTCCCCGATACGTACAATCGGCACCTTTGCATACCATTGTTATTGTCGAAATGCCTTCTTTGATGGATGTCATCAAGGCTCTCGAAGAGGATGCCATACCGCCGAATGGTAATATTTTAGGTCAAACATCATCATCTGAAAACGAAGCTTCGACGTCGGGGCCACATCTTGATGGGAACCCCCCACTGCCCCCACCACCATCGATTACCGGGCGTAGTCTTCCCCTTTTGTTTATCCGGGCCTCGGACGGGGTTGGGTACCACTCTGGGCGTACCATCGCGTGCGAGAATGTCTTCCAGACGATGGATCTTGGAACGATGGCTGCTGCCAGTGCATCAAGTCCCAGTGGCACCAGTATTGATACGAGCTGGCTGGCGGCTGCTCAGGCAGCAGCAGCAGTAGATGGCGGTTTGCATGGCTGGACACTGAGAGTGATATGATGATCAGTTGCTTTGTCGTCTCGCTTTCGATTGATTTCTATTATTTGTCTTTGAAAAAGTTCCCTTCCCTTTTTTTACAACATGCTATCGAAGCTCTTCTGTTCACAGAAATTGTATGCAACCGTTTTGATTCCTCTACTCGACCTCTATTTTGTTCTGGATTGTTTAGCCAGTTATTGCACTGGTGGACCTACTAACGCACTTTCTAATCATCTACTCTGGGTTCATAGTTAGTTACTTGTGGTTTTTTCGTAATGAATTTTGATACCATGCGAACGTGCGATGAGTGATAGGCAGTTCTCGGTTACCCGTTACCCAGCATCTCTGGGCGGCCGCAAGCCTGAGCAGGTTTGCATGATTGGCTGTATGGTCCGACAGGCAATTTTGAGTGTACGGCCGAGAGTAATGAAAAAGATAATAAATCCGAGATTACATCGATGCGCCTTGTACGCGTCGCGATTTATCTAAGAACGCCCACCCTCTCTTGTCCTGATACTCGACGTAATCTGTAAGTGTCCACAAAGATCGATAAGGCCACTGGTGCGGTGCGGCTGGATACTTTTAATCTTTGTCTTCACCTCTCTACCTCCGCCCATCTTTCTCTATAAAGATCATCAGAGAACTGACTTTTTGTTCTTTAGACGTCACATCGCTCTCCACAATCAAAAAACAGCCCCACCCATCGTTAATCTTCCTGCACAATGTTCCCTCACGATGGTATCCGATCTCAATTAGAGTGGAACTCCACCCTCAGCGTTGCAAATGCACCTCAGCCCACAGCTGAGACCAAGTTCCTTCGCAAAGTGTGTAGAATGGTGTTGATCTACCAGAAAAGCCCCCAGTACTGACTGCCTTCTATCAGACTGCTATCATAGCAACTATCGGTGCGTGGTGGATGTATTGGGGTAGTGGATGTGATCAACTGATACTTGTCTGTGTTTCGCGATCTTTAGGACCCAAGGTCAACACCGTCGAGAAGCTTTCTGAGCTCAGGCGTGCCGGTGTTAACGTCGGTGGGTATCAGATGGTTTTCGATCTGTGTGTTGCCTGGCTGATGGCATTTGACAGTTCGCATGAACTTTTCGCATGGTTCCTATGAATATCACCAAAGTGTCATCGACAACACGAGGAAGATGGTGGCTGGTAAATGACACCGTTCTATCGGATTGGATTTATGCTGAAGTGACTCCTAGCGGACCCCACCGGTCGTCCCGTTGCTATTGCTTTGGACACAGTAAGCCGTTTGATGAACCGTCGTGTGTATATATATCTGAAACGTTGCTGCGACCGTAGAAAGGCCCTGAAATCCGAACGGGTCTCATGAGAGATGGAACTGATGTACGTCTCGTCTGGGTCTTATATCTGCGTTGTATAGCCCGCTGATAAAACGTATAGGTTCCCATCAAAGCTGGCCATGAGTTTATCGTCTCAACAGACCCTAAATATAGCGAAATCTGCGATGACAAAATCTTGTGGATGGACTACGTTCGTGACTTTGCTATCAAAGAAGAAGAAGCATATATCTTACATAGTTTCTTTTTATTTAGCAAAACTTGTCCAAGGTCACTGCGCCTGGCAAACTGATTTACGTGGATGATGGTACGCATGTTCTCTTGTATGGTTATGTTGTGTTACTGACAGGATGACCCCAAGGTATCCTCTCTCTTCTCGTTCTCTCCATCGAGGGCAACAACGTACGAGTACGCGCCTTGAACAACGGTGTTCTTTCTTCTCGCAAGGGTGTCAACCTCCCCAAGACAGAAGTCGATCTCCCACCTTTGTCTGAGAAGGACAAGAAAGACTTGCAGTTTGGTGTTAAGAACGGCGTTGACATGGTGTTCGCTTCATTTATTCGTCGCGCCCAAGATGTAATAGATATTCGCAAAGTGCTCGGACCTGACGGTGCAAACATCAAAATCATCGTCAAGATCGAGAACGAACAGGGAGTGGAGAACTTTGACGAGATCTTGAGGGAAACCGACGGTGTGATGGTCGCTCGTGGTGACCTTGGTATCGAGATTCCCGCCAGCCAAGTCTTTTTGGCACAGAAAATGATGATCGCGAAGTGCAACATTGCTGGGAAGCCAGTGATTGTTGCCACTCAGATGCTCGAGGCAAGTTGTCCTAACCTCATTTGGCTTATCAATACTGATGTCTTTTTCCCTTTACAGTCTATGACGGTATGGTCAATGTCGTTCTTCTTCTCTTAAAAGTTATTTATATATTTTACAGTACAACCCGCGACCCACCCGTGCAGAGATTAGTGACGTCGCTAACGCTGTCCTGGATGGTTCGGATTGTGTCATGCTGTCCGGAGAAACTGCCAAGGGTAATTACCCCGTCGAATCAGGTTTGTCTTCTCGGTATTAGAAGATGACGCCATGTGAAACTGATTTTGACTCGATAGTTCTCATGATGGCCGAAACGTGTCTTCTTGCTGAGGCCGCCATCTGCTATCCCCCGCTGTACGATGATCTCAGGAGCATTCAGCCCCGTCCCACGGAGACGGTCGAGACGGTAGCAATTGCTGCGGTCGCTGCTGCTTCTGAGCAGAACGCCAGTGCTATTCTGGTGTTGTCGACGAGTGGCAACACTGCACGTCTTATTTCCAAATACCGTCCCCGAGTACCGATTATCACCGGTGGGTATTTCCATCCTTTCTGTAGATCAAGCATTCCGTGTGTACTGACGCATTTAACCGACAGTGACTCGGAATGAGCAGACATCTCGTCAAATTCACCTGCACAGGGGGTTGTTATCCCTTCTGGTACCCCGAGCCGAGGGGCATCCCCGAGAGTCAATGGCAGCGAGATGTGAGTACTTTTGGTATCGTTTAGAATAATGCGGCTGAGTATCATTGTTCCTGAAGGTGGACAACCGCATCCGATTTGGGCTGCGCAATGCTCTTGACTTGAACCTCATCAAGACAGGAACCACGATCGTCGCTGTGCAAGGCTGGAAGGGCGGTCTTGGGCACACCAACACCCTTCGCGTACTGTCTGTCCCGACTGACCCTGCTGACTTGGAGCTCCAGCCTCTAGGAGCCAACTAAAGAGAAGATCTGTGGCCGAGTTCTTGTGAGAACCTCTAGACGATAGACACTTGTATGAAAGTATGACTGCACGCGCGATCTGTTTGTACAGTATAACGGGCTACCTTTGTTGCACATTGTTCGCGCTGTATTTTCGATGAAAAGTAATGAAAGCTTTTGATATCGTACCGCGCGGCTGAAGAGGACATCGATCATCGGGTGCGGTCGGGTTTGGCCATGCTGTTTGATGCGCGTAAGTAGGAGCGACCGATAGGATATCTTATAGGATGATTGTTCCTAGACGCACGGGTACTACGCGCTATGTTCGCGTAGAGAATCACATCAGGATAACAAGGCTGTTCACGTGATTTGGGCACATTATCTCAAGAGTGTCTGTTATTCCATCTGGCCAGCTTCATAAATCTGCAGATAATAGTGTTCATTTCCACGTATCATAGCATGCGTTTAAATTTCAGGATGTCATTGGAAGTTCTCAGATCAGGAACTATTCATATCTCTGAATCTGATGCCGGGATGGTTGTTACACTTTTCACCCACAGGCTGTAAATGAGGCCGGTATTCCCCTTCTGTAGCTCAGGCTCATGCCCATGCTTCTCTGACTGATAATTTGTTTATACTCTGCCCACGATTCCAAGCTTTCCTCACCGACACTCTTTACTCACTCCTACGCGCATCCCTGCGCAGCACTCGCCAGCATCACCGTTGGTCCAATGGCCTCGTCCAGCTACTTGGCCGCGTTCCAGCGCGGTGCTAGCATGTACCGCGACGACGACCACGGCAATCTCCCTTCTTACTCCTCAGCTGTTAAAGAAAAATTGCACAGGCGTCAGCCAACAGCCCAGTGGTCTCTCCCTTTCGCGATTCCTGTCTCCAGTCCCGACATGCGTCGCCCACGTCTACGCATATTAAGCTCTACTCGCACCCACCACTTCAAAATCACACGACTGGGCCGGAAACGAAAGTCACTCTGTCGATGTCTTGCCCTTCTTGCCAGCATATTCGCACTTTACATCGTCGTTCTGCGCTTGGGAATGGAAGACCGTCATTGGACGCCGACCTTTCGTGACCCTTCGACGTTGGTCTTCGGACGTGAAAATCTACAGAAGATCTGGAAGTGGGAAATAGAGAGTGGTCACTACCCTAGTAGCCGCAAAAGTAAGCTACGTTCGGTGCTGGCTTATGATGTCAGAAGTGACCTTTGTCTGTCTTTTTCTTTAGTACCGCAGCAGATTGGGCTCACCTCTCCCATACCGAATCCTGCCATTCCGCCCGCAAAGGCACATACACTCATTTCACCTTTCACACCACCATTGGACCCTGTTGTCACTAGTACTCGAGGTTACGGCCCTCGGCGCGTGTATGTAGATATAGAGAGTCATCCCTCGCACGCTGCATACCCACCTCGTCCAGTGCCGAGCAGCACGATTGATCTTGATATTATTCTGGACCATTGCGACTTCACGCAAAAAAAGGTGCGGACCTACTCGTTGTATGGCTATCGATAGCACTAACTCCGCCGAAGTATGTACGCGATTGTTTAGAAGTCTTGCGAGTGGGAGGAAACTTGGATAACGGACGACGTTTACGACGGGGAGAGATGGATGAATGGAAGTATATTTTCGTCGATGGAGAGACTCAGAACGTTACGGAGACGCCTCACACTGCCAGCCCTATCATTGTTCCAAGACCACTTCCAACTGGACATCACGACTCAAACGCGGGATTGACGAAGAAGAGAGGTGTCCAGTGGGAGCCTCGGATGGTTCTCCCGCCTACTTCATTGCCACAGACATCCATGAGCCCAACGACTTCCTGCGATCCGGATAATCCACGCCTGTTCCACATGTTTTGGACGGGGCCTTTTACCGATAAGCCCTACATGGCCTTGCTCTCTTTCTTGTTCACCCAAAACCTTGGATTGGATTTGAAGGGCCAGGGCGAATCTCCTGTTTGTCGCCCTCAGTTCTGGTTGTGGATCAATCCTGGCCCAGCAGCGGCTGTTCCCAATGCATCAGCCATGAGCGACATGTTTACGCAACTGAAGACCAATCCATGGGCAGCTCCATTCCTTCACCCACGGTTCAGAGATGTTATCAAGTTTAGGTTGTGGAATACGACCGAGCAGCTTGATGGCATCCCCGAACTCAAAGATGAATGGCGATCGAGCGAGAGTCTTTTCAATTCTGGTGGTGTTTCCATGAATGTACCCATTGATAAGCAGCATGCAAGGAGCCCAGGGAGAGAAGCTGGCAGCAATGGAACCGTCAGCACTTCAAAGTCAGATGAAGATACAAAGTCAAATGATGATACTATGGTCAACCGCACGGGCTCAAAATCGTCGTCTTCATACGATAAACTTTCTGTTATCCTCTCGGATATGGCACGGTTCATTCTGTGCCATCGATATGGCGGTATATACTTGGACGCGGATACGATCTTTTTACGTGACTGGGAAGAGCTCTGGGGGTGGAAAGGCGCCTTTGCATACAGGTGGTCATACCACGACGATTACAACACAGCAGTCCTCCACTTGAACAAATATTCAGCACTGGGTTCATTTTTATTCAGAACCGCACTGAAAAACGGTCTCGATTTCCACCCCGTCGTCGTATCTAAATATCTGAAGGATGCTCATCTCGATAACTTATTGTTCCGTATTCCTGATGCTCTATTCGATTCGGCTTGGCTGAACATGGAAGGTTATCAACACGATCGTCCACCTCAGCCTTCATTTTCCGTGTAAGTAGTCGATTATTGAATGAGAGTTAACGCTCATGTTCTTGTAGTTTCGAAGACTTTTTCGTGACACCGGATGAAAGTAGTGCTGCACCTCATGCATTGGGTTTTGAGGGTTTTTTCCGAGGGGCTTATTCTTATCATTTCCACAACTTCTGGTGCGAACAATTCATTTCTTCAGTCCATAGCCGGGTATACTTATAGTATATTTAGGTGGGATCCTTTCGATTCCGCTCGTAACTGGCCAGATCTCGGTTCGAGGTTTGGTGCTGGCGAAAGGGCCGCTCGTGCTGTCGCTCTCCCAGATCTCGACCCTGATGAATGGGTAGACGCGGTCTCAAAGGATAAGCGTGATCTTGACTGGGCGACTGTCTTGAAGAGAACATTCGAGGCATACGTTCGAGGGGAGCGACCCAACATGTATGGCGAATTCCTTCAGTGGTGACCGCATCGTGGTGCCCATGATCATCAGTTTGGATATTTTATCATCTCTTTGCGAATGTTCGTTACCCCCATTGCACTCCTAAACATTTACCGTATTATTCAGGACTAGACATTGTTATATGTGGGCACTCAGACATTGATGCGGTGTAGTTCATGGATGCTCTTCTCTGACAACTCCCTTTGATTCCTTCTTTTTGTATTCGCTTCCTTTGGTTGGGACATGCGATGAATTATATACCTGACCTACCCTTACTTATTGCTTTCTAATGTCCCGAGGTTTTCGAAGTCCCCTCATCTTTGTACATGGTAAGTAACCCTTCCATGAAATAAAGATGAAATTCTGGTTACTAATTCTAATTTTATGCCGCACAGCTAGCTAATACGATTGATGCTGTGTTACAAGCTGTTTGTTGATCAATGCACGTTTTTCTGAGCCGCGCTTGCAGTTTCCAAGTGACGCACTTGTACATCTATGGAAGGAAACAGCATGGCCATGGATTGATCCGTAACGCTGCATCTGGAATGTCTTATTTTTACCTCAGATTTTTTCTCCTAGTCTAGTGGGAGAAGGGCGAGACTTGTGTCATTCACCGGAAACAGCAAGTGGAGGTTAGTCATGGTCCGTCATCCTATCTTTTGCCAAACTGATTAGCGTTACAGAATAGGTTTGGCATTATAGTCAAATGCGATACGCGTCACGGCTTCTCACCACTGCGTTGTGGTGTATGCCAGCAGAAAGAGGGTTGCGCAGCAGCATCTTTTCCCACTGCCAAGAGGGGTGGAGCAGATATAAATGTTGGTGTGCAGCGCCTACGTACTGTGTATGGCTCTTACGGCCGTTTTGCTACATACGCTAAATGGAGTATACCTAAGCTGAGATTTCCCACGGGTACATTTAGCTTGGTTTATTTGAGCTTCTCCCATTTTTACACTCTGTACACAACGTCCGCTCCTCAAAAGTCCCTTTCCTCATCGCCTGCCCTCCCGTCGTCGTCGTCGATCGCGTCGTCGGGGACGCCTAATCCATTGGAGATCCATATCCAGTATTATGGCCTCTTCTGACTATTTTCCAATGCCTCAACGTGGCAATGGCTACGCTGAAAAAGGCCGTTCGACAAATGGTCTCCCTACTTATTCTTCTGCAGTCCAGGAGAAGATGCACCGACATTCTCGTTCAATGGCATGGGTTATACCCGTGTCGGTACCTATTCCCGGCGTGCGGACTCGCAGACTGCGTCTCTACATGTTGAATCCCAGTCGCATGCATCAGTTCACCTTGCCACGCATCGGGCGCAAAAGAGGGCCATTGTTGCTGATGGCCCTACTTCTTACCGCCATTGTATCCATTTTTGTTTTTGCTCGACGTTTCGGCACTGAGGAGAAACAGTGGACGTCGAATTTTGGCGAGTCATCTACTCTCGTGTTTGGGCGAGATGACTTGCAGCAGATATGGAAGTGGGAGATTGAAAGTGGTCATTATCCGAGTAATAGCAAAAGTGAACCATTTCGTTTATCGATTTCGAGTGGAGCGGTCATCTGATCTGCTCTTTCTTTCCTTGCAGTCCCAGAGCAGGTGGGGCTTAACTCAGCGCTGTTGAATCCTGCCCTGCCTCCCCGGAAAGCACCCACGATTCCTTCACGATTCAGGCCTCCTCCAGGCCCTGTCATCACCACAACTCGCGGTGATGGACCTCGGCGAGTTTACCTGGATGTACAAAGTCAGCCTCCAAATGTCGCTTATCCACCACGACCAGTACCTGGAAGCGTCGCCGACTTGGATGTTATTATGGAACACTGTGATTTCTCTGAAAACAAGGTATGGTCACTCATGATCTTTGTTATTTAGTCTCATTGTCCGCAGTATGTACGTGACTGTCTAGAGGTTCTCCGACTTGGCGGCGGTTTGGATAATGGGGATAGACTGAGGCGGGGTAAAATGGATGACTGGAAATACATCTATATGGAAGAAGACAGAGAGAATTTCACTGAGCCTGCTCAAATATCTCTGGGTAATGTTATCGCTCCGCGGCCAATATCGTCTAGCGATCAGGATCCAAACGCTGGACTAGTCAAAAAGAGAGGTGCGGAATGGGAAACTCCATTATCTCTGCGTCCTACCTTGCAGCACACTCCTTATTCAAGTCTACCTGCCCCTTGCGATCCCGAAAACCCGCGATTGTTCCATATGTTCTGGACAGGTCCTTTCACCGACAAGCCGTATCTTGCGTTACTTTCCTTCCTGTTCACTCAGAATGCCGGTTTGCATGTCAAAGATGATGAGGGAGCCTTCCTTTGTCGTCCAGAGTTCTGGATGTGGATCAACCCGGGACCTGCTGCGACGGTACCGAACCCTTCTGCATTGGGTGACATGTTCGACCAGCTGAAGACCAACCCGTGGGCCGCTCCGTTCCTCCACCCGCGGTTCAAGGACGTGATCAAATTCAAGTTATGGAACACTACTGAACAGCTTGATGGCGTGCCTGAGCTCAAAGATGAATGGAGAACGTTGAAAGAAACGTTGTTCAACTCTGGTGGTCACATCATCAATGTCCCTCCAGAGAAGCAGCAGTCGAAGAGCGTCGTGGAACCTACAGTTACCACTGAGGCGAGCTTAAACACTGGTAACGCCACTGGTGAATCCAAGGCATCTTCTACGAACACCGACAAATCTGATGAAGACGATATGCTGAATCGCACGGGTTCCAAATCTTCATCATCTTATGATAGGCTATCTGTGATTCTTTCTGATATGGCGCGATTTGTTCTGTGCCATCGTTTCGGAGGAATCTATCTAGACGCCGACACCATATTTTTACGTGATTGGGAAGAACTTTGGGGATGGAAGGGTGCATTTGCCTACAGATGGTCCCGCTTGGAGAAGTATAACACAGCTGTCCTCCGTATGAACAAGAACTCGGCATTGGGGTCTTTCTTGTTCCGAACAGCATTGAAGAATGGCCTTGATTTCCATCCCATGACAGTATCTCGCTACACCAAGGATGCCTACCTCGAAGGTCTCTTGCTGCGCCTTCCTGATGCGTTGTTTGATTCTGCATGGCTGAATACTGAGTATTACCAACGCGATAGACCACCTCAGCCTTATTTCATAGAGTAGGTCGACTGCATTCTCATCGTATTCTTTCCCGTTGAATTATATTTCTTCTCAGGTTTGCAGATTTCTTTGATACTCCTGCGCAAAACAGCGCGGCACCTCAAGCTCTTGGTTTCGAAGGCTTTTTCAGAGGCGCATACTCTTACCATTTCCACAACTTCTGGTAGGCTTTCTGTCGTCTATATTCTTTCCAGAACTCATTAACGCTACGCAGGTGGAAGCCATTCGATGCATCACGTAATTGGCCAGATCTTGGGCCGAAGTTTATGGCTGGCGAGAGAGCTGCCCGTGCCGCTGCCACTCCAGACATCGACCCAGAAGATTGGGCAGACAAAGTGTCCGATGACAAGCGCGACCTTGACTGGGCCACAGTTCTGAAGAGAACCTTCGAAGCATATATTCGTGGCGACCGACCCAATATGTATGGCGAATGGATCCAATGGTGACCCTGATGTCTTATGTTTACCTATCTCATGCACGATTTTACCGGTGATGCCCCTATATTGTAGACACACAGAGCTGCACTCTTTCTACTGCTCAATAGACTGTCCCTTCTGAGTGCCATTCGTACCTTCACGTATCCATAATTTCAAACTATACCTTTTCCAATGTCTATATTTTTAACACCCCATTCTTTCTATCCTGGACCATACAAGCGGATCTGCTTTATGCCATGCGGAATACGTGATAGGTTTTCACAGAGCTGTAATTTACATAGCTATTTTCCTAATTTCGGGATTCCCTCGATATGTCTATCGCATATCAATTGTCTATAATGACAGACGTTTCACAAATCATATTGACTGCCTGCGCAAATGCTCCTGTGCTTGATATTTCATGCACGCAGCACGCATGCTATGTGCTGCGCTATGCAGTCTTGCCTGCGGCTTTGGCTTGGGCGGTGTTGACAGTAGCCTTCAGTGTAGCTATGACCTCGTCAGGGTTAGGGGCGCCAAAGATAGCTGTGCCTGCCACAATGACGTTGCTACCTGAATTGAAATATTATGAGTGAGCGCTAAATGGAGTGTCGCCAAGAATTCTCAGACCTGCTTCAGCACAGACATCAATCGTTTTCGGACCGACACCACCATCAACCTCGATGTCCTTGTCGGGGAACCGGGCGCGAAGTTCGGCCACTTTCGGAACGCAGCGCTCCAAGAATTTTTGCCCACCGCGCCCTAGATGATGGATTTGAGGGTTAAATAGGTAGTTTGTGACAAACGGGGAAAGCTCGGTCACCGGGATAGACTGTCATGACGAGTAGCATGTCGGCGGCGGCGGCGATGTCGTCTGTGATGGCGGAGGAGGGGGTGTCTGGAGATATAGCTACGCCGGCTTTCATCTTCTTCTCGTGAATGGCATTGATGATGGACAGAGCATCGGCTACGGGAGGTATTGACAGGATTGTAGTAAGCGGTTGATGTCTGTGAGGACTTACAGGTGGCTTCGATGTGGAAGCAATACAAAGAACCGCCAGCGTTGGCTATGTCATCGACCCACTGTACAGGTGTACGTAAATATATTGGTATGGATCGAACGGTGGGATTCTTAGGTATACTTTTTCCGGTTGGGCGACCATCATGTGGCAATCCATGAATATGCCTGGGACGCCTTTTGAAACGCAAGAAAGAACGGGTGCGCCTGTTCGCTGTGAACGGAGGGAAGCCTGAGGAATGTATTGGGTGACATACCCATGGTGATATTGGGGACAAAGTGGCTGATCGGGGTGCTGTCAGCATAGGGAAGCGAAGTGAATGGTTATGCCAATACCCGTCCATGATATCTGGATAACAGACACCCGGTCAAGGTCATCGATGAGGATGGGGAGGAGGTAGACATACCCATGTGCAGCCATTCTGCGCCACCTTTGATCATTCGTTTACATTCTGCAGTCAACTGACCAAAGTCAGATGCGAGGACTGAGGGAGATATGATTGCACGGGGCATTGTAGAGCTGGGATACGGTTGGGAATGAGCTGAGAGAGAGCTTGAGAGCCACGGTGCCACACCTGACCGTGGTTCTACGACAGTTGCCATATCGGGACCGAGCTGTTCGTGGTTACATGGCTGTACTGCAACCACACTGGCTGCAATTGATGGCAATGCCGCCGTCGCTTACGGCTGCCCATCGTACACCTGTGCACCGCTGGGAGATCATAAAAAGCCTCTTGCCATTCGTTTTACATATCTCGTCCACGACCAATTCGATTTTCATATTGTCACTAGCTTTTTCGAACAGATTCACCAGCCCCTTTTACCTCCACAACAAACATTACAGCCATGTTCGCAAAGAGTATCATTATTTCCTCATTCGTCCTCGCCCTGGCGGCTTCAACTTGTGCTGAACCCATTCCCCTTGATCGTCGAGGTAGGCCCGTATTTGAATACCCAGCCTCCTCTCCTTCTGATCGAATTTCAGACCTTGGCAGCATTATAGACTCTGCTACGTCGGTAGCTGGATCATGGTACACCAGAGCTACATCCGATGCAGCTTCGTGGTACTCCGTCGGTGTCAGTGATGGTACGGACATGCATAATTCACCATAGCAAGTGTCCGAGCTAAATATGAATTCCCTACTAGCTTCCGTTGGCATCAGCGAGGGATTATCCGATGGTACGAACATGCATAATTCACCATAGCAAATGTCCAAGCTAAAATATGAATTACCTACTAGCTTCCGTTGGTATCAGCGAGGGATTATCCGAAGGTATGTATCTTTTCAGCCAGACTCGAACAATTCTAATAGCTATTTGTATATATAGCTTCGAGGGGTATCTCAGATGGTATAACTTTCGTGTGCTAGACGATATTTTATTTCTAATAACTGGTCACAACATAGCATCAACCTGGTTTCACAGCGGTGTCTACGCAACAGTGACGTGTGAGTATCTCTCCTTTTCAATGCGATAGTATTGGTTATAATGATTTCATTTTCGCGTAGCCATCGGTGGCAAAGCAGAAACCGTAGTGACCTCCGCGGGTGGTGCTGCCATCACTCTCGCTACCGGCACTGGAGCCCAGGTTACTTCTTTTGCTGGATCGCAATACACCGTTCTCCAGGGCGCAGTCGCCACCAACTCTCCGTATGCGATTTTTCAAAGTGTCATTTGACGCCTGACCAACATATTACTTGACAGGTCTTCAAACGCTGCTCTTAACCTACGCTCTTTCGGATTCACTTCTTCCCCTGTGCTCACTGGCCTCGTTACAGCGGTCGGAGGAGCTGTTGTTGGGGCATGGATAACGCTGTAAATGCCTCGATCTTCACACTTTTTTTTAACGTGCTGCATGTTGATCCCGTGCTGACGTTATTACTATTTTATTTTCGACTTTCGTATCAGTAATGTTTATACCCATAACGGACTTTTTGTTTATTTAAAGCTGGGAATCGGTTTGAGGAGCAGTAATAGTATGCTATTGTGCGCTGAAGGTCATCTGTGAATGTTCAGTCTTGGAAACGAAGTGGACGGTCGTGAACCGTTTGTAGTGGGCAAGAGCCTATCAATAATCACATGACAGTCAGTGTGAGCTATGGCGAAAAATACGATATGTAATATGTGAGATATATAGTGATGACTATGAATACGCACATTGTATGCATGGTACTAGAGCATGTCGTTGACATGCTTCCCTCGTGGGCGACATCCCTGTTAAGACTATCGGTAGTAAAGACTCGACTTGGACTTGAACGATATGACTGATCTGGATCCCAGTTCAAAATACCAGTCAGGACATCATACAACATGTGTGGCGATTCATCGATGATCAGCACTGTGTTGAGCGTAAGCTTATACCATGATGGCAATGTTAGATATGTCTTCCTGCAGGCTAATGAAGATGACATGGTCTTATGCACCAGTTGAACGGTGCGGTGATGCTGCGGGAATTAAGGAAACGGTCAGGAATTTTAAAGATCATCACATTTACAAGAATTATATATATCATAGGAACGACGCAGTGATCATTGACATAAGATCCTCTCAGAAAAGAATGCGAGGTCAAAACACACCAGAAGAGCATGTAACAAGGGAATAATTGAGATTGCCGTGGTACCATTGTGTTTGTATGGATACGCGTCAGTGAGTTTACGAGTGCATGGCATGACGCGAAGGTTGATATGTCATTCCAGTATGAGTAAGTCCTTGATGCCACCAGCTGAACTGGATATGACTGAACCAGGAGCGCCTAGAAGCGCGGCGCATTCACGAAGAAGCAGTGTTACGTTGGGGTTATCTGTGATATTCACAATCCATTCTGCGTGGACAAAGGATGGGGAAAACGACTAAATTCCCCTAGTCTACAGAAAAAAGTGTGACTACTAGTTGGCCATATCCTTGTTGACCTACACACGAAATCAGTAACTTTAGCTTACCGAAGAATAAATAACATACATGTGGGTTGAAAAACAGGGAGTTCATTCCCCAAGGGAAGGGTTTTACCCGCCTGTTCATGTAATCGTATCCAGGGATCTCAGGAAGCTCGCCACCATTCTCATGTTTGAGATGTTCTTGGTGCTCAGCATGTTCGGCTTCCGCGTTACGAACCCATGCAAGGGTGACCAGAGCTAAAAGCTGTTATTCAGCATTTGATCATGGAATGATAAAAAAGCGAAATATACTAACTACCAGGAACACAAACGAAGAAGCTGAAATTACCTCAGATATTTGCACAAGAAAGCTGATGAATGATAATAATATTTGACGCACCTTATTCTGCGCCAAAGGTTGGTAGTATCTACAGCACGGGTTTAACAGGACAAACACGAGACATAGCGCAACTCATACCTTGGGCATGGGCTTTGACAGCGTTACGCTTAGCTACGTAGTCAGTGGCGGAAGCATCGACGACGACGGTACGGGAGCCTCGAGGGGCTGAACGCGCGACAGAGCGGGCAGCACTGCGGGCAAGCATGGACATGGTTTTTGAAATGCAATATTGTGCTATTTGGAGCGGATGAGGTCGGGAGGACAGCGCTGGTGATATTTAATCTCCGCTTGAAATCGCCCAGTGCACGCGAGTGTACTCATACGGTGACGCGTCTTTCGTGAATTCAAGATATTGAGCTTTGCCAGAAACTATGGTGGTGCGTACACAGTCCTCAGCAGCCGGCGTGCTCGCTTTGCTCTCAGAACCAGAACCAGCATTCAAACAACATGCCCTCAAAGCCTTAAACTCCATCGTTCCTCAGTTCTGGGCAGAGATCTCGGAGCACATAGCACTTATGTATGTTTCTTGCCTTCACTCTTCATTTTCTCAGTCTCACACAATATCAATAGAGAGAGCTTACATGAGAGTGACGAGATATCAGCAGATGCTCGTGATTCCGCTGCATTGTTGGCGAGCAAGGTTTACTATTTCCTGGGGGAATACGATGAAGCTTTGTCGTTTGCCCTCGGTGCCGGGAGTGCATTCCAGACAGAGACCCATGCATATGGCTCTGAGGAATATGTTGAAACAGTTGTCTGTGAGTTCCTAAAGCTCTGCTGTCTGCTACTTGACATTTATTTCGTCTTTTTAATAGCCAAAGCCATTGACAGGTACATTCAACTACGCTCTGATGCATCATCGGACAAGCAGTCAAAGATAGACCCACGACTTCAACATGTCGTTGAAGGAATTTTCTCGCGTTGCATTGCAGACGGAGAATACAAACAAGTTAGCATGCCCTCTGCCCATTATGATTTTTCTTATTCACCTTTTATTTTCATTGAAAGGCCATCGGGATAGCGCTAGAATCTCGTCGTCTTGACATAATAGCTCAAATATACAAATTGACTCGCGAACCCTCACTTCTGTCATACGCAATGGAGGCAGTACTCGACACCGGCTTTTCGCTTTCATATCGTGACCAAGTTCTCAACTTTTTACTTCCGCTCTTCCCTCAACCGACAATGCGAACGAGATCTCCCCATATCCATGCTCTAACTCGTTTACTTGTTACCCTGAGCAACCCTTCTCTCGCCCTCCCTATCTTGACTTCGCTCGTACCTAAGGAAACCTTACTCGCGTACCAATTCGCGTTTGATTTAGTGGAAGGAGGTGCTCAAGATTTCTTGGAAGCTTTAAGGAAGGAGCTTCCCGAGGGTCAGGGTGTAAGCTTTTCCATTTCCACTTCTTGTCACGCACCACTCACGATGTTATAAAGGAGACAAAGGAAGTTTATGATAAACTGCGTAGCATTTTGGGACGATCCGATTCTGTGAAACTATACCTCGAATTTTTGAAGCGTAACAACAAAGTCGATCTTTTGATACTAAAAAATACGAAGGCACGCTTTCATAAGTTCTTTTCACTGACATCATTCTCATATGGTGCATCTAGGAAGCGCTTGAACCTCGTTCATCAATATATCACACAGCACTCACCTTGCAAAACGCATTCATGCATGCTGGCACAACTTCGGATATATTTTTGCGTGAAAATCTCGAATGGTTAGGAATGGCGTCAAATTGGTCCAAGTTTTCCGCCACTGCTGCCCTGGGAGTCATCCACAAAGGCTATTTCCAAGAAGGTATGGCTATTCTGGGGCCTTACCTGCCTCAGGCCGGTGGCGAAAGCCAAATGCTGGGTGCCTCTTATTCAGAGGGAGGTGCATTATACGCTCTTGGTCTGATTAATGCTTCTTGCGGTAGTGGAGGATCTGTGGAAACGTATTTGCGAGACACTTTAAAGGCTTCACAGGGTGAGGTTGTCCAGCACGGTGCTGCTCTAGGTCTTGGTGTTGTCAGTATGGGTGGCAAAAATGCGGACGCATACGATGACCTCAAACAAACGCTTTTTACGGATTCAGCTGTTGCGGGTGAGGCGGCTGGATACTCTATGGGTCTCGTTATGCTAGGGACAGCAAATGCGACCTGTGCAGACGAGATGTTGACATATGCGCGCGAAACCCAGCACGAGAAGATCATCAGAGGTCTGGCGGTAGGCTTGGCCTTTATATACTATGGTCGGCAAGAGGAGGCGAATGAAACTATAAAGTCGCTCCTAGCAGAAAAGGTATGATTATTTGTATTACTACAGAGGCTCGTACTTATGGTTAACTAGGACCCTATATTGCGCTATGGTGGTGTGTATACCCTGGCTCTGGCTTATGCGGGCACGTCGAACAACGATGCCATTCGTCAGCTCCTACACATTGCTGTCTCCGATACATCTGATGATGTGCGGAGGGCGGCAGTAACGTCTCTAGCATTCCTCCTATTCAAAAACCCGAGTCAGGTTCCCCGAATCGTACAATTGTTGAGTGAGAGTTATAATCCTCACGTTCGTTGTGGTGCAACGCTCGCTCTTGGTATCGCGTGTGCAGGTACAGGACTACAGGTGATGCGACCTTGAAATTCTAAAGCGACTAGCGACTAACTTTGACTATAGGATGCCATAGAGATCTTAGAACCTATGACAAAGGACAGTGTTGACTTCGTCAGACAAGGGGCTTTCATCGCCCTTGGAATGGTTCTGGTTCAACAGTCAGAAGCATCATCTCCCTCCATGTCGTCTACACGTGCGCTATACGCAAAAGTTATATCTGATAAGCATGAAGATCCAATGGCTCGCTTCGGCGCCGCAATTGGGCAAGGTTTCATAGATGCAGGTGGTCGCAATGTCACTATCAGTTTGCAGAGTCGTGCAGGAAGCAGAAACACCAGTGCCATCGTTGGCATGGTACTTTTCTGCCAGTTCTGGTATTGGTACCCTTTGGCCCATTGTGCATGCTTGGCTTTTGAGCCAACCGGCATCATTGGGCTCAACGGAGACCTTAAGGTATTTCGTGTTCTTCTATTTGTTATGGTCCGCTAATCATTTTCTCAATTACCGTCATCAGGCGCCTGTATTTGAGTACGTATCAAATGCCAGGCCGAGTCTCTTTGCCTATCCTTCACCAACCAAGCCTCCGAAAAAGGAGACTGTGGCGAAGGTGGCGACTGCAGTTCTTTCTACAACTGCCAGGGTCAAAGCAAGGGAGAAGAGGAAGGCAGCAGCGGAGGTCGATGCAATGGAAACCGTACGTATAACCACTCTCAGCTGCTTGATTTGCCTCATTCTTGCTAGGACGAGAAGCCCGAATCGAAAAAGGAAAGCGATGTGGACATGAAGTCTGACGAGGCTCTCTCAGGAAAGCACGGCGATGTCTCACCTATCAATGAATCTATGTCAACGTTTGTGGAAGAGAGTAAGGCGTCAACATCGACAAAACGCAAGGAACCTACATCAGAGAGGCTACCCAATTTCTCACGTGTAACTCCTGCCCAATGGGCTCACATCGCATTCCCTCGCGATGGACGATATCAGCCTGTTCGTGCTGTTTCTGCTAACACTGCATCTTCAGTGAAAGGTGGAAAGGCGGCTGCGGTATTAACAGGTGGTTTACTCGAGCTAACTTCCGAGAGATACGCTGGAGGTGGTGGTATTTTGATTATGGTTGATGAGCGTCCAGATGAAGAGGCTGAATTCATCAGTTTCGATCCTCCTGCTCCGCCACCTGTGGTAGAGGTGGAAGTCCCTAATGGGAACGCGATCGTTGGTGCACCATCGCATAATCCAATCAACATTGCCTTGGACGAGAGCTCACCTGAAGTCGACCCTCCAGATTCATTCGAGGTATGTGATCCATATCTTTTCTCCACTATCCCTTTCACTGACTTGCGTGAACAGTATCCTTTTAATGATGATACTTAAACTGCTTCAGCATATGTATGTACTGCTTCTCTGTACTCGAAATGAACAGTCCTCCTAGAAGCTTTAATTTGTCTTGATGTCTTGATGTCTCGCATTGTTACCGATAACATGAGCCCATGGTTCTACAACAACGAATATCGATACGGAAACTTTTTGTTAACTTAAAATATCCGCGCGACTTTGAACCTGAGCCGGCCACTTGCAGCAGGAGTAAACTTTATCCTAATTCTCAACATACGTCGACATTGGACCTTAATCTTGCGACTTCCGAAAGAATGACTAACTTATCTGTACTTGACAGGAAACCACCATGGCCTTAAAACTACCCATCAAGGTGGCGATTCTTGACGATTATCAGGAAGTGGCTTTTACTTACGCAGGTAAGCCTTGATATTGATTCAAGTGTTGGAACAGTCTCAAGTTTCTTCCGATATAGACTGGTCTTCTCTCAAAAACCCACTGGCGATAGATGTGTTCAGTGACACCATCAGCGATGAAGATAGTCTCGTGAAACGACTTCTGCCATATACTATCATTTGCGCCATGAGGGAGAGGACAAAGTTCACAGCATCGCTTCTTGCCAGACTCGGGAACCTCAAGTTCATTGCGACTACTGGACCCTGGAATGCCGGAATTGACGTAGCTTATGCCGAGCAAAATGGGATTGTGGTGTCTGGTACAGGGGCTCAGGGCAACTCAACCTTGGAACACATCTGGGCATTGATTCTGGGTACTGTCAGATACGTGCCCATGGATGATGCGGATGTTAAAGCACGTAACTCCCGATGGCAAACCCGCATGCCGATGGGCTTGGCTGGGAGAACTTTAGGTGTGGTTGGTCTTGGACGGTTGGGCTCTCAAACAGCTCAAGTGAGTGTGTTCATTACGTTGCCTCGGGGGACCTCCAGAAGTTGACACGCAGCTTTTAGATTGCAAAAGCATTTGGTATGAGAGTGGTAGCATGGTCCCCCAACCTTACCTCTGCACGGGCAGAAGCAGCTGGCTGTGAGCTTTCGAGCAAGAAGGAACTATTCCAGAACAGCGATGTGGTGTCCATTCACATCGTTTCGTCGCCACGCACTCGACACTTGATAAGCGCCGCAGACTTGTCCATCATGAAGCCTAGTGCTTTTTTCATCAATACATCGCGAGGACCCATCGTGAACGAAGACGATCTAATCGATGTCCTGCAGCGCAAGACTATCGCCGGGGCAGGGCTAGATGTTTTTGACATTGAGCCGCTTCCACTGGAACACCCATTTCGCAATTTGGACAATGTGGTGCTTACGCCTCATACGGGTTATGTCAGTGACTCTAACTATGAGGTGCGATTTTTGCGAGCACATCAGATATCATAGATTGTTTGTTAACGTATGTGCTACAGGCAATTTGGGGACAGACAGTCGAGAACATTGTGAAGTTTCTTGATGGCAAGCCGAGTAGAATCCTGAAAAGCTCGTAAGACGGCTGAGAATGTGTTGAATACGAATTATTGTTGCAGTGTAGGCTACAAAATGTATCAAATGAAAATAACATTTTCATTTGGAATGCCAACGATCTTTCCAGTCGAGTCAGTAGCGTTACGATGATGTGACTATCATCACGCAGAACGTGATTGTGTCACGGTGGCTATCGCTTTTCACGCCTTGAACCCTTTGTATCGCGATCTCTATAAGAGTCTCTGTCGCTTTCCTCAGGCTTTTTCTTTTCCCTCCACAAAAAATCACTCTCAAACACTTTCTGTCTATCATCCAACAGAGTTTTAGCAGCCATGGAGTCACGTACAATGGAGCATCGTAGAGCAAGTACGTGATTTCGCTTTATCTCTATCAGTTTGCTCAAGATGGGCGCGTCGTCGCAGACTACAAGAATAAGGGTGGCCTGAAGCAAGACGATCTTAGGCGTCGTCGCGAAGAGCAGCAGGTAGAGATCAGAAGGCAGAAAAGAGAAGAAAACATCGCAAAGAGGAGGAACTTCCTTCCTGCTTCTGGGGCAGATTCAGATGAAGAGGCTGGCAGCAGCAGCTGGGAACCTCCGGTATGATTTCGGTCTATATGTCTTCATTGTGTTGCTTAAATCGCTCCAAGCAGCTTGCGGATGAAATGATATCTGGTGTCTTCTCCGATGATGGTGATCGTCAACAGGATGCTACGACCAAATTCCGAAAGCTACTCTCAAAAGAAAGGAATCCACCGATCGAAAAGGTCATCGAATGTGGCGTCGTACCCCGATTTGTAGAATTTTTGCGGACTGGCCACTCGATGTTACAGGTATATCGTATTTGTGTCTTGGTATCCCAGATAGTAACCGCCGCCATTTTGTTATAGTTTGAAGCTGCATGGGCTCTGACAAACATCGCATCCGGTACTGCTGAACACACACAGGTCGTCATCAACGCTGGAGCTGTCCCAGAATTCATTAATCTCTTGTCCTCTCCTGTTCTCGACGTTCGCGAGCAGGCAGTTTGGGCCCTTGGAAACATAGCTGGAGACAGCCCACAGTGCAGAGATTATGTCCTTCAGCAGGGAGCTTTGAGGCCACTTTTGACTCTATTAAGCGAGAACCATAAACTCAGCATGCTTAGGAATGCTACTTGGACTTTGAGCAACTTCTGCCGAGGGAAGAACCCTCAACCCGAATGGGATTTGGTAAGAATATAAATTCATATATTGAAAGATTTATGGCCTCGTACTCATTTTACTTTTCAGATTTCCCCCGCACTTACAGTCCTGACTAAGTTGATTTACTCGCTTGACGACGAAATTCTTATTGACGCTTGCTGGGCCATCTCTTACCTCTCTGATGGCTCTAATGACAAAATCCAAGCTGTCATCGAATCTGCAGTCTGCAGACGACTGGTCGATTTGCTTATGCATAATTCGACGTCCGTTCAGACCCCAGCGCTCCGATCGATTGGAAACATCGTCACGGGTGACGATTTGCAGACTCAGGTAGTCATCGCTTCTGGCGCTCTTCCGGCTTTGCTTTCTCTATTGTCTTCCCCTAAGGAAGGCATCAGGAAAGAGGCTTGCTGGACTATTTCAAACGTGACTGCTGGATCACCCCCTCAGATTCAATCCGTTATTGATGCCAACATCATCCCTCCTCTCATCAACATATTATCACACGCTGATTTCAAAACACGGAAGGAGGCCTGCTGGGCTATCTCTAATGCCACTTCCGGAGGTTTGCAAGAGCCTTCGCAGATTCGTTATCTTGTCTCGCAAGGCTGCATCAAACCCTTGTGCGACTTGCTTACCATGATGGACAACAAGATCATCCAAGTAGCCCTCGACGGTCTTGACAACATTCTGAAAGTCGGCGAAATGGATAAACAGGCTTCAGGGCCCGGAGCTGTCAATCAGTATGCTTTGTATGTTGAGGAGGCGGGTGGCATGATCACGATCCACAATTTGCAATCCCACGACAACCTGGATATCTACAAAAAGGCCTTCAACATCATGGATAAATACTTCCCTGATGAGGAAGAAGTGGACGCTGCTATCAGCGCACCCAGTGTCGATGCTTCCGGTGCCTTTGCTGTAAGTATTATCCCGTGTACACCTAACAGTATATTGATCATACTCCCTCAGTTCCATTCTGATATCAGTGCTCCACAAGGAGGATTCAGTTTTGGCCAGCAGTGATCACCCCAATAAAGCTTTATCTTCTTCTTTCCGGTCGATGTTTATCGTTTTCCTCCTTTCATCTTCCACCAACGCTTCAATGATGACCCTGCCTGAATTTCCATTCCCTTTTTACCTTCACACTACAAGGCTACATCAGTGTTTGCCTCATTGTCATGCCCTTGAAAACATTACGCATGTATTGACTGGCGTCTAACGGACGCATACAAAGCTCATGACCCGGATGTCCTGTGTTATAACAGAAAGAAAGAATTATTGTAACATGGTGATGATAATACAACTCCAGAAACCGGCCTACGTTTACTTAGAGGACTTTGATGGGTCTTGTGCAAGTAAAAGCCATCCTATCTTTTTTTCGCAGTATTTAGTACCCTCATGTGTAGTATGAAAAAAATATGCTCAGATCTGCAGAAATATGTCTTTCGTTGAGAAGTTGAAATCCTCGTCAGTCTAAGCAACTTTTGAGATCTTTCGGATTTCGTCTAGATAAAGTAAATTCGATTTAGTACTGTTGAGATTACCCAAATACTATTGCGTCTTTCACTTTTACGCACTCATCATGGCGTCTCAGATTCTGCCTTTAGGTCCGTCTCTACCTCTTTTCAGTAACATTTAATCCTTTAGAACTTATGTCTATTGGGGTATTCAGAGTTGATTGACAGATGCATTGGTTCGCGAATTTGGGTGATTATGAAGAGTGATCGGGAGTTCACTGGTACTTTGTTGGGATTCGATGATTTCGTCAGTACGTATAAGATTCCCCACTCACGCTAGCGCTCTGCCATTAACGTTCCATGCATTCTAGACATGGTGCTAGAGGATGTGACAGAATAGTGATTATGGCCATTCTTGACCTCTTGTATGCGATGCTGAAACTCTTATAGCGAAACAACGCCACAGGGAAAGAAAAAGACGAAGTTGGCTCAAACGCTCCTGAATGGCAATAATATCTGCATGGTATGTGAAAATGTCATTACACTGATCGCTATTCTCTACAAGTTACACTCATGCTTCTGATATTACTGTAGCTTATCCCGGGTAGTGCAGGCCCCGATGAATCATGACCACAAAACACCTCAAAATCAGCCCAAGATTGATATGCTACAAGGTTTCATGGAATATTACCGGTATTACCATCATCGTACAATGTCGAATCAAAGAATGGATGATTGAACGGCAATGTATCATAGAGGCCCTTTGATGTCCAGAGTAACAGGCCAGTGATCTGATAGCCCGAGGTCCCTGAGATCGTGCCTAATTTCACAGCGAATTGCATTGTCCAAGATCTGTTCGGATAACTGAGAACACCTTATCAAACATGTAGACCCAAAGACAACGCGAGCAGACTCACGATAAAAGAGTCCAATCTCCATGCACCAAACTTATCACTCGAGTGCCTGTTAGTTTTGTGTTAGCAGTACGCAAATTCACTGTATGCAGCAACTTTACGTGAACTCCTCTGCACTGGGGTGCAGTTTCCGCCAAACGTCTGCAAATTTAGGCAACGTTTCGTCTGTCGGTTCGAGTAGCGCTTTAAAATCGCTCCTTTCTTGCTCAGATAACCCACCCATACGATCCCAAAATAATCGAGCTTTGGTGTCTAGATCTGTCTCACAATAATGTGACTGAGAGAGCGATGTAGAGTACTTCTCTCACCTTCTTTGCTTGGTATGCAGTTGAAATCACCGCACCAGATGACTGGTTTCCTGCTATGCAGGTTCCTCAAGTGACTGGCGAAAGATTCGTTCCATTTCTGTCTGGTAGCAAGGTTCTGAAAAGTTACTTTTATAACGCTCTGATTTGGGTTCAAAACGGTAAACATATACCTGCAGTTCTTCCCCAGAGTTGGGTACGTATGTTCCAACAACGTATGCATGTTCGAATTCGAGTTCAACATAACCTGAACATACCGCATCATGTTAGAACGCGGACGTGCTCCATCCTTCTAGAGAGCCTTACGTCCAGAAGTCGAGTGCTCTAAATCTGGTAGTCCTATTATTGGGTCACTCGACGGCTTGATGTTCGACAGCACCGCGGTACCAGCTATTCAGAAGGTGTACATAAGGGAGCAGCATCGCCTCAGATATGGAGAACGTACCTTGTCCGGATTTACTGTCTGTACCCCAGAAGCGATACTGTTAAAATTCAAGGTTAAATTCGACGGAGGGATCTGTTCGTGACGCAGTCAAGTAACCTTGTATCGGCTCTTCAAGCAGAAAATGTCTGGCTCGCCCTTCGAATATCTTGTCTCGGTGAGAACAAGTATATCAGGAGCTTCACTGTCCAAGTATTTTCTTAGAACCTTCGATTGTATGACATTTAATACAGTGGCACTTTAGGTGGACGTGTCTTTCCTACTTTCTCATTGATAGACTTGATTCCATTGACATTCCAGGTTGTCAGCCGAATTGCACCAGTATCTTTCTTGTTGGACTTGAATGAAGGTCCAGATGATGGATTAGATGGTGTCTTTGATGCAAAGAAATCGATTTTTGGTTTCTTCTGAGTGGTTTCCTGGTTAGTGGAAGAGTCTTTTTTCCGTTTTAAAGACATATGTAATCTTGCCAGAAACCTGGACTTGAACTTGTACTGGAAGCTTAATTTGCGCGTCGCGTCACGTCTGTGGCTGGTCCAGGAATATTGCCACGTGCCTAAAAGCCATCTCTGCAGAGCATCCTTCCCACGGCTTGTTTTTCCAAGTCGCCATGCCTGTCCGTATACGCCTGTCTATGCATGGCCGTCGACATAACCGTATCTTCCATCTCGTCGCCATAGACCAGCGCAAGCGCCGTGATGCAAAGCCCACGGAATTACTGGGGATCTACAATCCAGCCTTGAAGCTTGGAGAGTCCCACAAATCCATCGAATGGAGCGTGGACCGAATTAAATATTGGTTGGGAGTAGGGGCTTTACCCAGTAAGCCAGTCGTGCGGTTATTGGAATGGGTAAGTGCATGTGCATCCCTGTGTGTTTGGTTAACACTAAATACGCGGACATGTTAGGGAGGTGTAATACCACCAGACTCAAAATACCACCCTAAAGCATTAGGCCCACCGAATCTCGCACCGACTGATCCTCAAAGAGATATTCCTCCAGAACCATCAGCGCCGCAACCCCCGACGACATCCGTTTCATAGCTTATTGCAACACGAGCCATAACTTTCGCGGTGGTGCAGAGATTCCTATCTGGTATATGTACACTACGTTACATGCGGATAAGAGAGGTCGAAGGCGGGAAGTCAGGATGCTCATGTCGCGTTAACCAAGAACACGTCCAAGCTCATAGATTTGCGTCCCCGGCATCATTTTGCATTTAATAAATATTTGTTAATGTTATGTACGGTCCCATTCAACATTGCCATCGTTTCGAATATCAAAGGACAATATATGCTGACCACGACGGGAAATATCCATCATCGCTTGAACAGTGCGGTGATATCACTATGGCCAGCGACGTCTGCCAGTTCGGACGCTGTGAAATCATCGAGATCCTAGGGTTGAACTGGGTCAACACTGCCAGATATGAAAGTAACAGGTCGTAGCATACCTTAATATTAGGATCAGCACCATTGCTGAGTAGAACCTCTACTACCTCCAGCGATCCTCTATCACATGCAAGGTGGAGAGCTGTGTATCCCTACAAACCAGCATAAGTACGAGAAGTTTCAGGTGCCTGATACGCACATATTCATCGCGCTCGTTGACGTCCGTTTGAGGGTTTGCTTCGAAAAAAGCAGATACTTTTTGTGCGTCACCCGAGATAGCAACATCATGCAATGTCTTTGTGCCATTCGTATTTTGGGATGGGGGGGCAATAGAGCTGACATGATTACCTAAACCTCCTCCTCCCCCTTTAGCAGGGGACCCACCTTCTAAATCGCTATCCCAGATGTCATCAGACATGTCTGCATCCTCATTTTTTGTAGGAGCATCTGGTGCAGCACCTTGTACCCAGCCAAGCCCTTGTGCAATCTCCAAGTATCTCTTTTCTGCATCAGAGCCACGACTCTGGTAGACTGTTCCAGCCGACTTCCATGCATCCCATTTTGCTCTACCAGTTATATCAAAGATAGAAGGTCGTGAGCCAGTCGGTATTGGCGATATAGTTAGGCATTTAAACAGGCCATAAAGCTAATGAAAGAACATTCAAGAGGTCAGGATCATGCAAATCGGCCCAACAGAAGGGTATGTGGACCTCGAGCTTAGTAGAATTGGAGATGCCAGACGGCGATGATGAGCTGGAAAGATAAGCTGCCGCATTCTCAAAATCAGGCGACGGCGTGTAAGCCATTTACCGTGATGCCTTTGACGAAAGAAACCGAGAAGATTAGAAGATTAGAAGTATAGTAGATTCCAGCCATCTCGCGGACACAGCAACTACTCATTATGTAATAAGCACTCAGAGGTATAGTAGTCTATCTATACGAGACCAGCAGCTTGCATTGCCTATATTTCCTTGTTAGATCAGGGTATTGTCAAGAATATACTATAAACATACCTTGAGCATTTGAACACCAATCTTAGCAGGACTATCAGTCACAAATGCACCAGCCCTCTCTAAAGCAGCGATCTTATCTGATGCAGCTCCTACAAGAATTTGTTAGTATCACTAGGCACAAATCCGTACACGCTTTGCAATTACCTTTTCCTCCAGATATGATAGCACCAGCGTGCCCCATACGTCTGCCAGGTGGTGCAGTGCGTCCAGCAATAAAGCCCACAACAGGTTTGGGTTTGCTGCGTGTCTTGTTGTACTTTTCCAAGTACTCGGCAGCTTCCTCTTCCATCGAGCCACCAATTTCGCCAATAATGACAATACCTACAAGATGAATTAGCCAAGGTCCAACGAGGAAGATCATCTAATCGCACCTTCTGTGTTGTCGTCCTCAAGGAAGATACGAATAACATCGATGTGTTGTGTGCCAGGGAAAGGATCACCTCCGATACCGACACAAAGGGACTGTCCCAATCCAATATCTGTGGTCTGTGCCACGGCCTCGTATGTCAGTGTGCCAGAGCGGGATACAATACCTGCGTATGAAAAATATTAGTCGACGTAATGATCATATGGAACGTCAACTTACCGATTTTGCCAGGTTTGTGGATATGACCCGGTTGGATACCAATCTTGCAACCTAGAGGATTGATGATACCAGGACAGTTTGGTCCAACAAGACGGGATTTGGACTGGCTCTTCAGAGCGTTCATAACCTAAATATTGCATTCGTTAGCCATCGAAAACTAGTATGAGTCGTGAACTATTCCTGACCCTAATCTCATCAGACTGGGGAATGCCTTCTGTTATGCAGACTATGAGACCAATTTCGTTTTCAATCGCCTCGATAATGGCGTCGGCTGCTGTGGGTGGAGGGACATAGAGAACAGTGGCGTCGGGTTGCGTCTCCCTTACAGCCTAGGAAAACTTAAGTAGGTGGATGAATCATTTGATAACGACTGTTTTCATTTACCTCTCTCACTGTACCAAAAACGGGAAGACCAAGGTGCATTTCTCCAGCTTTCTTAGGAGAGACACCTCCAACCATCTTCGTGCCATATGCCAACGCTTCTTTTGCATGGAAGGTAGCCTGGTTCAAAATTTGAGTTCAAGGTGACATTTGACCCTTACGCTTCATAGTAATACTCACCGTCTTTCCCGTGAATCCTTGACAGAGGACTTTTGTGTCTTTGTGGATGAGAAGGTTCTTTGCGGTGTCAGCATAGCTCTTTCGAGCAGCAGACTGAGTAAAAGACCGACGACCGGCTACCCAAGGGCATTAATTTTTCAATGAAATGATTTTATATAGAGGAATATTTACTGCTAGTCACCAGTGATTGTCCAGCGCGACGAAACATAATGATGATGAGTTTAAGAGGTGCGTTGTAAGAATGAACTTTTCCGCGTCTGCCCGTTACAACGGCTGTGTGTCGGCTTTCGGATGCTGTTTGTTCCCTAGAAACACACGCACGGCGGGCGAACAAGCTTTTGGAGGGCAAAACTCACGTCTTCTTCTCACATTAGGTCCAAAAAAATAGCACCTGTGTACTTGCTGATTATTTGTTCCTGGCTTGTGTGTGGAAATTCGAGAACATAAACTATCTTATTGGGAATACAGATGTACAATATCGAATTTGAGGAATCAAAAAGTGTACAATGGTTGTAATTACAGTACCCCCTTTTGTCTCATATCGAATGATTTACAGACATCACTCTTCTCCGATCTCGAGCTTTACGTGAAGCCCGATGAAAGGTGATAACTCCGTACTTGACCTTGTCAAACTGGCCAGTGTTCACAGCACTACCGATGAATAGAATCAGTGAACTGAAGCAGCAGACACAAGCCTGCCATACCTGGTCACTTCTTCCAAGAATGCTGTTTTGGCTTGAGGAGGCGCACTGCTGGATGGAAGTTGATGCAAGATTGCAGGTAGCCAAGACAGTAGCTGCGAGGACCGAAGCATGGAAATGGCTCGGAATATGGACACCACGGAGGAAGTCGAGTCTTCTGGGAAGTCCCCAATCACGCCCGCTAGTAGATATCCGACGAACTCGAAGCCTTCCTTATCAATGACACCAGAGATAGCTGTCGCATAGAGAGGGAAATTAGGCGGTTGTGGTGTTTGGGAATCGAGGCAATCATGCGTAAGGATAATTCGAAAAAGATCTAAGGAGGCAAAAATAGTGTCAGAGTGAACCAGAGTGAGTGCGGCCATAGTTGCTCGGAAAGCTAAAGGGAAAACGGGAGACTGGAAGAAGGCTTCCGGTGCGAATTCAGCGAGCTGGGTGAGCAGGTGAACATAATCTTCCAGGACTGAGCGATAATCAGTCTGATTTTTCGCCATTGTATATGAACTAATGCCTTACCATCGGGAATATCTCGCGGTGTTTTAGACTGCAGTAAATCCACCAGTTTATTGGTAGTCCGTTCATAGAGTACCCGGAAGGCACTGCGAATGGTAGCGTTCTCCTCGTTGCCAAACGCACCAACAAATTTACCTGCAATCCATAAATAGTTGGAGAATCCTGTCGCCTCAAAGGATGTGACCATTCTGCTTATAACGGATGGGGCAATAGAGAGTGCCGTTTTCCCAAAGAAGGTCAGGCCATGCCGAAGAACACGAGTAGCTCGCTCGGATGTATCAAAATCGAACGCATACTTTGCGAGGAAAGCATCGAAGACGGACCAAGCCTCTTGACAGCTGTTCTCACAAGCTGCAGGGAGAACATCTCCAAAAGGCCCAATCACATGCAGCATAACCTCCAGATTCTCTAAACCAACTGCAAGATTATAGTAAGTAAATGCACGCAGTGTCGTCGCCAAGTTCACTTACATTCAAGTGCCTTGAGCTCCTGCTTTGTTGCCGGCGTCGCCTTACTTGTTACCGTGTGAACTTGAGCAAGGATGTCAAGAGAAAAGGTACGAAGTGACTCTGCAGCCTTGTCCATAGGCATGGCAGATATGACATATGCAATGGCTTCGTACACTTGACGTCTGTCATCTTGCGCAAGTTTTGAGCCAGTGGTACTCAAAAACGTATGAAGGGTAGGCAAAAAATCAACCAAGTGCTGGAACAAGAATCAGAATACACGAATAGAAGGGGCAGATTGCAACTCACTTTCTTACAATCCTGGCACAGATATTTCAATGCCTGACCAGCAGCAGCACTAACTTCACTATCCGAACTTTCAAAGCCACCCGAAATGTACTGAAGTTGGAATTGAAGATATTCAGGATGGAGATTGATCCACTCCGTATAGCGAGAAATGATAAGCAGTGCTGCGTAGCGAACCCTTGGGTGATCGGGTAGCGAAGGTATCAAATCCATAATTTTAGGCACGGCGTTGTTTTCCGATAGATCAACTTTAGCGCCCATCGACCTCATAGCAAACAAAGGGGCCTCAATTTCCTGCCATGAGATGATTTCCGGGCTACGAGAGAGAGCATTGGTGATCAATCCATAAGCAGAGAGTAGGCATGTATCGGTTCCCAGGACGTAGCAACAGTCTTTCAAGGTATCACCCATTACATGTCTAAATGAGCGAAAATTATCAGCTTCCTGCCCTGACATTGTCGACAAGTCAGCCGGAAAATGAAGGTGCTGTATAATGATACCCAGAAGCGCCCGGTAAGCTTCAATGAATAAGGGTGATACGGATTGTTTCTTGCCAATGGTGAGAGCGAGCCGCATCCAGAAGGAAAAAGTGATAGGAACGATGTCGAGATCAGAGTATGCAGAACACTCGCCGATGGCTTCGACAATGGGGTAAAACGTCTCAGTGTGTTGGAGAAGTAAAAGACGGTAAGTCTCTCCAGCTTCGGTGAATATGCGAGCGTACCCTCTGATCTTCTCGGGGTCATCTTTTTGTGTCTCCAGAAGAGGCTTCAATGCGATAACTCGCGGCACAATGAGCTGGATTAAGGGCATATTTTCGTCGATTTCTTGGGTCTCGTGGATGAGTTCGCAGATGACATCAACAGCGGCATCAAAAAGATCATCCGAGGCTAAGGCCTCAAACGCGAGGCCAAGTAATGGTGATTCAGCGAGACCGATGGTATTAACCTCGCCTGCTACCAACCAGCTTCGCAGGCAGTCTAGGATTTGCGCCTGTACAGTATGTGTAATACCTTATAAGTTGTAAAATTAGCTTAAGTAGTCATCCCGTGTAAGAAAGGGTTCTACCTGAAGCTTGAATATACATCGCCAACAGTTCCAAAACCTGCTGCGAATTAGTAGTAAGCAGTGCAGCAGACCTTTCTCGGTAGTCGTCGTCCTGAAAACCACTCAATATAAGTAAGCTATAGTCAAAACGCCACTAACCGTCACAGGTATTCTGGTGTTGCTAACCAGTTCCTCAGGAAGGAGGGTCAGGAACTGTAATAATGCTGGAACTGTTGCTGGATTCCGACCAAATTTGTCGATCATGCTTTGGAGAACATCATCCCAAGCAGGGACTTGCAGAGCAAACCCTGATATGGCCAGACATAGCTGAACAATGATGGTCTTGGGTCCGGCATGATATCTCTCAAGAGCGGTGACCAGAGTATCTCGAAGAGGTAGCAGATTTGGAGCATCGACTTGATGGAGATCGTATGTGACCTAAAGCAAGATCGAAATTTCTTTGATGAATGATCAGAGCCACAGAAAACTTACTTTCGTTCTGAAAGTCTGAGCAGCAAACAACTTTGCAGCTGGTGGTGCATCAGGTGAGAGGAGGAGGACGTTACAGGTCGACCAGGCCTCGGGCTAGGACAAGGGGCGGATAGGGACGAGTCAGATGTCTTGGTTGCAAGACTGGACCAAGGGCGAAAAGTGAATTTACAGAGTGTTGAAAATCCTGAAGCCAGGAGTTTGCTTTCTCCAGCGATGCCTTGTCTGGGGCTCTATTGAACACATCCAGTGCAGAAAGTAAAGCTTGGATATCGGCCATTGCAATGGGAGCGATTAGGTCAAGCGATAAGTACAAAAGGCACTTGGAACTTAGAATTCGAAAGAAAGCTGGGTTATCTGTTGATGGATGTTGACAGAGTGGCAACGCGTGGTATATTGTCATCGATGTAAAATTCCAATCGTCCACCCAACGTCCTTCGACGTCCCCGAACATAATAAAGCAATAGCAGGTCATACTAAAAAGAGAGCGGTGAACGCAGTCGAAATATCTGGCAAAGGAGTGTGTTTTTACGGGATAGTGAACTTAGGGAAAGGCACAAAGAAAATGTACAGTATCGGGAAACTAAACGATGAAGTAGAGCGGCAACAGGCAAGGGGTAATAAAGATGAGGTATAACCTTCTGACTACGTTGAAATAAACAATGAGATCGTCGCATTGTGGTCGCGGAAACTTAGCGAAGGAAGCGGCGATTTTTGGGTTGCTGGAGAGAAGTTAGCAAGAAAAAACATAAATCGGTAGATGCAAACTTACTGTGCCCTTCTCAGGTGTCAGTGGTCGACCACTCTCGATCTTCCGCTTCTTATCCTCAAGGTCCCCTCGTTGTTTATCTAACGCCTCTTTCATCTCCCTGTGTCGGGCATAGAGCTCCTCCTCAGATTGTTTCAACTTCGATTCCTTTTCTTGCACCTTTTGTTGGAAGACCATCTTCATCTCCGCTTCCATCTTGGCAAGTTTGGCCTCGTGTAGGATTCGCTCTTCTTGCATCCGGGCAGCAGGGCTAAAAAGCAGGATAAGAGCTAAGCAAAGCATGATAAGACAGAACATACTTGATCTCCCTGAATACAGTCGAATCCTGAGCAACACCCATGCTGAGGAGTTTTTCAGTTCGCCAGTTCTCGTAGAGCACATCGTTGGTGTGTTCCCTAAGTTCTTCCATGTAGGTCCGAACAAGCATCTGTCGAAGCTTCACGAAGTCACAATGATCCTCATTGTCAACCTCAATAACACCCCATGGATATGATCTTCCGCGGACTTCGCGGCCATCTGCAGTCTCGACAACCTTGTCCGAACCGACAATAGCAAAAGGAATTTTGCTGGCAATTTCTTCCGCTTCTGCGAGAGTCTCCTCGTCTTCGTTCTCATATGTGGGAGCTTCGAAGATGTGAATCTTATGATGTGCGATGTCCGCCAAAATCTGCCAAAATCACGCTTGAGCACGAGCATACATAACCCATGAAAAAGATTCAATCCATACACGGGCTTTGAAGTCAGCAATTTCCTCATCTGTCATGGTGTCAGCTTTTGCAATGACGGGAATCAAGTTGACGCGTGTGTGGAGACGTCGCATGAATTCGATGTCAATCTGCTTCAAGCTATGTTTGATAGTATTATTCCATGATCATACTTATAAAATGTTGGTGACTTACGAGTGACCCGTTGGCTGGATGAAGTACAAGCAAGCATGAACACGATTATCAACAATTTTTAACCTGTTCACACGGTTTTCCTGTTCCAAATACGAGTCGAATCGTGATTCGATGTTCTCAACAATAGGTCTCCAACTTTATCGTAGAGTTTACGCGTGTCAGTGCTAATGCTATGCGTTAAAACGGCGGGAAAAAACCAACCTGTCGTCGTTATTAACGAAGTCACCAAACCCAGGTGTGTCAACAACCGTCAGATGCAAACGAACACCGTTTTCCTCGATATCTGCGGTAAAATAGCATCAGGGAGAGTGTACCGAATACAAGGAAGCACAATATACCTGCGCCGATACTCTCAATTGCAACGGTCTTGGGCCTTTCAGCCGAAGGAGGAAGAGGTTCCTTGGGAGGGTAGAGGGGGGTGTTGAAAAGGGTATTGATGAGTGTCGACTTGCCCAAACCCGATTCACCTGAAGAGAGGGCGGATTCAACTCCGTCGCCAGCACCAAAATTAGGCGATGCAGAATCGACTTACCAACTACCATAGCAGTGAACTGGAAACCTTTCCTGACGCTCTTTCTATGTACCTGGTTTGGGAGGTTGGCAAAACCAACATAACCCATGAGTTTTTTGCGAATGACTGGGGAGACGCCAGCGTTGTTCGCCTGAACTAGGGAAGGACTTGAGCCGTTTGCCAGACCGTTCGGCGAGGGGGAAAGATCGCCATTACGGGAGGAGGTATAAGAGTCCGTCATCTGGGCGTTGTTGTTAGTGTTGGAGAAAAAGAAAGGATAAGAGGGGAAGAACAAAAAAGTGGGAAATTTACTTTTACGTTGGCTGCGACGGGGGGAAGGAAAGAAGTTGGACGTGGTCTGCGCTGTGTTTGTTTGGCTTGTTTGGCTCCCGTGGCGTCCACTCCCTCCTCCCGTTTCAGTTTCGGTACCAGAAAGGACTTCGCGAAACGATATTCAGTACATAAAGAGCCGCAGAAAAACAGTGAGGCTGACCCATGAATTTGTTTTTTTGTGGGCAATCTTCATCGAGGGAACCACGAACTGCATATCGTATGACCTCTCATATCGTATTAAATAACTACCAGCAGCATCCGAAGGATGACCCGACATACATGAAGCATCGCGCCAGGGCTTGCCTAGTTCAAGCTCTAGTGTGTACTAACCAATATATCAAGTCTTCTGGTTGACTTTCTCGTAGCAACAACGCGCTCTCAACTACCGGCCGAACAGCAAAGAACAAGTACGAATCGTGATTATTACAGGATGGTAAGCTATTCGTGTGATGTATGTAAAAGAATGTCATGCTAGGGAACTGACTGTGTCCAACAGGCCTACTGGAAAAGAACGCGGATTCATACGATTGTGTCCATGCACTTGTCGACATCAATAAACCTGTTAAACATCTCTTGTGCCATCGATTCATCTGAATTCATTTCAACGTCACAGGTATATCCAATGATATCCGAGTAGCTGTCCATCGACCTCGCAGGCGATAATGCGGGAGTGCTCATCCGACTATCATCCTCGCTCACCGGCGTATGGTATCGGAACCCTACTTCATGCTCGCGTAGACATTCGCCTTCGAGGCCGTTTTGGATAACCTTCAAGAATTCGTCGAAGATTTCTTGATCACCGTACGGTTGATCGATGTCCATCATATCCAGATCTCCCGTCGAGGAACTGCCATCGAATTTGGAAGTATCAAACTCCCTAAGAGCAGGAAAGCCGTAGAAACATGAATTCTCCTTTTTGTTCTGCGTGCCCTCCAATAATGATTGTGGCGTCGGCGTCTGCATGACCTGTGCATCATATATGGTACGTCCCCGGGTCGTAAAGTACTGCGTCCTATCCAGGCTACGTGGTGCGCAATTAGATTGATTGGTCGCCGGAGTGAATTTGTGATGGTTGGTTGTGCGTGATGTATTGTTGAGGGCAGTCTTCAGAACAGAGTGGAATGCATTGCCCTCTTTACCCGCCTGCGGGTATCGCAAAAGAAGGGACGTCATTAGAGCTGTCCGGGCGTCGGCAGATTGCGAGGTAGACATGGAAGGATAGGTCAGAGGTAATTGTGGGCAGGATCAGGCTTTTCAGAAATAAACCAATGGTACCGGTCTTGGTACTGCTCCTGTGAACGCTGTAGGGCTTAGTGTGTCGCATGGTATCTCTTGATGTTGGTATAAATACACGAAGATAGCTTGCTTTGACGGATTGGTGCTTAGATTCTGCTTCATGTGTTTGAGCTGTGGACAACGGTTGTGAGAGGTCTGACCATCAGCTTTGTTCAAGCGTCGTCACCATCTTTGGAAAAAGGTCCAACACTTGGGCCACTTATGGCTTGACAAAGGGCGGCTTGGTCAAGGCGTTGTTTTGGTCATGTAAAGGCTCCAGCATTCGTATAAGCATGTCAGTAGCTTCTGTAGCTGACCGGAAATAGTGTTGCTTTGGATGGTCCGTTCATATACAGGTCGACACGGGGCTATAACTCAGGATGAGACACCGCCATGGAAAAGTAGAGTGGCCCACACAATCGTAGAATCCATGTCAGTATGAGGACTTGCAAACTGGAACGGCGAAGACAGAACAAACAATCATTTGACAATTTCCACAACTGAGCAAAGTTAAACAACATGAGTTTTAAAATGGAAAACTGCCATACTGGGTGAATCAAATGGCCATGCAGAGATCACAAAAACTCACTGTCTGGTCTGGCATAATGCCCAACCACGTCAAGATCAAACTTTCCCCTCGGTATATCATCCAGATCCAAATTAGCAGTGAGGATATCCTCTGGCTCTCTTGACGGACCTGCTAGGACTACACCCAAGGGGCTAACTATCACGCTTCCCCCATTAATCATTACATTGTCTGGGTGACAATTGTTGGTATCTGAGACGGCGTGTCCCGGAGGATAGTCCTTCTCGGTGGCAAATTGGCAGGCGGAGAGAACGAAGCAGCGACCTTCTATGGCTATGTGGATCATGGAATTTTGCCATTGTGGACGTGAATCCACAGTGGGTGCGCAATAGATCTGAGTGCCAAGGGAATAATAGTGTGTCCGCACTGTTCGATTGCCCACAACATCGTTGGATCAATAGTAACATATATATGCAGAGAATAAAACATACACAGAGGCATATAATTTTCCCTGTTGGATCGACGTTCGATCAAGAAAGCTCCCCTAAAGGCATATTGAACTTACCAGCATATAGTTGCCGATATTTTCGTAGCCTCGCTATCTAGCGCGCCAAATCTCTTCTGAATCACGGGCAGTGTAGAACCATCCCCTTGGCCCCAGATGATCCGTTCTGTACCTGTAGGAATCAGTTTGCGATGTTTACCGACAAGGCCTCCCTCTGGATCAATGAATATAGCGGTGCAGTACAAGGTGCCCACATCTCGCTCGATGACGCCCATCACCACAAAGATATCCGTCTCCTTACTAACTGCTTCTATGCGGGAGATGGCGGGTGAAGGAATATCGATGGCTGCATTATAGTAACGAAGAAATTCGTCTCGGCCCTCTGGTAGACGATCCCCAACGACAGCACCAAAATGAGACATCTTGGGATAACCGCCAATACTAGAAACACACATTCTTTAATATGATTTACCACCACTAGGAAACTGATTAGCTGACGTACAATGCTTCTGGGAACACAACCAGCTGCGAGCCATCCCGTTCCTTTGCAAGCCTCGTAAGGCGTTCAAACTTATCGAGCGTGTCGCTCAGACAATATGCAGCAGTGCATGTCTGTATCACAGATGCTCGTACAATATTCGGCATGAAAACAGCGATTTAAGAGGTTGTCCAGTGAGGTCAACTGTCATCAGTCATAGTCAACTTCGCACGGGCTTACTGGGAGTCAAATCGGCCTTAAGAGATATGTCGCATCTTCCATGACAGATTGTCCTCAAGTAAGTCATCCATTAGACTTGTCATGTGAGTTCGGTTGTACCGGGCCGTCAGGTTTCGAGCGGTTGAATTCAATGAGAACCTGAGAGAACAGAAGGGTGTAAAATATATATATTAGGGGGTACGAATGGGTGTAGCATCTCCTTCAGGTTTTGGTAACCACTCCTGAGGAAAATCTCTGATCGTTGGTCTCGAGTTTCCTCGGCCGCGGACATGATCACCCTTTTTTGCCTTCCTAGCCTTAGCCTCAAGATGTCTCGTGTCTACTGGTACATCTGTGAATTTATCACTCTTCTGACACTGTCATTCCGAAAGCAAAAGATATGGTCAGACAACAAAAGTGCATAAATAGCATTTACGCACATTAGCCTCGGTAACAAGACGACATATCACATCACTGATCCACTTCAAATTCATTGGTGACTTGGGGAAGTCCTCGCATGAAATCTTGATGAAGCCATGCTTTGCAGCATCACTATCGCCTCCAAAGCCAGAGTCCCGAGGAGGATCCGGTGTCCAACGTACTCCTGAAAGTATTTGTAATTTGTGGATGGCATCTGGACCATTCAGCGGCAGGTGGGCTACCGGAACAACTACAGCACGCTTCGCCGTAAGAGGGTGCTCTTCACCAGCAAAGTCTACTGAGCGAACAATAAGGGGAGTGGAGGCAGTTGGCGGTATAAAAGGCTTTCTGAAACCTTGAGGAAGTTGAATAGAAATGAGCATCCTGACTCATCTCCAATACTACGTAGAAGTGCACAACATACCTACGAGTTTTGGCATCTCATGTTCAATTAGTCGAAGATAGTAAAGGTACTGCCGCTGTTGGCGGAACATGAGATGGCCTGCTATAGGGACATCGTCGCCTTTAAATGGCAACATTTCATCCAGGTCGAATCCTTCCTCAGGTGCTGAGGTCGGCCTAGCACCGCGTCTAGGCATGAGAACGGGACCAGATGAATGCAGTTGCTTTGCTATCATCGTGGACATTATCTCCCGCTGACATCTTGAGGGTGGTCGTGGTACGAGACGACGCAGGAGCATTTTCTGAAAACCTGTCACTGGTTGATGTTGTAGAGCAATATTGTAGTGACCCAAAAACTCAAAAGGTGTAGAGGCCAAACATTGTACAAACAACGCCCTCTTTGATCGTGACTGAGATCTTGAAAAGACTCTTCCGAGTCGGCAGTGAAGTGACACAGGAAGTATACTTGAGCTGCAACATACCACCATCGCTACCTGTGAAATATGGTCGTGAGTATACTGGTATAGAAATATACGCGTATACCATTCATGCTTTGAATAGCGTCTTCTGCTCTCAATCAAGGCTGAACTGGACAACGTCACAGATCTAGCTCCTGCCTCCAATGAATATGAATATTTCTTCCAGGTTTCGTGCTGCTATGATTGAACTATTAGCTCACATTGTCTGAATAAAGTTTCACTTCCAGGTGCAGTGTAACAGCTGCCATGAAGTACATCCAAAGTTTATATCTGTGAATCGCACTGTACGCATTTCATCTCGTATCTATCAATCTCTTACGATCCACACGTGGGATAGGAAGAACGAGAAGTATCAGGAGGCAGGAACAGCACTGCAAATTTTGTCTGGCGTTGTGGATCTTGCAAGCGCGAAAGCTCTGCAAAATTCGAGCCCTCTCCTACTCTGCCCTATTCTGCAGACGCAAACGGTCAATTTTCTCCGTTCTTAACTATTGAGTGTCGTGGTCTTGAGTTTATCGGATTTGACCCAAAACTCGGCGTGAGTGTCTTCTGTGGTGATTTGGACAGAAAGTTGATGGATTCGGATTTAGGGCAACTGGACCTGCAAAGGGGTTGAATCTGGCACTCTTTTTCCTGAAGTCACCTTTGAAGGTGAAGGAGAACTAACAGATTGGGTAGATTATGACGAAAAAGTAAATTACCAGTGCCCCTCACGAATTATGCGATGGCTTACTAGTATTTTATTTTCAGGCCGCACTTCCCGTTGGAATCTCCGATATTGAAAGCAAATGGAGTAGAGCTTAGCTATATTTTTTTTGATGAGCCCTGCGTGGAAGGTGAAAAAGGGAACATGAAAAATGCAAAGGGTTTGGAGATGTGTTCAAATTGTACCAGTAATGTAAGCAGCATAAAGCACGATATATACTCCAAGAACCACCAACGGAAAGTTGACAAACAATCCCGTCTGTAATTCCCACAGAAATCTGTCCCTTCTCTTTGTCCATCTCGATGGCTAGACCTCGCGCCGACCCTGAAGTATCTCTCTCCTCCACGCACTTGAGAGTTCGTGTAGCTGCTGTTTCCGTTCCAGATCCTTACTTCGCCTCCCAATATTCTGGATATTTTCAATGGCATCCTTTCCCTTCTTCGAAAATCTCTTCTGGGATTTCTTTGCTCTATTGATATGTTCCATGCTGCAGAGTATATGTAGCATGTAAGCATTAGACATTATCTCATTTAGAGGACAAGACCAACCCCCAGAGCGCCGCCTCCGCCTTGCAGATCTTTGCCTTGTGCATATCGACGCCTCGATCTGATAGTACCTCGATAAATTGTCTAAAATGCTATAGACAATAGTATAATTTAATACAGCATCCTTTTTCAGGTGATTTAGTCGTATCTCACATTGATCGAAGTTCTGTTTCGTCACGGTAAGTCTTGAGACGGTTGAATTGGCCACAAAAAGGAGAGAACTTGCCTGTAGTGACCTGATAAAGGTGATAGCTTATGAATTATTCCATCCTTGACTGATATCAAACCAGCGGACGTCACAACGCCCCCTGCTAGGAAGGAGGAGTGTTGAAATACTCCAGTTTCTGCTCGTGCATGTTAACATTCAAGGAATTGAGACGACAATCAAGTGGACTACATGCCTTTTATCCCGATAAATATGTTGACTACAGGAGATTCGATCACCTATAAGTTTGAGGGATGTAATACTAACAATATTACTCACGTTTTTGGTCCTGTAACAGAAGTAGAGGTAAGCAGTGTTAATAATGGGTATTCTTGGGCTTACAGCTACGTATATCCAAGTATTATGTTTCAATGTTTTCTTCAGTAGTCTATCCATTATTCCGCGTGACGTGAAGCGACGCCGGATGATCCTTGTCAACCGGGTCTTTCCCTCATTCGATCCTTCATAGTGCGTTGGCATTTGATCCTTAGAGAGTGACGAGACTTTATCAAAACCGTCGCGCCGAGGTGTTGCTGGGTTCTTGGATACACCTTCGGGAACGATGCCTTGACCTTGACCTTGGTCTTTCCACCGATTGTCAGTTGTATCTACCAACACACCATTCCGAGCCCAGTGAAGCTTTCCTTCCTTGTCGACGTTGACAAGATAATTTGAACCTATAAGTGAAACGTTGCATGTTGTGTTATCCGGGGATCAAACTGATCTTACGTTGCTCTGCAGATAGGTAACTGCGCGTATGCGTCAGTAGGATATCGTTGCCAAAAAGGATTGCACTTTACACGATGCGCTTTAAATGAGTAAATCAGTTATTGTACAAGCCGCCTCTAAATAAGCTACCTCATTTTCTAATCGCTCTCGCGGACACTCGCGCAGGGAAAGATTCTTGCCGCCTCCCGAATCTAGCCTGCAGAAACTATAAGAAACTTTACTCAAACACTGTCAAGTACACACCATCTGAAAAAGTTGTCGGTAGTATTCTCCTGTTCCCATTGTCTGTGATACCACTAAAATAAAATTTAACAGGACAAGTGATGTATCATGTGGAGACCCACTTTCACTACAAATAAAGACAGAGTTATACAAAGATATGGGATAGGGTGAATGACGAACTGTTAGATCCATATCTATGTTTCCTTCAGAGGGAAGGTAACCACTGTTAGTGAAGGCCCGGGTCGGAAGCTGACCAGAACGTCTCACCCATCAACCAGCTCTAGCCAATGTTGAGTTTCAAGGATTTTCTTGCTGTTATCGCGAGTGATAGGAGATTCACCAGGGCTGCTCGTGGAAACAGAATCGGAGCCCTGGATTTGACCTGCAAAAAACTTGGAACGTTTCCATCGCGTAAGAGGATCGTTTTTCCCTTTATACGCGGCTATTCTATTGAGCTGCAAATCAAGAATGCATCTATTTTATTCATATCCGAGGCAGAAAATGGGTACCTTTAGTTGAGTATGAATGGCGGTATCTTTCCATCGAGCATCGGTATTCTGGAAGGAGTGGGCAGTTTGGGTATGTCTTCTTCTCCAAGCTCGCTGTATCTGGATAGCTGCATGTACCTGTGCTGATTCTTCACCTCTGTATGTCTCTTTTTCATGGAAATTGTCCATCCGCATGTATAATTGACGAACAACCCACTTTGCAGATAGGCCATTTCTTATATCTTCCAGCGCAGGTTGGAGTTAGCAGTTATATGAAGCATGATGTCATACTATAATCCCCGACTCCCACGTTAGTGAAGGCTCCTACCCACCCGATATCGCGAAATAGGATGTAGGCTCGTCCCCAGCCGTTCCTGGGTAAATTTTCGGTTACAGTATCACTGCGGGCATTGGCTTATTTAAGCCCAGCTTATATCCTGAAAACATTCAATTTTAGCTTTTTCTAGCCAATCAGAACCCAGAACTCCCATATTTTCAGGATATAAGCTGGACTTAAATAAGCTAATGCCCAGTGTATTCCACCAACACTTGCGCCACCACTGGCACTTGCGCCGACGCATTGCAGCACTTGAATTTCACACCACAGGACGTCTACAAAGTCTCAAACGAACAGATAAGAAGCCTATCTATGTACCTATAGATAGTTATTATGTTTGCATTCTGCAATCTCAAGTTGAAGTTGTTTTTTTGTCTGAAATATTGCTTTCTTGAGACCAATTCATTGGTAACCAGTCAAAATGTTTGTGTGAAACCTTGAAAATCATATATGAAGCAGAGATAACCTCCAGCTATGTGTCCATCATTTAACTTTACTTGATGACTATGTTTGACTCCTGCCAGAGGTATGCCAATGGAGAGTAATTTTCATGATCTTATCACTATCTAATCAATAAAGATATGTCTAAATAGGCTATAACAATATGAAGTGGCAGTGTACACTAACAGAGATGGTCAAAAAACTTCGTACAGCTAATGTTAGGACAGAAAATGACAGGCCATGCAAAATCTCAGACCAAGAAGAAGCAAGTTCTATTGTAGTGTCAAGAGGAGGCTTTTGTTGGTGCAGTCAATACATACCAGGAGGAACTGCAAAAGCCAGAGGGGGGGAGGAGAGGTTTGCGGACAATTTGTCAAGAGATGGAGAGAAGGTGGTGAACAAAAAAGGGATATGCTAGTGTAACAGTAAACAGGGACACTGTGGAAGGCAAAGTTGCCATCAGTTCAACATGGAGAACAATACTTGGCTTACAGAAGAGGAGGAAGAGCAGATGGTCACCTTCTGCCTTGATCTCGCTGCACAATGTCAATGATGAGAACTGCTGTTAGAAAACCACACACAAAAAACAGACTAACACACAATCCACAAATTTAACCTTGCTGTTGTACAATGTGCTGTAGTGCCAGGTTAGAAGAACAACAGAAAACAACAGAAAAACTATCTTATGTTACAATAACACATTCTCGGACCTTTGATTTTCATTCTCCTCTTTAACCTTTTACTGTAGTTTTCACACTCCATGCCATGCAGCACTTTCTGTTTTGTTCAAACTCCACTTTCTCGCGCTGCACTGCTTTTCTTTCTATTTTAGATACAAGTCTCTCATGCAGTGGAGCTGGTCACACGGGCTGCACCCTCTGACATCATCAGCCACTGCCTTCATCAACTGTATAGTACATATGTACAAACAACCCTGTAGTAGTATATATACCCCAATAGATCAAGGAGACTCCTCAGTGAGTCCTCCTGTTGTTTACCCACAACTAACTCGGTCCTACCTAAGGGGTAACCACTCCCTTATCACTACCTTTATAGTTGGTCCTAGTTGTGCGTCAGAGTAACTAACTCTTGGTTGTTACATCTTACCCATACACTTACTAGTGGGTACATAAAAATAAATTGAAGACACCCAAGCTCAATCATAATATCCTTTGCAATATTAAGAATAATATTTTTTATGCATGTCAACACAACAGTGAAACCTAAAAAGTTGTAAGTTGCTTAGAGAATTTCTCAACAGTCTCACTAAGACTATACAGTTAATAAATAAAGTTTAAAGGTCCAATGTCATAGCATGTGACCAATCACATGTTGAGTCTAGACACTGGTCAGGTGATGTGTTGCATGATCAATCATGTGAGCAATACACGGGGAGGGACTCAGTGTGTCCTCTTCTAGTGTTTACCAACATTAGTATGACAAATTAGTTCCCTCTCTTAATGAGTTATATACTTTCTTTCCTCCATTGAGTTATTGTTGTGGTTGTGCTCCAGTGCTCCAAGTCTGTGTCATGTTGGTGTTGTCACACATACTATATAGCACAACAGCTAAAAAAGAAAATGGTTAGCTCAAATCAGTTGGGTATTAGTCAGCCCATAAACACCAATGCAAAGATGCTCAAGATAAATAATGCAGTTGCTCAGCCCTGTCCTAGTAATTCCCAGCTCAGTTTCTATTTTTTTTTGTTGAAAGTAAATTCTTCTCTCCCAAGGCACTTCTGTTGAGATATTCTTTACCTACTCATTCATATTCATTAATGCTTCTCATATATTATCTCTATTCTCCTTCTTCTGAAACTGCTCTTTTACACATTACATAATCATTGGACATTCCCGCACTTACACAAAACTCGAACTTCCCTTTTCTCAACAACCTCAGTTTTCTATTAATCAGACTGAGGTATGCAATTTACATTTACAACATAGTACAATAACTCAATTCTACCTTTTAGATGTTTCCTCTTACAGTTTGTTTGACTCAACAACTTCCTTACCCAAATCTATGTTCCTTGGACCTAGCTCGGCACCCCCAAACAACTTACCAGTTGACACTGCTTTTCAAAGAGTAGAATCTGCAACATCAATGGTGGATCCCTCATTTATTGAGGTCAATATTTCCATCAAAAGTTTCACAGGTAAATTTCTTCTATTTTTTTTCAATCTGCCTCAACTGATTTGTTTCTAGCTACAATAACAGATAAATATCCTATTGTTAAAGACACCTTGCCCTTTTGTAGGCATATAAGTCCCATACTTCTATTCCAGCTCATTTCCAACCATCCAGCAATACAACCACATTTTTGGAGTGGACCAGCAATGCTGATCCACTTTTATGTGATATCAGTGAAGATGATCCTAACAAGTGCTGGGGCCACAACCGGTACACAAGTAAAGATGTTTTCAAGCCCTGGGTTAACATTGGTAATATCAAGATGGCCTACAAGTTACTTGCAGCAACCATCAAAATATACAAGGTTGCTTAGCACCTGTGCTTCTGATGGAAAATCAAGGTCGTATCTTATCTCAGTGACTCATACCTTTAAAATATGGCTAAACATCTTTGGTCTCTGTGGGTACAAATAGGAGAAGTATTTATTTTTCTCTTGTTTGCTTTTTTTCTCTTACTTACTATCAGATAGTAGGCAGGAATGAATAAGCCACCCACTCAAGCACCAATTAACACTACTCCTGCTGATAAGACTACTGGACCTGTTCCTTCAATGACGCCCTTTAATGAATCAGATTTGCAAAATCTTGACCACAATGTTTGGAAGTGTGTACAGATATTATTCCTATTGTTTTTTTTTACTTTGTTATTTACTCATATTTCTTTCTCTTGGTCTCTTATTTGTGATAAATTGAAAGAGTGGATCAAGAAGTATTCCATATCTGGTGCAGCTTTAAGAAGCTGAAAGATGTTAAGTTACTATTTATTTACACTGATGTTTCATATTGTTAATTAGACACAAAGAGCTTGTCAATACTATACTTGCCTCTGGACCAAGCGGTCTCCCCTCAGTTGATGATGTGAATGACATCATACAGAAGGTAAATCTTTTGATCCTGTTAGCTATCTTCATTCACTGTTGAGTTTTTGTAGCATAATTTGAAGACTCGCAAGTCTCAAAAGGCTTGAGCTGTTTTTATTTCAATTTCTAAAGGATTCTGTGGTGTCTTGGTGTCCTGGCCATTGGTTCTGAGGGTGCTGTTTGTATACTGTGTTAGGCTTCTTTGTGACTTTTGTATGACTTTGTAGGACTGAAGTATGACCGTATTTTGACCGTGCTTAACTATATTCTGACTAAAGATTGACTATCATAATAAGTGAAACTGCAATAAATGTCAGTTTAAGGTAATCTCTATGAAATGTAATATAACATATCTCAGCTGCTGCCCAAGAGGCTATAAAAATGACTGAGGTATTGCTATACCAAGCCCCCTACTACTTACAGTTGGATGTGCTACTTGCTAAGATATAATGTGTCACAATTCAAGACAAACCTTTGGTTTTTTCATTATTTAATTATATCTGATCACGTGACAACCACGTGACAAAAGCACATGACTCATTATATAAACAAAGTAGTTAGTTATATCCGATCACGTGACAAAGCCTAGACTATGACGCACAACATCAGTCAGCGCCTCATGGTTAACCTTCAGAAATGTATATATACCAACACCCATGTACATACATTTCCTCAGTTGTTGATTACTTCTTTATACCGATACTTGACACTACTTGTCTGATTTTGAAACTTACACCTCCATTAGTTTGGCAAAAGGTGTAGGGATCTAACATAATGACTCCTAGGAAAACAATGGGTGACTCCATGTGTTACAATTGACGTACCAGCATCTACTTACACTTTACTTTTCATTTACAAGTCATGTGACTGATCACATGACCATACTTTACTTTACTTTTTGGACTTTTTATAGTCGCATGGCCAGTGTCTAGACTCACCATGCAACTAGTCACATGCTGGACATCAGACTTTAAACTTTATTTATCAACTGTATAGTACCTCATGTATTGTAGTATATATACCTGAGCAATACATGGGGAAAGACTCAGCAAGTCCTCTTCTTGTGTCTACCAACATTAGTATGAGCACCTCCCTCTCTTGATGAGTTGTATCAATTATTCCTCAAGTTGTAGCCTCTGTGGTTGTGCTCCAGTGCCCCAAGATTGTACCTTGTTGATGTTGTCACACCATGGAGTGATGGCGATGCTCCATGGAGAACTATGGCTGCTTTAGAAGAGCCTGAGTTTATCCAGTTTTGTCATATCAGTCTCCAAAATGGCTGTCATTGAATGTGAGTATCAGTTGACTGGGGAAAAACTACCATTTGACCTTTCTTTGATTTTAGCCTGATCTTAGTTGACTCCTGTGAGACCATTGTTTGACTTTCTGGGACGGCAGCACCTAGCTACACATTGACACTTTTATTTGACTTCCACCTGACTATCCTTTGACTCCTTAGTTAAAAAAAATGGCATTTGGTAAAAACCTATCCAAATTCTGATTTTTCTCTGACTTTGTGTTTTTACTGAGCCATGGATTAAGAACCAAATTCCTCAGTGGCCCAACCAGCTTCAACACACGTCTGGTTAGGATGTATCCAGGCCTGCCATGCTTCCAAGTTTCGAATCAAATCCTGATACGTACATGTGTGTACATTATTATGGAATACATCATTTACCATACACAAAATTATACTGGCATGCCACCTCAAGTAACAAAGAAATTGAAAGAGAAAAAAAAAGGAGAGAGAGAATTGATGCAACAAAATGAAGGTGGAAGGTAGATGAAGTAACGGCAGTGGTTAGATGATGAAGATGGTGAAATTGTTTATTTATGAATCCTATTTGAAATCGCTGAATGTCCAGCCTTCAGCGAGTTCAAGGTAGGGGTGACATCGGAGTTCCGCTGCGCTTGGACGATCCTTGGGATCGCTGTGATGCGATAGTCAGTTTTGAAATTGTTCCATCCTTAAAAGGCACTTACACGGCGAAACATTTGTCTTTAAAGTCTTTAGCGAGGCTGGTCAGAATCACGTCATCTGGAACGGGCGGAGGCTGTTTCGTGTTGAACAGCTAATGTCGCCAACGTTAGTGATAGCTCCCTCCGACACACAACCAAAAAAGCCTCACCTTCAGCATCACAGCCACTGCTTCCTCCTCGTTCCATGGTCTTTTACCTGCCCACATTTCAAGAACGACACACCCAACGCTCCAGATGTCGATCTTTGAGTTGTATCCTTTTCCTTTCGGCGTGTTGATAACCTCAGGTGCCATCCAGAAAATAGTACCCTGCATAGCTGTGTGGGCGCCGCCGTTAATGTCGTCAGTGCGCTTCGAAATTCCAAAGTCTGAGATTTTGCAAATTCCAGATGTTTCAACCAAAATATTATCCGCTTTCAGATCCTACGTATAAAATTAGATGAGCAAATCCACCGTCAGAAATGTGAGTGGTAACATACTCTGTGAAGAATATTCTTGGAGTGCAGATACTCCAGTCCACTGAGGATTTGACTAGTAAACGACTTGGTGACTTCCTCGTCAAATTTACCATGTTTCTGAAGACAACTTCCAATGGATCCACCAGGCACGTACTCCAGGAAACTAAGGAAAACCGTGAGTGCGCATTATTTCAAACTTCTTACCAAAACTCACATGCTCAGGAAATTTGGAGTCTCTTCAAATCCAAGGTATTGAACGATGTTGGGGTGGTCGAGGTCTTTGAGAGTCTCGCTCTCCATTTTTAATGCCTGTACCAGACTAGCCTGCCGAGTGTCGTTTCTATCACTTGCAGTTGTGGGTATCTCCACTTGTTTGACAGCGATCATTTCACCGGTAGTGGCATTGAGTGCCAGATACACGCGTCCATACGTGCCCTTCCCGATAAGCTCACCACGAACCCATTTGAAGATAGCTGGATATAACAGCATCAGCCTGGTGCAGAGGCAGAGAGAAAAGGGGCAACATACGCTTTGGACCTCCTGAAGGGGAATCTGGTAAAGCTCTGCTCAAATTAGTCTTGCTCTGTGATGTCGTAACTTCTACAAGTCGACTGTCCCAAAGTTTTGTACTTCGTTTCCGGTTGATGTTACTGTACGAAGACTCGGCCCTTGATGTGCGATCTATACGTTTCTTATGCTCCTCCGCAACAATTCGAATCGACTTCTTTCCTTTAACAAGAACCTTGTCTCTGTCAAACGCAGGAGCTGCTATAGATGGATGTTCAACAGCAGTCGGCGAAGTCCCGCCAGAACTAGCCTCGATCACAGGTCTATCCAAGTCATGTCCTGGGAAGAACTCTTCCAGTCGATTATAAACATCTTCCGCAGGAGGACGGGGCGCCCACGTGACATCTTCGAACGTTCTACGCTTGTGATCTCTGGGTGTGCGCGGCCTCTGACGTGGAACAGCATAGGTTGGCGGAAGTGGAAATTTGGCGGGATCTGCCTGTGTCACGCGCGTCGCCATGGCTGTTCCGGAATTGGTATCGACAGTGAGTGGAGGGCGCGGGTGCGTGGTAGGAGTTTGCAATTCTTGAGAGAGCAGTTCTTTCATCGGCGTGGACCACAGACCGGCAGTGCCATAGTCAGAAAAGGTGCCAATCGTAGCGGAGCCGTCATGAGACGCGCTTCTCGAGTGCTCGTATGTAGATATCGAAGGTTCGGCGGTGGGAGAGGTGGAGGATCGTCGCTTCGGGTGACTCCACGCTTTGGCATCCAAAGTCTTATCCCCGGACCCTATGAAATCCAGTATTCTATCTTTATCTTCTGGGCGAAGGGTCGAGTCGGAGCCCATAGTCCCTTCTCCGCTGATTGATCTCGAGGGGACCATAGTAGACGGCTCATACGAGAATGAACTCGTGCTAGTTGAAGTAGAAGGTCGGGAGTTATTAGGGCTGCGAGGGGGAGGAGTACGAGGACCTTCTGAGTGAGTATGAGTGGCACGCGATCCTATGACATCACGTAAAGTTAACCGATTTTCGAGTCCCACCAAGTCGTCGTTGGGAGGGCTGGTCCCCGGTCTGGAACCAGAGTTAATGCTCGTCTGGCTGGGTTGGAAGCTATGACCAAGCCGCGTACTCTCCTTGTCACGATCAGGAATCTCTTGGTTTCTGGGATAAGGCGAACGAGACTGAGAAGGCGATGCAGAATGGGGTCTTTGATACGGGTCTTGTGGGGACAGAAGGGATGAAGCGTTGTTGGCAGGAGGAGACAGTGGATTTGGGCGGATAACATTTGGGCTAGATGAAGAATTTGCAGTGTCGATAGTGGGATTGGGAAGAGGCCGAAGGTAACGAGAACCAGAGTCAATAGGGACTGTGGTGGATGAATTTGACCCTGAAAGATACGTGCCGGACATGCCCCCCTGGTTCAACTGAGGTCTGCTGGCCGATGGGCGGAGGGAAGGCCCAGGCTGTAGCGCCTTGGGGTGTCTGAAAGACATTCCCCTGAGGCTTTCCACACTCATAGCGCCTTTCAGTGTCTTTCCTGTCGGCCACGGTGAACTATTGTTCTGACTCTTCGAATCGCCCTTGTCACCACGATTACCGTACCAAGGGAAAGGCAGATAGCTCAATGGAACCTGTTGTCCTCCACGGCGACCCTCATCTCTCGTGCGTGTTTTCTTGGGGTTCGGCCTAGAAGGCGAACCTTTGCTCCCTTCGGCTGGCGAGTCATTATCATGTGGTACAACCACCCACGTTTCTTCACGAGGTTTACGGTTTACAGTGTCGTCACCGCGATGGATCCGCATTTTGTTGAGTCGACCGAAACCTGTCTTTTCCTTGTGATTCCGCTCAAGGTCTGCTCGTTCAATTGCATATTCGCTATCCTGCAGGGCTTTCTCACGCTCAGCGGCGTCAGAAGTCTTGCGAATATGCTTTTTAGGTAAATTGAGGTAGGACTCGGTACGGGAATCAGGAGGGGATTGTGCAATGTTACTTTGCACAAAAGTGGACGGTTTTAACTCGTGATCCCGCGTCCGTTCAGTAACCGATGGGAATGGTTTGGCAGAAACGGGGGAAGGTGGATGGCGGTCTTCAACTCTGGCAACTCGCGGAGAATTAGGCTGGTTTTGCTGCGCGGCGAGAATGGAATGTGGAGCAGGTCGCATCGTGCTCCTGTTATCTGAAAAATCTACATCATCCGAGACAGACGGCTCGTAGCCTGCGTCGGGAGTAGGGTCTTCAGAAGAGACACTGTCGCATCTCGACTTGGACTGACGCCTTGGACGTGGTCTCAGAGGTCCATATACCGGTAGCACAGGTGGTGGAGGAATAGACCTGATAGGTGAAGTAGGTAAAGAAGGTTGGTGGTGTTCGTGGACCTGAGCGCCAGAGACGCATATGAAGAATTTGAGATTTCCTGCAGCATCCCCCTCTTCACGGATAAGCTTGAAGAGCTGGTCGTCCGTCAGGGCTTCACCGATGGCATATTTCCCAATTTCTGTGCGGTAAATGCAAAGAGGCCCCGACTGCTCTTCATCGGAAATGCATAGCTAGAGGGGACTCGGTTATCGATGGCGAATCTAAAAGGATCCTGACTTACCTCTGTGAACATTCGTTCTCGAACATAAGCTACGCTTCTGGCGTTTGATATATCGACGGCTTTATAAGTGTGACAGTCACTGGTAACCACGAGGAGGATGTTGTCAATCTGCATGGAGAGAGAGCTTGTTGGGGAAGGGCAGGACGGAGAAGGAGACTAACGTAATAGAGAAGATCAATTTTAAAAAAATAGGGAGAGAGGATAACGAAATGGCGTACGTGTAAGGACTCGGGCTCCAAGGGGCGATTGGAGGAGCCCCTGCGATGGGACCAAGGTAATCTGGGAATGAACTTGCTCGGTCGATGGGAAGGCTGAGAATAATCTGAACGTTCTACGGGAGGCTGGACGACGACAGGCTTGTGTTTACCATAGGGACCACCGGATATGTCTACGGGAGGAGCGGTCTGGCCAGGAGTGCTTGGGGGCGGGGTGGAATCGATGCGGGCAGAACCACTGCTTGAGGGAGAGGAAAGAGGAGGTTTTGAGTTTGAAGGATAGTGGAGGTCTGTTGTTAGTGGATACGGGGCATGGGACGGCTTTTGTGGACGGGAAGAAGAGGGAGTGGGGAGAGGATTGTAGGAGAGAGAGGAGTAGGAGCCTTGTGACTGGTGTGAGGGAGGGATGTGGTCGTCATCGCTACTGTCAATGTCGTCGGGATTTGCGACAATGAGGATCTTTCGCTGGCCTGTTCTTCTTGCGTAGCTCGACTTTGTGTCCTCAGACATGGCTTGCTAAGGCTGTCGTGGCCGTCGTCTGATGAGGGAGGAGTGAGTGAAAAAAGCAGGAGGGGGAGAGGGACGAGCTCACCGGTGGGGACGACGTGGGGAAGGGAAAGGAGGCCTTTGAGTGAGAGGTGGGCGACAGACTCGCTGGTTGCCAGAAGAGTTTGCAGCTGGCCAAATGGTAGGATGGCGAACTGGAGATGGCGTTGACAGACCGAGGCAGAGACGGCAGGTGTGGCTTACGTAAGGGATGGACCTTGTCTGTTGTCTTTACAGCCGCTGACAGTCTGGTAACAGTCTGGCAACGGCAAGGCCTCCACCCAGCGTTGCTACCCTCGGCACGGCCTCTCCCCGGCCCCGTACTCCAGCCGACGACCCAACGCCGCTCTCCACTACATGCATGGCGCTGTACGTACTCGACACACATTCGCCAACACCCAGGGCTCATTCCAGCATGCCAAGCGCACCATCAATCATCCCTGCTCCCGACTATTCGCACTTTAATTCAGGCGTTCAGTCGCTAATATACATCTATCATGTTACACAATCTATACTCTACTCGTGCATATATTCATCCTCACCCATCCCCTCTCCATGTCCAGGAAGCGCAGCCTGCAGGTCAAGCTTATAATAGCATGTCAGAATCACATCAGCCCATCACTGCTACCGCTCCTCACCTTTGGAAACTCTGCACGCTCACTCAGCATCCACTCGCCCCATGCAAGCAGCTTCAACAACTGTACCAGCTTCACCTCTTTCCCTTGGCTAAAGCTTTCTAGTATCGCCGCATTCACTTCCCCTGCAGTCTTCATCCTCTGCGCGGGAGAAAGCAGTTCAGACACAGCTGATGGTGCTAGTGACGATGAATCAAACGCCAAAAGCGCCATCGTCCGCTCTAATTCAGAAAGGAACTCGGGACTTTCCTCTCCCCTCGGTGCCAACTCCGCTTCAGCAAACGTCAACGCTTCCTGAATGCGCCCGTGCCTGATATGCTCGATCAATTGCTGTTGTTGCAAATGAAAGTACAGCGCAGGATTCGTGTCCAGGATCTGTTATAACAGTGTCAGCCATCTTGCATCAACAACTAAACAGAAGGAAGAGATCATATTGAAGACTGAAGTTTTGGTGTTTACAAGTCTCATCACCGACTTCGAAAAGTCTGAGAGTGGTGCATGAAACGTTTTAATCATTTGGCTTTGAATACAAAGCCTTCCAAAAGCGATCGTGTGCTCACCTCCGGATTAAGGTCGTTCACACGAGTGATCGCTTCATGCACATCGCCTCGTTGAAGAGCTTCGCGTATGTCCATTCTGCTTTCAATACTTGCAAAATCAATCGCAGCTGTTATATTCGCTTCTTGGCTAAACTCTTCTGCAGCCGACTTGTACCCTTCGATCACAAGATAATCCATAATGAGACGGTTCAAGTCACTGGGATAAAAGACGATAGTCAGTACAAAATTCCAATAATATTCAATCAAAGAATAAGAGAAAGCATCAGCTAATACATGCAAAACATTTTTATCTCATCTCATAAGTCAGAGAGATTCCCATTATGTTTGTTCATCTTCGCAATCCATAATAAAACGCGACAAAGATGACTTACTCTTTGGTGACTTGCACGTCATGCAATCTACGTTCCCACTCCTCCCGTCGTATGATGGTTTTTGGAGGCTAGACATGCCAACGAACAACAGTTACGACGCATTCTATAAATTAAATGCAAAATACGAACCATGGATTGGACGACGGTGCAAGTGGAAGGATTTTAAGGCCAACGGTCCATTCAGGGCAGGCTCTCGTCCGCTCGGGAAGCGCCGCACTCACAGACGATAAATCGCGGGAGAGTGGCCGGCCGAGTTCTGCGGAAAGCCGACAGCTTTCTTGCGGCGATAGCTCAACAGATGAAGAAGTGATAACCGTTGGGGGTACATATATCTTACTGACTTGTTCTCTGGGCCTATCTTTGTTTTTTACGCCCTTTTTAATCACCAAATCCTCTTGTCTTTGGGCTACACATACCCACACACGTACTACACCGGAATCGCGTTCAAATGCATCGAGCTGCCTTCCTGCTGCGCCGCCTTCCTGTTCAATCCACGCTCTCCTCGGCCAGGCAAACGTTCAGTAGTCCCTCGGCCAGGGCATTTTCATCAAAACAAGATTGGGCGCGTGAGGACATACAGAAAATATACGATCACCCGCTGCTCGATCTCGTATTTCGCGCAACTAACGTGCACCGTCAACATCATGATCCAACCAAGATCCAGCTCTGTACTCTGATGAACATCAAAAGTACGCACACCCGCTTTATCACCTCACAGACCGTGATCTAACTAACTAACGTCACACTGCTTCATTTCTTCAGCTGGCGGATGCTCCGAGGATTGTAATCTATATTCCTGATATGGCAATTTCGATGCAGACTCACTTATATGCAAAGGTTCATACTGTTCGCAGTCTTCTCGTTACTCAACGCCGACCAAGGCTTCGCCTCTTCTTGAAATCGGGCCTGTGATCGAAGCAGCGCGGAGGGCGAAGGAGAACGGCAGCACCAGATTTTGCATGGGAGCTGCTTGGAGAGATCTCGCCGGCCGGAAAAGGGGATTCGAAAGAATCTTGCAGATGGTCCGGGAGGTGCGATCGATGGGAATGGAAGTCTGTACGACCCTTGGAATGCTGTCTCCACAACAAGCTGCCCAGCTGAAGGAAGCGTAAGTTTAGTACCTCCCTCTATGCGTACTACATTCACTCAACTGAGTTTTGTAGAGGATTGACTGCTTACAACCACAATCTTGACACTTCTCGAGAATTTTACCCGCAGGTAAATAATTTCGTCTCAGTAGTCAATTCTCACCAATGCAGTAATTTTTAGGTTATCACTTCTAGGTCATACGATGAACGTCTTGATACCATCACCGCTGTTAGAGACGCAGGTATCAGTGTATGCTCTGGTGGCATCCTTGGTCTTGGAGAATCAGATGAAGACAGAGTGGGTCTGATTTGGGAAGTTGCAAAGTGCGTCTGGAGTAGGGTTCAACCACTGCGTTAACTGATGTTTACAATCAGTATGCCTGAGCACCCTGAATCTTTCCCCGTCAATGCTCTAGTACCTATACCAGGAACTCCTCTAGAGGGCAATGATGTGATCCATCTTCACTCTCCATGCGAATGAACGGATGGCTGATCCTAATCTCAATCAGGTTGTACCTTATCATACCCTATTACGAACCATAGCCACAGCTCGCATCGTCCTCCCCGACACCATCATCAGACTCGCCGCCGGGAGGAATACCCTAGCCGAATCGGAGCAAGCAATGTGTTTCATGGCTGGAGCTAACGCCATCTTCACTGGGGATCAGATGTTAACGACGCCTTGTACGTTGGAAGTTTCAGTTACATTAAATTAAATAAGCAGAATGCTGACGTTGAGCGCATGTTAGGTGCACCATGGGATGAGGTGTGTATACCTCATGATTTGTCTCATCTTCCCGCCCACACTGACACGAATTTCATATAGGACAAGGCCATGATGGGACGATGGGGCCTCGAAGGTATGGGAAGTTTTCAGCAAGCTCGCGTAGCTAGCAAAGAAAATGTTATTCCCCAAGGCATGGTGCTGGAATAGAGATGTGACGGGATTGTTCGGCCATCCCCCTGGCAGCGAGAGAATGTCTACTTTATTATGCTCGCGTCCACTCCCAGATACCACCTCAATTTAACCACAAAATACAAACATTACCTTGCGATAGGCATACGTCGACTTATTCAGATGTGCACGTTCTGCTGCTCTGTCATCTTATTTGGTAGTATGACGACTTTCCACTGATTATAGATGCAGTTAGGAACTTTGTCGTCATACCCCTACAATGGCATACTAGATTTCTTAGGAATTTCCAGTGGACTATTATAGATAATGATGGGGTTTCAGGCATTCCAGATTCACACATCTAGGTTGTGGAAACTTGTTGACAAAATGACTAAGTACACTGAGTAGAACAATCCGACTGGGGTCCTCGGCACATCCCGATGAGGTGGTAAAACTGTACAGACGCTTCTGCGGTGGCTTGGTAGGGACCCCAAGATATCGGAAAGATTGTACTGTAAACCTTAGTTAGCTGGCTCCCTCGTATCTCCACTCTGTGGTTCCCTATACTGCAGCTTTCCATCACCTGGCTCTCTCTGCATAACCAGTCACCCGCGCTGACTGACTAGCCAAAAACGCCCCGTCAAAGATGTCGGTGGCTACTAAAAACCCGTTTGCTCTTTTGGATGGTGAGTTTGACACCCATATCTCTAGTTTAGTCGTGTTTTCATTTAGCCACAAACTTTTATTGCTGTTATCGATATGTTCTCTCTTTCCTACGTTTAATCCGACATCGTGATCAGAGGACGATTCTCCACCAGCTGCCCCCGTTGCATCGAAGGATGCTCCTCAGCCAGCCCCTGATGCTGCTCGGGATACTCAAAAGAGCAGGGGTGGTCCTGCATCCCGTGGTGGCCGATACTACGCCAGAGGAGGAGGCTCAGGAAACCCTTCTGCCGGTAGAGAGAGGCAGGGCACTGCTGAAGAGCCCACTCTAGGTGGAGAGGATGCCAAGAGAAAACGTAAGCATGGTTGTGCTCATCTAAACACATAAGGGATTGTTAATCTATGGTTCATTCGCGGTATTTTCTTTATTTACATTACTCCCATTGCTGTGGATTTCATACTTCATAATTGTGTGACAGCTAACGGCGAAGGTCGTGGTCGTGGTCGCGGCAGAGGTCGCGGTGCTCCCCGTGGAGGACGCCGACCACTTGATAGGCACAGTGCCACAGGCAAAACGTAAGTACAGTACCTTATTTTTATGAATATTTGATTGGATTTTTACCCTAACGTAGTGATTCCGAAAAGAAAGTTCACCAGTCTTGGGGCGGTGATGATGGCAACAGCGAGTTGAAGGTCGAAGAGGCTGCCACCAACGACGCAGCTGTCGAAGCTACTGGGCTTAATGATTGGGCTGGTGGTGCTACTGACGCTGTTGAAGATGCTTGGGGCGCCCCCCCTGCTGCGGAGGGAGCTGCTCCCGCACCTGCTGGTGCAGAACAGCCTGAGGGGCGCAGGAGGGAAAGAGAGCCGGAAGAGGAGGACAATACTCTTACTCTAGACCAGTATCTCGCCCAGAAGAAGGAAAAAGACGCTTCTGCCGTGCCCAAGTTGGAGGTTCGGAAGGCTAACGAAGGTGCTGAGGATACAATTTGGGATGGTGTTGCCCCTTTGAAGAAAGGCGAGGAAGAAAGTGTTTACTTCGCCGGCAAGGTACAATTATCTGTTGCAATTGTTGTGTCACAGCCTCAACATATCTTTATCTGTTGTAGACTAAATCTGCGCCCAAGACTCGGACTGAGAAGAGAGAAAAGGTATATCTCGAGATAGATGCCCGATTCGAGCGCCCTCGTGGCGGTCGTGGAGGTCGTGGCGGCGAGAGGGGCACAGACGGAGGGCGCGGCGGACGTGGTCGTGGCTCTGGCAGAGGTCGTGCCCCTGGCAATGCAGTTGCCCATGTCGACGTCGATGACGAGAAAGCCTTTCCCTCTTTGGCATAAGTGAAATTTGGGCGTATAGTACCAAGCCAACCCCGAAAAAGCTATGGTTATATCATTGATATCGATCGCTCTCTTTACCTCTGCCTATCTATCCAGTTCTTCCTGGTTCTGCTAGCGATCGCTTGATTTGTTATGGTTTCTCATGCGAGTTATACCTTTCTTTTCATCTCCATTTCTGATGTCATCATGATTTACTACCGTCAGCAATGCTCGAAAACATTTCATTCAATTTGATGACAGACGAGAAATTACGAAAACAATGCAATTCAAGTAACTTGTTTGATATTTTGGCGTGCTTTCACAATACAAAGGCCTCGTCAGCAACTTGGTTCCGGGTTTTTTTTTACCCGAGTGTAATACTCGTCGTGAGCTAGGCAATATTGTGTCTTGCTAATAAAAGTGAGCCAATGAAGGTCGTTGTGAGTTTGCGCTGACAACCGGGTTGCGTTTGTTGGGTATGTATTGGTTGCCCAGCACCATATGCTATGCATATAGCTAGTGATGTGTGAGTGTCATGACACTTGGGCGGTGCACCTTGGCAAAATGGCATTCGAGTTGACACAATATTGTCATTATCACAAACTCTTTCAAACTCCAATAGGCATTCTACATTAAATTCCCATTCTCATATGTAGTGCATTCTCTGTGTATGTCTTTATGACTGTCAATCTGACAGTGATTCTGTGCATGCAATGCTAAGATCACTTTTGTGTCTATAGGTTATAAGCTATATTGATTACAACTGATTTTATTATGTGACCTTATCTGCTCACTTCATTCTTATTGCTATTCCTGGTATCATAGGTTAGTAGGGCTCAATTCATAATTAGAGACATGAAATGGCACAGACCAAGTGACAAAACCGGATAAACCCGGTCTCTGCCAAAGCAGCCATTGTTCTCTATGGAGTATAGCCACCACTCCATGGAGTCACCATTGTACTCCTAGGAGTCATTATACTGTAGCGAGTAGCACCTCCAACTATAAGTAGTAGGGGGTTTAGTATAGAAATACCTCAGTTGTTTCTATAGCCTCTCGGGCAGCGGCTGAGGTATGTTACATTACATTTATTAGAGATCACCTTAAACTAACATCCATTGTAGCTTCACTTAGTTTTATTAGGTTATGAGCCCTGGTGTGCAAAAGCTACGCAGGAAATAATTCTTATTTGAAACGGCAACCTCGGAACCATGACCACAGCACGCGATACATCCGCATGTCCAGTTCTCACTGGACCCAATAATTTTCAGATATGGAAACTCCGGATCATCTCAAAGCTACGTCGGGAAAAAGTTCTCCGGGTTGTTACTGGAGAGGAGCTTAAGCCCTCACCAGGAAAACCTACCTCCTCGGAGGATCCTGAGATCACCTGGATACTTAAGGATGAGAAGGCACATGGAATCATCCAGGACCACATCTCTGATGCCCTCCTAATGAGGACTGGAGACCTCACCAGCTCCAAGGAGTTATTTGATAAACTTGTCTCACTTCATCAAACGTCCAACATTGCCTCGGCCTTCTATTCATTCCAGCAACTCACCAAATTGTCCTGGGATGGGACATCACCTATCCAGGACCACATTGCAAAAATCCGGACAATTGATTCACACCTCTCCGGAATGAAACTAGGAGTTGATACCAAACTCATGGCCTTCGCTCTTCTCCAATCTCTCCCATGCACTCCTGAATGGCAAATATTTCAGTCATCAGTAATCAACACAATTGAAGAAAATAAAATTACCTTTGATGCAGTTGAGATCCGGATCACTGCAGAAGTTGCACGACAGTCAGGGAAGGCCCCTGGAGGTTCCGAAACAGCACTCAAATCCGAGGAGAAGTGGTGTGACTTCCACAAAGCCAAAACACACAACACCTCGGAGTGTCAAACACTTCAGTCAGCTGGAAAAGGTCAAAGGAAGAAGGAAAAGGCAAATACAGCGGAGCAATCATCTGGATCTGACTCCGAGGAGGAACAGAGTCATATTGCATTGGAACATGTACATATTTCCAAGCCCCTTACTAAACACATTCAAGCTTACCTTGTGTCGGAACCCGATAAGACCAAAACAACAATTATTATTGACTCCGGAGCAACATCCCACATGGTCCCTCACCGCTCCTGGTTTGAGCCAGGAACATACCATGTTCTGCATCCTCCGAGGACAATCAGTTTTGGGGATGAATCCTCTGTAAATGCCATTGGCATTGGAACAGTAATCCTACAAGCAACTGTTGGCAAAAAGGACTACAATATTGCACTGTCAAATGTCTTACTTGTGCCAAATTTCACGTTAGCACTCGTCTCTGTCCACAAATTGTCCAAAATGGGGTTATCAACACTTTTTCCAGCAGGGTCAAATGCTTGTGAAGTTCGGAAAAAGGAGGAACTTATCCTCACTGCGTTACACAAGCGAGGACTTTATCACATCCAAGCAAAACCCAAAATCAACCCGGAGTCAGCTTTTGCAGCAGTAGATGTAAATATATTGCACAGGAGAATGGGACACATTGGAATGGACCGCTTGCCACGAATGGTTACAAAAAGACAGCTCCAGGACATAGACACCCTTACCGGGACCCCAGAGTTTTGTGAACCTTGTGCTTTAGGAAAGATAAAGAAATTACCTTTCAAGTCCACTGGAGGAAACCGAGCCAAGCGCCCCATACAAATTGTGCACACAGATGTTGGAGGACCAATCAAACCAACTTCCAGGGAGGGTTTTTGGTACTGGATTATCATTGTAGATGATTTCTCTAAATTTCCATGGATATATTTCCTAAAACATAAAAGTGAAGCACTGGAATGATACAAGCAATGGAAAGAAGATGTCCAAACATTCTTCCGGACTCATTTGGGAGAAGAAAACTTCACTCCACTAAACACAGAATTCCTCCGGAGCAATGGGGGAGGAGAATATACTGGCAATGCATTCAAAAATCAACTCCGAGGAGATGGTGTCATCCAAGAAACTACAGCTGCAGATACTCCAGAACAAAATGGCATTGCAGAACGCATGAATCAGACATTGGCTACATTAGCAACCACTATGCTCCATGATTCCAAGCTCCCAAAGTCATTTTGGGTAGATGCCATGCAAACAGCTGCATATATCACAGCACGCAGCCTAGCATCAGGACTCCATGGAAAGACCCCATATGAAATACTGTTTAAAAGGAGAGTTGATCCAACTTTGTTTTGCCCTTTCGGATGCCAAGCATATGCCTTGATTCCGAAAGACAAAAGGCAAGGGAAATTTTACTCCAAGGGGCGCAAAGCCATAATGATTGGCTACACACATGGAAAGCAAGCCTACAAACTCCTAGACACTGAAAAACGGACTGTGTTTTCCAGTCGGCATGTCATATTCAATGAATCCGGAAAGGTACAAAAGGATGACACTGCTCCCTGGAACACAGACACTAGCACAGATCAGTGGGAGGGACTCATTCCAGAGAATGCTCACTATCCAGACCAAAAAACATTGGAGGAGGATGATCCTGACCCTCAGATCCGAGATCCAAATGAATTGCAAATGGAACCACATCTCCAAGGAGATGTTCCACAAGCAATGGAACCATATCAGCATGAAGATGTTCCGAGAGCAGTGGGGCAATACCTCTGTGGAGACGTTCCGAGAGCAGTGGGAGCACCTGATCAGCTAAGACACCCTCCACAACAGTCTCTACAACCAAGACCTGAACACTGGCCATCTTCAGAACGGAAAGCCAAAGTAGAGTTACAGTCAGTGGGAGGACAGCCCCTCAACATACAGCCAGCTGATGTGGAAAAAGTCCGAATACAGCTAGACAGCCTGTCCATTGGATCAGCTTCTGGAAGGCATACAACACCTCCAAGGAGTCATCCAACACCTCCGAGGAGTGATTCAACACCTTTAGGAGTGAGTGGGGCAACAAATACACAAATGTGTCTACTCCCTGGAGTACCTGCACAAGTTCCTAAAAGAGCAGTCATGCCTGCTGAAGTCCTAGGAGTACGCAGAAGCAGTCGCCAGACCCGTCCTGCAGACAAAAACCGAGATTATCAAAGGACTCTAGATGAGGAACAGTCTTGAAAAGAGCAGCATGACAACTCCATGGAGAAACCTAACACTCCTAAGGTTCATGAAGAAACATCTGATACAGAGGAGACATTCTTTGCTGGAATAGCAAGTACCGGTCCATCTAACACAGACCTTCCAAGGACACTAAAGGAAGCCTTATCACGTCCGGATGGAGAATTACGGAAGTCTGCCTTGGAGGAGGAACTCCTAAGTCTCAATACTAATGCAGTATATGACACTGTTCCACTTCCGAAGGGAGTAAAACCCATCACATCAAAACCTGTGTTCCGGATCAAGTTTGATCAAAACGGAAACATTGAGAGATACAAACTCCGCATTGTTGCACGAGGTTTTACTCAAAGGGAGGGGATTGATCACCAGGAGGTTTTTGCTCCGGTTGCAAACTTAGAGTCAATCCGAATTATTCTAGCCCTGGCAGCAAAGTACGACCTAGAACTTGATCAAATGGACGTATCCACAGCTTATCTCAATGGAGAACTTGAAGAAGAACTGTACATGCTTCCTCCAGGGGGTGTTCCTATCCAACCTGGATACTGCTGGAGATTGAAGAAAATCCATCTACGGGTTAAAACAAGCTGGTCGTACATGGAACAAAACTTTTGATCGCAAGCTCCAGGAGCTCGGTTTTACAAGACTAAATGCAGAAACATGTCTCTATGTATTCCGGGACAACAAACAAAGATGCTTTGTTGTTGTCTATGTAGATGACCTCCTCCTAGAAGCTTCATCCCAAAAATTCATGGATATCACAAAAGCCAAACTTGAATCCATATTCAAAATGCGGGACCTTGGAGAAGCAAAATACATCCTTGGAATAGAAATCCAACGTGATCATTCAAACAAAACAATATCCCTATTGCAACGCCAATACATTGACACAGTCCTGGAGCGTACTGGAATGAAGAACTGCAAACCAGTATGGACACCAATGGCCCATGGATCAAAACTCCTTGCAAATGCTCCAGGGGAAGATATTGTGCAACACGAGATGCATATTGAAGGGCGTCAAGTGTCATACCTCTCAATTGTAGGCTCCCTCATGTATGCCATGCTTGGAACCCGCCCAGACATTGCCTACGTTGTTGGAATACTAAGCAGGCATAGCTCAGCTCCAAGGAGCCATCACTGGGAAGCTGCAAAATGTGTCCTCCGATATCTGAAAGCAACCAGGGACATGGAACTACGATATGATGGCA